GCTGCCTCCGTCTGCCTCATGGACTGTAGAGTTATTCTTAGGTTCCTAATAACCCCTAGCATGGAATTTGCCCTTTCCCCAGTTGCCACAAATTTAAATTCCAGGGACCAGGGGAGAAAGGTTTTGTTTTCCCCTGTTCCCTGGCAAGCTAGCTTTCTATAAGCAAGGAGAGGCATTCAGCTATTTTACACACACCTGAGATCACCCGCCTTTCCTGCTCTCTCTCTGAAGGATGCCAAAAAGAGGCAGCTCCCTCCCTGTTTGCTCTTCAATGGTTAACAGCAGCAACAGCATCTGAGCCCACATTCCTAGAGCAGAAGATTGCAAAGAGGAGGAGATTTGGGGAGGGGGGGAGAAAGAGGGGGAATGTGCCCCTTTCCTCTTCCGCAGATCTGAAAGGGGAAAAAATGCAAAGTGTTCCACGTGAGTTTCTTCTTGCTTTCGCAGAGATGCTGAAGGCGGCCGCAGGGAGGGAAATGCAAGATTAAGGCAAATAATTCCGCGTGCTGGGGAAAGCAGGACTCCTGCAAGAGCTCTTCCCTAACCAAATTATTAGGCTCATTGGAGAGATGCGCTCCGTGCACTGAGAGATCCAGGTAGGTTAATCACTCCGCAGGTAAGCATCCCTCCATGATCTCCCCCCAACCTACAACAGCTTCTTGTTTCCTGTGTTGGGGACCTTATTTAGGGAAGCTTTTAATGTTTGATGTATTACAGTATTTTAATATTTTTTTGGAAGCCGCCCAGGGTGGCTGTGGAAGCCCAGCCAGATGGGCAGGGTATAAATAATTAATAAATTATTATTATTATTATTATTATTATTATTATTATTCACTAGTAATCTGCAATCATTTCCTTATGCTGCATAAATTAAGGTTGCCACTTTCCACATCTCTCTCTTTGCTCCTGTGCCTTCAAAAGACTCCAGAAAGGCATAAACGAAGCTTTTCCACAAATGGGAAGGGGGACGGGGTTGGGAGTGTTAACGGAGAAATCTGAGGGCTCCCTTGGACAAAAAACAAGGACAGCAGCCAAGAATACCAGAGTAAAACAGCAGCCAGTAGGCTTGGTCTTTACTGAAGACTGTCGCGACAGGACTCCCACCTGCCACAAGGTGGAACAAGATGAAAGCCCCGGACAAAAGAGAACCCAAACTTTTATTAGCTGCTAGTCCCCATTTTACCCCTCCCCAAACTACATCACTCATACATCATGGTTACATCATGAAAGGGGAGGTCTGGTGGCAGTAATCTGAGCATCCTGGACCCTGCCCCATGGTTCTCCTTGCCCTCCACCAAACACCCATCAAGTGTAACAAAAAGATATTTACATTTCCCTGTTTCCCAGCCAAGTTAATCGCACCCTTTTATCTTTATCTGGCTTTCTTTTTTCTGGAATGGCTACCTGTCTTGCAAGGGACGTGGATGGTGCTGTGGGTTAAGCCACAGAGTCTATGACTTGCAAGGTCGGTGGTTCGAATCCCCACAACGGGGTGAGCTCCCGTTGCTTGGTCCCTGCTCCTGCCAACCTAGCAGTTTGAAAGCACATCAAAGTGCAAGTAGATAAATAGGTACCACTCCAGCGGGAAGGTAAACGGCGTTTCCGTGCGCTGCTCTGGTTTGCCAGAAGCGGCTTAGTCATGCTGGCCACATGACCTGGAAGCTGTACGCTGGCTCCCTTGGCCAATAAAGCGAGATGAGCGCCGCAACCCCAGTCGATCACGACTGGACCTAATGGTCTGGGGTCCCCTTTACTTTTTACCTGTCTGGCACTCAGGTATCAGGATGCCAGGGATTATCACTCAGGCAGAGGGGCTGCTGAGTAGCTGAGCTCACGTGTCTATATGAATTTCTGAAGTTTTCCCAGTGAGCCAGTACATAGATACATTTATCAGTGAATTCTTACATTTGGTATCGTGCAGCAGAGGCCCTTTGAATAGACAGGAAGAAACTGTGATGAAGTGTTTTGTGGGGACAGATTACAAAAGTCACAAAAGTGATTGTGCTGATTTTGGTAGTGGGCTGCATGTGCATGATATCTGCTGGAGGGGCATCCCACCCCCAAAATCTATACATAATCTATACATAAATTCCTGCAACAGGAGGCTCTCATGCCACATTGCCAGGTACCTGGTGGTGAATGTTAAACTGCACAGGAGCAAGGCCAGGGGGAAAAAACAACAACGTTGGCAATCCTAATCAATTTTGCGTGCTCAAGAAAGCCGGCCAATGGAAGGCGGAATTGAGAGGAGTTCCCAGCAAGTTGGACCAAGAAGCATCACTGCAGTGGAGATGGAATGCATGGTAGCTGTTGTGGCAGGCAGCCATTGATAGCCGTCTCCTCTATATGAATCTTTTCCAATTGTATTTTAACACCATCCAAGTTTGTGGCCGTCACTGCCTCTTGTGGAAGAGAGTTCCATCGTTTAATAATGTGCTGTGTGCACAAGGCCTTCTTTTTGTCTTGTCCTGAATCTTCTGACCTTCAACTTCAACTGGACGAGCTTGAATTCAGGCAAAAACGTTCCTCTTTAACCGGGTCTTTGGTTGATTGTCATCCGATGCCAATGTAGGTCTTTCAGGACAGGTGTTATGTGGTCTCAGTGGCCAGTCCCAACTATATTTTGGTGCGTGGGGAAAAAATCATGTGACACGAGCCCTACCTGTGTGCACAATAAATATTTTTTTTATTCCATTACCTAGTTTTATTTTGATCCCCGGTCAGGACCTCCTTCATGAATTTCCACATCGTGTGTGCTATTCTAAGCCAGGAAACCAAGGTCCCTTGTGGGGGTTTGTTTGCCTGTGTGCATGCACCATTTTAGAGGCACACTTGGAAAGGACTCAGTTGGATCCAAAATAGCCAATCCAAACTCAAGATTCTGTCAGGTATTCTGTCATTTGAAAATATTTAAAGCCCTCATCTTTTTACAGCCGCTGGAACTCTCTTCTCAGCTGATTTCACGAAATATGTGCATCTTTAATTTTGTTTTCCTAATTCTGATTTCAACCAGGATCTTTGAAACAATTGCAGTTCCTTGCCTCTTAATGCCGCCTGCCTTTTAGAATTTATAACCATGGCAACCCCTTTGTAAGCCGCCTTGGCTCTCGGTCTGGGAGAAAGGCGGGATATAAATAAGTAGAATACTAAAGGTGAGGATAAAGCTGCTCTTGAACTCAGATCCTGCTTGGAGCGCCTGCGGAGGAGGGATTCAGTCCTGGGGGCGCCGCTGGCCTGATCCTGCAGCCGGGTTTCCCCCTCCTGCTTCAGAGCCGGAGACCAGCCGGGCTCCCTCTCTGCCCGGAGCAGCCAAGAGGCTCCTACCCCGCGGCTGCGCAAGGGTTAACAGCGGCGACAGAGCTTCGATTCCTAGAGCGGAAGGGAAGACTGGGGGAGAGAGGAGGCGCTTCCGCTTCCTGTTCCGCTCCCCGGGTTGATGCTGTCCTCCCTGGAGGCGGGTAACTGGGGGGTCGGGGGGGCCGAGCCAGGGGCGGAATCGGGGGGCGAGAGGGAGGGAGCCGCGTCCCTCCTGGGGGGAACTCAGGGGCGACGGGGAAAGGTCGTCTTCTCCTGGGAGGGGAAGCGGGAGGCCGAAGCGATGCTCCTCGCTGGCCTTGACCGGCCTCTGGCCTCATCCTGCGGCCTTTTCTCCCGCTCCTCTGTCCAGAGAACGCAGAAGGAGCGCCCAGCAAAGGCCGCAGGGCAGGGAATGGGGAGGAATGGCAGGGAGTAAACAGGGAGTCAGGAGAGTCTCCTGCCAGCCAGGGAGGAGCAGGAGGAATAATTTTATTCCTTCATACCCCGCCCATTTAGCTGCGTTTCCCAGCCACTCTGGGCGGCTCTCAACAGAAAATTAAAAGCACTATAAAAGATGAAACATTAAAAGCTTTCCTGAACGGGGCTGCCCTCAGATGTCTTCTTAAAGTCAGATAGTTGTTTATTTCCTTGACATCTGATGGGAGGGCTTTCCACAGGGGAGGGGCACTACCAAGAAGGCCCTCTGCCTGGTTCCCTGTAACCTCGCAGGGAGGGAACCGCCAGAAGGCCCTTGGAGCTGGGCCTCAGTGTCAGGACTGAGCGATGGGGTGGAGATGCTCCTTCAGGTATACAGGCTGAGGCCATTTAGGGCTTTAAAGGTCAGCACCAACACTTTGAATTTTGCTCGGAAACATACTGGGAGCTAATGTAGGTCTTTCAGGTCTTAGTTGGCTGCTGCTCCCAGTTACCAGTCTAGCTGCTGCATTCTGGATTTGATCTAGTTTCCGGGTCACCTTCAAAGGTAGCGCCCCATAGAGTGCAGAAGGAGCTGCAGACTCTATGGCAGGAGAGGATCCTCCTCAGTTAAGACTCTTTAGCATTTTATTGTATCGAAGGCCATAGGTCCACTGCAAATTAAACCATGAGAAAAAACTTTTCCTCTGCAAAATGTATGTACGTACTAAACATGTATCATTAAAAAAGGTGGGCCCCTGGGGATATAACTGGCCATCTGCAGCTGTAGTAATTTTATCTTATGTTCAAGATTTCTAAACAGCTAATTCAAAAGGTCTCTCAAGTGGCACAGTGATCCAATGGGAGCTAGAACACAACTAAAACCCACAAACCAATTTAGAAACCAGTATGCATAAAGCCATCATTGAAAAAATTTTCCCTCTCCACTTCCCATTTTGCCTCTTGGGCAGCATGTATGGTCTTTACACACTTGAGGAAGGAGGGAGTATGGGGTGGGACAAAACACTCATTTCCCCCAGTCTTAAATTTAGTTATCCAGATTTTAACATCTTATTAAAAAAACAAATAAACACTGAAGGTAAAATCTCCAGTTGCCCCATCTATCATCGGAGGGGGAGCTGAGGGGAGATGGTTTCCACACCTTGCCTTGGAGTGTCTATAAGGAAGGAAATTGTTCTGTCCTTCCAGGGATCAGTGAGCTTTGACAGGTGTCCTTGCATTTCGCTGACGACAACTGGGCCCTACGGAGAGCTCTGTACAAGGACGTCATGGTGGAGGTTCATGAGATGGTGGCCTCTCAGGGTAAGGATCCTTTGCGCCTTCATTAATAGTTATAATAGGTATGGGTTCCTCAGTGGCTCAGAGTGCCTCCCTTCAGCTCCGCTAAAGGAGGTCACAGTGTTTGTTTTTCTCTTAAGTTAAAGGCCAGAAGCCTGGCTGAGAATAAATATTATTGCTTCTCTGCTACAATTAGCCATTGATGGCTTCTGGGTTGCCTCCCTGGGGGAGAGCATTCTTTAGGTGGGGAGCCAGCACTGAAAGACGCATTCCGTATTGCCTCTCTTTGCACCTCAATTGGAGAGGGCACTGTGAGAAGGACCTCTGATGATGAGTGCAGGCTCTAGGTGGATTCATGAGAAGCAGTCCTTGAGCTACATAAGTCAAAATCAGCACCTTGACTTGAAGACAGCAAACCAGATATGCTCAGAGCCTCTTGCACCGGTCAGCACTCTGTAGTTTCTGAACGGTCTTCTAAAGCAGCCTGAAGTATAATGCATTGTGGCAATCTAGCATGGAGAATGGTAGAAAAAGCATACTAAAAATCTTCTGTGTGGGGATCCTAATTTGTAGAATACTTGAGTATCTTGTTATTGTTATTGGTTTCTATTGATGTATTGGTTTGTTTGTTGCATATATAGAATCTTCTGTTTCTTAATATTTGAGGTTTGATTGCATTTTTATATATGCTGCAAGCCACCCAGAGAGGCTTGGGAAACCCAGCCAGACGGTTGGGATATAAATGAAATAAATGCTACTATTGTTATTATTCATTTTGGTTTTTCAACAAGCTCTGCAGATCTAGGCTTTTCAAGCTTCTCTGAGTTGCAGTGCTGTATTATCAATGCTCAGGGGTGGCCTCACTTCTGCCCCCACAATGGGGGCTCAAAATCCATAAGGAGCGTACCCCTGCAAGTTGGGTGGGGTGGTCCCCACGAGACCTCCAAGGGGTGCAGACGCCTCCCCCCATTCACTGGCAAAGAGCCTTTTCAGATCCTGACAAAGCTGAATGGTGGAATGTCTGCCCTCTTGTGGACATGCCCTTGTTGGGGAGGATCCTTTTCGGGACTTGGCTGGAGGGAGAGGACTCACAGAGCTTTGCTGCCCATCCCACTTCAGCCCTGGAGGCCGGGGAGACTAGCAGCAAAGCTGAGCAGTGACGCCCCTTTGGGGGTGACACCTGAGACAGCCACCTCACACAGGCCCATAGGCAGGCAGGCTCTGTTGATGTTATTGCCTGCTGGTTTAAATTGTGTTATTTATGGCTTGGTTAATCTTAGGGGCTGCTCACCAGAACTTTTCTGATACAAATAACTGGTGATATTTTATTAAAACCAGGTATCACATCATTGTTTTAATGTAAAATGCCGTTAACATAGTGACAGGCCTTGAGTTTTGATAAGGAAACAGCTGTATCAACCTTTATTTTAATTTTTTTATTCCATCAGGAGATGTTTGGGGGGTCCTGGATGAGGAGGAACCACCAGAAGCCTGGCCAGAAAGAGGTGAGGCGCAAGAGAACGAAAGGAAGTTGGGGGTTCAAGATGGAGCCAACAAACAAGAGAGGAGAGAAACAGTGAAGCCAAGGGATGAACACAGTGTTTCCCAAGAAGATGAAAATCAACTTAACAGGGTGGAGAAAAAACATGAATGTACTGTGTGCGGAAAGAGATTCTGTAGTCGCTCAGCCCTTGCTACACATCAAAGCGTACACTCAGGTGAAAAACCTTATGAATGCATGGAGTGTGGAAAGAGATTCAGAAACAGTGGCCAACTTAATATGCATCAGATAACTCATACAGGGGAGAAGCCTTATGAATGCATGGAGTGTGGAAAGAGATTCAGAAACCGTGGCCACCTTAATGTGCATCAAAGAACTCATACAGGGGAGAAACCTTATAAATGCATGGAGTGTGGAAAGAGCTTCAGTGCCAGAAGCAACCTTATTAGACATCAAATAACTCATACAGGGGAGAAACCTTATGAATGCATGGAGTGTGGAAAGAGCTTCAGTTACAGTGGCCAACTTAATGTGCATCAAAGAACTCATATAGGGGAGAAACCTTATGAATGCATGGAGTGTGGAAAGAGCTTCAGAAACAGTGGCCAACTTAATGTGCATCAGATAACTCATACAGGGGAGAAACCTTATGAATGCATGGAGTGTGGAAAATGCTTCAGATCCAGTAGCTACCTTACTTTGCATCAAAGAACTCATACAGGGGAGAAACCTTATAAATGCTGGGAATGTGGAAAGAGTTTCTTTGACAGTAGTACCCTTACTAAACATCAAAGAACTCACACAGGGGAAAAACCATATAAATGCATGGAGTGTGGAAAGAGCTTCAATCAGAGTGCCTCCCTTAATGTGCATCGACGACTTCATACAGGTGAAAAACCTTATAAATGCATGGAGTGTGGAAAGAGCTTCAGTGACTATAGTACCTTTACTAAACATCAAAGAACTCACAGGGGAGAAACTTTATAAATGCATGGAGTGTGGAAAGAGCTTCAGTCACAGCAGGTCCCTTAACATGCACCATAGAATTCACACAGGGGAGAAGCCATATAAGTGCATTGAGTGTGGTGAAAGCTTCAAGTGCAATTCTCACCTTAAATGACATTAGACACCTCGTACAGGGAACAAACCGCATGAACGCCTGGACTGTGGAAAGAGGTTTGGTCACGGTAGCCTCCTTACTTTGCATCAAAGAACTCATACAGGGGGCAAACCGTATAAATGCTTGGAATGTAGAAAAAGCTTCAGTGACTCTAGCACCCTTCATGCACATAGGAGAATTCACACAGGGGACAAACCATATAAATGTTTGCAGTGTGGAAAGAGCTACTGCCGCAGTCATCACCTTTCTCGACACCGGATAACTCATTCAGGAGACTAACCCTATGAAAGCTGATGTGTGGAAAGAGCTTCTGTTACAGTGGTAAAAGCTGTTCTCCAATTGGAGCACTCGCAGACCAGTGTTTCCTAGTAGGGAGTTAGTAGCTCACTCTTTAACGATGTGCAATTCTTCACCTTCATCCATGCACGAGGGCTTTTCCAGTACAGCAAGGAAGCAGCTTAAGGACCAAATACTTTACTGTCGCAAAAGTTCAGGCTCAGTAAAACAGTTTTGGGAGTATGTATATCCATCTGTCTAGTGATAAGTCGCCAGTAGCCAGGTGCAAACTGTGTCTGGCGCCTGGCTAATTTTGAACACTGCCCCACATTGGTATTTAATTAAAATAAGACACGAACTTGAGAATTTCCCCTCTGATTTACCAATCTGTTCATTTAGGCAAGCATTTCTGACTTTTGTTTTCAGACTATGTGCTCAGAATATTTAGAGGGACGCTATAAAAAATTATCGCAGAACAGCATCTTTGTGTATGCCTTAACTAAGCAGTAGACCTCTACCAATATGCTCTCTCTATTCTGAACCAAGGTTATCCTTGATTTGTTATGTAAGATACCTGATGCGGATGATCAACTGAAAGTCACATATATGTTGTCTTGTTTGAGAAATCTGTGACAAAGTTGCTGCCCAAAAATTGAGAATGTTCATTGAGGAGAACATGGTGGACTGTAAAGATTTAATTGGGAATGACATCTAAAAACTTACTTGTGTGTGTGTAATATAGACTGATACTGTATTTTAATGCCATATTTATGTATATATGTCATATGACCATAATGGTTCAAACAACAAACAATAAACATATACCGTTTGTAGGCCTTTGCAGATACAGTTATGTACAGATAGATGGACTGTATAGGCAAAAGTGAGTAACAAGAAAGTAGTATTTCTCATGCCTTAACATGTTAGAAGCTGATTGGTTACTGCCGCAGAATCCTATAGTAGTAGTAGTAGTAGTACAAATAATAATAATAATAATAATAATAATAATAATATTACTTATACCCCACTCATCTGGCTGGGCCTCCCCAGCCACTCTGGGCTGCTCCTAACAGAATATTAAAAACACAATAAAACATCAATTTATTATTTCCTTGACACCTGAAGGGAGGATGTTCCATAGGACGGGCGCCACTCTGCAGGGTTCCCTGTATCCTCACTTTTTGCAGTGAGGGAACCACCAGAAGGCTTTGGAGGAGGACCGATGGGGGTGGAGACGCTCCTTCAGGTTACTGGGCTGAGGCCATTTAGGGCTTTAAAGGTCAGCACTAACACTTGGAATTGTGGGAGTCAATGTAGGTCTTTCAGGACCGGTGTTATATGGTCTCAGCGGTCAGTCCCAGCTATATTTTTGTTCGTGGAAAAAAAATCCTGTGAGAAGCGGATAATAAATCCTCGGTGTGCACAATAAATATCTTTTGCTTCCGTTACCTGGTTTTATTTGGATCTCTGGTCAGGAACTCCTTCATGAATTTCCACATCATGTGTGCTGCTCTAAGCCCGGAAACACACCATTTTGGAAAACTAATTTGTGAAATACATGTTTTGTGATGTACCAGATTTGCCCCAAAGGGCAGTCAACTTAAAAAAAAAATATTTGTGTGGCCTGCAAGTCATGCAAGGATTTGGAATCACTCGCATAAAAGGCCGCTGGTCCCTTCCTTCTCCTTCCCCACTTTCTGTACATGCAATAGCAAATTTTATTTTTATTTTTAATGCAGCAGTTTTGTGCAGGAGAGCTTCTCCCCACAAAGATGTGTTTTTTATTACTACAGACATTTGTATATTTCATTTATCACCGCCCTTTATTCAGCCAAAGTCCTGGTTGAAGAAGAATGTTTTCGCTCGGGACCTAAAGGCGCATAATGAAGGTGCCAGCCAAAGCTCCCTGTGGAGAGCTTTCCACAAACGAAGCCACTGTAGAAAAGTCCCAGTCTTGTTTTGTCACCCTCCACACATGGAAGAGGCACATGAAGAAGTGTCTTAGAGGGTGATATCCAGCCTGGGGCAATATTTGAGGTATTGTGATCCTGAGCTGTTAAGGCTTTATAGGTCCAAACCAGCACTTTGAATTGGGCTCAGAAACTAATTGGTTTCCAGTGTGGTTGGACCAGGATCAGTGTAATATGCTCACACAGTCTTGCTCCGGTGAGCAACCTGACTGTCAAATTCTGCAGCAGCTGAAGTTTCTGAAGCACCGGCAGGCGCCACCATCATGCCTTCAGCAACAATGGGGAATAAGCAGAAAACTCGCTAAGGTAAAGGGACCCCTGACCATTAGGTCCAGTCGTGGCCGACTCTGGGGTTGCGGCGCTCACCTTGCTTTATTGGCCGAAGGAGGTGGCGTACAGTTTCCGGGTCATGTGGCCAGCATGACTAAGCCGCTTCTGGCGAACCAGAGCAGCGCACGGAAACGCCGTTTACCTTCCCGCTGGACTGGTACCTATTTATCTACTTGCACTTTGACGTGCTTTCGAACTGCTAGGTTGGCAGGAGCAGGGACCGAGCAACGGGAGCTCACCCTGTCCCGGGGATTCAAACCGCCGACCTTCTGATCGGCAAGTCCTAGGCTCTGTGGTTTAGACCACAGCGCCACCCGTGTCCCTTTTTGGGAAACCCTCTAGGAAGAGACAGTAGAACAATAGAAATACTGGAATTAAAAGATTTGTTCAACTCAAAGCTCCCCTCCCTTCTCCATTTGAATGCATTGGCTAAAATTAGTACAAAGACCCTAGGTGGTTAGATAGCTCTCCGAGCTCCAACAAGGAACTGGCCACACACTGTCAAGGAACCCAGACACCCCTCGACTTAAGGACAGGTGTGACGGACAGCAGAGCCAGGCCAGAGTCTGCTGGCGCAGTCTCCCTGAAATTCTGGCAGAGTGAAGGAGCCTGTCACCGATTGGCTACAAAGTCACAGAAGGGGGGAGGAGCAGAACTTTGAGAGGGAGGATAAAAAGAGGGAGGGAGGGAGAGAGAGATAGGGCTACGGGTCAGGTGAAGAGATGGGGCTTGATTTGAGAAGATAGGGATGGATTTGAGAAGAGAGAGGGTCAGGTTAAGACAGGGGTCCTCAAACTACGGCCCACAGGCCGGATCAGGCCCGCCAAGGTCCTAAATTCAGTTCTCGCTGCTGCTGCTGCTGCTGCTGCTGCTGGCTGTCTGGCTTCTGGTGCTGTGGGGGTCCCAGGCCAGACGTGGAGAGGGCGGAGCAGGAAATGGCGGCGGCCAGGAGGCGTTGTGCGCAGGCGCTTCAGGCGGAAGGCAGCACCGCTGCTGGGGTCCCTCGCGGCTCAGTCGCCGCCCCTCCAGGTCTCCCGCTTCCCCACCACTCTCCTTCCCATCTCGCAAGCCCCGCATACCCCACCCAGCATGCACGTCTCGCCTTTGCAACCTGCCACTCTTGGAGGAGTTTGGGATGCTGTCAAGAAAAGCTCAGCGTCTCTTTCCCTGCGCACCAGCGCCAGTCTACTCATGTGAGGCAGCCCTTTTTGCAAATTCCCACTGTCCTTTTTTTATGTCGGGGGTGTGTGTGAGGAGAATTCAGCTCCATGCCTTGGTAGCCTTTGCAAGTTTTAACTTCTTCTGGAAGGGGTTGGCTCTCTCCAGGGAGAGATCCCCGAAGGGCTGCAGGTTAGCGAGAGTGGGCGGGTGCCACCCAGCGCTACCATTTTAATCTCTTGGGTGGTGGAAGAAGATGGGGTGGGGTGGAACTGTCTATTTCCAGCCCCTGCAAGTTCCAAAGCAGAGAAGCATTTCGAAAAGTGCAGCTACCTCCTGAATTTGACACACAAACCCCCCACTCTGCTTTCTCCCTTCCTAAGCCCCTCTCTCTTATCTTCCTCTCACTTTCCAGGCTTGCCCTTTCACTGCCATTCCCACTGCTCCCACGTTTTGCAGTTTTTGGGGGGTGGGGTGGGGGAGAGAAAAACGCCCGCCCATGATTATTTAGCTGATTCTCTCCTGACCAACATAAATTAGCAGACCCATACTTCCCATTGAAATATTTATAGAGTGGTACCTTGGGTTAAGAACTTAATTCGTTCCAGAAGTCCGTTCTTAACCTGAAACTGTTCTTAACCTGAGGTACCACTTTAGCGAATGGGGCCTCCCACTGCTGCCACCGCGCGGTTTCTGTTCTCACCCTGAAGCAAAGTTCTTAACCCGAGGTACTATTTCTGGTTAGCAGAGTCTGTAACCCGAAGCGTCTGTAACCTGAAGCATCTGTAACCCAAGGTACCACTGTAAGTTTATGTTGATCACCCGCCTGAGATCACCCGCCTTTCCTGCTCTCCTCTCTCTCTCTCTCTCTCTCTGAAGGATGCCAAAAAGAGGCAGCTCCCTCCCTGTTTGGTCTTCAATGGTTAACAGCAGCAACAGCATCTGAGCCCACATTCCTAGAGCAGAAGATTGCAAAGAGGAGGAGATTTGGGGAGGGGGGGAGAGGGGGAATGTGCCCCTTTCCTCTTCCGCAGATCTGAAAGGGAAAAAAATGCAAAGTGTTCCACGTGAGTTTCTTCTTGCTTTGGCAGAGATGCTGAAGGCGGCCGCAGGGAGGGAAATGCAAGATTAAGGCAAATGGTTTCGCGTGCTGGGGAAAGCAGGACTCCCTCATTCTCTTCCCCTAACCGAATTATTAGGCTCATTGAAGAGATGCGCTCCGTGCACTGAGAGATCCAGGTAGGTTAATCACTCCGCAGGTAAGCATCCCTCCATTATCTCCCCCCAACCTACAACTGCTTCTCGTTTCCTGTGTTGGGGACCTTATTCACTAGTAGCCTGCAATCATTTCCTTGTGCTGCGTAAATTAAGGTTGCCACTTTCCACATCTCTCTCTTTGCTCTTGTGCCTTCAAAAGACTCCTGAAAGGCATAAACGAAGCTTTTCCACAAATGGAAAGGGGGCCGGGGTGGGGAGTGTTACCGGAGAAATCTGAGGGCTCCCTTGTACAAAAAAACAAGGACACCAGCCAGGAATACCAGAGCAAAACAGCAGCCAGTAGGCTTGGTCTTTACTGAAGACTGTCGCGACAGGATTCCCACCTGCCACAAGGTGGAACAAGATGGAAGCCCCGAACAAAAGAGAACCCAAACTTTTATTAGCTGCTAACCCCCATGTTAAAAAGGTAAAGGTACCCCTGCCCGTACGGGCCAGTCTTGCCAGACTCTAGGGTTGTGCGCTCATCTCACTCTATAGGCCGGGAGCCAGCGCTGTCCGCAGACACTTCCGGGTCACGTGGCCAGCGTGACAAGCTGCATCTGGCGAGCCAGCGCAGCACACGGAACGCCGTTTACCTTCCCGCTATAAAGCGGTCCCTATTTATCTACTTGCACCCTGGGGTGCTTTCGAACTGCTAGGTTGGCAGGCGCTGGAACCGAGGGACGGGAGTGCACCCCGCCGCGGGGATTCGAACCGCCGACCTTTTGATTGGCAAGTCCTAGGCGCTGAGGCTTTAACCCACAGTGCCACCCACGTCCCTTTAACCCTTTAACCCCCATGTTACACCCTCCCAAAACTACATCACTCATACATCATGGTTACATCATGAAAGGGGAGGTCTGGTGGCAGTAATCTGAGCATCCTGGACCCTGCCCCATGGTTCTCCTTGCCCTCCACCAAACACCCATCAAGTGTAACAAAAAAGACATTTACATTTCCCTGTTTCCCAGCCAAGTTAATCACACCCTTTTATCATTATCTGGCTTTGTTTTTTCTGGAATGGCTACCTGTCTGGCAAGGGACATGGGTGGTGCTGTGGGTTAAGCCACAGAGTCTAGGACTTGCCAATCAGAAGGTCGGTGGTTCGAATCCCCACAACGGGGTGAGCTCCCGTTGCTTGGTCCCTGCTCCTGCCAACCTAGCAGTTCGAAAGCACATCAAAGTGCAAGTAGATAAATAGGTACCGCTCCAGCGGGAAGGTAAACGGCATTTCCGTGTGCTGCTCTGGTTTGCCAGAAGCGGCTTAGTCATACTGGCCACATGACCCGGAAGCTGTACGCTGGCTGCTTGGCCAATAAAGCGAGATGAATGCCGCAACCCCAGAGTCGGCCACGACTGGACCTAATGGTCTGGGGTCCCCTTTACTTTTTACCTGTCTGGCACTCAGGTATCAGGATGCCAGGGATTATCACTCAGGCAGAGGGGCTGCTGAGTAGCTGAGCTCGCGTGTCTATATGAATTTCTGAAGTTTTCCCAGTGAGCCAGTACATAGATACATTTATCAGTGAATTCTTACATTTGGTATCGTGCAGCAGAGGCCCTTTGAATAGACAGGAAGAAACTGTGATGAAGTGTTTTGTGGGGACAAGTCACAAAAGTCACAAAAGTGATTGTGCTGATTTTGGTAGTGGGCTGCATGTGCATGATATCTGCTGGAGGGGCAACCCACCCCCAAAATCTATACATAAATTCCTGCAACAGGAGGCTCTCATGCCACATTGCCAGGTACCTGGTGGTGAATGTTAAACTGCACAGGAGCAAGGCCAGGGGGAAAAACAACAATGTTGGCAATCCTAATCAATTTTACATGCTCAGGAAAGCCGGCCAATGGAAGGCAGAATTGAGAGGAGGAGTTCCCAGCAGTGGAGGTGGGATGTACCCTAGCTATTGTGGCAAGCAGCCATTGATAGCCATCTCCTCTATGAATCTGCCCAGTTCTATTTTAACGCCATCCAAGTTTGTGGCCATCACTGCCTCTTGTGGAAGAGAGTTCCATCGTTTAATAATGTGCTGTGTGAACAAGGCCTTCCTTTTGTCTTGCCCTGAATCTTCCAACCTTCCACTTCAACTGGATGAGCTTGAATTCAGGCAAAAACGTTCCTCTTTAACCGGGCCTTTGGTTGACTGTCATCCGATGCCCTTTTAAAAAGTGTTGGGCGGCGGCTATTGGATTGTTTTTATTTTGATTGCGTATTTTGTGGTTTTATATTGTAATTTTATCCCTGAGACCTGTGGGCGTACGGGCAGTATACAAATTTAGTAAGTAAATAAATAAAAATAAAATAAAATCCTACTTTAAATATGACACCCTGCATAATTTTACATATCTCTGTTGTGTGTGTGTCTCTGCCTCCCTTCCACACGTACTTATCCTTTTTTTTCGTACGTAAAAAGTCACAAATGTTGTAGCCTTTCCTCATAAGGGAGTTTCTCCACCCTCAATCATTTCCGTCGCTCATTTCTGAACCATTTCCCCCAACTCTCCTTATACCCCCATTGAGGTGAAAGTTGCAAATAGTTTGACCCTTTACATCTTCCCTCATAGGTAGTGGAATGGCATCTGAAATGTTTTCCAGACCCTCTCCTCTTTGCATTGGGATGGAGGCTGTGGAGTCATCTCAGGTAGGAGGGATACTCTTTATTGATACATATATATATTTATTGATATATATACAGTGGTACCTCGGTTTTCAAGCATCTCAGAAGCCAAACATTTCGGTTTTCGAATGCCAAAAACCTGGAAGTGAATGCTTCCGTTTTCAAACGCGCCTCAGAAGTCGAACGGCTTCCGCTGCATTTCTCCCCCTCAAATTTCTCCTTTGACTTTGCCGACAGCCCATTGTGCCTCGGTTGTCGAACGTTTCGGAAGTTGAACAGTCTTCTGGTTTGGATTACGTTTGACAACAGAGGTACCACTGTACAGTTTTACCTTGGATCTCAAACAGCTTGGCTCCTGAATAAATCGGCTCCCAAACAATCAAAACCTGGAAGTGAGTATTCTGGTTTTTTAACGTTCTTTGGGACCCAAATGTCCAGTGGGGCTTCCATGGCTTCCGATTGGTTGCAGGAGCTTCCTCCAGCCAATAGGAAGCTGTGCTTTGGTTTCTGAACATTTTGGAAGTCAAACGGACTTCCGGAATGGATTCCCTTCGACTTCCAAGGTACGACTGTATATATTTATCCTGCTCTTCAGCCGAAAAAGGATAATAATAATAATAATATCTTTATTGTCATTGCCCCCTCTCGGGGACAACGAAATTACTTGGCTGCTCCATCCACCCAGGTAGGGCACTCCACACAAAATCAAAACAACTATAAAAACACTAATTAAAAGAATACAGTATAATACAGCAAGGAAGGTTCGATGACTTTCAAAGTCCAGGCTTCCCATTCAGGGCTGAGATCGCTCTGGAGAAGAAGCTCTTCTTAAGACGGCTCGTTCTTGTCTTCATCGTCCTGTATCTCCGTCCCGACGGCAGGAGCTCAAAGAGACAGTGACCAGGATGCGATGGATCTTTTACTATGTCCAGTGCCTTCCTATGGCACCTTGTGGCATAAATCTGCTCTAAGGTGGAGAGTGGGCAGCCAACAATGCTCTCTGCTGCCTTAACAACTCTGCACAGCCCCATCCTGTCCTGGGTAGTACAGCTTCCGTACCACACACATAAGCCATAAGTGAGCACGCTCTCAATGGCACAGTGATAGAAGGATCTCTGAGTAGCTTATAGATCCATGAAAACAATAAGGCTTTCCCCCTCAGGTTTGCAGTCTTAAAAATATTATTGATCATATTTTATATTTAAACTGCCCTTCAGCTGAAGTTTCCAAGCCAGTGTCCAAAAATCCCTTCAAATCATTAGTGAGGGAGAAGCACTTTTCACACCCTGCCTGTGAATATTGATGCGGAAAGGACATTTCTTTTTATTTTCCAGGGACCAGTGACTTTTGAGGAGGTGGCCCTCTATTTCACGGAGGAGGAATGGGCCCTGATGCAGCCCAGCCAGAGGACTCTGTACAGGGAGGTGATGCTGGAGATTCTTGGGATGGTGACCACCTTAGGTAAGTATCCCTTTGGCCTTTATTTAGAGATGCTGAAGGTATGAACTCCCCTCAGCAGTGCTTTTTGCCCAACAAAAAACATCCATCTCTGGGTGACATGTCTCGCCCTTACAGAAGCCATGCCAGTTCTGCATGAGCAAGGCTTGTTCTTCTGTATGCTTTGTAATGTTGGGCAGGATTCATCTCACAAGACCCATAAGATGAAGCCCTGTGCATGGACGTCTGCTTGTGCAACAGGGCTTCTGTGGTGGATGGTGACAGCCCGAAGGCGAGCACTCCTCCTGCGAGTACTCAGGTCTCTCCTTCTCTCAGACCTTAGTCTCTGCAGCTCGGAAGATGTCGGTGGGTTACCAGACCCAGGGGCCGCCTCAGCCTCTCCTGACCCAACAGGTAGTGGAGTAGCTGTAAGTGATGGCCCAGTTGGAGGCAACGAGGTAATCGCCACATCTGGAGCCAGGGCAGGCTCAGGCCCCTGACTCGGCCCAGCTGGTGCTTGTTGCAGGGGGACCTGTGCAGACTGGGGCTCTTCAGAATCAGCCCCCAGACTTAGGTTCAGATGCCGCCTGAGGCAAAGGATCCAGTGCAGACTGAGACTCCTCTGGTTCCGAGTCTGAGCCCGAGCCCCAGGCCATCACACCTTCCAACAGTGGAGACAGAGGGTTGCCTTCGTGGTCCACGGAGGCAGAGCCTAACCTTCATCCTGGGAAGCTGATAGACTTGTCCTCCTACAACAATCAGTTCTGCTTTTCCCTCGATCAGAGGGTTTATCCAGTTTTCTCCTTATATTCCAGCAGGTTACGTCTGGGAGAGTGAGAACGAGGGAGCAGAGTTGGGCGTGTCGTTGGAAACAGCCACGGGTCAGTACGGTGGGGAGAACTTGGAGGGTCAAGATGGAGCAAAGAAGCAGGAGGAGAAACAAACTCAGACGCAGGGGGAGAAATCTGCCGCTTTCCAGTATGGTGACAGCGCCCCAAAACAACACACAACGTGCAGAGGAAAGAAAAGGATTAAGTGTGCCGAGTGTGGAAGAGCCTTCAGTTGCCAGTCAGCATTTAATCTGCACCAGAGAACTCACACGGGAGAAAAGCCTTACAAGTGCCCACAATGCGGAAAGAGCTTCAACAGGCACGACAACCTTGCTTCACATCAGAGAATTCACACCGGAGAGAAACCGTACGCCTGCTCAGTTTGTGGGAAACGGTTCAGCCACAGTGCAAGCCTTACTTCTCATCAGAGAATCCACACAGGGGAGAAACCGTATAAATGCTTGGAGTGTGGCAAGAGCTTCAGCCGGTGCGACTCCCTTACCTCCCATCAGAGAATCCACGCGGAAGAGAAACCATATAAATGTGCCATCTGCGGAAGGAGCTTCCGTCAGAGCGCAAGCCTCACTTGTCACCAGAGAAACCACACCGGGGAGAAGCCATACAAATGCCTGGAGTGCGGAAAGAGCTTCAGCTGGGATAAGTCCCTTATTGCACATCAGAGAATTCACACGGGGGAGAAACCGTACAAATGCTTGGAGTGCGGAAAGAGATTTAGGTGGAGCCGGCTTTTTACTGCTCATCAACGCATTCATTCTGGAGAGAAACTATATCCGTGTGCAGACTTCGACGAAAGCTTCTGCCAGAACGCAAATCTTTCTTCCTATCAAAGAATCCATTCACTGGAAAAGCTGCGCAAGTGCTTCATGTGCGGAAAGAGCTTGAGTCAGAACAACTCCCAGATTTTGCATCAAGGCTTACACCCGGGAGAGGAACTGTACAGTTGCTCAGAGTGTGATGAGAGTCTATCTTGCAAATCGTATCTTGTTAACCGTCACATAATTAATGCTGGTGAGAAACAGTACGAGTGCGGAGGAAGTTGCGGCGCGAGCTCAGACCTTGCTTTCCATCAAATGGTTCACGCAAGGGAGAAATTGTATAAATGTCTGGAGTGTGGGAAGAAGTTTGGCCGGAGCGACCACCTTCGTAGACATCAGATTATCCACGCGAGGCAGGAGCAATAGATGGGCTCACGCGGGCGGAAAATGTTTGCTTTTGGAGCTCGCTTCTCCACACAACTCCATAGATTGCTAGTTGGGGGAATCTTGAGGAATGTCTGAGCTGTGGGGAAAGTATTGATGGAGCTCACCTCTCCTTACTGATAGAAGCCTCCAGAGGACATGAGCAGAATCATACAAACGCAAGAGGAATATAAGAAGCTGTATAATACTGAATTAGATCTTTGGCCCGTTTAGCTCATCAGTGCTGTCTGACAGAGGTTTTCCAGGCTTCAGGAAGGGTCCATCTCGGCCATCCCTGAAGAGATCATTGAGGGTTGAGCTTGATAGATGCTCAACCACACAAGAACACAAGAAGCTGCTTTATTTTGAGCCACACCTTTGGCCTATCTAGCTCAGTATTGCCTACACTGTCTGTCAGCTGTTCTCTGGGGTTTCAGGCAGGGGTCTTGATGCTGAGGATTGGACCTACTTCTGCGCACCCTATATAGCTCTACCACTGAGCTTTGGCCCTGTGAAACGCCTGCTTTTATATATGTATCATCATGTCTCTTCCAACAAGAACCTCAAATGAACTTCAGCTGGCCTGGATGTGAGGAGCAGGGCCTTGTTTGCGGTGGTACCACCGCATCACCTGACCATTAAGAAATCTATACAGCTTCAGGGGACAACCCCCCCCCCATGTTTTTCCTTCATTATTGTTTTTTTGTTTTTTTTTAAGGTTCCTGATAGTTCTCTGCCGCTTTTTTAAAAAGCTGTTTTTAATTTTTAGTTAGGCTTTTAACTTTTTTTCTCAATTTGGTTTCGCTTTAATGGATTTAGGACTGTTGGCATAATAAAGTCACCAAGAAAGCAGTTCAGACAAGTTGATATCTTAAGCGACGCAGTGTGCAAACTTGTTAAAATATTATTTGCAGTTCTATGCCTCTCCCTCCCACCCTGTAAAAACCCCACCACCACCACCGGAAGGCCAGGCCAGCAGAACACCACAAATAAAAATATATAATAAGCACTAAAGGTAAAGGTAAAGGGACCCCTGACCATTAGGTCCAGTCGTGGCCAACTCTGGGGTTGCAGCGCTCCTCTCGCTTTACTGGCCAAGGGAGCCGGCGTACAGCTTCCAGGTCATGTGGCTAGCATGACTAAGCCGCTTCTGGCGAACCAGAGCAGCGCATGGAAATGCCGTTTACTATCCTGCCAGAGTGGTACCTATTTATCTACTTGCATTTTGATGTGCTTTCGAATTGCTAGGTTGGCAGGAGCAGGGACCGAACAATGGGAGCTCACTGTCTGATCGGCAAGTTCTAGGCTCTGTGGTTTAACCCACAACACCACCTGCGTCCCATAATAAGCACTAAGTAGAGCTAAAAACATTTATAAGGAGCCAGATATCCTCACGGCTAATAATTTCAGGGAACAGTTTCTTTCAGCCATCAAGTGCCTGGGAGAACAGGAGAGTCTATAAAATGCTCCTAAATGTTGTTGACTTGATTTCTTACCTGCTTTTTCCCATATTGAGATCGTAGGATGAGCCCGCAGGATCAGTCCAATGGCCCATCTGGTCCAGTTTCCTGTTCCCACAGTGGCCAGCAAAACCCACAAGTGGGATTTGTCCACAGGAGCCCACCCCCTTCTGCGATTTCCAGCGATTGGTATTCAGAAGGACTAATCCTAATCCTTTTAAAGCCCAATGCGGCCTAGGACTCACCTACGGGACCGCCTCTCCTGGTATGCCCCGCAGAGGACCTTAAGGTCCACAAATGACAAAATTTTGGAGGTCCCTGGTCTCAACTAGGGCCAGGGCCTTTTCAGTACTAGCCCCGACGTGGTGGAACGCTCTGTCAGAAGAGACTAGGGCCCTGCGGGACTTGACATCTTTCTGCAGGGCCTGCAAGACAGAGCTGTTCCACCAGGCCTTTGGCTTGGACTCAGTCTGACTCTTATGTTTCTCTCCCCTTATGGTTTTGATCTATGGCCTACTATTAAAATGAGGCTGCATTTTAAATTGCATTTTAACCTGTATTTTAAATTGCTCCCCCCCCCATTATGTTTTTTACTCTGAGTTTATTGGTGTTAGCTGCCCTGAGCCCAGCGCTGGCCGGGTAGGGCGGGATATAAATGAAATTTATTATTATTATTAAATTATTTATTTGGTTTTTTCAAGTTAAAATTTTACAGTCACATATTGAACATACAACATAAAAACAAGATTCCAAGGAATCTCTTGGGACTTCCCACCTCCCCTTTGTGGGTCCTATTGTTAATCTTTCCTCCTGCATCTTTTATAGTAATACAAATCTTTTACATCTCTATTGTGTCCAATATTCATCATTAAGCTACAAGTGATATTCCAACCCTACTAACGATTTTAACTGTTTACAATGGTTTTTAAGGTAAGTCATAAATTTTCCCCGTTCCTTATTAACAATTTTGGTCTTCCCGATTTCTGATTCTTCCGGTCATTCTGGCCATTTCGGCATAATCCGTCAACTTGATCTGCCATTCTTCTCTGGTAGGGACTTCGTCTTCTTTCCATCTCTGGGCTGATAACATCCGTGCAGACTATTTATGTATGCAAGCTAGGGATTATTTGTGCAGGGATTGTGGGCCTTGCGTTTTGTTTTGGATTTATTTATTATTTTATTTAATGAAACGTACAGAATGCTCGATTATCGTGAAAACCTCAAACGGTTTACAAAACAAAAATAGAATTATTAATCAAAAAACTGTCAAAAGCCATCAAAAATTACTAAAGTAATAATTAAAGTAAAACATCAGGGGCGGCGGGAGCATCCGTAAACTGCATGGTCACTGAGCTGTTTGTGGGAAGTTACTGTTTGTGTGTGGAGAAGCTAGACTTCCGTACAAAGGTGAAATTTACACTTATTGTGCCTCACGCTGTTGCTTCTTTCCCTGCCCACCACTTGCATATTCCCCACTTCCCAAAAAGATGTCCAGGAGATTATGTGGCTGAGAAAAGTTCCTCACTCTAGTACAGAGGATAATTCTGGAACAGTCTCACTGTTGACGCCATTTTTATTCGTTTTTGTAACTGTATATGTTACTGCAACCCATTCTGGGACCTTACGGTAAAGGGCAGATAAGAAATCTTAACACCCGTATCCCTTCCGTCAATCATAATTTAAGGAACTTGGAGGCGCAACTATCGTACCATGAAGGGAAAATGCTGAGGTAAAAAAATATACCAACTGTGAATATAAGAAGCAGGACGGTTCGGACGAAAAGAGTAATTTCTTTTATTGAACCATTTCTTTTATTAAAAAATCTTCTTTAAAACAACCGGGGGCGGTGACAGAAAGGTGCTTATTATTTATAAATCAGGGAACCTATGCTTTTGTTGCACAAAACACAGAATATAAATGGGTTCAGGTGTGCGCTAAAATTAGAGTTGTTAGAAAAATGCATAATATATATAGAGACAGAGATCTATTTTTTTTCAAAAAGAAATCCTTCACTCTGGCTTATTTCATCTGAATGCAGCTGCGCTCATTAGGCTATTAAAAACCCCAGTAAAGAACATGCACTTGGAACAGGGGCGGCAAACAGTTACTGTCCGCAGGGCCGCATTCAGCCTTGGCTAGGCATCCGGGGGCCACAGACCAACGCCACCTGCCTCTCAACCGCGCACCACACAAGCCCCTCAGGCGACCAGTGCCAATCGGGCTGAGGAGGAAGGTTATATCTCCCCGCACTTCGGTAGAATTCATTTTGGTTTCGGTGCCGAAAAGCAATCTCAGGCTGCCAAACGGCTCAGCCAACTTCCGTGTGAGACGCCAAGGGCATTTTGCCAAAGCTCTCTTCCCCAAAACGTCTAACGCGACTGGATACCTTGGGTAAACCGCAAGCGGGGAGCAGTGCAGCTTGCTGGTTTGAGCCAGAGGTGAGGGGCCAGCAGTCTGATCCTCGGTCCCATTAACCCGCCTCCCAGTGGCTCCATGCACGGCGAATCCATTGCTGCAGGTCGGTTGCAACTGGGAGATTTGGAAGGGTTTTTTTTAACATCCCACCCCTACTCTGCAACCCACACCCTGACAAAAACGCTCAGGCTGGAGGAACGGGGGGAGACTCTTCGTTTCTGCCATGAGTTCAAGCCTCATTGCTCTGCAGTAGAGTAAAGATTGCATCCTGAAAACTGCGGCTCAAGAGATCGCCACCCACAAGCAGTCCAGCTTAGGGGGACAGATCTAATTTCCCTGTGTTTCTGTATCAATGGGGGGCAGATGCGTGAGAGGTGACACCAGCCTGTTATTATTTTTCTGCGTCGGCTCTGCCCCTTTTGCACCGGCTCCCCCCACCTCTGGCATGCAGGCCCCGGGGGCTGGGGAAGGTTAAGCCACAAGGGAGGCTCGAAAAGGGTCGTCCACACCTGGCCTTTTAGCCACAGCTACCCTTGGCAGTCTGGAATGTACACCGATTCCTTGGCGGGGCTCGATGTTTCCGGAGACGCCCTCTCCAGCGAGCCGGGGAAATGGGTGCTCTGAGAAGGGGCGCTTTCTCCGTTGCAAAGCACCGGCGACACGCAGCCCGAGGGCGAGTTTAGAGAGGAGAAGCTGTCTGCGAACCCGGGGGCCGGGCTTTGGTCAGGCCTGAGCAGGGCCTCTCCGATTTTATTCAGGCCAGAGACAAGGCTCTGCAAGATGGTGCCGAGATTGTCAATGGAGTTCAGGAAGGCTTTCCTCTCCTCCTTGATCTGCGCGTCCTCCTCTTTCATGAGCTGGACGTACTCCGAGAAAACCTTGCTGTCTTTCTCCATGGCAGACAGGAGCCGGGCGTTCTCCATGGAGGAGTGCTTCATCAGCCGCTCGATCATGTCGCTCTCGCCTTTTCGCTTCTTCTTGGTCCTCAGGATCGCCATGCAAGTGTCAGGGGACAGGGCAGGAGCCGGGCGGTTCGGGGCGGCAGCGTCTGGAAGGGGAACAAAGAGGAGAGCCTTAAGGGGACGCAGAGACCCGCCTATATGATGAAAGGTGGTAACAGTCGGGGGCTTTTAAAGGCCAGGAGACACGGTGCAGGTGTGTAAAAATTATACGAGGCATGGAGAAAGAAAGCTTCTCTCGCCATACCAGAATTTAGGCGCATCCATTGAAGGTTCAGGACAGACATAAGTACTTGCAAGAGGCAACTTGGGCATAAGTTAGTCATGTCCATTAATTCCAACAGATCTGAAACCTTGTAGTTCGCTAGGCTGCTGAGAGATGCTCAGGGACCCCTTATTTCCCTTGCAGACCTACAGTTCGCAAAGTGGCTTAACTATCAATCCCTCTCAACCTTTTAATGTATAAATCCAAATCAAATACCGTATTTTTCTGTGTATAAGAAAACCCCTATTTTCTTAAACCCCAAATTAAGAAACTAAGTTGTTTAGCTTTTTTGGGGTAGGGTGGGGGAGGTCACTTCCGCCAATCGCTCACCTGCCTGCCCGATCACTTGCTACAGCCACTGCCGATCGCACACCTTGCCGTAGCCGCCAATTGCCTGCCTAATTGTCACCGCCACCGCTAATCGCCAGCAGGCCTTGCCGCAGCCACCAATCACCCGCCCAATCATCACTGCCAATCTGCTTGCTGCTGCCATTAATCGCACATCCCCCCTCTGCATTCACGATCCATGTATAAGACGACACCCAATTTTTGCCTTTTTTATATAGCGAAAAGCATCGTCTTATACACGGAAGAATACGGTAAGTGTTGGAAATGTAAAGATAAAGAAGGTTCTTTTTATCATATGTGGTGGTCTTGCAGCAAGGTTAAGGCTTACTGGGTGATATACAATAAAATAAAAAGGATGTTCAAAATAACCTTTGTAAAAAAAAAAAACCAGAAGCTTTTCTTTTGGGAATTATAGGGACAGAACTACCTAAATTGTATAGAAACTTATTCATGTATGCGACTAGAGCAGCAAGAATGCTACTCGTCAAAAAATGGAAAGAAGCAGAAGTCCCAGCAAAGGAAGAATGGATACAAACACTTATGGAATATGCAGAAATAGAGAAACTTACTGGAAAAATAAGAAATCAAGATGGTTTATTGAATATTTACAGATAAATTGTAAACGGATAAAAAAACTGGCAGGATTATGTAACTTGCAGTTACATAAGATTATATATTTAAAGAATACAAATAAATGGGTAAGTTAAGTGAATTTGGATATGCAAAAGATAATAAAAATAAATTTAAGGAACCACAGAAAGAGGGGGGAAGAAGTCAAGTTTTAAAATGTTAAAATGATTGTAAAATCAGTGAAATGTACATATCTGAAAAGTATAAATAATTTAAAAAACACAAAAACTGTCCCTCTCCATAGGAAACACTGGGAATGGTTGCTCTGTGAAGGGGATAGTGGCCTCTCCGAAGAACTCTCAGCACCCTTAGCAGCAGTTCCCAGATTGCTTTGGGGGTAGCCATGGTTGTTTGAAGTGGCATAATACTGCTTTAAATGCACAGATGGGGCCTTAGACTCACAATACGGAAGGCCCAGCTCCGAGTGGGATATGAGCTGTGTGTGAGAGAGACAGCCCCAAAAACCTCGGTGATCAGGCAGAGAAATAAGACCTCAGGCACTCCCTAAGGCACACGTAAACTGTTTATAAACTGCACTTTCAAAACCATGCACATGCCTCTATTTAAAACAAATTGGTTCACAACATAGAAAATAATAATAATACAACATCAACAGAAATTGGTTGGTTTGGGGTGCGAAAAAGTTCCAAACAAAATTGCTGTCTAAAAGACATCTAAAAGAAAGCAGGTGTGGTTCCTGCTGAACTTCCATTAGCAAGGAGTTCCATAGGCAAATGCCTTCCACACCAAAGGCTCGGTCAGCTGAACCGATCTTGGCTGCCCTGGTTGTATCCTGGATCGAAGTTGTTAAGAGCCTTGCAAACTAATACAAGATCCTTGAGCCCGATAGAACAAAGCAGCCAGTACAAGCTTTGGAAACATCCAAGTTAGGTGCCGGTTGTACTGCAAAACCTCGGTTCCCCAACGCCTCCGTTATCATACTGTTTGGCCCCCAAATGCCGAAAACCTGAAAGTAAATGCTCCAGTTGTCGAACGATTTTCGGAAGCCGAACGTGCTGCACAGCTTCCATTTTGAGTTTCCCTATTGTATTGAGGCTTCCGTTTTCAGTTTTCGGTTGTCGAACGTTTCGGAAACTGACCGGTCTTCCAGAACGGATTATGTTCAACAACCGAGGTTTGACTGTAGCTTGTTCCCACCTACAGTCCAGCTGCAGCATTCTGCACCAAGGATTATTGTTGTTTAGTCGTTTAGTCGTGTCCGACTCTTCGTGACCCCATGGACCAGAGCACGCCAGGCACTCCGGTCTTCCACTGCCTCCAAGAGTCTCCTCCAGCACCATAATTCAAAAGCATCCATTCTTCGGCGATCAGCCTTCTTTGTGGTCCAGCTCTCACTTCCGTACATCACTACTGGGAAAACCAGAGCTTTAACTATACGGACCTTTGTTGGCAAGGTGATGTCTCTGCTTTTTAAGATGCTGTCTAGGTTTGTCATTGCTTTTCTCCCAAGAAGATCCCCTTCATGGATCACTGCCTTGCCGTGGCGAAGGGGCTTGAATAACTCAGAGAAGCTATGAGCTATGCCCTGCAGGGCCACCCAAGATGGACAGGTCATACTGGAGAGTTTTGACCAAGCGGGATCTACCTGGAGCAGGAACCAGCAAGCCACTCCAGTATCCCTGCCAAGAAAACTCCATGGACAAAGACAACAGGCACCAAGTATAGTCCCACAATAATCGAGTGTAGAAAATACCAATGATCTTGAAACCCATACCTTGTTCCTTCTCCACCTCTGTGTCTGCCTGGTCGGGTTCCATTTCCACCCCTATTCCGCTGGAGGCTGCATCTATTAAACGGGAAAGGCAGTCTGTTTGGGGGCGGACGGGTGGGGAATGAATTAACTGACGGACACTCTCTCACCCACAGCTGAGTGGATGCAGCCCAAGCAGCTACTCGCTTGACATTTATTGATGCCAACAGCACTCACCAGAGCGATCTCCAACGATGCACGTCTCAATGCTTTCTTCTATGGCCTTTTCTTCGCTATGACCATCTCCTAGGGAGAAATAATAATTTTTTAGAAAAGAAAATCGGGCAAAATTAAGTTAAAGCATATAGAAACAGGGTTGGGGAGCTGTAGCTCTCGAGATATTGTAGCTCCCATTATCTGCAACCGCTGGCCATGCTTTGCACAGAATCACAGAGCTGGAAGGGACCCTGAGGGTCATCTAGTCCAACCCCCGCAATGCAGGAATCTTTTTGCCCAACGTGGGGCTCAAACCCAAGACCCTGAGATGAAGAGTCTGATGCTCTGCCAGCTGAGCTATCCCTTGGCTGGGGCTGTTGGGATCTGAATAAATAAACGCTCTTCTCTAAATGTGAGGCATGATTCACTCAGACCATGCGAGAAGTTTAATTCTGAAGAGCATACTGACAGGAGCGGGCCAGCAGTAAACCACACCTAGCAAGTGCAGTTAACTCTTTATTAGTAAAAAAACAGGATCAGCACAGGAGTGTCAGGCCTAATGAGGACAGCAAGTCATCTCTGGCAAGTCTGGCTCCCGTGAGGCAGTTGCAGACAGCTGGATCTGTACAGTGGTACCTCGGGTTACAGATGCTTCAGGTTACAGACTCCGCTAACCCAGAAATAGTACCTCAGGTTAAGAACTTTGCTTCAGGATGAGAACAGAAATCGTGCGGCGGCAGCGGGATGCTCCATTAGCTAAAGTGGTACCTCAAGTTAAGAACCGTTTCAGGTTAAGAACGGACCTCCAGAACGAATCACCGTATTTTTTGCTCCATAAGACGCACCTGGTTTTTAGAGGGGGAATGCAAGAAAAAAAATTTTTTTAAAGGGAGCACTGAGCAGAGCCTGTACGCATTCCACACTCTGCTCAGCGCTCCCTTAAAAATTTTTTTTTTCTTGCATTCCCCCTCTAAAAGCCAGTCAGTCCCTTCTCCCTCCTCGGGGAAAAGCCCCCAAGAGCCACTTGGAGTGTGTGTGCGACTTTTGGGGGCTTTTCCCACCTGCCTCCCGCCTGCATTCGCTCCATAAGACGCACACACATTTTCCCTTCTTTTTAGGAGGGAAAAGGTGCGTCTTATGGAGCGAAAAATACGGTAAGTCCTTAACCCAAGGTACCCCTGTCTAAGGCAGCTCCCCACATTCCTTTGTCCCTAATAAGACGAATTCTGCCCACCAGGTACAAGAACTTGCTTCACCATGTACTCCTCTGCACTTCCTGCTTGCGCATCCTGGGCACAAAGTTCCACGGCGCGCTCGGGAGCGGCAGCCTCCTTGGCGAGCGGCGCCGAAGCTCTTGTCTTTTTTTTAATGTTCCTGGGGATGCGCTTGGGCCGGACGGCCGCGTCCCCGTTGTGGAGGATGCTGTGCAGCTTTGCGTAGTAGGGGCAGGTGGCCGTGTGCTTCCCCGTCCGGGAGTTGTGGTTCACGACCCGCTGGTACTCCAGCCTCATGCACTTGGTCTTGGAGCGGCACTCCACGGCGTTGCGCCGGTGGCCGCGGCAGGCCATCTTGCGGGCGATGATCTCAAAGGCCTCGATGTTGCGGTGACTGGCACGCAGCTGCTCCTGGATCTTCGGCTCCCCCCAAATGTCCAAGAGGTCCAAGATTTCCTGGTGCCTCCAGGAGACGCCTCGCCCTTTCCGGCCGCTGCTCGAGAGGGACATGCCTTCGGGGAAACCGGGGTCGGAGGCGCGGCTCAGCAGGTGCGCTTGGGTTACAAGGAAGGAAGGGAGAAGAAAGACAGAATATATTACAATTACCGTATTTTTCGCTCTATAGGACGCACCCGAGCATAGGACGCACCTAGTTTTTAAGAGGAGGAAAACAAGAAAAAAAATATTCTGAATCAAATGTTGTATAAACTACTGTATTTAATAAACAACCAGTATCTCAGAATCATATTACAGCCATGTAAAGTGAACAGCAGTCAACAATGGCATTAAGAACCACCATCACTGTCATTAACAAATGAAGAGAAACTTTAAGGTACTCGTCTAGTCTTCTGTCAACCCCAAGAACTCATCCCTGCTAGAGTCATAATTTATGAAGCTCAGTTGCTCACAATCACTGACATCACTTTCTTCGCTATCTTCATGTAAAATACTTTCCTTTCCTTCTCCCCACTTTTTTCTCCGCCTCCCCAAGCAGCAGAGTCCCCTTTCCCAGCCTCCTCCTCTCCATCCCTTTCGCCCAAACTCCTCAGGTGACGCCTGCAATTTCTCCCCTTCGCTGCTCCCTCCTTTGCCCTCTACCATGACTCTCCACTCACGGCAACCTATGGTACCTCCTCTCCCTTCACCCAGCTTCTTGGTCCCCCTCTTCTCCGTCCTCTTCCTCCCCTCTCTCAGCGAACAGCCTGCCCACTGCTCCAAACCTTGAGGGGAAAGGGCAGGCTGCTGGCAGAGCAGCACCCCCCACCCCCATTCAGCAGCCCAGGAGTGTGGGGCTTGGGTGCACAGCCTTCCCGCTGCTCCAAAGCTTCCTGGGGCTGCAGGGGGAAGCCGAGGCTGCCGGCAGAGGAGCGCAGCTCCCCCACCACCACCACCAAAGAGCGGCCCAAGAGCGTGCCGTACTCCAGCAATTTGTCTCCAGGGACCACACATTCGCTCCATAGGACGCACAGACATTCCCCCTTACTTTTTAAGAGGAAAAAAGTGCATCTTATGGAGCGAAAAATACGGTACTTGCAAATTCAAATGTATCTCTATCGTGTTTTATGACTTCCTCGATATTGTATGTGGGCTGGAACTGGTCTGTGACCGAAATAATAAAATTCACCTCATAGACATAATATATTAAAGAACAGGAAGAAACATCATGGACAGAATAATTACCACACGCAAGAAGAACAAAGAGTTTGAATGCTTCACCTGTAGGACTGTAAATCATTTGATGTGCTAATGTGAGTGGAAGTCGTTAAAATTGCAGTTGAGGTACAAGGGTGTGTTATTCTGACGAGTGTTAAAAAAAATTGTAAGATTTTGGAACGCGGAAATAAAGTAAATCATCAAACCATCAATTCTAGCATGCGGGGGCCCACCTAAATTATATAATTTGGCTTTTGAACGATTGGCATTATTAATGGTATTATAATTTGGCATTGTTATAATGAGGCTTTTACTCAATTATTGTAACTGAAATCTAATAAAAATTATTCCCCCCCCCCCCAAAAAAAACCAAGGAAATTGTGTTACGCAAATCTGCAGTGTGATCGTTAACACCAGAGTTTGTGGACATACAACAGAAAAATTTTAGTGACTTGATATTAATTGAATACTCATTGGAATAATAACATTACTCCATCTTGTAATGTATAACAATTTTAAGTACTTTTCCACTTTTTTTCTTTATTTAACCATGGCAAAATGTTCCTATCTGTCTGTTTGTCTGTCTGTCTATCCCACCCTTATCCTGAAGAAGCTAGCCATAATTCCTTTATGTGTATCTCTGTGTGTGTGTGTGTAAATTTTTAATTAATTTTTCTGTTTTAAAATTTAAAGTACTCATTTTTGCATCCTTAAGATACCAATGACTTCCCTTCTTCTCTTTCCATGGTTCATTTTACCTATATTATATCCCTGCATATTTTACTAAAGCTGTATCAATCATTTTCCATTATTACATCCATCAAAACTTATTTACACTGTTGAATTTATCTTAATGCTGCCAGTGTTTTCAGTGTTTATATTTAATAAACATTTCTCAATCTTCTCTAAATGTATGTTCTTCTTGTTCTCCTATTCTATATGTTAAGTCTGCAAGCTGTGCGTATTCCATCAACTTATGTTGCCACTTTTCTTTGGCTGGGACCTCGCTCGTTTTCCCACCCTTATCCTGAAGGAGCTCGACATAATTCCTGTGTGCCCCCATAATTCCATCCTTATGCTGAATGTACTTGCTATCCTGTTTAGGGAAGTTTTTACTATTTAATGCTGTATTGTTTTTAACAGTTGATTGGGAGCCGCCCAGAGTGGCTGGGAAAACTCAGCCAGATGGGCAGGGTATAAATAAGAAATAATAAGAAATAATAATAATAATAATAATAATAATAATAATAATAATTACTATCCGGTCCACCCCAGTGTTGTGGCGGCAACTGGGACTCACCTTCCTCACCGGCCTCACTGGGGAAAGAAATATTCTCTTGGCATCTTTCTGGCAGAGCCTCATACTCTTCCTTGATCACGGGAGCTTCGTCCGGGAAGCTCTCCACCTTGATCTTCTTCAGAGATCTGGCACCTTTGGGATCCAGATATGGAGGGAAGGAGAGAAAGAGGAGAGAGAGAAATACCTGAAAACTCAGTTCTATTTCCAGAAAGGCAGAAACACTAACAAACAGGTTAAAAAAAGGTAACTACTTGCTGGATTGACAAAAGCAGCATCAAATATCCACAAATCCCTGCAAACAGACAGGAGTCTTCTGCTTCCATCAAAGCTCTTACAGGGAAAAGGTGAACTTTTACATTAATGTAAAATATTAATATAAATAACACACACACAATATGTAAGCAAATATATTTTAAATACCTTATTTTTAGATTTAGTATTTGCAAAAAATAAAATAAAAAATGCTGTATTGTAACGATGTTGCATTTTAGGAATTTTGATATATTTTCGTGTTTTGCATCCAGTTGGTTTTTGTGATTCTTTCACCTAAATATAAACAGTTTAGCGGTGTTTATTTACGTTAGGTAAAATGTGGAATTATGAGTATCATTACTAGAAATCTTTAATTATCATACACAGAACGTGGAATTGTGACTATTAATTAGCAATAATAGTCATTTTACATATAATTATTTAATTGTGTCAATTGAGCCAATTGGCGCGGGGGGGGGGGCATGGGAGGGGACCGTCCCATTCTGCGAGCAAAAGTCCCTGTTATGAGTTTCCACTATCGGGACTTGTGAGTTGAATCCTGCCCTGTATTTCTTATATTGAGTCCTTTTTGCTGGGATCCGTTAAGGCGCCCAAAGATTTCAGGTTGAGATACGAAGCAAGTATGTTATTGCCATCGCTATTATTTCTTGTTGGCTTAAAGTGGCACGATGCTGATTTAAGTGCCAGGGGCTGGCGTGGCCTCAGAGACACACCCACCTGTGGATCTGATCTCTTCCATGGAGCCTTTGGCAAAGAGGTCTTTTCTGTCTTCTTCCAGCCAGGAGATGAGGTCAGGTCTGGAGCTCACATGTCCATCTTGAAATAGAGACGCAGTAATGTCAGGGTCTGGACTGAGGAAGAGTGGTGGGAGCCCCCCCCCCCCCTTTCCTGAACCTTCCCAAGGGCAGGAGGACAGTATTGATTTAGAACAGTGGTTTGCAGAAGGGCATAGTCCAGAGGGGAAAAGCTGGGAAATACTGGGTGAGGAGCAGCTAGAAAAGGAAACACCAGGAGAGAGACAGCTGGCAGATTCAGTGTCCTTGGAAAGCATTCCTGACCCCCCTTCGCCTAAGACTAGACAGGCTTTGAGAGTGATAGAGCAGAGAGCACAGTGGGAACAAGCTCAGATTACCCAGTGTAGGAGTGAGATACAGTGGTACCTCTGGATGCGAACGGGATCCATTCCGAAGCCCCGTTCACATCCTGAAGTGAACGCAACCCACGTCTGCATATGCGCGTGACGTCATTTTGAGTGGTGAAACCCGGAAGTAGCACATTCCATTACTTCCAGGTTGCCACGGAGCGTAACCTGAAAACGCTCAACCTGAAGCATATTTAACCCGAGGTATGACTGTACAGAGGGACGCGGGTGGCGCTGTCGGTTAAATCACAGAGCCTAGGGCTTGCTGATCAGAAGGTCAGTGGTTTGAATCCCTGTGACGGGGTGAGCTCCCGTTGCTCAGTCCCTGCTCCTGCCCACCTAGCAGTTCAAAAGCACGTCAAAGTGCAAGTAGATAAATAGGTACCACTCCGGCGGGAAGGTAAACGGCGTTTCCGTGCACTGCTCTGGTTCGCCAGAAGTGGCTTAGTCATGCTGGCCACATGACCCGGAAGCTGGACGCCGGGTCCCTCGGCCAATAAAGCGAAATGAGCGCCGCAACCCAGAGTCATCCGTGACTGGACCTAATGGTCAGGGGTTCCTTTACCTTTTTATGACTGTACAAGGTTTCCCCAGCCACTCTGGGCGGCTCCCAACAGCATATTAAAAACAGGATAAAACATCAAACATTAAAAACTTCCCTTAACAGGCCTGCCTTCAGATGTCTTCTAAAAGTCAGATACAGTGGAATCTTGGATTGCGAACGTGATCCGTGCAGGAGGCACGTTCGCAACCCGCAGTGCAACCGAAACCCGGAAGTAACCCATTCCAGTACTTCCAGGTTCGGCGCGGTGCGCAACCCGAAAATGCACAACCTAAAGCATCTGTAACCCGAGGCACCACTGTAGTTGTTATTTCCTTGACATCTGATGGGAGGGCGTTCCACAGGGTGGGCGCCACTACCGAGAAGGCCCGAGAAGGTTAAGGTAGCTGGGTATGTTTAGCCTGGAAGATAAGGGACTGAGAGGAGATGTGATAGCTATCTTTAAATATCTCAAGGGTTGCCACATGGAAGATGGAGCAAGCTTGTTTTTTCCTGCTCCGAAGGGTAAGATTCAAACAAGCTGCTTCAAGTTGCAAGGAAAGAGATTCCGACTAAACTTCAGGAAGAACTTATTGACAGTGAGAGCTGTTCAACAGTGGAACGGCTTCCCTTCAGAGGTTGTGGACTCTCCTTCCTTGCAGGTTTTAAAGCAGAGGTTGGGTGGCCGTCTGTCATGGATGCGTTAGCTGAGATTCCTGCATTGCAGGGGGTTGGACTAGATGACCCTTGGGGTCCCTTCATAGCTGTCAATGTTTCCCTTTTTTTAAGGGAAATTCCCTTATTTCGAATAGGATTCCTCACAAGAAAAGAGAAAAGTTGACAGCTATGGGTCCCTTCCAACTCTACAATTCTATGATTCTGTGAACAGGATGTTGGACTAGCAAGGCTGTGAGGCCGGACACAGCAGGACCTTAGTATCCTGGCTACGGGGGAAAGGGATCCTCACCCAGAGAGGTCACCAAGTCATGAATCTCCAGCATGACCTCTGGTTCAGATCCAGCAGGCCCCACTTCTCCTTGGTGAGGTGCACGGCTGCCTTTTCTTCCACCAGCCCCTGGAAGAAAAAGAAGAAGAAAACCGTTTCCTTCCACGCTGCGGGCAGGGACTGAAAACCATCTCCTTCTCCCTCAGAAATGGAAAGCAGGTGTGGTAAGCCGAGCAGTTTCACATGCAGAGTTTGAAACTGATGTTCAGATCATAGCTGTCAACTTTTCCCTTTTCTTGCGAGGAATCCTATTCGGAATAAGGGAATTTCCCTTTAAAAAAGGGAAAAGTTGACAGCTATGGTTCAGATAAGTTCAGAGGACCCCACAAACTTATATAACACAAGAACCTGCCTTGTACAAAGGGCTTCATTAAAAACCCTGAGAGGAAGGGAAAGATTATGGTGGGCCCCGTATACAATACAAAATAAAACCAACACTAAATCATAAAATATGATTTTAAAACAAAGTAGATTTATAGCAGCACATGGCAGAATCTGATCTCCTCGCATTATTTCAGTTTACATTAGTAGGAGGTCTCCTGGTTTAGGTGGGGCTAAGCACTGAAAAGAGAAAAACGAGGGAAGTAGTGTTGGGAGCTAAAGAAATATAAGCTAGGCACCAAACCACACTTTAAATCTAGGTTATATTTGCCCCAGTGGAACGTCCCTCAGGATCCCTTCCAACGCCACAATTCTCTCAGCTACAACTCGCTCTTACAACAGTTCACTCGTCCCAGTATGCAAGAAACACACACGGGGAAATGGAAATGGAATTAACTACGGAAGCTTTTAAACTGTGTTCACCAACTTGGGGCCCAGAAATCTCCAGTTGGGCCCACGCCAGGAGCAAAACACGCCTGGGGAATTTCGAACACCGGGGTGGGGGTGGGGAATGAAGTGTAAGGATATCTAACAGGTTCTGGTGTTTTTCCGTTAAGACAACTTTGATGTGTTTTCTTTCAAGTCGATTTCTTCTTTACAAAAAAATCTCTTTCTTTCCCTGCAGGGCCCTCGACATGTGCTGATCCTGCCTATTGTGCAATCCAGCCCTGCTTACGCAGCGCCAGCCCACTGGTCCATGTGGCTCACTGCTGCCTGCACTGAGTGTTACGAGATGGACCGCTGTGACCTACAAGGCAATTACACAAATGTAATGAAAATGCTTGTGCTTACTAGCAACAATCCAAAATAAACAGAGGTTAAAGCCCAGATCCACACACATCTTTGCAATTAAGCGTCTCCTTCTTGCACAGACCTTCTGCGTGCAACGCAGAGGCTCTACCACTGAGCTGCGACGCCTTCTCTTAAATAAAAAGTAAAATTCTAGTCCTCCTGGTTTAAACAATGTTCTGTTTAAATAGGAACTTATACCTTTGGTCCATATAGCTCAGTATTGTCTACACTGACTGGCAGAGGCTCTCCCTGGTTGCAGGCAGGGGGTATTCCCAGGACAACCGGAGATACTGGGGACTGAACTTGAGACCTTCTGAACGCCAAGCAGGTGCTCTAGCACTGAGCTACGCTCCTTCCTCAAATACAAGTCTGCATCAAGCCAATCCAAATGCTGTACCTACGAAAGTCCTGAGGTCTGTAAGCTCTCTATAAACTGTGCCAAATGGCATCATCATCTCTCTCACTTTGCACATTTTATTCTGATATTTTATCATCTTTGCACAATTTGGGCTTCCTTAGTCATGGGAGATGGGAGTGAAGAAAACGTGAAAGCTGTGAAATATCTATCACCTTCCTGTCATTGGAAATCTCAATTCAGCCAACACGCCATCTGGGTTCTGAGATTCCTCCTAAACATTTCATTTTTAAAAATAACTTTTATTAAGGTTTATAGTTTTTTAAAATACATTTTATTAAGGTTTATAGATACATCCTGTGCCCTTTTAAAATGTGGCTCTTTTTGAGGGGGGTGTTATTGGGTTGTTGTTTTTATTCTGATTATATATATTGTGGTTTTTATGTTGATGTTTAAAAAGTGTCTAAATATGACTAAATACCGTATTTTTCACTCTATAAGACGCACCAGACCACAAGACGCACCTAGTTTTTGGAGGAGGAAAACAAGAAAAAAAATATTCTGAATCTCAGAAGCCAGAACAGCAAGAGGGATCACTACGCAGTGAAAGCTTGCTGTTCTGGCTTCTGGGATAGCTGCGCAGCCGGTATTCGCTCCATAAGACGCACACACATTTCCCCTTACTTTTTAGGAGGGGAACAGTGAGTCTTATAGAGCAAAAAATACGGTATATTGCACAAATATGTCATTATTCATCTTTCCCATATTTTTCTTTTTCTCGTTGTATTTATTAAGTTTTATAAGCAAACATAACACAGCGATTAAAGATTATGGATATGTTACTTCCCTTCTTTGATTAAAATTATTAATATCTTCAGATTGTTGTTTGGGATTTCTCCAGTTCTGACAGATTAGCATTCTAGCTGCCATTGTAAATTGAGCAACCATTTCCAGGTCTTTCTCATATGTTAGGCCTCTAAGATATCCAAATGAAATTACTAAAGGGGCCCTTGGAAGATCGTATCTGAGGATTCAAATTCTCCTTCATTTCTATTAAGGCAGCTTTCAAAAAGTTCTGCATTTGTCGGGTGCTCACGCATCACATGAAAAGAGATTTGCATTGGGAGGAGAATTTATTTTACAGAAATCTTTCAGGGAGTTCAGGGCCTTAGCCACGCAGGGTTTTAAACACTAACGCAAACACCTGGAAGCTGGGATAGCTTCGTACGTAGAACATGAGACTCTTAATCTCAAGGTCGTGGGTTCGAGCAGCACATTGGGCAAAAGATTCCTGCATTGCAGGGAGTTGGACTAGATGACACTTATGGCCTTGAATCGGACCCGGAATCGAACTGGCAAACCAGCACAGCGGTCACTGATGCAATAACAGCACATCAATGGCCAATTTGCAAACCGCTTTGATATTTTCTTGCAATCAAGAGGTGTATAAATTTTATGGGAAAAAACAGACAAGCAGCTTCATACTGGACCGCCTGCACATCAGTCCATTTTATTAGTGGTTCTGTGACAATTCCCTAATGGCATTGCATCACTGTTGTCTTGAGGGATGCTCCTGCATATAGCCCAACAAAAACAGGACCAACAACACACACACACACACACACACACACACACACCCCACACACCAACATCTGTGGTATGCAAAGTTACAGGATTTCAGCAGGATGTTACAAGAATCATACCGATTGTAAACAAAGCCCTGAAACTTTTTCAGGCACAAACCGTACTGAAATCGGGATTGCGTAAAACCGCCCTGATACCCTCACGAATGTACAAAAAAATAGAGCAAGAAGAAAATGGAAGGGAGAGAGGAAGGGGAAATAAGTTTTTTCCACATGACTTGGGCTGCATACAAAACATATGTTTAAAGCACATCATCACTTCTCCCCGACAAAGAATCCTGCGAACGGTAGCTCACCCCTCCCAAACCTTCAATTGTTGGCACTCATAATAAAGTACAATTTCTTTTTTGGGGGTGTGTGTGTGTGATGTGATGTGCTTTAACTGCCTGGTGTGTACACAGCCTTCTTCTCCATTTTGCCCCACCTGAAGAACTTCCTCATGGAAAAAGCTGTTAAAGGGTACACCCCAACAGAATTTTATTTATTTTTAATAAAGGGGGGAAAGTGGCAAGATTGGGGTTCCCCCCCTCTAATGCCAGGAAAAGCAAACAGAACCAGCCAGGGGAAGAATACAAAGAATTTATTTGACAACAGCGACCCACGGGGGATTAAAGGATTAAAATCTGGAAAGCTGGAGGAGACCCCCCCTCTTCCCCCATAAACCTCCAGCCAGAATCCCAACCATCAACAACCTCCCCTCCAAACGGATCTCTGAAGTTTCATATATATATATATATATATATATTAAAAAGATTGCAAACACCAGGAAGGGAGGAGAGGGAAACAGAGTGTTGTTCGAAAAGAATTTGCAAGCTATTAGCATAAAAGTTTTCTTTTGCTGCTATGGAAAGGGAGGGGCGGGGAGGCGGCTCAGGGGAGCTTTGCTTGCAATTATTTTGGGGGGTGGGGGCACCCTTGCTGGGCCCCCCTGGGAGAGGGTGGGGGTTTGGGGGGTTGCACTTCCTTCCCCAGCCCCTCCCCCCTTCCCCAAGGGTGCACCTTTAAGACGGGGCTCCCCCGGCGAGAGGAACAGCCCGCTCCGGCATCGCTGCAGACGCAAATCTCTGGGAAGCACAAAGAGGTTCACATGGGCCCCCCTTGCATTTCCCAGGTGGGCGGGACAGGAAGGAGTCCTCGGTGACGCGGCGCCACGCCGCCCTTCTAGTCCACCCCGCCTCGCTGGTTATGTAACCCCCTGCTCCGGACCCCCCCCCCCCCCCACTCCAGATACATTCACAGAGACACAAGTGATTGGGGGGATGCGGTGCCAGGAGGGAGATCTGGGTCTGCTGGGTTGGGGGGGGGGAGTTCTGAGCACACCACAAATGGGAAGGACAAAAAAATATATATGAGGCAGCCTTCCTTAAATGGTGCTGCTGAAATTAAGGAAACAGTCATAATGAGAAGTTAAATTGCAAATATGTAGATAATAGTAATAGGATTTAAAATAAAAATAATACATCCCACTCATCTGGTTGGGTTTCCCCAGCCACTCTGAGTGGCTTACAGCATATATAAAAATACGACCAAACATCAAACATTAAGAAACAGAATGTCCTATACGAGCATTACATAGCTGTCAACTTTTCCCTTTTCTTAAGGGAAATTCCCTTATTCCGAATAGGATTCCTCGCAAGAAAAGGGAAAGGTTGACAGCTATGACGTGCAACAAACAAACCAATACGTCAATAGAAACCAATAGCAAGTGATACACACACACACACACACACACACACACACACAATATCTGCTGAAATTAAGGAAACGCTGATAATGAGAAGTTCTATATATGTGTGTGTGTGTCTGTTTTATATATATATATCTGCTGAAATTAAGGAAACTGATGAGAAGTTAAATTATGTATCTGTATATGTTTTTATATAATATATGCCAAAATTAAGGAAAATGATAATGAGAAGTTAAATTAAATATCTATATATATCTATATATATATATATATATAATATATATATAATATGCTGAAATTAAGGAAACTGATAACGGGAAGTTAAATTATATGTCTGTAACTGCTGAAATTAAGGAAACTAATAATGAGGTTAAATTATGTGTGTGTGCGTGTGATATATATATAATTTAACTTCTCCTTATCAATTTCCTTAATTTCAACAGCAGCATAGATGCTCCTATAGTTTTAGAAGTGCAAGTGCTGCAGGCTTTCCTGCAAAATTTGAATTGGGAAGTTTTTCCTACGCAAACTGCACAGGGTGATTTGCATAGGAAAGAATTATCATCTCCTGAATGGCACTATCTACTTTTTGTCTGCTCTGAAGCTGCTGCTAATCCTTTTCAGGAAGGCTGTTCACATACCATATGTTTAAAGCACACACACCCTGACAATCATGGGAACTATTGTTCACCCTCTCACAGCTATAACTGTAATTGGCAGCATCCTTAAGAAAACATAGGAATGTGCTTTAAATGTATGGAATTCCAATATCTAGTTTGGTGCTGGAGAGAAAATAGTTTTTCTTCTCCCCCGCAGTAATATTAGCTCAGCCATGTCTATATTAAATCATCTTGCAGTACAGGGGGTCTCCTTTCTCATAACTCTATGCCATTGGTTCGGGTACTACCCTCTGAAAAAGGAGAAAACCAGCTTGCTCCATTTCCCATGTGACAGCCCTTTAGATATTTGAAGGTGGCTATCAGATCTGCTCTCCGTCTGCCTTTTCCCAGGCTAAACATATCCATCTCCCTCAACCGTTCCTCATAAGGCTTGATTTCCAAACCCTGGACCATCTTGATATCTGCCCTCTGCACATGTTTCAGCTTGTCATTATCTGTCTTAAATTGTGGCGCCCAGAACTGGACACAGGACTCCACGCGTGGTTTGACCAAGGCAGAACAGACTGGGGCTAGTACTATCTGGACACTATTATTTGGAATGCAAGAAGATCCATTCTGAAGGAAACCAGCCCTGAGTGCTCACTGGAAGGACAGATCCTGAAGCTGAGGCTCCAATACTTTGGCCACCTCATGAGAAGACTCCCTGGAAAAGACCCTGATGTTGGGAAAGATGGAGGGCACATGGAGAAGGGGACGACAGAGGACGAGATGGTTGGACAGTGTTCTCGAAGCTACCAGCATGAGTTTGACCAAACTGCGGGAGGCAGTGGAAGACAGGAGTGCCTGGCGTGCTCTGGTCCAGGGGGTCACAAAGAGTCAGACACGACTAAACGACTAAACAACAACAAATTATTTGGAAGTAATGTGCTTTAAAGTTATGATGTGTATGCAGCCTTATGCTTCCATAATCTTTATAATATTGTTCCTTTTAAAGTCATCGATTCTATGCTGAGTGAATGTTTGGATAGATGTTTGCTCTGCTGAAACTGCCAAAAGCTATCGATAGGTAACATCTCAAATAAACAGGACTTTGCCTTTTGAGAAACCAAGAGGTCTGCTGCCTTCCTTGTACGTTACAAATTAACAGCATCCCGATAAGGCCAGAGACCCCTGCAATCACGATGTCAACTTGCCTGTCATGTAACTTTGCACAGAGTAAGCAAAGAGACTCAGAGAGCAACTAGGTTACATCCATACCATACATTTAAAGCACTGTCTTGGCTTCCTCCAAATAATCCAGAGAACTGAAGTTTTCTTTTGGCATGAGCCTCTCCTTCTTCCTCTGTTTTACGGGATTTTATGAGGCCACTTCCTTGATATTCTTAGGCAAGTTGGCAGTCCATACACACCATACACCCACCCACCCTTTCCCCAAAGAATCGTGGGAACTGTAATTTGTTAAGGGTGCTAGGAATTCTAGCTCTGTCAGGGGCAATCTACAGTTCCCAGGGTTCTTTTTGGGGCTGTGGTGTGCCTGCAGCCAAATACTTCTACAAATAAATAAAAATAAATGTTCCCATCCCTGCAGAAAATAGGCCCCTAGGACTTCCCCAGTGAAACCCCTGTAGGAAGTTAATAAACCAATTCCATGGGCATGGAGAAAATTTCACATCAGCTGAGAGCAAAGGTATCCTTGCCCAGAGCTTTGTCCTTGATCAAGCAGGGCGCATTCCCAGAATTTCCTATGAAGAGTGATGTGCTAGTTGTTAATCTGCAAAATGTAATTTAGGGAGGGCAATGGGGGTCACCTAAGAGCGATGAGCACCCTTAATAAAGTACAGCTCCCATAATTATTTGGGGGAAACTATGACTATTTAAGTTGGTATCATAGTGTTTTAAATTCATGGTGGGAACTGAGCCTTGGAGGCCCATCTAGTCTCTCCATCGTGCTCTCATGGTGGCCAAGAAATGCCCATGGGGGGCCCTTGAGCAGGATCCGAGCACAACAGCACTACTTTCTCCTCCTGCTGATGCTCAGCATCTGGTCTCAAGAGGCGTATTGGCTCCGACAGCCAGGACAGAACTTAGAACCATGATAGTTAGTGGTCCCCATTCAGCATCCTGTCCTCACCTTGGACAGTCAGGTGCCTATGGGAAACACACAAGCAGCCCCCAGGTGAGAAGATGAAATGCATAAAAATCGGACAACAGAAGATGGGAACTCAAAAGTCAAAAAAGGAGGCAGTTGAAAAAACAAGAAAGGAGATTCTCACTAGACGTCAGGAAGAATCTTCTGACTGTGGAGGAGACTCCCAGGAGAGGTGGGAGGCGCTCCCTTGAAAGTTTTTAAGCAGACGTTGGATGGACATCTGTCAGGGATAAGGAACCTGTCTTAACTAGCTCAGTATTGTCTACACTGATTGGCAGCAGCTCTCCAGAGTTTCAGGAAGGGAGTTTTGGAAGACATATGAAGGCAACCCTGTTAAGGGAAGTTTTTAATGTTTGATGTTTTATCGTGTTTTTAATATACTGTGGGGAGCGCCCAGAGTGGCTGGGGAAACCCAGCCACATGGGCAGGGTATAAAAAATTATCATCATTATTATTATTATTAGTTTTCCCCAAGCTGTTCTGGGATTCCTGCATCGCAGGGGTTTGGACTTGATGACCATCAGGGTCCCTTCCAGCACTGCAATTCCACGATTCTAAGTTTAAATTAAAAATTCCAATGAAAACACAGATAAATTACACAGAGTCAGCCATAATGTCCAGCTGCGGCATAGTGAGTAAGCCCCACTGGACTGAGTGGGGTTTACTTCTGAGTAAGCCGTGCATGGTGGGGGGAGGATATGATGCCCGCCTTTTGCTCCTCTGTGGGTCTGTGCGTCTGGCTGTTAACAAGAAGGTTGGCGGTTGGAGCCCACCCAGGGATGGCTGTGGACAGGATTCCTGCATTGCAGGAGGGTTGGTCTAGATGACCCTCGGGTCCCCTTCCATCCAGCTCCGCGATTCCACGATTCTAGGGAAGAAAAACAGCACAGCATCCTGATCTCGCAAACCCCGGAGAACCAGCGCCTTGCTCTTGAAACCGGAAATGTCTTAAGAGTTAACGAGAGCAGCGAGCAGAGCGGTTCCTAGAGAGGCAGGAAATGGGGGAGGTGCAACGCGGAAGTGGGAGGGGATTCCTCTTTTTTCCCCCTTGCCTTGCCCCCCCCCCCCCCGTGGGAAAGTAGGAAGTGGCCTCGGCGAGTCTGGTGGCATCTCTGCCAGGGGAGCTGCTGGGCGCGTGGAAGGAGCAGCCTTTGGGGAGGGGGGCAAAAAAGGCTGCAGGATTGGGGAGCCCCCTCCCTTCTTTATCCCCTTCCTCTCCCCCAGGGCTTGAGAGTGCCAGAGACACTCTGCTGGATCAGGTCCTAGATGCACGCATCCTTAGCATACCTTGCAGGGTTGTAGCGAGGAAGGAGGAGGGGGCGAGTCTCGTTGGACGCCTTGGGGGTCCCAGGAGGAAAGGTGGGAGGTACATACACTAGTGGCCAAAATGGTGGAAACCTTTTGGGGAAAATGTATTTCCGAGGTTTGACGGATCATAGCACCACCTTTTTTTGGAGTGATACCATAAAATTATATATCAAACTGTTGTTTAATTATTATTGTACTTTTGCAGGGGGAGAGAAACCATAGGGCTTTCTCTCTCAGGTGCCCAAGTAACTTGGCTGGCCATGGGCACTCTAAACCTTGTTTCATGCTGATTATTATGTTCAGAAAGATAAACAAATGGAACGAGGTTAGCTTTGCCATGGTTTAATGTATTTTTAATCTCCGTATTAAATGTATTTTAAGGTATTTTTAATCTCTGTCGGAAGCCGCCCAGAGTGGCTGGGGAAACCCAGCCAGATGGGCGGGGTACAAATAAATTATTATTATTATTATTATTATTATTATAGATGGAAAGATAACTGCAGGTTTCATATCGATTGCTACTGAAATCTTTGTCCTGTGCATTTGTGCATATCAGTGTGGATTGTGTTTTTTGTCTCCCCCCCCCCCCCCCAGTTCAGATAAACAAAAGAAGCATCTTTTCACCATTCCATTCCAAGAAATGCAGACTTGGGAGAAGGACTCTGGCCCAGACCTCTGTGCCCAGGTGGTAGCCCTAGCTGAGGATTTCCTCCTGAGACGGCAAGAGCCTGACGGAGAGGCACAAAACGTAAGGATACTCTGGGCGATACCGAGAGACGTTTTATGAATACAGTCTTGTTACAGCAGAGGTCTCAGAGCGGCTTGCAGCATATTTATAAAAGCATGGGCATGTTGAGAATTGTGAGAAAAAGCTGTATTGTAAGCACATGGACTAGTAATGATTTCTGCAGAGAAAGCATTGTTTAAAGTAGCAGCTTAACATTCAGAATAACAGGCCTCCTCCTTCTTTTCCCTCCATTCCAGGCGCCTCAGCTCTCAGAGAAGAATCTTTCAGATTCCAAGAAGGCACAGGAAGAAAAGCAGGCAGAGGAGGCGGAAGAATATGATGGGGAGACTGCCTTATTAGGTAAAGACACCCAAGTGTTGGGGGGAAATTATAGCAAACGTAAGGAGTATTTTGCAGTATCTGCTTCAAAATGATCATTTTTTTTGTTACTTGCTTATTTTAAAAACATACCTAAAGGACAAAAAAAATCTGTTATTTCATATGGTACTAGCAGTGACTAGTAAATCACCCCTGAGTGCTCACTGGAAGGACAGATCGTGAAGCTGAGGCTCTAATACTTTGGCCACCTCATGAGAAGAGAAGACTCCCTGGAAAAGACCCTGATGTTGGGAAAGATGGAGGGCACAAGGAGAAGGGGACGACAGAGGACGAGATGGTTGGATAGTGTTCTCGAAGCTACCAGCATGAGTTTGACTAAACTGCGGGAGGCAGTGGAAGACAGGAGTGCCTGGTGTGCTCTGGTCCATGGGGTCATGAAGAGTCGGACACGACTAAACGACTAAACAACAACTAGCGACAATGCTATATGCAAAATACTGCCATGGGTGGGGGCGGGCCGGGAATCCTGCGCACCAGAGAATGGCATATTAAGCTGCGGGAAGTGAGCACTTTAAGCAAAATGTGCTGGACTCTATAGGTTAAATATGGAGGAAAGAAGGTGAAACAAGTATGAACACAATTGGTGAAAGTTGAGAGGACCATGGAATAGCAAACATGGGACAATTAACTAACATGCGTTTACAGTTTTATGAGAAAGTATACTGTTTCACGCAAAACAGTCTTTATATTGGTAGTTCTCGGAGGCTCAAATTTTTAATTTTAGGGGTTAATAAATTATCATGTATTAATGGGGTTGTTAAACTTATCAAGGATGCAGTCTGTTCTTACTGTTGCAAGTTATACCTGTATCAACAAATGAAAATGGCACGGGAGAAGTTAAAGCAAAGAAGTTAAAGCAAAGAAGACAGACTTCTAAGGTCAAATAGTTGCATGTAAGGAGATTTTTTTTTTAAAGGCTCTCTTACACACCCACACATAAATTGAAAGCCATATAATTCCACTTTAAACAGCCATAGTTTCCCCCAAGGAATCCTGGGAATTGTAGTTTGATAAGGGAGCTGAGAGTTGTTAGGAGACCCCTTTGTTCCTGTTCAGTTAACAATGTAATCCCTTGTGCTAGGGAACTGCAGTGACTACAACTCTGTGAGGGGAATAGAAACCTCCCGGCAACACGTGGCATCCTTAACATACTACAGTTCCCAGGATTCTCTGGGGGAAGCCATGACTGTTTAAATTGGTATGTTACTGCTGCAAACGTATAGGGCAGATGGGACCACACGGTTTTTCTTCTTCTCTGCACAGCGCTAGGCAAGCCCCAGAGACCAGCTGTTTTTGTTGCTTGTAAAGCACTTTGTATGGGGTTTTGGTAGGGCCGGTCACATTTAGCTGTGCCCCGCACCAGGTGGGTGTGATTTGCCCAAAACGGCCGTGCATACCAGATGAGTCTCTACATGGCTGGCTTAACGGCTCATAATAATTAATAATAATAATAATAATAATTCTTGGTAGTGGTGCCCGCCCTGTGGAACGCCCTCCCATCAGACGTCAAGGAAATAAACAACTATCTGACTTTTAGAAGACATCTGAAGGCAGCCCTGTTTAGGGAAGTTTTTAATGTTTGATGTTTTATTGTTTTTAATATTCTGTTGGGAGCTGCCCAGGATGGCTGGGGAGGCCCAGCCAGATGTGCAGGGTATAAGTAATACAGTGGTACCTCGGGTTACAGACGCTTCAGGTTACAGACTCTGCTAACCCAGAAATAGTACCTCAGGTTAAGAACTATCATCTTTTGTTTGGTCTTGGCTGCCCCCCCCTCTCTCTCTGCTTTGAAGTTTGACTCATCCCACAATTCTCTCTTTTCGTTCCACAAGTTGATGAGTCTGACGGAGAAAACGAAGAGGCGGTCCTCCCAGCAGAAAGACCCGAGCGCAGAAACCCCACCCGGATATCTTTGGAAGAAGTCATCCTCGGGAAGCTTTTCCCGGTGGAAGAAGGGCCTCCGGGCAACGTGCCCACGACAGACTTTGCTACGGAGAAGCCGTTTGAGTGCTCCGAGTGCGGGAAGCACTTCTCTACCAGCTCCCACCTCATCAACCACAAGCGCGTCCACACAGGGGAGAAGCCCTACAAGTGCTTGAGCTGCGGGAAAAGCTTCACGGAGCGAGGCAACCTCTTGAAGCACCAGAGGACCCACACGGGCGAGAAGCCCTACGGATGTTCCGACTGCGGGAAAGCCTTTGGCATCAGCTCTCAGCTGATCAGCCACAAGCGGGTGCACACGGGAGAGAAGCCCTACGAGTGCTCGGACTGCGGGAAGAGCTTCTGCACAAGCTCGCAGCTCGTGCGCCACAGCCGGGTCCACACGGGCGAGAAGCCCTACGAGTGCTCCGCCTGCGGGAAAACCTTCAGCCAGAGGTCGTACCTCGTGGGGCACGAGAGGACGCACACGGGCGAGAAGCCCTTTGAGTGCTCGCAGTGCGGGAAGTGGTTCTCGCACCGCTCCGACCGCCTGAGGCACGAGAAGATCCACACGGGCGAGAAGCCCCACAAGTGCGCCGACTGCGGGAAGGGCTTCAACCAGAAGGGCTCCCTCGTCACGCACCAAAGGACCCACACGGGGGAGAAGCCCTTCGAATGCTCCGAGTGCGGGAAGAGCTTCAACGACCGGGGTTACCTTATCACACACCGGAGAACCCACACGGGAGAGAAGCCCTTCGAGTGCTTGGACTGCGGGAAGAGCTTCAGCCGCACGTCCCACCTGACCGTGCATAAAAAGACACATGGGGGGGAGAGGCCGTAGCCGGATCAGGAGGTGGGGAGGGGAAAGAGAAGACAAACAAACACATACCCCAACCCTCCAGTGCCTCTGACCTTTGCAAAATATCAGAAAATCCGTGGGGAAATGCCCAGGTGCTCAGAAGATTTTAAAAAACGACTGTGGAGCTATGGTGGTATACAGTCATACCTCGGGTTGAAGTGGCTTCGGGATAAGTATTTTACGGTTGCGCGCTGCGGCGACCCGGAAGTAACGGAGCGCGTTACTTCCGGGTTTCGCCGCTCGCGCATGCTCAGACGGTGAAAATGACATCATGCGCAGAAGCGGCAAATCGCGACCCGCGCACGCGGGTTGCGTTCGCTTCTGGATGCGAACGGGGCTCCGGAACGGATCCCGTTCACATCCAGAGGTACCACTGTAAATGTTTAGAGCAGAGGTGGGGAACCATTGGCTAAGTTAGTCATGCCTGTCAACTTCAATGGGTTTAGTCTTGAGTAGGACTAGCACTGAATACAGTCGCACCTTGGATGTCGAACGCAATCGGTTCCAGAAGTCCGTTCAATTTCCAAAACGTTCGGAAACCAAAGTGCGGCTTCTTATTGGCTCCTGCAGTCAGTCGGAAGCCAAAGAAGCCCCATTGAACGTTCGACTTCCAAAAATAGTTTGCAAACCGCAGCAATCACTTCTGGGTTTGCGGCACTTGGGAGCCAAAACATCTGCATTCCAGGGCTTTCAGGATCCAAGGTGTGACTGTACTGGTTTAAGATTCAGCTGCCCCTCCTATCAGCTCCTATGAACATCAGTGGTGCAGAATCTTTGGCCCGCCAGGGGCTGCCAAACTACAACTCCCATCAAGCCCAGCAGTCATGCTCAGTGGTCAGGGGATGATGGGAGTTGCAGTCCAGCAACAGCCGGAGGGTCAAAGGGAGGAAGCTTTTGTTGAGGCTGCCTGGAAAGTTTTGTGAGGCGCTGAAAAGGAAGTTGATTTCTGAACCACCTGAAACAGAGCCGACCTTTCTGATATTTTCTCTTGAATAAGCACTTGGGGTTGGTTGATCATATTGCCTGGAAGACAAACTCCACAGGTGAGGCGAGGCATTGGGACAGCTAGACAGAATGGGACCATTCGTGGTATCATAATGGGGGCTGAAAATAAAGATCCTGACTAGAGCAGATGGAAGGTCCATCCATCTAAGTCTGTTTTCTGATAGCAGCTTCTCGATGTCTTCAAGAAGCAGGCCACAGTCCCTCTTCCCGCTGGTCGTATTTCTTGGCATCTGGAAGCCTGAGGTATACTGCCTCTGTCCAAGGGAGTTTTGTTCTTCTGCCATACTGAACAGCGGTTGACAGGCCTGTCCTACTTGGGGTTTGGATCTAACCCACTTTTCCAAAGCCACCTTCAGCCTGTGGCCACCGCCGCATCCCTTGCCCGTAAGTCAACTATGCACTGAGAGCAAAGAATTCCCCCTCCTCCATCGCCAATCTGCCACCCGCAGATTTCCATGGCGACCCCAAATTCGAGTGTCCTTTGGGAAGGGGGCAAAAATCTGCCACATTCACAACAGCCTTTCCCATCTTGGTAGCCACAAGATGTTGCTATTTATTTGATTCCGTATCCACCATTTACCATAAGGTCCAAGGGCAGGTTATAGCAACTAAAAAATGAAACTCCAAACTCTTATTAGCCACAGCAAGTATGGACAGTGGGCAGGAATGATGGGAGCCGGAGTTCAGCATCTGGGGAGCATCCAGTTGAGGGACACGATGCATATTTTTATAAACCTCAGTATTCATGCCCCTTCTTGGACTTATTTCTTCCCCCTTACACAAAGACACCCCATCTGGAATTATCAGATTCCTCCCCCTGCTCTAAAACATCTTTTGTCACCTAGTGTTTCTCAGACTTGGGTCTCCAGCTGTTTGGGGACTACAACTCCCACCATCCCTAGCTAGCAAGACCAGTGGTCGGGGATGAGGGGAGTTGTAGTCCAATAACAGCTGGGGACCCAAGTTTGAGAAACATTGGACCCCCTAAAAATGGTTTAATTTCTCCCTATTTTGTCTGCTGCCATGAAAACAACTGTCGTCTTTCTTTCACGAACTTGAAATAGAACTTGAAAGATCTACAGCTCGTCATCTGAGCTCTCGGAACTCTGCAATAATAATTCCTCCGTAATCTCAAGTGATAATATAAGCAGCTGTGGGCTATTCCAGACAGCTTGTCGTGGAGGCGGCATAATTTGCCAGTTTCACTTCTGCACATTTTGTGTCTGGATCTCGACCGATATTACCTGCCCCACACAAGGCGGCATGGGCCGTTCTAGAAACAAGGATGTTTAATAATAAAAGTTAGATGAGATGCATGCATGCTTATTGACTGAAGGGTTTGTGTTAAAGGCGGGGGGGGGGGGGGTCACATTAAGGCCCCAATCTGCCCTATACATTTTAAAGATGCATCTTGCTACTTGAAACAGACATGGCTTCTCGCAGAGGATCCTAAGGAGTGCCATTTTGTTAACGGTGCTGAAAGTTGTTGGAAAGCAGGTGGGGAAATCCACATGAAAAGGAGACGGATTGGTAGCAATACATTTCTCCCGACTATCTCCAGCCTCTTGGAAAATCCTAAACTACAAATATTAAAATATGTGCATATATACACCTGAAAACCGGAAAAGAAATACTCTTGACACAGAGGGAGAGAGCTGGTTGAGGTAAGGTGGGAAAATACCCTGCAGAAATCCTACAGGGCTGATTGTTATTTTTCCACTCTTTTCTTCGATAACATTGTCTAAGGTGGGGCTGGTAGAGTTGGACTCCTTTTCATTCCCACAGGGAAATTTTACAGGGCTCACATGGCACCAGAGGCAAAAATACAAATTTGTATGCAGAGCAACATACAGATTTAGTTTCTACACCCCTCTGTGCTCCATCTCAACAAGAGAGACACATTAATCATAGAGTTTAAGGCCATATTAAAAGGTAAAAGGACCCCTGACCATTAGGTCGTCGTGGCCGACTCTGGGGTTGCAGCGCTCATCTGGCTTTATTGGCTGAGGCAGCCGGCGTACAGCTTCTGGGTCACGTAGCCAGCATAACTAAGCCGCTTCTGGCAAACCAGAGCAGCGCACGGAAACGCCGTTTACCTTCCCGCTGGAGCGGTACCTATTTATCTACTTGCACTTTGACATGCTTTTGAATTGCTAGGTTGGCAAGAGCTGGGACCGAGCAATGGGAGCTCACCCTGTCGTGGGGATTTGAACCGCCGACCTTCTGATCAGCAAGCCCAAGAGGCTCTGTGGTTTAGACCGCTGTGCCACCTGCGTTCCAAGGCCATATTACATCCAGGCAAAAAAACAAAACACCACTCAAGGTCACAGAGCCTGGGGACACTGGGTGTGGGGTGGGTGGTCGGGGAAAGTTCAAAGGGCCGAAGAGAAGGGTCTGGAGGGCCGCTTTTTACTCTCAGGGCTAGAGGTTTAAAAGGCACGCATAAACTTGTAGAAATCTCTGGCTCAAGCACAGGCTGGGCAAGGCAGAACCAAACACGGAAGCCAGAAGATGCAATGCACCCATTCGATTCTAAAGAGTTTTATTCAGAGCTATATCCTTCGGAAAATGCAAGCGAAGGCAAGGGTTTTTATATAGTGCTGACATGGATTAAAAGCCAGATGGGGGCTTCAACGACCAGAAGGATTGAGAGAGAGGGAGGAGATGATCTTGAGAGATAATTCAATAATTCTGAAGCAGTTGCAAGATAACCAAGCCCTGAAAAGGGATTGAGTTTCCGCACAGAACTCATGAGAAGGTTAAAGATACTCTGCTGCAGCAGCATATGTAAAAAGCTTTTTCTTATTAAAAAAAAAAAACCAGGTTCAGCAAACTGGCTAGCTTCCAGAATCCTGCATGGGAAATAAAACAAGAGCATCACAATGATTTGCTAAAAGTGAGAGAGAGAATATATATATAAACACATCTTTCTAGTATCAGCATGAAAATATTTGCAAGGATCCTTTCCACAAGTAATAAAATGCCTGTTCCTAAAACAGTTGTAGATTAACGTCTACAGCCATATGAATGCCATGTTTATTTAAAAAACAAAATGAAACACAGATTTATGCATTTAGGAAATCTAATTTCTGCCCCAGTCAAAGCTTTTGAGCCTTGTATAAATTATCATGTAACATGGTCTTAACTTGCATAACTTATTCTGTATTTTATATACGGTATATATTTTTGCTTTGGCCACCTCCATACCATGCATATAAAGCACCATGATATTATTTTAAATAGCCATGACTTCCCCCAGAGTATTCTGGGAATTGTAGTTTGTTAAGGGTGCAGAAGTTTGTTAGGAGACTCCTATTCCCCTCAGAGAACTCTTATTCTCAGAGTGGTTTGACAATCCCTGTTCACAGAGAAATCTGGGAACTGTAGGTCTGTAAGGGGAACAGGGATCTAACAACCCTTAGCAAACTACGACTCCCATAATCATTTGTGCCATTGGAGACACAAGGCAGGGTCTGCATTGTTGACCTGAGTGCACTATCTATATACCCGCAGGTCCCACTTACTGAACACACTGCATTCCCTGGAAATCATTCATTAAGCAAGTGTTCGCATAACAAGTCCATGATTTCCACTGATTCCTATGGGAATATTTCTAACTGGGGATTTGTACAATCTCTGTGGTTCCTTCCCGATATGGCTGCAGCCAACCAGCAAAAAAGAGACAAAGGAAAAACAAATTTGTCCAATCTCTCCTGCTCCCAGATTTTTCTAATCTCTGTCTCTCTCTGCATGCTTTCTGCCCAAAAATGGCTACCATTGACCAGCAAAGAACAAGGAAGAAAGGAAGTGGGCAAAATCTGGATATTCAGATATCTGAATCTGCTGGTTTGGGCATAATTATTTATGCTCAGATAAGTGAATTTTCCAAGAGTGAGTGGGTGGATAGCGGGACCTAGCTGTACCTGTACCTATATCTATGCTTTAACAAAATTTCACAGTACCGGAAGACCATTCGGCTGCTGAAACGTTCGACAACTGAGGCGCGAAGGGCGGTCTGCAGTTTCAATGGAAAAATTTGGAAAAAATGCAGTGGAAGCCGTTCAACTTTTGAGGCGTGTCCGAAAACCGAAGCATTTACTTTCGGGTTTTCGGTGTTCGAAAACCGAAACGTTCGGTTTCTGAGACACTCGAAAACCGAAGTACCACTGTATGTCGAAACCAATCAGAATGTTTGGGAGGCAAAGGTGTATTAGAAAAGGAGACCCTACTTCTATACATTTATTCTGCTTAAACAGTATGCTAATAAACATCTCTCCAGAGTTTATTAATAAAATCAGTTGGACAAAGGTGACCAGCAGGTTCTTAAGGGAGAAGGTGGTTTTTAAGATATCTGAGGGATTTCAAGGTAATAAAGCAGCATTTTTTAATGGGGTCTGGGAATTATTACTATTTACTGTGCTTATATCCTATTCTCCTGGTGGGATATAGCAGCTTCTCCACTCTCCCTCACCCTCGTTTTATCCTTGCAACATGGAGGATAAACTAAGGAGGAGGAACTGGCCTATCGTCATACAGGAAGCTCCGTGGTTGGACCAGGGATTTGATCCTTTGTCTCCCTGGTCCTCACACAAAACTCCAGGCTCCACAACACACTGGCTGTTGCTTGTCTTACCCAAGTGCAGCTTCCTGTTGTTTCCTGCTCTATACAGCGGTGGTCAAAATAATGGCATTGCAATCCAAGCTCATCTGGAACAATCAAAGAGTGTTATGAATAAGACAGACGTCATCTACACAGCCCAGCCAAGGAAAGGCAGCTTTGGCATATCCAGACTTGGGCGTGGTTTAAATTTAAGGCTCTCATCTGCATTACTACTTTAAAAGGTAAAGGTAAAGGACCCCTGGACGGTTAAGTCCAGTCAAAGGCGACTTATGTGGTTGTGGCTCTCATCTCACTTTCAGGCCGAGGGAGCCAGCATTTGTCCACAGCTTTCCGGGTCATGTGGACAGCAGGACTAAACCGCTTCTGGTGCAATGGGGCACCGTGATGGAAGCCAGAGCGCACAGAAACGCCGTTTACCTATTTATCTACTTGTGCTGGCGTGCTTTCGAACTGCTAGGTTGGCAGGAGCTGGGACAGAGAAATGTGAGCTCACCCTGTCATGGGGATTCGAACCGCCAACCATCCGATTGGCAAGCCCAAGAGGCTCAGTGGTTTAGACCACAGCGCCCCCCGCGTCCACCACTTTAAGCAGTCATAAAGGGTAAAGGTAAAGGGACCCCTGACCATTAGGTCCAGTCGCGGAGGACTCTGGGGTTGCGGCGCTCATCTCGCTTTATTGGCTGAGGGAGCCGGCGTACAGCTTCCGGGTCATAGAATCATAGAATCATAGAGTTGGAAGAGACCACAAGGGCCATCGAGTCCAACCCCCTGCCAAGCAGGAAACACCATCAGAGCACTCCTGACATATGGTTGTCAAGCCTCTGCTTAAAGACCTCCAAAGAAGGAGACTCCACCACACTCCTTGGCAGCAAATTCCACTATCGAACAGCTCTTACTGTCAGGAAGTTCTTCCTAATGTTTAGGTGGAATCTTCTTTCTTGTAGTTTGGATCCATTGCTCCGTGTCCGCTTCTCTGGAGCAGCAGAAAACAACCTTTCTCCCCCTCTATGTGACATCCTTTTATATATTTGAACATGGCTATCATATCACCCCTTAACCTCCTCTTCTCCAGGCTAAACATGCCCAGCTCCCTTAGCCGTTCCTCATAAGGCATCGTTTCCAGGCCTTTGACCATTTTGGTTGCCCTCCTCTGGACACGTTCCAGTTTGTCAGTGTCCTTCTTGAACTGTGGTGCTCAGAACTGGACACAGTACTCCAGGTGAGGTCTGACCAGAGCAGAATACAGTGGCACTATTACTTCCCTTGATCTAGATGCTATACTCCTATTGATGCAGCCATAGCCTGTATTGGCTTTTTTAGCTGCCGCGTCACACTGTTGGCTCATGTCAAGTTTGTGGTCAACCAAGACTCCTAGATCCTTTTCACATGTACTGCTCTCAAGCCAGGTGTCCCCCATCTTGTATTTGTGCCTCTCATTTTTTTGCCCAAGTGCAATACTTTACATTTCTCCCTGTTAAAATTCATCTTGTTTGTTTTTGCCCAGTTCTCTAATCTGTCAAGGTCGTTTTGAAATGTGATCCTGTCCTCTGGGGTGTTAGCCACCCCTCCCAGTTTGGTGTCATCTGCAAATTTGATCAGGATGCCCTTGAGTCCATCATCCAAGTCATTGATAAAGATGTTGAATAAGACCGGGCCCAAGACAGAACCCTGTGGCACCCCACTAGTCACTCTTCTCCAGGATGAAGAGGAACCATTGATGAGCACCCTTTGGGTGGTCATCATGTGGCCAGCATGACTAAGCTGCTTCTGGCGAACCAGAGCAGTGCATGGAAACGCCGTTTACCTTCCTGCCAGAGTGGTACCTATTTATCTACTTGCACTTTGACGTGCTTTCAAACTGCTAGGTGGGCAGGAGCTGGGACCGAGCAACGGGCGCTCCCCCCGTCGCGGGGATTCGAACCACCGACCTTCTGATCGGCAAGCCCTAGGCTCTGTGGTTTAACCCACAGCGCCACCCGCGTCCCTTTTAAGCAGTCATGGCTTCCCCCAAAGGATCCTGGGAACTGTAGTCTGTTATGGGTGCTGAGGAGACCCTCTGTTCCTCTCCCAGAACTCCATTTCCCAGGGTGGCTAAACAATCAGTCCTTCTTCCCAGGGAATTCTGGGAATTGTCACTCTTTATCAGAATTCTCCCCAGGCCACGCACTTGCTCCCCAAACCTCCCTCTTGCTGATCCTGCTTTGTACCCCTCCTTGAACTCTGATAACAGCTCCAGGGAGGTGAGGGAGCGAGCATAAAACTTGCTGGCTGAGCAAAGGTAACATTTAATTGGCTGCCCCCCTCTGGACCCACCCACCACTGTCCTGTGACCCCAGGGGATTCCCCAGAAAGGAACGAAAAAGGTCGTTCCCCGATTCCTGTCATAGAGGAAATAATGATGCGTTGTAATTAAAAGCTTCTCTCGGCAAAGCAAAATGAAAGCTCTTCCTTACCACGGCGGTGCTGATTTCCTCCACGGTGAGCTCCGTAGATTCGGCAATGAAGCCTGAAATGTACAAAAAATAAACTGCTACACGGTTTTTATTCACGGGGAGTGGGGAAACCATGAATGGGGCAGGTGGGGGAACAACAAGGAGGATATAGGTTTGTCACGTTCTGAATGGTTATTATTATTATTAATTGGATTTATATACCGCCCTATACCCAGAGGTCTCAGGGCGGTTCACAGAAAAGATCGACATAAAACCACAATATAATCAAAATAAAAACAACAACCCAATAACACCCCTCCCAAAAAGAAAGAGCCACATTTTAAAAGGGCATATCGGATGGTTAAAAAGGAGGCTGAGCTATGGGCTGCTCCTTGGCATGCTGCCAGAGATCCTGACAAGACAGAAGTACTGTTTTTGAGAGAAAGGGGGCGGGCAGGTGGGGGGCACTCCCTGGTCTTGAATGGGGTAACTGTTCCCCTGAAGGACCAGGTGCGCAGCCTGGGAGTCATTTTGGACTCACAGCTGTCCATGGAGGCACAGGTCAATTCTGTGTCCAGGGCAGCTGTTTACCAGCTCCATCTGGTACGCAGGCTGAGACCCTCTACCCATGGACCGTCTCACCAGAGTGGTGCATGCTCTAGTTATCTCCCCCTTGGACTACTACAATGCACTCTATGTGGGGCTACCTTTGAAGGTCACCCAGAAACTGCAACTAATCCAGAATGCGGGCAGTTAGACTGGTGACTGGGAGTGGCCGCCGAGACCATATAACACTGGTCCTGAAAGACCTACATTTGTTCCCAGTACGTTTCTGAGCACAAATCAAAGTGCTGGTGCTGACCTTTAAAGCCTTAAACAGCCTCGGTCCAGTATACCTGAAGGAGCATCTCCACCCCCATCATTCAGCCTGAGTGTCCAGCTCTGAGGTCCAGTTCCAAGGGCCTTCTGGCGGTTCCCTCACTGCGAGAAGTGAGGTTAGAGGGAACCAGGCAGAGGGCCTTCTCGGTGGTGGCGCCTGCCCTGTGGCACACCCTCCCAGCAGACGCCAAGGAAATGAACAATATCTGACTTTTAGAAGACATCTGAAGGCAGCCCTGTTTAGGGAAGCTTTTAATGTTTGATGGTGTTTTTAATATTCTGTTGGGAACCGCCCAGAGCGGCTGGGGAAACCCAGCCAGATGGGTGGGGTATAAATGATAAATAAATTATTATTATTACTACTACTACTACTTTTAATCCAGGGATCCTGGGGTCGAACCTGGAAAGGAGGTGCTCCCCCCAGGGCAACGACCTGCCCTCACAGAAGCAAATCATCCTACTCCATCTCACCTATGTGCATCTGTTCATGTTCGGCAAGCTGGGATCTCCTGCTGAAGCTTTCCGTGCATTCTGAGCACTGATAGGGCTTCTTTCCCGTGTGAGCCGCCTTGTGTGTGATCAGGGACTTTTTCCAGCTGAAGCTTTTCCCGCACTCGGAGCACTTGTAGGGCTTCTCTCCCGTGTGGGTCCTCTTGTGCACGAGGAGGGCAACTTTCTGGTTGAAGCTCTTCCCGCAGTCGAAGCAGGTGTACGGCTTCTCTCCCGTGTGGATGATCTCGTGGCGCGCCAGGTGGTCCTTCTTGTGGAAGCACTTCCCGCACGCGGCGCAGGCGTACGGCTTCTCCCCCGTGTGGATCCTCATGTGGTTGATCAGGCCGACTTTCCAGTTGAAGCCCTTCCCGCACTCTGAGCACTGGTAGGGCTTCTCTCCCGTGTGGGTCCTCTTGTGCGTCATGAGGCGGTCTTTCTTGTAGAAGCTTTTCCCGCACTCGGCGCACTGGTACGGCTTCTCCCCTGTGTGCGTCCGCATGTGCGCGGTGAAGTTGGCTTTCACGCTGTAGCTCTTCCCGCACTCGGAGCATTCATGGGGCTTCTCCCCCGTGTGGGTCCTCTGGTGCGCGAGGAGAGAGGATTTCACGTGGAAGCATTTCCCGCACTCGGGGCATTCGTACGGCTTCTCGCCCGTGTGGATTCTCTTGTGCTGAATGAGGATCCATTTGCCGCTGAAACTCTTCCCGCACTCAGAGCACATGTACGGCTTCTCCCCAGTGTGGGTTCTCATGTGTACGTTAAGAGCAGACGACCAGCTGAAGCTTTTGCCACAGATGGTGCAATCGTGTACGTTCTGCTCCCCTGTATGTTTCCTCATGTGCATGATCAGGGACCGTTTCCAATGGAAACTTTGGCCACAGTCAGAGCATATGTGCGATCGCTCCCCGGTGTGGGTTTTCTCATGTCTTAAAAGGTAAGAGGAGCATGAGAACCCTTTCCCACAGTGTGAACACTGATACGGTCTCTCTCCGGTGTGAGTCCGCTTATGCACATCAAGGTACGATTTCAGGATGAAGGATTTCCCGCAATCGGAACATCCATACGGCTTCTCTCCTGTGTGGGTTCTCCGGTGTGTAATAAGGCCCGAAATCTGCTTGAAGCTTTTGTCACACTCGGAGCACTCGTACGGCTTCTCTCCCGTGTGAGTCCTCTTATGCGTGACGAGGGTCGCGCCGTGGTTGAAGCTCTTCCCGCACACGGAGCACATGTACGGCTTCTCTCCGGTGTGGATTCTCCGGTGTGTGATAAGGTAATCTTTGCGGCCAAAGCTCTTCCCGCACTCGGGGCATTCGTAGGATTTCAAGACGGGTCCCACCGAATGGGACTTCTTATGTCTCCGAAACGATGCTGCATAGCGGAAGCACTTTCCGCACTCGGAGCACTGAAACGGCTTCTCTGCCGTGTGGCTCTGCTTGTGTATGTTGAGCGTCCCTTTCTCGCGGAAGCTCTTCCCGCAGTCGGAGCACTGGTACGGCTTCTCTTCAGAATGGGTCCTCATGTGCACGTTGAGGGCAGATTTCACAGTGAAGTTCTTCCCACAGTCGGAGCATTCGTAGGGTTTCTCCCCCGTGTGGATTCTCCTGTGCACGGCAAGGTGCGGCTTCCGATTGAAGCTCTTCCCACAGTCCGGGCACTTGTACAGCTTCTCTCCCGTGTGGATTCTCTCGTGCAGAATAAGGGACCCTCTGCGATAGAAGCTCTTCCCGCACTCGGAGCACGTATACGGCCTCTCCCCTGTGTGGATCCTCTTGTGCTGGACAACGTACGCTTGTTCCCGAAAGCTCTTCCCGCAGTCCGAGCACTGATATGGTTTCTCTTCCGTGTGGCTTGTCTCGTGGCCGAGAAGTTCGGGGCGGGAAGAGAAACCCTGGCCACACTGGGAGCAACTGTACGGCTTCTCTCCAGCATGACCCCTCTGGTGTATAACCAGCTGAGACCGCTTATGGAAACTTTCCTCGCAGGAGAGGCATTTATATGGATTCTCTTTCGCTGGTATCTCCTTCAGGTGCTCTGTATCCTGCAGGATTCCAGGTGTCCCTTCAATCTTAAGACCCTGGGGAGATTTCCCGCTGACTGTCCCCGAAGTTTCTCCTCCTCCTCGCTCGGCTGTTTCCAGCTGACTTTCCTCTTCATTCCCTGGCACTTGATCACTGCCTGCTAGAACAAAATGAGAGAGGGAGAGAAAAGAGTGTCCCAAATGGGTCCTGCAATAAAACATGACAGTGTGGAGTGTTCCTCTGGTCTGCCAGCCATACCCCCTCCTAAGAGACTCCATTCCATTGTCTCTCCCATCTGATTTTCTGGGTTCCCCGGCCCCCAACTGTCAGCATGTGACATCCTCATTGGGCTTTTTGGAAGAGTGGATTCTACCTTAGGGATTTTTTGTATTTCTGAAAGCCTTGATGTTTCACCCAATCCACTGATAGCTTATACAATTAAACTGATAGTTTACACAATTAAAATGTGGGGAGTGCACAGTCACTGCTTCTCAGCCTAACCCACCTCAAAGGGTTGTTGTGGGGATCAAATGAGGAGGGGGAGAACTACATATGCCTTAGAGGAAAAGGTGCTCAAGGGGGCTGAATACAGGCTTTGTCCCAAATGTTTGATGTTTTTATTATGTTTTAAGATACACTGTAAGCTGCCCAGAGTGGCTGGGGAAACCCAGCCAGATGAGTGGAGTATAATAATAATAATAATAATAATAATAATAATAATATAGTGGTACCTTGGTTGTCAAACTTAATCTGTTCCGGGAGTCCATTAGACTCCCAAAACGGTTCAAAAACCAAGGCATCGGACGTTTGGCTTCCAAATAACGTTCGCAAACTGGAACACTCACTTCCAGGTTTGCGGCGTTTGGGAGCCAATTTATTCAGGAGCCAAACCATTTGAGTTCCAAGGTACCACTGTAATAATAATAATAATAATAATAATATATTATTATTATTATTATTATTATTATTATTATTATTATTATTGACGTATTGCAACCCTAACAGAACAACTGCTAAAGTGAATAGCTACTCAAGGAAATTATGAACAACTACATAGGCCTATTGAGACACCTGAAAGTCAAAGGCAAGTATTCTATTGATATATTGCAGTTATTTTCATTGCTATATTTCTGTAACTCATCTCAGACCATTTGATGACAAGCAGGGTATAAATACAAACTAAAATTGTATTTTTATTGTTCTAAAGAGATGGATCTATCTATCTATCTATCTGTCTGTCTATCTATCAGGCCCTCCAGATGTTGCTGAACTTTCCGCTCGCATCATCCCTGACCAGTGGCCATCAGTTTAGAAGTGAGGAAATCAAATGGAATGTACCACGTCAGCTGACAGGGGGAGGAAGGCCACTTCTGAGAGCTCCACTTCCAGAAAGGGGGAGGGGAAAAAGACCACACAAATGAAGTGGCAGATGTTAAAAAACAAGAGGGGTTGGGGTGCAGAACTCAAAGGCGACTAGATGATAATAAAAAAAGCTGTGAGCCCAGGTGCTCTCAGGCACTTCGTTCTGTGGCTCATCCAAGCCCGTACAGCTGTTGAACTGTGTGTTTGTGTGTCTGTCCTGGAGGTTCTGAGTTCCGAAACAGAAGGAAGCTGCGTCTGTGAGAAGATGAGGCCCATCTGTCAGAAAGCCACTGTTTACAGCCTCTTCTTCTTTAACCACCTCTTCTTTGTTCTGGGGGCCATGCTGATGGGCTCCGGACTATGGCTCTTGTTTGACAAGAGAAACTTCATCACCATCTTGCAGATCTCGACCTCCACCATGTACATCGTGCCTTACACCCTGATTGGCGTTGGGGCCGTCACCATGGTGATGGGGTTCCTGGGCTGCGTGGGGGCCTTCAGCGGGAGCCGCTGTTTCTTGGGACTGTACTTCCTCGGCCTGCTGTTGCTCCTGGCGGCCCAGGCCACCACCTTCTTGCTCATCTACCACCGTGCGAAGGCCATGAAGGAAAAAACGCCCACCTTTGTCCTCCACCTCATCCGGTACTACGACCTGAGGCACGAAACCAACAGGTCCGCCATGCTTGCCTGGGACTATTTCCAATCCAGGATGTCTTGCTGCGGATGGATTGGGCCGGAAAACTGGAAGCTGAACCTCTTCCTCCAGCAGAGAAATTACACACTCTACCCTTGCTCTTGCGGCGTCAATGCCACCAGTTCGGACGCAGCGATAGGCTTCTGCCCTCTGGCCGCTCCTTCCGGCGCCTTCGACAGCTGGCCGGTGAGGAAGACGGGCTGCGTGGTCTCCGCCCGTAAATGGTTTCAAGAGAACAACGAAGTCATCATCGGGGTCTGCGCAGCCGTCTCTCTCACCGAGGTGTTGGGAATGGTGCTGTCCGTTTGCCTCTGCAAGAGCAAAGCACTCTGAGGAGAATTCACTGGAAGTGGCCAAGGGGCAAAGGCCACTTTTGATGCCGACACAGCCTCGGGGCAAATCTCTTCCATATTTTATTTTTAGTCCACTTCTGGGCCTGTCTTGACAAGTCTCTGAATGCGCCTCCTCCGCAGCTCTCTGTTACCATAGCTATGTGTAAATAAACCTTGTGTCTTACCCAATTTGGGGTAATTTGGGGGACTTTTGGCCACTGCTGTTGGGAGTGCTATCTCTCTCCCTTTCACTGTCAAACAAGAGAACCCTTACTCTAATTTGCCTCCCTTGCCTTCGCTTCCTCAGATCTGCTGAACCTGTTTGCTGCAAATGTTTGCAATATTTCACTACTTTGGTTAAAAAAAAAAGATGATTAAAAAAGTAAAATACTTATTTTTGCTTAGCGCTCAGTCTTTCGGACACCAATCAGACTAATGCTAGGAACAGCATTTTACATCACTGTGACTTACCCTGGGACCTCAGGATGAAGAGCGGGGTAGCAAAAATAACTAAGTGAATAGAAATAAGAGACTACCTGCCAGTTTCTTCTTCCCTTTCTCAGGTGCCTCAGATCCCTGTCGTCTCTTTGTTCCTCCCAGACCCCTGGAGTTCTCCTCCATCTCTGTGCCCTCGCTTCCTTCGCACGGTGCCCCACACAGCTCCCCTTCATCGTCGCTCTGCCACCCATCGCTCACCGGCACAACTATAAGGATGAGAGAGGGGGGCAGAAATGGAGCCTGAAAACTGCTGTGGAGAAATGGGGGTACAAGGGATACAGCCAAATACACGCCATTTCTGATTAACGTTGAAGTTGCTTTGTGATTGTAAGAGGCTCAGGAATGGATATCTGCTCAGAAAATCAACCTAAACCCAGCCACTTTGGGTGGCTCCCAACAGAATATTAAAAACACAATAAAACATCAAACACTAAAAAGAAAGAAAATGAACCTAAATATATTTAAAATAAAACTAATAAATAAGCAATGGTCCGACCTGATTTAATCTGATATAGTTAGATTAAATCAAATAAAAAAAGGAATATTCCGTGTTATGTTGGAGGGAATGCCAGGAAACAGGGAATTCTGTTCACATGTGGTGGGGGTGTAAATAAGTACAATTTTTCTGCCAAAGGGTGTTTAAGGAGATAACAGAAATCACTGGGTTAAAGCCGACCAAAAGTCCAGAGGTAGCATCATTATCAATTTACGATGGGGTGGAAGGTTCGCAGACCATGAAGGGCTTGCTCAGAAATTTATTGACAGCTGCATGAATTATGATCGCTAGGAAGTGGAAGGGGCAAGCAGAATATAAAATGGAAGAATGGTATAAAGAGGTGTGGGATATAGCTATTAACGATAAATCAACATGTGCCATTAAGGTAAGATGGGGAATATGCAGGAGAAATGATTTTGAGGAGATATGGAAGGTGTTTGTAGAATTTGTACCGTTAAAACGGAAAGGGGTCAAACCATCACAGGATGAATATTTGGGAGGTTGGATAGTTACAATGGAATGGTCTCGGGGGTGCGGTGCACATTTTTATTCTTATTTATTTAAGATTATTACTTTGTCAAAATAAAATAAAATAACTGGGGCGGGGGAATATAAATAAGCAAAGGTCAAATAAATCGCGCTCAGCGCACCTCTGAGAATTCCTCTCTTGGTTACTCCCTTCTTTCCTTCCATGAGGTAAAATATGAGTGCTGGCCTTACATTCTTAATCCCTTCGAAACCCTGGCAGGCTCAGGCCTAGAGACAAGGCCCAGATCTAAGCACCACTCCCTTTACTCAGGGCAGTATGACAAACAGCGGCTCCAGATCCATTCTCGAGAGAGATTGCTTCTATTAAACAAACGCCATATTTAATGAGTACCCACTTTCAGCAGCCTCAGTCACGGAGGAAACTTCCTCCTGAGACACTACTTCTTCAGATGCAGGGACTTCGGCTTGACTGATCTCTGCCTGGTTGTTGTCGCTCGCAGGCTCATCTTCTAGAGGATCAAGACAGACAGAGACAGGGGAAATGAATTCTAAGGAAGAAGGGGAAAAAACTCTCTCTTTCTCTCTCAAGAAATCACCTAAGAAACCAATGGGCAAAGGGTGCCATATATGGTTTGCTTCAGGGCTTTTTATTTTTCAGCCGGAACTTTCCGGAACTCAGTTCTGGCACCTCTCAGGTGGCCGCCATTGCCGTTACAGCAGAACCTTGGTTTTCGAACGTAATCCGTTCCGGATGACCGTTTGACTTCTGAAATGTTCAAAAACTGAGGATCAATGGGCAGTCGGCAAAATCAAATGAAAAAAATAGAAAAACATGCAGCGGAAGCCATTTGACTTCTGAGGCGCGTTCGAAAACAGAAGCAATTACTTCTGGGTTTTCGGTGTTCAGGTTCCGAATCATTTGGGCTTCCGAGATGCGCAAAAACTGAGGTTCAAGAGAACAAAGGAGGTGTTCATGGTGTTCTAGAAAAATAGCACTGGTTCGCTTCCATAGGTGGCTACGGTGTCCTAAAAATACCTCCATTTTAGATTCTGTCTGCACTGTTTTAGTTAGGAGTCCACTGGCACATCTAGTTTAGAAGTGTCCACACTGACTGGCAGCAGCTGCCCAGAATTACAGACTGGGGTCTCTCCCAGCCGTACCTGGAGACACTGTTGGGGAGGTTGAAACTGGGATTTACTGCATGCTCTACCACTGCGCTATGGCCGCTCCCTTTATAGATAAAGTAATAGCCCAGTCCTCCTACTTCTAAACAAACAGAGAAGCCTTTTTGTGACAGGCTGGGGATAAGAATTGCCCCTCACACAGGACTAGAGTCTTGTGACAGCAGCCCTCAAAATGTCAGGCAGGCAACGGAGGAGGGGAAGAGGAGGCGAGAGAAAAGACATGTCATAGGAACAGGAGGGGGGAACCTTTGGCCCTGCAGAACTACCACTCCCATCAGCCTTTGCAAGCAATGTCAATGTATGATGGGAGTCCAGCAACACCTGGGGGGCTGGATTTTCCCCTTCACCTGCCATAAGGGAAGCACAAAGAATTGTTACCCAGCAAAGCACAACTTCCATCTCCCTTCCTGGTGGGCCTCCTGACCCGCAGCGAACGCCGCACCTCCGAGGGAGCCTTCTCGGACTCAGGGAGATTGGCCGCCATCTCGGCCAGCGGCCTCCGCACCTAAAAACAGGGAAATGGTTGAGGGAGAGAAGGCAGCGCAGCCCAGAAAGGGATAGGCTCTGTCCCTTCAGGTCTGTGTGGCACTATGTCTGCTGGCAAGGCAGCGGCCGTCAATGTGGCAGTGTTAAGAACGCAATAAAAGCCTGACTGCTGGATCAGGCCGAGGGCCTACCAAGCCCAACATCCTGTTCCCACAACGGCCAGCCAGTTGCTGCAACGAGAAGCCTGCAGAAGCCTGGGTGAAAATCTAGGCCAGCGGTTCTCAACCTGTGGGTCCCCAGACGTTGTTGGACTACAACTCGCATCATCCTTGAGCTCTGGCCTTGCTAGCTAGGGGTGATGGGAGTTGTAGTTCAACAACATCTGGGGACCCACAGGTTGAGAAAGGCTGATCTAAGCAGTCATCTGAGGCTTGTGCTTTAGGACAGGAATTTGTCGTTGAAAGTCTACTCAATATTGATCCAGAGTGGATTCCAATGTATAGTTAGCAGTTAAACACGCTGCAGGATTCTCAAAAATAGACCAGCGGTAGCAGAGCTTTACTGCTACTGAAGGCAAATGAGCATAATGGTCAGAAATCCAATACATTCAGGATTGGCACTGTCCATAAGAAATCCAGTTGCAGCAAAGTTAACTTAAACTTACAATGACTTATAATAAGACTAAATATTAACACTAAGCATACAGAACACCATACCAGACGGAAAAGATATAGAAAGAGAAAGTAGAAACCCTTCTGGCCTCTTATTATAGATAGTATGACCTTGACTGAAAGAAAAAACAGAACCAGTTTAAACCAGCTGTACTCAGCGTCTCTGAAGGAATAACCCCAACAGGGCACACCAGTAAGAAATATCACCTACACAAGAGGTTCCCTGTTGCAGCTCTGCCTGAGTCTATGCTCAATACTCAGCTTCTTTCCCTTTGAGATGGCTACTCTTGTTGGAAGGGGGCACGGGTGGCGCTGTGGGTTAAACCACAGAGCCTAGGACTTGCCAATCAGAAGGTTGGCGGTTCAAAACCCCGCGACGGGGTGAGCTCCTGTTGTTTGGTCCCAGCTCCTACCCACCTAGCAGTTCGAAAGAACATCAAAGTGAATCTGAATCATATGAATCTGAATCACATTAATCTGAATCATATTAACATAAACTACTTTACTATAGAGGGACGCAGGTGGCGCTGTGCATTAAACCACAGAGCCTAGGGCTTGCCAATCAGAAGGTCGGCGGTTTGAATCCCCATGACAATATCCGCAAGGGACAATGACAATAAAGATATCGTAATATCATAATATGACGGGGTGAGCTCCCGTTGCTCGGTCCCTGCTCCTGCCAACCTAGCAGTTCGAAAGCACACCAAAAGTGCAAGTAGATAAATAGGTACCGCTCCGGCGGGAAGGTAAACGGCGTTTCTGTGCGCTGCTCTGGTTTGCCAGAAGCGGCTTAGTCATGCTGGCCACATGACCCGGAAGCTGTACGCCGGCTCCCTCGGCCAATAAAGCAAGATGAGCGCTGCAGACCCAGAGTCGGCCACAACTGGACCTAATGGTCAGGGGTCCCTTTACCTTTACCTTTACTCTTATTGGAACGCTATGCTTTCAGCTTGTGCAACCAGTCTCAGTGGCCTGGATCCACCATAGGGGAAATGAACTCACCTCTTCCCCTTGCCCTCTCTTCAGGAAATCCTCGGCAAGGGTCACGGCACTATCACAGTTTGCTGGTTGCTCTTCCTTGACGTAGTCCTGCATCTCCCAGGGAAGACTGGCCAGGAACTGCTCCAGGATGACCAGCTCCAGCATCTGCAGTTTGGTGTGCTTCCCGGGCTTCAGCCATTGGTGGCAAAGGTCCCAGAGCCGGTCGCAAAGCTCTCGGGGTCCTTGGACCTCCTCGTAGCGGAACTGGCGGAAACGTTGGCGATGGGTGTCCGAGTTGTCGACGGGCTCCTCTGAGATGTTCTGCCATGTCCTCTCCCTGCATTCCCTCCAAGGCCTGGGCTGGAGGAAGCGAGGGCCGTTTCCTGCCGTGGGGTCTGTCAGGTCATGCTCCCGCACAGATGTCAAGCGAAGATCCCGGGCTAACAGTTTTTAAGGACAAGAGGGGAATACCAGGATGGGGCATTTGATGGTCAATTCACTGGGCTCAATAGCAAACTATAAATTATGTTGATCAATACTAAAATATTTTTATTTATGCAGGATGTAATCCATTGGCGCTGTGGGTTAAATCACAGAGCCTAGGACTTGCCGATCAGAAGATTGGCGGTTCGAATACCCGCGACAGGGTGAGCTCCCGTTGCTCGGTCCCTGCTCCTGCCAACCTAGCAGTTCGAAAGCACGTCAAAGTGCAAGTAGATAAATAGGTACCACTCCGGCAGGAAGGTAAACGGCGTTTCTGTGCGCTGCTTTGGTTTGCCAGAAGTGGCTTAGTCATGCTGGCCACATGACCCGAAAGCTGTACGCCGGCTCCCTCAGCCAATAAAGCGAGATGAGCGCCGCAACCCCAGTCAGTCACAACTGGACCTAATGGTCAGGGGTCCCTTTACCTTTACTAATCCGTTGGAGCAGTCAAATACAACATTCCTTGTTTCCCTAGAGTGAACACAGGCAGGGGGAGTGTTACTCCAGCCAGCGTAACTTCCTGTTCCACTGGTCTGCAGCGTTCTCCCCCTGCATGTGAACAGGGAGGTGGGCGTGACCCTGGCTGACTCCATAAAAGAGCCAAGTCACGCAGCCATCTTCCTCTTGCTGCCATGCTGCTCTCCTGCAGCCATTTTCTTCTCTTGATGCTGTTCTCTTAATGTATTTTGCTGTCTGCTGGCTCTCGGCCAGCAGCACATGGGCTCAGTCCCCATATGGGATGAACTCACACTTTGTTACGTAACTACTAGCTAAAACCTGCCTTCAGGGATCATACTGTGAACTGAATGCGAGTAAAGTTCTTGTTACTGTTAAGGAAAGACTCTTGTGTCATTATTCTTTTAAGAGGGATAAAAGGGGACACCAGGAATAATCGATCTGGGCAAGCCAGATTGGATTGCTTAACTAAAGGGATTCAAATGAATCTGCAAACTTGCTTCCTACTGAATTGAGGGGAATCTGCTCTGCTACATGACTCACTAGCGTGAGTGATAATATTTAATCACTGTATCCTCTCCTATTATCCTTAACATTCCCACAATTTATCTGCAGGTCTCAGGGTGGTTCACAAAATAAAACCACAAGATAAAACCACAAAATACATAATCCAATAACACACACACCCCAAACACATTTTAAAAGGGCGTCAGCCAAAGGCCTGGCTAAAGAGGAACATTTTTGCCAGGTGCCTAAAGATATATAATAAAGGCACCAGCCGAACCTCCCTGGGGAGAGCATTCCACAGACTCATACGCTCGGTCTCTTTTTACAGAAAGCTGTATTCCAGCAGCGCCTTTTGTGAAGTTTAGTTGCTGACCTACCTGGACTGGCTGGGAGAGAGTAGGAGTGCTCCAGCCCCACAACATCGCTCCCAGGGGAAGGCACTTCTGCCTCGCTCTCCTTGGTTTTCAACTGACGGCTTGGTAGAGGATCACGGCGGACGTGGGGTCGCCTCTTTTTACTGCCCTGTGTGAAAATCAAACTTTGAACAGTGGCCTACCATTGGCCTATGGGATAATAATAAAATAATAATAATAATAATAATAATAATAATAATAATAATATACCCCGCCCATCTGGCTGGGTTTCTCCAGCCACACTGGGCAGCTCCCAACAGAATATTAAAAACAAGATAAAACATCAAACATTAAAAATTTCCCTAAACAGGACTGCCCTCAGATGTCTTCTAAAAGTCAAATAGTTGTTTATTTCCTTGACATCTGATGGGAGGGCGTTCCACAGGGCGGGTGCCATTACCAAGAAGGCCCTCTGCCTAGTTCCCTGTAACCTCACTTCTCGCAGGGAGGGAACTGCCAGAAGGCCCTCGGAACTGGACCTCAGAGTCTGGGCTGAACGATGGGGGTGGTATACTGGGCTGAGGCCGTTTAGGGCTTTTAAGATCAGCACCACCACTTTGAATTGTGCTCGGAAACGTACTGGTAGCCAATGTAGGTCTTTCAGGAACGGTGTTATATGGTCTCGGCGGCTGCTCCCAGTCACCAGTCCAGCTGCCGCATTATGGATTAGTTGTAGTTTCCGGGTCACCTTCAAAGGTAGCCCCATGTAGAGTGCATTGCAGTAGTCTAAGTGGGAGATAACTAGAGCATGCACGCAAGCACACTCCCTACTTGTGATTCCCAGCAAGTGGTATTCAGAGGCATTCCACCTGCAGCTATGTAAGTCATAAAGGCCCTCTCTACACGCTGGGTCTAAGGTGCTCCCATGAGATCTCACAAGAACATCCCAGGGCATCTGGAGTCAGAGCACAGAGAGCACCTTGCTCCCCAAGGAAGGCAGAGAAGCAAAGATTATTCTTTCTAAGGAGGAAAGGGTTCCTGTGTGGTAAGGCTGCTCTTGCCAGCGGCTCCAGGTACAACAAAAAGCAAAAAAAAAAAAAAAAAGCTATTTTGAGAGGCTCTGAGTTCCTTGGGGCAGCGAGGCCCTTTCAGCAAGCCAGCCACAGGGAAACCGGTATACTTGCGAAGGGACGGCTCCAAGGGTTCGAGTACACACATTTCTGCATATACGTAGAACACTCTGAGCCAGACCCCCGTGTAGGGCACAATTGTACTGTATAGCAAAGGCGTCCATCCACGAGATTGATGGGAGGACGGTGAGATTTACCTTCTTCAGCCGCTCGGGTATGTTAAACATTGTCGGAATCGCTTCAGGCTTTAAGTACCGCCTCCCGGAAGCTACGTTTTCAAGGTAGTCCGTCTCGCAAAAATGTTCCGAGCAGATCACATGGTGCCGCGTGGGAGTGAAGTTCTTGCGACGGATGTTCCAAACCCACTTTTTCAACAGATCTTTTTTCCCCAGAGGAAACCTATGACAAGTATGTGATATACAGTCATACCCCGGGTTACAGCCACTTCAGGTTGTGTTTTTTCGGGTTACGGACCGCCGAAACCCGGAAGTACCGGAACAGGTTACTTCCGGGTTTCAGCAGTCGCGCATGCACAGAAGCGCTAAATCGAGCTTTGCGCATGCGCAGAAGCGCTGAATCGCAACCCGTGCGTGCGCAGACGCGGGTTGCGAACACTGTGGGTTGCGAGCGTGCATCCCGCAAGGATCACGTTCGCAACCCTAGCATCCACTGTGTGTGTGTGTGTGTGTGTGTACACACACACACACACACATATATATATATATACACACACACACACACACACACACACACACCGTATTTTTTGCACCATAACACTCACTTTTTCCCTCCTACAAAGTTAGGGGAAATGTCTGTGCCTACGGGTGGCATGCCTATGGATTTTCCTCCTCTAAAAACTATGTGCGTGTTATGGTCGGGTGCGTGTTATAGAGCGAAAAATACGGGGTGTGTGTGTGTGTGTGTGTGTATATATATATACACACACACACACACACCGTATTTTTTGCACCATAACACTCACTTTTTTCCTCCTAGAAAGTAAGGGGAAATGTCTGTGTGAGTTATGGAGGAAATGCACATATATGTGTGTGTATATATATATATATATATATATATATATATATATAGCACAAATGGATTAAAAGTCCCAAACTCCTCTCCTCACTGATACCCAGAAGCTGTGCTCATAACTATGAAACAAACACACACGGCTATAACTAGATAGAATCAGAGAGATGGAAGGGACCACAGGATCATATTCTAGACCAACCCCCTGCCATGCAGGAATATGCAACTGGCCCACACAGGGATTGAACCTGCAACCTTGGTGTTATTAGCACCACGCTCTAACCAACTGAGCTATCCCAGCAAGTACTGCCTGACCTTTAGTCAGACCCTTGGTCCATCTAGTTTAGCACATTCTCCCTCACAGGGCTACAATCTCCAGAGGGGTTTGACAGCCAATCCCTCTCCCCAGGGAACTCTGGAAATTATAGTTCTGTGAGGAGCATAGGGGGTTCTCCTACGAACTCTCTGCACCCTTAACAAACTACAGCTCCCAGAATTCTTTGGGAAAAGCATGACTGTGTTGAAGGAGGTTTACTCTTGCCCAGGAAAAATGTAAGGGCTGATTGCTTGCGGCTGGTTTTAAGTGCAAGATTGCTGATTGCTTATACCTGGCCAAATCTGAATGGCAACTGCTGAATCAGCAACTGGCAACTGGCCAGAATGTGATTGTCCTGCCTATATAAGAGGAACTAGACCAGCAAATTCTATCTGCTGCACAATATCTCTGCTGTATAACACCTACCTGCTTGCTGCTGCTGGGCTATGTGCTGTGCTTGGAGCTACATATGAACCTGCAACTGGGATCTGTACTTTGCTGTGAGTTTTGCTGTGCAGTCCAGGTGGCAATTCTCCACCTAAGGGAGTAACCCTGCTAGTGCTCTAGCAGGAGACTCTGCAAACATGTTAACTGTGTATGATCAAGCCTACCAGTAAATGAAGCCGCTGACTAAGTTTGCCGTCTATTTTTCCCTTTTGCTGGTGCAAAGGGAACTTGCTCAGGCCTCTCACATTTGGAGCTGTTTCCTGATCATGCCCAAGTGCTCCAACAGACTATTTAGAGTGGTATAATAATAATAATAATAATAATTAATTTATTTATACCCCGCCCTCCCTGGCCAGAGCCGGGCTCAGGGCCGCTAACACCAGTAAAATTACAATAAAAACATAATGGTGGGGGGAACCAATTTAAAATACAGGTTAAAAAAACAATTTAAAATGCAGCCTCATTTTAAAAGTAGCCCATAGATCAAAACCATAAGGGGACCAAAACATAAGGGACAGACTGAGTCCAAACCAAAGGCCAGGCGGAACAGCTCTGTCTTGCAGGCCCTGCAGAAAGATGTCAAGTCCCGCAGGGCCCTAGTCTCTTGTGGCAGAGCATTCCACCAAGTCAGGGCCAGTACTGAAAAGGCCCTGGCCCTAGTTGAGACCAATCTAACCACCTTGCGACTTGGGATCTCCAAAGTGCTGTCATTTGTGGACCTCAAGGTCCTCCGAGGGGCATACCAGGAGAGGCGGTCCCGTAGGTACGTGGGTCCTAGGTATGATACTGCTTTAAAGTTATAGTGCAGATGGGGCCACAGATTTTGATGGAGGGGGGACAGAGGAGCAAGGAAGCAGGAACACTGGCTGGCTTCTAAGAAAGGATACCTCTCCGTGCAACCCCAGCATCAGCATGTTGATTACAGATATAGTTTGGGGATGGGGAACTACCAGTTTGTGGGCTTAATCCAGCCCGCCAAGTCTCTGAAGGTGGTCCCCAGCACTCTTCTTATGCCCTTGCTCTCTCCCGAGGTGCAATTGATGAGCAGCAAAGCATCACCAGGGCCGGTGGAGGGGTACCACAGAGTGGAGATGACAGCTTAGCAATGGGGGAAAATGAGCTTGCAGTCAAAGCTATATGCAGACAGTACCATTTCAGACTGCAGGTGGGGTGCTCACATAATTTCAATGCTCACATGATAGAACGTTTCCCGCTTTAGTTAATAATATATATATGTATTTAAAGATTCCTTGCTTAGTACATCAGGAGGAAGCCATAATTATAAACTATCCTCTTTGATATGGTAACATGAAAATTGTTAGAAGGGCCCTGCCAGATCAGACCAGTGGAGCTGCCACATCACTCACTGCATGTCCTCCATTATTTGCTAGCTTTCTATATGCAGGGAATGTACCAAGTATGGAGGAAATTCAGTTCAAGCCTAAGGGCATCATAAAGGCACCTTACCTGTGAAATGAGATATTGTTGCCCAGCAAAAATTTGTTGTTGCAGTTTATTGCACAACATGATTTCACCATGATGGCAGAGATGTAGCTGCTTGCCGAAAACTGTAAGGGATAACGGTAGAGAGTGGTTAACAGCATGAAGCACAGTTTACAAGAGGAATCTGAAAGACGCTCCCTTCCATACTTTCTCAGGGGTTAAAATCAGCGCGGGGGGGGTGTGTCTTGGTAGTTTCATCACCCTCATTCCTGGGGGGGGGGGGGGAGGCAGCCCAAAAGAGGGCTTTCTCTGTAGCAGCCCCTACAGAGGGCTGCTCCCCATAGATGTGCCAGAAGGAATTCCCTCCCCACAGATGTGCGCTGGGTACCTTCATTGTACAGCTTGCAGTACATGCAAAAGACACCCATCTTTACTTTGGCGTGCGTTCACACACACACACACACACACACAACCCCCCCAGGATCATCTAGTCTAACCTCCTGCAATGCAGGAATCTCTTTTTTATATCATATTTTTTAATTAATTTTCCATTTCAATCCAATAATACCCTAACACCAAATTATAATACAATTACTAATACCAATTTATATAATTACCAAATACCAAATTATATAATTTAGGTAGAATTGGCGGTTTGATGATTTTCTTTATTTGTGAGTTCCAAAATCTTATTACTTTCAATTACATCCCAGTCAAAATAATAATCCCTTCTACAACAACTGCAATATTAATAACTTCTATTCGTGCTGACACATTAAATGATTTATAGAACTACAAATGAGGAACTCAATCTATATCCTTGTTCTTCCTGTTTGTGACAATTATTCTGTCCATGTTATTTCTTCCTGTACTTGTAAAATGCTTTGTCTATCTTTTCCCGGTTGTTGCTGTTCTCCGTCATGCCTGAGCTGATATCCCATTGTTGTTTCAGAGATTTCTCCATCGCTCTGTCATTTTGCAACTTTAACAACAGCTGCAAAAAGTTGCAAAGTTGCAATGCAGGAATCTCAACCAAATCACAGATGGCTAACCTCCCTTCCACCACATTTATGAAAGATTTGAATGTATTACATTCCAAAGGCCTGTCCGATGGAGTTGTAACTCAGCTAATTGGGAACCACTGAAGACCATTCCTATGTGAAGTACTGCGGACCCCGTTTTTCAAAAGCCCAGCCATAGACCCCCTACATTTGAAAATGTTGACACCTCTATGGTCGTTTTTGTTATGTGAATGGTGCTCATGGACCCTTGGGTGGGTTACGCAGACCTTGGGGGTCCACGGACCACAGTTCTAAATCATTAACAACAACAACAAAGCAATCCTGGCAACAACAATAAACGACTCTTGACATCCCAGTATGAACAATACTGAGCTACAAGGGCCACAGCACTTACGTTCAAGGCACTTTCCTATGTCCCTAATTCCCAATCCAGTTCCCCCCGCCCCAATTCTATTTTATTAAGTTTCAACATTTTTAACACACGCCGTCAAACCACAATTTCAGCTTTTCTGTTCCTTCTGACGCCTTCCCGCCCTTTAACCCCTCGGAGTTGCTGTTTCTCCCCTTCTGCTCTCTTCTCCCTAGCAAACCATAACCACCACATTATGGTTCCTAACCCAGTTAATATTTTTCTTTTTTGGGAGGCGAAGGGCAGCGAAAATCAGAGGCGGATCACCACCTCTGCAGGCAGGAGATCCCAGGACCCACCCGCAATGGCATCTCCAGGAAGGACTCCCTTCTGAAACCTGCCTAGAGCAGCTCCCCCAAGTTCCTAGTCCCTAAGAGAGGCGGCATTTGAACCAGCGGCTCAGGGGCTCCAGCCTTTGGAGCCGCTCTCCGCCTCCACGGCCGCCCACGGCAACGGGGTCCCCACTTTTCCACCCCCAAAAATCAAACCCGCCGCACCTTCCGCTGGCGGCTCCCTCCATGCAACCAGCCTCCAGCTGCTCTGCCAGGCAATGCGGCTCCTCCTTCGTGGCCCGAGAGGAGCAGGACCGGAAGGTGCGCCCGCTATTCCTTCCCCCCAACAACACCGGGCCTTGGCTCCGAAGGGCCGCTTCCTTTCTAGGAAGGCGAGAGTTCGGCTGCTGGTTGCCTTAACCCCTTCGTGGCGGGATCCAACCGCCAGGTGTCAGCGGACTCCCCCCCCCCCCGCGTTTTTGTTTCTTCTGGGTTACTTACCCAATAATAATAAAACATTTTTTATTTTACAAAGGGAGATTGGTAGAGCAAAAAGAAAAAGAAGAAGCATTGCATTGCACGGTTTTTGCAGGGTTGGTGTTTTTTTTTGAAGTTGGAATGGAACACGCATTTTACAAAGCGCACTCACACGAGAAAGTGCAACCGACGAAGAATCTTGAAAGTTGGGAGAACGAGGAGAGAGAGAGAGAAAGAAATAGAAAGAAATAGAAAGAAAGAAAGGCATTTCAGATTGTAAGCTTCACTTTCCTCGCTTGTTCGTTTTAAAAAACCAAACCAGGGTGTTGTTAATGGGAGGGGAAGGCGGGATTAAGGGGAGAAAACCTGACAGTTTATTGACTCGCTCAAAATCTTCTGTGTCCTCTGAGAGAGGTGGCCTTCTTGGTGGTGGCCCCCTAAAATACAGAAACACACCTCCTCCCCCCCCCAACGCACACAGAGAGGTCTGGGTCTCTGGCCCCATCTCTTTTACACCTTCCAGTTGGTTGATGAAGACGGCCTTCGGAAACCGAATATTTTTGGCTGCCCTCTATCTTTGTTGCATTTCTATCCCGCCGTCTTCCCCAAAGAGCTCGCACTGGTGTTCATGGTTCTTCTCCCCCTCCTCAATGAATCCCCCCAACAGCCCTTTGAGGTAGGCTAGGCTGAGAGTGAGCTTCATGGCAGAGTGTGGATTTGAACCCGGGTCTCGTTGTTAAAGGAATTTCAAAGCATTCCCTGCTTACCCCAAGGATTTGGTGGCTGGAACATCTGCCCTGGCAACCCTGAAATTACTGGTTTTGAGAGCGGGTGTGGAGTTTTAGGACTTTTAAACAGTTTTTAGCAGTTTTAATTGTATTGTATCGGCATTGTTTGCTACCCTGGGCTCTTTTGGAGGAAGGGTGAGATATAAACTTAAGTAAATCAGGCACATGCTTTTGGGAGCAAGTATTCCCATTTGCATCAAGCAGGTGTTACAAAGCAATAAACTAATTTCCGCCTGCCCCAAAGTCCATTTTTCTCTCCCTAAACTGCACCAAGGCTTCACTTCGTCCCATATTTGACTTTCAAGTGCTTTTTGAGAACTTTTTTTAATGCCAACAGCCGTATGCCATTGTTTAAAATTTATCTAAATTTTCTCTTTTAAAAAAACCTCTTTAAATTTCTCTTTAAAAGTAGCCAGCCACTTTCCTGATTGTTCTGTATTGCTTTAAAATGTTTTAATGTATGACTGCATCGAATAATTGAAGACATGACTGCTCTTGCCACTTGTGATGGGATTGCTTATAAATGTAGACTTTGAATGGACAAGTGTATAAATGTTCTCAATTTCATTACAACATATAGGTTAAAAATAAAGACATATGTATTTGGATGATAATAACATCTATATATTAGATAAGCATATATGGAATTGTAATTCTTATAGTGATACAGTATAGCATACCTTTCTTTTTTATATAAAAAAAATCACGTTCTCACTTTTTTTTTCTATGTTCTTTATTTTAAGTGTTGTTAAAAATGCCGTCCTCCGTTGTCTCCTGAGACGGATGGATGCCAATAATAATAATAATAATAATAATAAATGAATAAAACATTTTAATGTTGCTCTCCACCTCTCTGAAGTTTTGCAAGAGCGTAGCATATAAATAAATACTTTAATAAACAAAATACATTTTCTTGCAAGGAAGAAGCCCATTGAGCTCTGTGAGGCTTACATCCGAGTTAAAACACACAGGGATCTTCATATTCCCCTTCTCCAAACCCGCTATCTTATTCCTGATGGATGCACACACTGTGGCAGGCCTGCCCAGGATAATTTCATTATTTTCTCCTTTCCACTCCTCCTGGTCTCCCCACGCAGCCAGCTTTGTAACTGCCCCACCACAGAGATAGAAAAAGAGAGGTATTGCAACAGAGCCTTCACTTCCGGCTCCTGTCTTCAGGCCTCTGCAAGGAGTATAATGCAAAAAGCAAGTTTCCCTCCACCAGCCCACCTCTGACCTTTTAAAGTGATTAGTTTTGCTGTTCTTTATGTGGCGCCATTAATATGCACGGCACTTTGCTTGGGAAGCAACAACTCATGAAAAAGCAAATATAGCTCTGCTGCTGGTCCACAAGGGGATGGTGAAATTCACAGCTACATTGACTGGCCTCCAGGACTACAACTCCCATCAGTCCCAGTGAGCAGGGGTTGTAGTCGAAAAAAATATATGAGGGGGCACCAAGTCTGGCCTTGAAGCAGAGCTTTCCAAACTGTGTGTCGTGACACATTAGCGCGTCAAGCTGGAAAGGGGTTAGTTTAGCCTCTGGTTTGCTAGTAAAACTGAATTAAAACTGTGTCGCGAAATGGTGCATGTCTAAAATGTGTGTCACCAACATGAAAAGTTTGGAGAGCTCAGCCTTGAAGAATAGAGAGTCCAGCTGTTTAAGGCTGAATCTGCAACCAGAGGATTTTCCACTATCTGAAGATAAGGCTTTGCATTTTGTGAGGTTTGCACTCCCTTCTGACCATGAGGAAATGGCCTCAATTGACTACTTTTAATAGCAATAATAATTTTATGAGTTATACTTTGCCCATCTGGCTGGGTTGTCCCAACCCATTCAAAAGCAATCTCTGGTGTGTGTGTGTGTTTTGCCACAGATAAGTATACAAGCACTGAATGTTGAAAGATCTGAAGCAGATTTTTAAAAAAATTCCTTCATGCAGCACAAAGTTAAACTGTGGAACTCACTCCCACAGGAATCTAAGGCATAAACTGCCTCTGATAAACGTGTACACAAGCTGACCAGCCAAATTTTGGTACTGTACTTAACAAAGAGCTGATGATGAAAGGTTCTGTGGAACCCAGAGGCTTGCCAGGCATTCTGCCAGATAAGGGTTTAACTTTGCGATGCATTTTATTGTTTTATGTCTTTTATTCTGGTTTCTTTATTAGTCTTGCAATGTAGCTTCAGCTACACAGATAAATATTATTTCTTTAACTTCTGTGCCACCCCTTATCTGAAGATCACAGGGTGGTTGACGCTACAGAAACAATATTCCAAATATAAACACAACCATACAAATATTCAGAATATAAACACAATATTTGGAAGCTTGCCACTGTTGTGATATCTGGGTTGGAACCGGAACTCAACCCCCTGCCCCAAACACCTAATAATTTTGAAACTGCAGTCGACGAGATCCTGTGATTTCCACCATCACCTTCTGATTGCTACCCATCTATGATTTCCACTCATCACTCCCCACAGGAGGGGAAAGTGCTCTTGGGCTTAAATCCTGCTTGTGGGAAGTGGGGACCCCCAGTAGTCATCTAGTCTAACCCGCTGCAATGCAGGAATCCCAGGAACGGCTGGCGGGGAAAACTTCCAGCCTGAAACAGCGGAGAGCTGCTGCCAGTCAGTACAAACAACACGAAAGCTTATACAGTATTAGAACAAACTTAGTTGGTCTATAAGGTGCTACTAGACAAAATATTTAAAAAATAAAATTTTTATTTAACACTGAGCTGGATGAGGCAAGTTCCTCTTTCCCTACGAGTGTTGAGCACAGGTTTCTCCTGCGCAGGCCACGCACAGATGCAATCTAGGGTTAAACTGCAAGAAATTTTAAAAAGTGCCATTTATTATTTTGCATCAGCAAGCGCAAGGAACCCACAACACGCGCCTCTGCCTCCCCCCTTTTCATCTTCCACTTAGGGTGGCTCTTGTTACACCAAGCGGGAAGCGGCGCTGAAATGGGCTGCGCCATTTCAGGCTACAGGGTGGGTTAGGTTTATTTTTTAAAAAATAAAAATAAAAACAAACCAGCTGCACCTTGCAACGAGAAAGGTGCCGCTGTAGGAGATTCCCCCCCCCCTATGCCGCGCTGCTTTTCTGCTTGCAGCGGTTTTGAAACGACCTGCATATATCATGTCATTTAAAAGTTGGTATGTCCCGCTAGCTGCCTGTCTGGAGCGGAACAAACCATTTCGCCACCCTGTTCCGGGGGGGGGGTGAGGAGTTGGAGCTAGAGAGAGGAAAAAGAAGGAAGAGACCAAGGCCTAAATCATTCCTGACTTCATTTTAACAGTTTAAGCCAGTTCAAGGTGGGAGGGGGGAGGGAGGCTTCCCCAGAAAAGAAGAAGAGGGGAGAGTTTCCTTGACCCAACCCGCGAACGTGTGAATGCGACTCCTGGTAGGCTGCAGTGTTTGCAAAAAAGCGGGGGGAAAGAGAGGGGTGAATCTGGGCTTCGGCGGGTTTCCTTGCAAAAGGAGCTGAGTGCATCGGAAGGAGAAGCAAGCGAGTGCTGTTGTTTTCCTGCCCCTTCCTCCAGCTGTGCGAGGGGGGCCCAAAAGGTGCGGAGCAGTGGGGTTACCTCTTTGCATTTCTGGGTGTCTTTGGAAGCGCGCGCGCCCTCCAAAACGTAGACTTATTAAAAAAGGCTGCATAGACTGAAGAGCCTCATTGTCCGCAGAGGAGACTTCGCAGTCGCTTGCGAAGCCATTTTGTTTGCGAGGAAGGCAGAGCTTTGCCTACAGAGAAAACACATCCTGGATTTTTATTTATTATTTTTATTATCATTATTATTATTTATTAATGAAACAGGGAGCTGTGATTTTGGTGGCAGGGGAGGGGTGTTCCTGTTTTTGTTTTCTAACTCGCATTCTTATTTCCTAGGGGAAAACGTGTGGTTGTTGTTTTTAAATTACGCATTTGTTGCTTTTGAAAAGATGCACGTGGGAAGGCAGTTTTCGGAAGAGGGGGCGGGGAGCAAGCCGTAGCTCAGTGGCTTTGAGTGCAGAAGGCCCCAGGTTCAGTCTGCGGGTAGAGCCTGGAGCCCCCAGCCTCAAAACCTGGAGAGCTGCTGCCAGCCCGTGTTGACTCTATGGAGCTGTGCGCCCTGAGCTAGATGGGCTCCGTGGGAGGGAGTCAACGCTCCTCCTGCTCCGAGTAAACCCATGAACATGCTTGACTTTAATTTCAGTGGGTCTGCTCTAGGCAAAACTGAAGTTGCAAGTGTAAGGCGGCTTTTTGTGTTGCAAAGGAAAGTGTTTTTGTTACTGTCCTCAATGTTGTGGAAACATGGGTTGCGACCCTATAGGGTAGCCCTGGTGCACAAAGTGGACAAGACTCTTGCACCCTTTATTAGTCCAGCTGGGATAGCTTGGTTGGTTAGAGCGTGGGGCTGGTGACGGCAAGGTTGCAGGTTCGATCCCTGAATGGGGCAGCTGCATATTCCTGCATTGCAAGACTAGAAGATGCTCAGGGTCTCTTACAATTCTGTGATTATATGATCTCTGTTTAGTCACATCAAAGAGGGAGTTTCCTTCCTCTACATAACTGTTAAAGCTGTAAGGGCCCTGGCCTCTTTGGCATCCAGCTACCTTACATCCCTTCGAGTTAGTCCACTGCTCATAGTGTGGGTTGCGAGGGTGGTATTGTGCCAGCCTTGCAATTCAGTCCAATGCGGTTACGCTCTCGGGCAGCAATCCTGTGCCCGCTTACCTGGGAGTAAGTTCCATTGAGCTCTGTGAGGTACTGAGGCTTACTTCTAAGTAGGCTCATATATCAGCATGGTACTGTTGCTGCAGGTTGAGGGTTCCTGGGGGGTGGGTCATGTATCCCATATTACTACTACTACTACTACTGTTTATTGCCTTTATGTCCTACTTTTTACTCCAAAAAGCTCAAGGGGGCATTTATGGTTCTCCCCCATTAATTTGATTTTGAATTGATTTTAGAGTGAATTGATTTTAGAATGCTGTGTTACTTTTATTGTTGTTAGCCGCTGTGAGCCCAGCTTTGGCTGGAGAGGGCGGGATATAAATAAAATTTTATTATTTTATTATTATTATTTGATTCCCACAACCACCCTGCGAGGCAGGTTAGGCTGAGAGGCAGTGACTGGCCCAAGAAACATCCACTAAAATTGCCTTGTCCCACTCTCTGTACAGACCCAGTGCTCAATTACCTACAAAAGCCTTGTGCTCCGCTGATATGCAAGCAGGATGCATATCACCCAGCCAAGCAAAATGCAACATGAGAATTTCATGCCGAACCACAAGCAGAGCAACATGCATCATTCTGGATTTTTATGTCTATAGCTCCAACTATATCTCTGTTTGTCACTATTTTCTCTTGCTCTTTCCCCTGGTAAATCACACTCCCCACTTCACCTCTCAGACAGAAGTAAACCCACTGAACGAAACAGGGCTTAAACTTGGAATAAACATGCCCAAGATTGCATCTTCCTTTACCATCTCTGAGGGGGATCCCATTCGAACAGAGAGAGAGAGAGAGAGATTCTCCGATATGTCATGGCCATAAATGCACAATTGCTTTTACAAAATTAACACTTGATCTTATCGCCTTCTGCCTTTCTGGATTGCCTTTGGAAATCACTTTTAAAGCTGCAAGGAATTTTCTTTGGATCAGTGTTTCTGTGTGTTCTGCAAGACAAGACACTGTTCATTACATCACCCAGTTCCCCCTCTATAAAGATCCTCGTGGAAAACATCTGTCTTGAGTTCAGCTGTGGGGGAAATGTTATTACGTCAACCGAGTTTGTGTGGTTTTTACTGCTGGCCAAGGAAAATAAGGCTACCTTGTATTTTTGTTGGCTGCTGGGAAATTAAAAGCCAGATTTGCGGCTCAACTGTTGTCGTTCAGTCGTGTCCGACTCTTCGTGACCCCATGGACCAGAGCACGCCAGGCACTCCTGTCTTCCACTGCCTCCCGCAGTTTGGTCAGACTCATGTTTGTGGCTTCGAGAACACTGTCCAGCCATCTCGTCCTCTGCCGTCCCCTTCTCCTTGTGCCCTCCATCTTTCCCAACATCAGGGTCTTTTCCAGGGAGTCTTCTCTTCTGATGAGGTGGCCAAAGTCTTGGAGCCTCAGCTTCACGATCTGTCCTTCCAGTGAGCACTCAGGGCTGATTTCCTTCAGAATGGAGAGGTTTGATCTTCTTGCAGTCCATGGGACTCTCAAGAGTCTCCTATGAGTGCCTTTTCCCCACTTTGTTCCAGCAGAACAAATAAAATGGTTACTGTTGAATCAACTCCCTTCCCCTAAAGGTTGTGGAATGTTAGACTAGCAATTTCCCTAAAGAAGGAATTGGTCAGCCTGCAGCCTAACAGTGTGGGGTAGTGGTTAGAGAGAGTCAGGCTAGGAGACCAGGGTTCAAATCCCCGCTCATTCATGAAGCTCACCGGGTGTGACTTCGGCTCAGTCTGACCTACCTCACAAGGTTATTATGGGGTGTAAATGTAGGATTGCCATAACTCTGGAATCTCCTGGACTTATCCAGAATACTGCATCTGCAAGCAGTGTCTGGGCGGAAGTCGGTGAAATGTCTGGTCAGATCCAGACATATTGCAGCCCATGTGTCGGCAGTATCGTTCTTGCCTCAGAAATAGCTCAAAAACTTCCCATTTCTTTGTGATTTTGCTAAAAAAAGCTCAACAACGCCTCCTCTCCGGATTTGAAATATGGCAACCCTAATAAAATGAGAAGGGAGGGAACCACGTACACCACCCTGAGGTTGGTTTGCTCAGTTTTATTCCCTACCCCAAATAAAGCCCTGAGAAGTGAATATTTGCATTTAATGCCTCTTTTGTTTCCTCTTTTCCAAGGCGTTAGCTGGAGATGTCCTCTCATACTTTGCCCTTGAGATTCTCTCTAGAGGGTTAAATCCACCAAGTCAAGATTCCTAGAGGAATACCTGTCTAGGAACCAAAGATGTGAATGGTCAAAGTCCTAGACAGGCAAGACATTGACTAGGCTCTTGCATACTACCATAGTGGCAGTATTCTCAGTGGAAAGAACCCCAGCAATTGAGGGGTGTTGAGCACCATCCTGGACCCAGTGTGCTTCTGGAAATATGGGCAAGAGGAACAAACGTTCTGCTTTGCCAATTTTTTTTTAGGTTGGATCCAGCTCTTTTCACCTGTACACTCGTAATGGCTGGAGTTAACACAGAGACGTAAACGTCCATCTGCTCATTGGGTCAACCTCAGAAGGAGTCCACGCGCAGACATGGCGAGCTGTTGCTCAGTGCCCAGATGCAACAACCGGCGTTGGCGTGGATCCCACGTCACGTTTCACAGGTAAGCTGGGCCACCTGGAAGGAATTGTGGTGGGTGGGGTATGAACGATTGCAAAATCTCCTCCTGCCTTGCTCAAATATAGTGCAGTTCTGTGACACAATTCTGGGCACCACCATTTTCATTGTCTGGAAACCAAGCCTTACGAGGAGCGCTTGAAGGAGCTGGGTATGTTTAGCCTGGAAAAGAGGAGACTGAGGGGAGATAGGATAGCCATCTTCAAATATCTCAAGGGCTGCCACATGGAAGATGGTGGAAGCTTGTTTTCTCCTGCTCTGGAGGGTAGGACTCGAACCCATGGCTTCAAGTTACAAGAAAGGAGATTCCGACTAAACATCAGGAAGAACCTTCTGACAGTAAGAGCTGTTCAGCAGCAGAACGGTCTCCCTCGGGGGCTTTTAAGCAGAGGTTGGACGGTCCTCTGTTGTGGATGCTTTCGCTGAGAATCCTGCCTTGCAGGGGGTTGGACTAGATGACCCTCGGGATCCCTTTCCGACTCTACAATTATATGATTCTATGACACTGTACGTAAGAAGAGTTTGGCTGCTGGATCAGGCCAGTGGGCCATCTAGTCCAGCATCCTGTTCTCACAGATGCTTCATTGAGAAACCCACAAGCGGAATCTGAACCCAACACCGCTCTCCCCTCCTGCGATTTCCAGCAACTGGTATTCAGATGTAGTGGAGATGGAACAAAGCCGTCAGGTTGATGTAGGTCCTGTGTGAGTGTCTGGAGGCGGTTGGAGGATGGATGGCGGCTAACAGATTGAGGTTGAATCCTGACAAGACAGAAGTACTGTTTTTGGGGGACAGGAGGCGGGCAGGTGTGGAAGACTCCCTGGTCCTGAATGGGGTAACTGTGCCCCTGAAGGACCAGGTGCGCAGCCTTGGAGTCATTCTGGACTCATAGCTGTCCATGGAGGCGCAGGTCAATTCTGTGTCCAGGGCAGCTGTCTACAAGCTCCATCTGGTACGCAGGCTGAGACCCTCCCTGCCCACGGACTGTCTCGCCAGAGTGGTGCATGCTCTAGTTATCTCTCGCTTGGACTACTGCAATGTGCTCTACGTGGGGCTACCTTTGAAGGTGACCCGGAAACTACAACTAATCCAGAACACGGCAGCGCGACTGGTGACTGGGAGCGGCCTCCGAGACCATATAACACCGGTCCTGAGAGATCTGCATTGGCTCCCAGTACATTTCCGAGCACAATTCAAAGTGTTGGTGCTGACCTTTAAAGCCCTAAATGGCCTCGGTCCAGCATACCTGAAAGAGCGTCTCCACCTCCATCGTTCTGCCCAGACACTGAGGTCCAGCACCAAGGGCCTTCTGGCAGTTCCCTCACTGCAAGAAGCCAAGTTACAGGGAACCAGGCAGAGGGCCTTCTCGGTAGTGGCGCCCGCCCTGTGGATCGCCCTCCCACCAGATATCAAAGAGAAAAATAACTACCAAACTTGTAGAAGACATCTAAAGGCAGCCCTGTTTAGGGAAGCTTATAATGTTTAATAGGTTATTGTATTTTAGTGTTTTGTTGGAAGCCACCCAGAGTGGCTGGGGGGACCCAGCCAGATGGGCTTGGTATAAATAATAAATTATTATTATTATTATTATTATTATTATTATTATTACAGTAATAGTCTATGGCAATTTCCACAACTACATGAATGCCCAACTCTTTAAAATTCAAAACAAAATTGTTTCAGGTTTCCTCTCACAAAGGAAGACCAGTTGAAAAAGTGGCTCGTGAACATCGGACGTCCGAACTTCACTCCCTCGTACAATGACGTCGTGTGCTCAGAGCACTTTAGGAGGACAGATTTCTGGGGCAAAGTGGCTTCCGGGCGGCGGGAACTCAAACCCGGAGCAATCCCAACTGTCATTCGTCGACCGAAAAAGGTGAGGGGATTTATTTAATTTTTTAAAGAGAAAACAGGGTGCGCACGTGCCGTACATTTAAACTACTGGGAAGTGTAGTTTGTTCAGGGTGTTGGGGGGTTGTAGCTCTGTGAGGGTAAACTACAGTTTCCAGGATTATTATTTTTTGAGAAAGCCGTGTACTTTAAATGTACTGTGTGTGCAAAGCCTGATGGTCCAATCGATGATCAGGAATTACTTATCTGTGTTTTTATCTTGTATTTTTATCTTGTGAACAGCCCTGAGGTCTTTGGATGAATATAAATCTAATAAATAAAAATAAAAATAGAGAAAAACAAGGCTGGTATATAAATCTAATAAATAAAAATAACAATAATAAAAACAGTCATTGTTATTTGATTTAATGTACCCTTTAAAAATATAGGAATGGGGTAAGGCAAATTCCTTCCTGTTATAAGAAAAAACTGCTCCCTTTCCCTTATGGGGTATTCCTGAGCCCAACCCTATCGGAGGAGAAAACAGAGGCCAGCCAGAGTACATTGAGAAGCATAGTTTGAAGTTTATTCAAGGAACTTTTGCAACAGGGTCCCTACTCCCCACACACAGGAGGGAGGAGAACCCAGAGCAATGGTGTGCAAGTCCTTTTATAAACTTTTGAAATTGCCCACCCTGTAGTCCAAGACCCACCCCCACCCTAAAAAACCCCCCATCATACATACATCACAGAAGGAGCCAGTCTACAGCAGAAGTCCTATCCTGCCAGGATACCTGATAATGGTCACTGATTGCTTTACCTGGGCAGCCTGGCCATTCTTTTGTCATGGTTAATACTTTAGCTCCTGAATCCAGGTCACAGGTTCACCCTATTCATACACAAATACGCCCTTAAGACAGGATTTGTAAGGAAGAAGACAATGGAAAGGCTTTCCCCATTTGCCTCCTTTACTGCAGAGGAATATTTGAGGTCATTGGGAGAGTCAAAATGGCTTCAGGATTACTCTTCTGTGCTGTTTCAGACTCATGGTTCATATATTTAGATATGTGTCCCTTTATGAATATTTCTTCTATATTTGAGACCTTAAAATTCTTATAACAACCGGAACAACTAACTCACTCTGAAACTCACCTACAGGTGGTACCTAACACCAAGGAAATTAGCGCTAATACGCCCAGGAACCTCACCAAAATGCTGGAGAGGGTGCACCTCCACAGGCACATACCTCCATATGTGGTGGGAGTGCCCCAAAATCCAACTATTCTGGACAACAGCCATACGAGAAATATGTAAAATAACTAAGCAAGTATTAGAAATCACCCCAGAACTGGCCCTGCTAAACATCTTCCAAGACAATAACGCCCACTTACACCACAAAGAACTCGTAACCCACCTACTTTCAGCAGCCAGAAGCATCATAACTAGACACTGGAGAGACCTGTCAGGAGTAAGCATGGACCAGTGGTACCAAATAGTATGGGAAACAGCCCTACTAGAAAAATGAACCAATAAACTGAAACTGACATGGGGACAAATAGAAGAAGATGCCTTTATCCCCTTTATCACATACACAGCCCAATAATACAATGACAAAAATCCAACAACAGCATACAAATCAATATGGCTAACCTGATTCAAAAACACCCACCCACCTCACTCACACACAAAAACAAAGTTCACCACAGCCAATCACAAACAAACAACCACACCCTAGGCCAACCCCAACCTTTCTCACCACCAAAGGAACACAAGTGAATCGCAGAGAACCTGCACAAGCGACGCTGACACAAAACCCCACATATATTAAGCAAATTAGAAACATTGCCTCCCAACCCCCACCCCCACTCACCTTTCCCCCCTCCACCTCTTTCCCCCTTTTCTTCCCAATGTAACCCTAACGCCTCTGTCTTGGAACGTAAACATCATTGTGGAAATAATAATAATAATAATAATAATAATAATAATAATAATAATAAATTTTTTATACCCCACCCATCTGGCTGAGTTTCCCTAGCCACTCTGGGCGGCTCCCAATCAAATGTTAAAAACAGTACAGCATTAAATATTAAAAACTTCCCTAAACAGGGCTGCCTTCAGATGTCTTTTAAAGATAGGATAGCTGCTTATTTCCTTCACATCTGAAGGGAGGGCGTTCCACAGGGAGGGCACCACTTCCGAGAAGGCCCTCTACCTGGTTCCCTGTAACCTCACTTCTTGCAATGAGGGAACCGCCAGAAGGCCCTCGGAGCTGGACCTCAGTGTCCAGGCTGAACGATGGGGGTGGAGACGCTCCTTCAGGTATACAGGACCGAGGCTGTTTAGGACTTTAAAGGTCAGCACCAACACTTTGAATTGTGCTCGGAAACGTACTGGGAGCCAATGCAGATCTCTCAGGACCGGTGTTATGTGGTCCCGACGGCCACTCCCAGTCACTAGTCTAGCTGCCGCATTCTGGATTAATTGCAGTTTCCAGGTCACCTTCAATAATCCTTTAATAATGGCCTCGGAGCTCCTATAAGTGCCCTGCTGCTAAATCAGGCCATTGGTCTACCTTGCCCCAGGCTGCCTAACCCAGAGGTAGCCATTGTGTTCACTTCCAGATTTTGTGGAATACAACTCCCATGAGCCCCAGAAAGCACGGCCAATTGTCGGGAATGATGGGAGTTGCAGTCTACCACATCTGAACTACTTTTTGCCTGTTTCAAGTTTGAGGAAACTGTAGTCCCTGCAGCATCCCTGACCATTAACCTTGCTGGCTGGGACTGATGGTATCTGAAGATATACTTCATTAGCGATCATAAGGAGGAGGGGAAATAAAGATGTGTTCCTATCGGTCTGATGCTCTTTGGTTTGTTTTACGTTTGCAAATGACAAAGGCAGAAGGGCAGAAGACGATTTGCAACCAGGAAGTCTTGCAAATGGGCCTGGCTTTCTGAGACAGAGACTCTCAACAGGCCAAAATCCAAGCTCTCTTCTCCCACAGCAAAAGCGGCTTCGGTTGCTGCTGTTGTTGCATCTTAGGACTGCTTCCTAACTGCTCTTTGTTTTAACTTTCCTTTTGCAGGGCTCTGGAAAGGGTCTGGCTAAAACGAGAAAGAGCCTTGTCCGGCGTAAACCGCCCGATCTCGAACCAAGCAGCCAAACTTTGGCAGTCGGCGAAAGCGATGTTGAAGCAGCAGCAGCCTCCAAGAGCGACATTGTGATCCTGGAGCATTCGTACTCGGCCCCGGCAAGCCCAGGTGAAGCCAGGCAGTCGATGCCACAAAAGTTCATAATAAGTGACAGGCCTCTGTGAAAGATGCTCAGCTTGGTGCTGCTAAGCAGAAGAATGTTTTAATTATTTGGAGGGGGGAGAGAAGCGTTCAAAGCCCACTTCTTCCTGCAAAGACCTTGGAACGACCCCTGTGTCCTCATAGCCTATGGAAACAGCGGAACCTCGGTTCCCGAACGCCTCCGTTGTCGTACGTTTTGGTTCTCAAACGCCGAAAACCCGGAAGTAAATGCTTCCATTTTCGAACATTTTTCGGAACCTGAATGTGCGACGCAGCTTCCTTGGGGTGCAAGGAGCTCTTGCTACCAATGGGAAGCCGCGCCTTGGTTTTTGAACATTTCGGAAGCCAAACAGGCATCTGGAACAGATTTTGTTCAAGAACCGGGGTACCACTGTATGTGTAACTCAGCCTAGTATGGCGCCCTCTTGCTAGGGCTTCTGGGAGTTGTAGTCCGCAATGGCTGAAGGGCACCAGGTTGAGGAAGGGTGACGCAACAGTGGCCTAGCGAGAGTCCTGGGGGCCAGGTAAAATGCCATAGGGGGCCACATTTGGATCCCATCCCTGTGCAGTCCTCTGCCACTGTTCTGCATGGGTTTTATGTTGGTTTGTGTTGCTTTTATGCTCTCTGAATACCATTTTAATAAGCATTTTGTTATTTATTTCTAGTGCCTTTTATAATTTCTTGTAAACCACTCAGAGGGAAGGGATGTAGTTCAATGCAGGTTCATTTCCCTGTGTTCTCCGAGTAGGCCTGAGGAAACCTCCTTGCCTGAAATCAGGGTGGATTTGATTTAAATCGAATCGATTTAAATCACGATTTAAATCACTATCACTAGTCAGTAAGACTTGATTTAAATCATGTTTTTACAGAAAGACTCATTCTTGCTGGTATAGCCTTAATATTTACAACCAGATGAAGGTTTCATTTTTGAAATAATAAATTTTTAGAGAAGTTTTTACAGCTATTTCAAAAATCACTGATTTGGTTATACAAAGATATGAAATTATTGTGAGGTTTAATAAGTTAACTGTTTATATTTGGACAGCTTTTCTGCTGTATTTTATTGGAAGGAGAAAAGTAATCATTTCCTTGATAACAATTTAAACAATTTATTTAACTGGAACAATAACATTATAGCATATGTATCCATGTTTGTAAACTGGTGTGGTCAAACAATTTTAAAAAAAACTTAGACTGAGTTTTAGCACAAATGAAAAACTTAAAACAAATCCTTATTTCCTGATGAATAGCCTTTGGACTATAATGTAACTTAAACAGAAAACTATTTTTAGAAAGTTTTTTCCTCCAAAAGCATTTTATTTTAAAAATCTGATTATTATTTTTTAAATTAAATCAATTTTTAAAAAAACCAAAACCATTGATTTTTACCCACCCTGCCTGAAATATTTGACAGCTGCTACCAGTCAGTGTAGACAGTACAGTGGTACCTCGGGTTACATTCGCTTCAGGTTACATACACTTCAGGTTACAGACTCCGCTAACCCAGAAATATTACCTCGGGTTAAGAACTTTGCTTCAGGATGAGAACAGAAATCGTGCTCCGGCGGCGTGGCGGCAGCAGGAGGCCCCATTAGCTAAAGTGGTGCTTCAGGTTAAGAACAGTTTCAGGTTAAGTATGGACCTCCGGAACGAATTAAGTACTTAACCCGAGGTACCACTGTAGAACTTTATAGGCCAATGGTCTAGTCTTGTGCAAGGCAGCTTCCTTTGTGTCGTGGATGGTCACGATAGAGGAATGAATGGATGGATAATGTGTGGCTTTTGCTCTAGTATGGGAAACTGCCCTCTTGACTCGTCTCACGATCAATTTTTATCTGGCATGCCCCCCCTTTCCTCTCCAGCCTCTTCCGCCTTGGATCTCCGGGTGGCGTCGATCCGGGAGAAAAGCAGCGCCGCAGACTCGGAGGCGAGGAAAAGCCCTCGGCTCCTCCAGGCGAGGATCAGGAGAGAATGCCGGGAGAGGTCGGGGCCAAACGTCCCAGAGGAGCCCATCGACAACTCGGAGGCCCAGCGCCAGCACTTCCGCCAGTTCCGCTACGAGGAGGTCAAAGGGCCCCGAGAGCTTTGCAACCGGCTCTGGGACCTCTGCCACCAGTGGCTGAAGCCCGGGAAGCACACCAAACTGCAGATGCTGGAGCTGGTCATCCTGGAGCAATTCCTGGCCATCCTGCCCCGGGAGATGCAGGACTACGTCAAGGAAGAGGGACCCACGGATTGTGACCACGCCGTGACGCTGGCGGAGGATTTCCTACAGAGTCAGCAAGAGGCAGAGGTGAGCCCCTTTTATCCCAGCTGGTGATTCCAGTGGGCTTTGCTCAGATCCTCTTCTGGTCCCAATTCTGGTCCCCGGTTGAGCCTTCAATGTGGCAGTTCCTCCTCGCCCCCATATCATTTTTATTAAGTCTCCAAAAATATTTCAACGCGTTTCTCAACGTAAACATTTTTTTAAAAAAACATGCTAAGTTTCTTCTTTACTTCCCACCTCTCCTTTTCTGATTTTTTTTTCTTGTTGTCCTTTTTATGAGCTGTTTATAACACACATACAGTGGTACCTTGGGTTACATACGCTTCAGGTGACATACGCTTCAGGATACATACTCCACTAACCCAGAAATAGTGCTTCAGATTAAGAACTTTGCTTCAGGATGAGAACAGAAATCGTGCTCCGGCGGCGCAGCCGTAGCGGGAGGCCCCATTAGCTAAAGTGGTGCTTCAGGTTAAGAACAGTTTCGGGTTAAGTACGGACCTCCGGAATGAATTAAGTACTTAACCCGAGGTACCACTGTATTTTTATTGTTTAAACCCCGCTACCGTTAAATGTTTCCACTGCTTATGCTTCAAATCCTGCCAGCGACTTCATATATGGGTGATAATTCGATAGATTGTCCATCAGTGGTCAGGGACGCGGGTGGCGCTGTGGGTTAAACCACAGAGCCTAGGACTTGCCAATCAGAAGGTCGCCGGTTCGAATCCCTGCAACGGGGTGAGCTCCCATTGCTTCGTCCCTGCTCCTGCCAACCTAGCAGTTCGAAAGCACCTCAAAGTGCAAGTAGATAAATAGGTACCACTCCAGCGGGAAGGTAAACAGCGTTTCCGTGCGCTGCTCTGGTTTGCCAGAAGCGGCTTAGTCATGCTGGCCACATGACCCGGAAGCTGTACGCCAGCTCCCTCAGCCAATAAAGCGAGATGAGCGCCGCAACCCCAGAGTCGGTCATGACTGGACCTAATGGTCAGGGGTCCCTTTACCTTTACCATCAGTGGTCTCCATTCTTCCTTAAACACTTCTGTGCTGTTAATTTGGCAGTTACCTTTGCTATTTCTTCAGAGTGGCAGTTCCTGCCCTGAGGAACTCCACGCCACTAGAGACTCGGCAGGAATCACCCCTACTTATGTCGGCAACTGGCCTTGATGGCTGTGCTGTACCTCCACAGTTAAGAGGCAGTAAAGCATTTGAGGGCCAGTTGTTGTTGTTGTTTGTTGTTGTTAATCCCAAGGAAGGAGAGTCCCCAACCTCCTGAGGGAGACTCTTCCCCTGTCAAACAGCTCTTACGGTCAGAAAGCTTTTCCTGATATTTAGTCAGAATCTCTTTTCTTGTAACTGGAAGCCATTGGTTCGAATCCTACCCTCCAGAGCAGGACCAAAAAAATTAATAAATTCCCTCTTCCATGTGACAGCCCTTGAGATCTGCTCAGTCTCCTCTTTTCCATGCTGCACGGCCAGGGAAAAAACAATGTTATCCAGGGTTGTAAAGACTGCAGAGAGAATAACTGGGTGCACTCTTCCCACCTTAGATCAAATCTATGCTGCCAGGTGCCATTAAGAAAGCGGCAGAGATAGTGCAGGATAGTACGCACCCCAGAAATTATCTCTTTCTGCTTCTGCCTTCTGGAAGAAGGTATAGGATTATAAAGGCCAGGACTAGCCGTCTGAGAAACAGTTTCTACGCAAATGCAATTCTGGTTCTAAATGCAGCATAAGGGGTCTCTATAGAATAGTGTATTTTAAAATGGGGTTTCAGAGTTTTTAGGGGGTTTTGAATGTTTTATGTAGTTTTTATGTAGTTTTATGTAGTTTTTCAATTTCATTGTTCTGCATGGGACAATGACAATAAATATATCGTATTGTAACATACCCAGCTCAGAGTGGCCTAAGTCCTACTCAGAGCAGACCCTGTTGAAATCAATGGCCCTAACTTAGTCACGTTCATTAACTTCAGTGGGTCTACACTGAGTAGGGCTAGCACTGGAGACAACCTTGGTTGGAGCTGCCCTCTCATACCTCCCTCCTTGATCTCAGGGTTGTGGGTTTGAATCCCGCATTGGGCGAAAGATTCCTCGGGGTCCTCTATGACTCTATGATCCATTTGCGCTCTCTCTCTCTCTCTCTCTGCCCTGTTTCAGGAGGGAGTGACTGATTTGTCCAAAGCAAAGAAGACTCCCTCGCAAGCTCGGCGTACGCCACAAGCCAAAAGAATTGTCAAGAAGGAGGACGGGGATGCTGCCACACTGGGTAAGAGTTTCTTGTGTCTCTGTCATGGGGGAGTATACAGGTCCTGGGACAAGATTAACCCCTGGCTCTTCTCGCACCAGGCCAAAACTTTTGAGAACTTGCTTTCTCAATCTGCTAGTCCTCTGTGAGGGAAGCACTTGTCTCTAGCCTCCCTTTATTGAAACACTCCCATATGCAGATGGCATTTGAGATGTCTTAATTATTATTATTAATTATTATTTATACCCCGCCAATCTGGCTGAGTTTCCCCAGCCACTCTGGGCGGCTCCCAATCGAGTGTTAAAAACAATACAGCATTAAATGCTCTGTTGGCAGGCACATAGAGATCCTGCCTTTCAATAATACTAATACTAATACTACTACTACTACTACTACTAATAATAATAATAATATTTATACCCCGCCCTCCCCAGCCAAGACCTGGCTCAGGGCAGCTAACACCAGGTATAAAAAACAATTGATTGAAATACAACTTAAAAAAACAAGATTAAAATACAACATTAAAATGCAGCCTCATTTCAGTAGAAACGCAAATCAAAAACTTTTTTGGGGATGGAAACGTCAAGTCTTCACCAAGGCATAATAATAATAATAAAATAATAATATAATGGAGGACCACAGATTATTTAAAAAAATCTATCTATCTATCTATCTATCTATAAACCTATCCATCTCTTTAGAACAATGAAAATATAATTTTAATTTGTATTTATAGCCTGCTTTTCATCAAATGGTCTCAGATGAGTTACAGAAATACAGCAATCAAAATAACTACAGTATATAATTGGAATACTTGCCTTTGACTTTCAGGTGTCTCTCGATAGCCTATGTAGTTGTTTATAATTTTCTCGAGTAGCTATTCGCCTTAGCGGTTGTTCTGTTAGGGATGCCATATGTGCAGAAGAATAATCATTATTATCATTATCGTTCTTTTATTATTTGTACCCCGCCCAACGTATATAAAAAGCATAATAAAACGTCGCAAGTTAAATCGCCTGCTTCCTTCCTTTCTGGGAGAGGGGACAGGCTTGTTCATTCTAGAATTAATTCCATTTATTTCCCTTTCTCTCTCTCCTCTAGAAGACGTGACTGTGAGCGACGGCCGGGCGGAGGGCATTTCGGAGGAGGTCCTTGTGCCCGAAGAAGTCGTATCGCAGGAGGAAGTCTCCACTGTGGTTGAGGCTGCTGAAAGTGGGTCCCCATTATGGATATTCGGGGTAGTTCCAGGGGGTCCCCGTATCGCCAGCCACGCCTCTGTTGGAGACAGTGTCGTATAGTGGTTAGAGCAGAGGGGAGGGGGGCAACCTTTCTCAACCTGTGGGTCCCCAGATGTTGCTGAACTACAACTCCCATCACCCCTAGCTAGCAAGACCGGAGCTCTGGGATGATGGGAGTTGTAGTCCAACAACATCTGGGGACCCACAGGTTGAGAACGGCTGGGGGGGGGGGGAACCTGTGGACTCCAACTCCCATCATCCCCGGTTGCTGGCCATACCTGCAGGGGCTGATGGGATTTGTAGTCTGGGTGGCTTTTTCTGGGGGGGCCAATGGTTTTCCATCTGCCTGGCCTAACCCTCAGGTTGCAGGGAAAAAACAAATGTGTTTCATTTGAGCTTGCTGGAAGGAAGCTGAACTAAAAATGTCGCCGTAATGTAAAAACAGGTGGCCGTTTACCTGAGAGTAAGCCTCATTAAACTCAGTGGGGCTTACCTCTGAGGAGACATATAGGTTTCCGCAGCCAGCGAACTCGCTTCCCTGCGTCAAGGCATAGAAGGCTTGGATACAGTGTTCATATATATTTTTATTTTAAAAAAAGAATCCTGTCACAGGATTATTTGGGGGATGGGATTCGCAATGTCATTAGGCCTAAAAAATAAGACACTTTTCTGCTTGGTCGAAGCCTGTCAGGATTCAGAAAGGGGCCGGGCGAAAAGCTCTTAAGTTATTATGGTTTTATTGCTGCAGAACACAGTGATAAAGCGGTGTAGAAATGATTGTATAAATAAATAAAATTAACAAGCCAGCCTTGGGTTGGAATTTGGCTTCCTTTTACCTCCTCCCTTTATTTAACAAAATTAATATATTGCTTAAGCAGCTGCACCTCGAAGCGGTTTACACGAAATATAAAATATGTGTTAAAATTGCCGGTAAAACCAGATGTTGAAAAACAAGCTAGCCTTGAAAATTTAAAAATATAGTTTAAAAATATAGGGTTGTAGCCAACTAAATTTTACATTGAGTAGATCCGTTTATAGCAATTAATTTTAGTCATTAACTTCATTGGGTCTGCTCTTGAGTAGGACTAGTTTTGGATACTTTTTGTATACTTTCTCTGACCCATAAGATCAGACCCTATTATTTCAGATTTCCTGTTTTTATTTGTTCCTGATTTGTAATGCTATTTACCTATTTTTTGTTTGGTTTTGTGTACTGCTTAGGGTTTTTTTTAAAAAAGTGGTTCCAAAAAGCTTTTAAATAAAACAGTAAATAAATAACTTTGAGTAATGAATGAGGAGCATAGCTTGTGGGCCGACAAAGTGAAGCGTAACTCTTCTTGGCACGAGGGAACATGTTATAGTTATATAAAAGTCTAGCAGGAACCGAAAACGAGCAGCCGATAGGAAATAAAAAGGAAGAAAATTGGGGAAAAAATCAAGGCTAAAATGATGAAATATTTTTTCGAAATGTAATTTGGAAATGTACGTGTGATGGGATGATGAGCTGCTTGTGTGTAAAATCCTAGTCCCTCAGAGTTTGGTCAAGTTTGCAAACCTCTGTCTGTAACGGAGCCCCTTAAACATGGCTCCGTCAGTCGCTGGCAGATTCCGACAGTGGTTGCTTTCGGAATCGCTTCCAACATAAAAGCTCCTTAACGGAAACACGTCTTCTGGACTCTCTGCGTGACAGTTTCCGGCGAGGAGTGGGTGTCCCTACAGGAGGTCCTGAAACCTCCCCACTGTTTTCGCTGGAAGTGTCTCTGAGCCATCCCTCCAGCTCCCTTTCCCTCAGCCCAGCTCCTCTCCCCCTACTGGTTCCCTCTTCAGCTGCTGAGTCTCTCCCAACCTGTGTGAGCCCTTTCACTTCCCTTCCTTCCGATGGCAGTTCCCTGACATCCACCTCCCCTCCAGGGCCCCCTTCATCCCCTCTCGCCCCTCCTCTACGGGCGGTGAGGAGGCAAAACCCCGGAATGAACTTCCTTCATCTTCCGATGTCCCGAACACTTCTCTCCACCTGTTGCGGTTCCTGGTCTCGAAGTACTCCTCCTCCTCAGAGTCCATCTCCCCTTCCCCTTCCGATTCCGAGAATCCTTCCAACTCCTCCTCCTCATCGGTGGTCCCAAAGTATTCCCTCCGGAACCTCTCCACAGGCTGAGGTTTCCTTGGGAACCTTTGATGGAACGTTTCTATCAATACCTCGTCATTGATATCTTCTGCCATTACCCAAGTGTTTTCTGACTCCGGTTCTCCTTCCCACGCTACCAAATACTCCACCTGATCCCCCTTCCATCTGGCGTCGAGGATTTCTGCCACATGGCTGCTGCATTCCCTTTCTTCTATGACCGGTCCCCGAGTGGCCATCCCTTCTCGTCCCCCCTCATACGGTGACAGTAACGACCTGTGAAATACTGGGTGCAGTTTCATGTGGTTGGGTAACCGGAGCCTGAAAGCCACTGGGTTGACCTGTTGAATGACCTCAAAGGGACCCAATCTCCTGGGTCTTAATTTCTTACAACCTCCTTTGAACGGCAACCCTTGGGTTGACAGCCACACCCTATCTCCCACCCTTATGGTTTCACCTTCCCTTCGGTTCTTGTCTGCCTGCCTCTTGTATTCTTCCTTCGCCCTTTCTAAGTTGAGTTGGAGCTGACGATGGATTGCTTCCATTTCTTCTACAAAATGCTCGGCTGCCGGGACACCCCATCTCTCCCCTTCTCCCCCTGGGAAAGCCCTGGGATGACACCCATAATTAGCCAAGAAGGGGCTCATCCCTGTGGACACATTCTCGGCATTGTTGTAGGCAAATTCCGCCAGCGCCAACTTTTCTACCCAGTCATTCTCTCTGTCATTGACATAACACCTCAGGTATTGCTGGAGGACCCCGTTTGCTCTTTCCGCCTGCCCGTTGGTTTCAGGGTGCCGGGCAGTCGAAAAGTTGACCTCCACCTGCAGTAAGCTCATGAGCTTCCTCCAGAACCTGGAAGTAAATTGTTTTCCTCGGTCTGAGACCACCCTCAATGGCACCCCGTGCAACCTAAAAATGTGTTCTACAAATAACTTCGCTGTCTCTTCCGCCGTGACTGCATGCGAGCAGGCTACAAAGTGGCACATCTTTGTTAGTAGGTCTACCACCACCATGATGGCTGTTTTCCCCTTGGACTTCGGCAGATCAGTCATAAAATCTATCGACACTGCCTCCCAAGGTCGTTCTGGGGTTGGTAAGGGTTCTAATAGCCCCGCCGGTGCCCGCCTCTCCCCTTTGGCTCGCTGGCATTGCTCACACCCTCTTACATACTCCCGTACATCTTCCCTCACCTTAGGCCACCAAAATTCCCTGGTGACCAACCACATGGTTTTGTGTTGTCCAAAATGCCCCGCCGTGGGGCTGTCGTGCAACTGCTTGAGTACCCTCCCCCTTAAGTCTCCTTCAGGGATATACAGTGCCCCTTTGTAATACAAAGCTCCATTTCTTTCCTCGAAACCCCCTGGTTCCTCTCCCTCACCCCTAAGACCTCTGAGCTTATTCTGGGCGTATTCATCATTCTCTGTTTCCTCTACCAGTTCTCTTTGTCCCACCAATGCCGCCCCACACACCCAGCGGTCCTCTGGAATGACATGTCTCTCTTCGGGTGCTCCCTCCTCCTCCAAATATTCAGGTTTGCGTGAGAGAGCGTCCGCCCTAATGTTCTCTGGGCCTGGCACGTAACAAATCTCAAAGTTAAATTTGGAGAACTCCTGGGCCCATCTCACTTGCCGTTGGTTGAGCACTCGTGCCGTCCTCCAATACTCTAGGTTCTTGTGGTCAGTGCACACTTGCACCTTATGTTGTGCGCCAATTAGCAGGTGCCTCCATCTCCGGAACGCCTCATGAATGGCTAGTAGTTCTCGGTCATACACCGTGTAGTTCCTCTCGGATTTGTTCAGCTTTCGCGAAAAAAGGCACACGGTCTCCACTCTGACTCCTCCTTCCCTGGCTGCAGAAGCACCGCCCCAATCGCTCTGTCTGATGCGTCAGTTTCCACTCTCATCGGTTTTTGTAAATCCACATGCAGGAGTTGTTGTTCCGAGGCGAAGGCCCTTTTAGTTCCTCAAATGCTCGCTCCGCCTCCTCAGTCCAAACGAACTTCTTCTTACTGCTGAGACAGTCCGTAATGGGCGCCGTCAGGTGGGCAAAGTTTCGGATGAACTTACGATAGAAGTTCCCAAATCCTAGGAACCTCTGCACATCCTTCCTTGTTTTGGGTGTTTTCCATTCCAGCACCGCCTGGACCTTGCCGGGATCCATGGCCAATCCCTTGTCTGACAGGCGATACCCCAGGAATTCCACCTCCTTGGTATGAAACTGACACTTCTCCAGTTTCACCCACAGCTGGTTGGCTTGCAGCCTGCTCAACACTTCTCTGACGTCTCTCACATGCTGCTCCTCATTCTCAGAATACACCAACACGTCGTCTAAGAAGGCCACACAATTCTTGTAAAGCAAAGGCCCCAGGACGTGGTTCATAAACGATTGAAAGCACGCGGAGCCTCCTTGTAGGCCGAAGGGCATAACTAAATATTCAAATGCCCCCAAAGGGGTGAACATGGTGGTTTTCCATTCATCCCCCTTCCTTATTCGTATCAGGTTGTACGCCCCCCTTAGGTCCAGTTTAGTAAAAATCTTTCCCTTCCTGACCCTTGTCAAAATGTCGTCAATCCTGGGCATAGGGAAAGCCACTGGTTCTGACACTGCATTTAAGGCCCTGAAGTCACACACAAGCCTCGGCTTGTTCGTGTTTTTTTTATCCACAAAAAACACTGGGCTGCCCCCCACCGCCCTGGACTCTCTGATGAACCCTCTCTTCAGGTTCTTGTCAATGAACTCTCTTAGCTCCTGCATCTCTCTGTCTGACATGGCGTACAGCTTGCCTACAGGGAGCTGTGCCCCAGGGAGTAAATTGATTTGACAGTCAAAGGGTCTTTGCGGGGTTAATTGGTCAGCTTCCCTTTCGCTGAAGACGTCGCGGAGATCTGCGTATTGTCGTGGTACCTTCACGTTCTCCGTTACTTCAGTCCCTGCTAGGGTGGCTTGGGCCCCTGCCAAACCCTTTCCCTCTTTGCAGTGTTCTAAGCAATGTGCTGAACCAAAAGAAACCACTCTCTGATGCCAGCCCACCAGCGGATCATGTAACGCTAGCCAGCTCATCCCCAATATAATGGGAGCTCCTCCCAAGGTGGCCACATTAAACGCTATCAGTTCGGTGTGCCTTGCCACCTTCATTATCATTGGGACGGTCTGCAAGCTGACTTCTCCTCCCAACAGCTCCCTGCCATCGATCGTGGTCACCTGCAGGGGTTGCTTAAAGGGATCGTCTGTATCTGGTGTTCAGCTGCAAACTCTTTGCTCATGAAATTGCAGGAGCTGCCTGAGTCCAACAGCGCCTTTATCTTTAGAGGGTGTCCGTTTGGCAGCTCTAGCGCCACTTCTATCACTAGGGCGGGTTTAGGAGGTTCTGGCGTGGGCACTTTCACTGCTCTTTGGCCTGACTGCTGTGCCCCGACGGTGGCAGCCAGGCGTTGGCTTTTACTTGCTTCGGTATTTCTTCCTCTCTTCCCTCCACAGCTCCTACCATCCCTTGCCATTCCTTCCTCTGGGGGCAGACTCTGGCAAAGTGACCTGGCTGTTGGCAGAGATAGCATTTCCGGGCGCCTTTTCCCTCCTTCTTTCCCCCTTCACTGGGCTTTGAAACTGCGCGCGCGCGCTGTTCCGATTTCCATCGGCTCTGCCGGCGGGAAAGTTGGCTCTGGAATGTCTGGAATGCGGAACTCCTTCCAACGTTCCCCCTTCCCTTCCCGCCTCTCCAATGCTCTCGCCTCCTGGCGCGCTCCTATGGTCAGCGCTGATTTGGTCAGCTGGTCCATAGACTCCGCCCTGGGCGCCCGGGAAAGTTCGTCTTTCACAGCCGAAGAAAGCCCTTCTTCAAAAAGCATTTGAATGGGTTCCGCCGATAGATCCCACCCCAATTTATGGATCAACATGGTGAATTCAGTCCAGTACTCACGGACAGATCGGCTACCCTGTTTGCAAGCCATTAACTGTCTGCGGACCACTCCCTGTTCAATATCGCTGGAAAACATCAGATCCATGGCGCGAAAGAACTTCATCGTGTCCTTTAGGACGTCACTATTCGCTGCCATCAGGGGTCTAACCCAGTCTCTCGCCCCCTTTTCAAGATGCCCAATCACGAAAGCCACTCTTGATTCCTCGTCAGGGAATTCATCAAACTGCAGATTGAGGGCATATTGCATCTCTGTCCGAAAGCCATGATAGTCTTTGGGCTCCCCCCCAAACTTCTGCACCAATCCTGGTACCTTTCTGACGAGCTGGGTGTCTTTCCCCTTTTGTCTGCATCCTGAGCCCTCCTCTCCTCAAGCCTCGCCGTCTGCAGCGCTAGCTGGACCTCCAACACCCGGTACCTTTCTTCCAGGCTTGGACCCGCTCCAGCTCCTGCTTCTCCGGTTCCGGCTGGGTTGCTCATGATGCCTTCTCCTGCACAAGCTGCTCACGAAGACTGTCGGAATGCTGTGATGGGATGATGAGCTGCTTGTGTGTAAAATCCTAGTCCCTCAGAGTTTGGTCAAGTTTGCAAACCTCTGTCTGTAACGGAGCCCCTTAAACATGGCTCCGTCAGTCGCTGGCAGATTCCGACAGTGGTTGCTTTCGGACTCGCTTCCAACATAAAAGCTCCTTAACGGAAACACGTCTTCTGGACTCTCTGCGTGACAGTTTCCGGCGAGGAGTGGGTGTCCCTACAGGAGGTCCTGAAACCTCCCCACTGTTTTCGCTGGAAGTGTCTCTGAGCCATCCCTCCAGCTCCCTTTCCCTCAGCCCAGCTCCTCTCCCCCTACTGGTTCCCTCTTCAGCTGCTGAGTCTCTCCCAACCTGTGTGAGCCCTTTCACTTCCCTTCCTTCCGATGGCAGTTCCCTGACAGTACGTAATATTGAGCAGCTCATAAGGATGGGAAAGGAAACATCAAGATGGTGGGATGGGATGTCACTTTTAAATTTGTATTAAATTTGAATTAATTTGATGCTAAATTCATTAAACATTTTAAAAAGCAATAAAAAATATTTTTGGGGGGAGGGAGGGAGAGAACAAAGGGCACAGCACATGATCAACAGTTCATTGAAAATTCCCCCTTAGCAGGATTGCAACAGCACTTGTAACATAGCAAGTATTATGGAGACAATGGAATTATACAAAACATAAGATTATTCAAAAAGATGCAGTAGAAAAGGTTTAATAATAGGACTCATAGGGGGAGGTGGGAAGTCCAGAGATTTGGAGGAATCTGTAAATGTGGGTGTGTATGGTTGTATTGCTATAATTTTATAATTCTAAAAACAAAAAAAATATTTAAAAATAAAATAAAATCCCCCTTTCAAAATGCCACCCCTTCAAAATACCACTGCCGGCTCCCCAGATTTCCCTGGGCAAAGTGAACGAATGCATGCTCTCTTGAAAGCAATAATTTATTAGCATGCTTCCCTGTTCAGACAGCCTCCACAGCAGCGCATGTGGTTAGAGATTGAAAGCAGGCCCTGGTTCAGATCCGAACTCAGCGGTGACTAGAGTTTGCCAAGTAACTTTGGGCCAGTGACTATTTCTTGGTGTCCCCTTAAGTTCCTTGGGAGAGGAGAGGGGGAAGTTGATGTATAAATTCAAGCCGCAACTAAACCGAGGCTCCGTTTCTCTCGTGTATCTTTGGGGTTTTTTTTAGCAGGCACCGTGATGGGGAGCCAAGGCGAGGAGGCGAAGCCCTGCGAAGAATTGCCAGGCGGAGGCGAGGACAAAGGCGGGGAAGAGAACAGAGCGATGGAGAAAGAGACTCAGACAGTGGCAGGTAGTTGAATAGAAATGAGTGGCAGTAGCCAAGGTTGGTTTTTGGGCTTGCTGCCCATGGTTTGAGGGGAAACGATAGGCCAAACCATGACTTAGCTCCTGGCAACGCAGCAACTGGAGGACTGGAGGAGGAGCAAAGTGTCCTACTTTCCCCGTGCTGCGCATTCCCCTTTTAAGTCATAGTTAAGCTTAACTATGGCTTAGTGCAGGTGTGGAGAACGTTTTGGCATTCTAGATATTGCTGAACCACCGTTCCCACCTGCATGGTCAATGGAACACCTTATTTATTTTGTCAAACTTCAGTGCATTTTGGGAAATGGAAGAGGGGACTTGTTCTTTGAGGGGGCCCCCTGCTTTGAAGACCTACATTGGATCCCAGTAAGTTTCCGAGCACAATTTAAAGTGTTGGTGCTGATCTTAAAAGGCCTAAACGGCCTTGGCTCAGTTTGCCTATCTCTCAGCCCGGACACTGAGGTCCAGCTCCGAGGGCCTTCTGGTGGTTCTCTCACTGCGAGAAGTGAGGTTACATGGAACCAGGCAGAGGGCCTTCTTGGTAGTGGCGCCCGCCCTGTGGAACGCCCTCCCATCAGATGTCAAGGAAATGAACAACTCTTTGACTTTTAGAAGACATCAGAAGGCAGCCCTGTTTAGGGAAGTTTTTAATGTTTGATGTTTTATCGTGTTTTTTAATATTCTGTTGGGAGCTGCCCAGAGCGGCTGAGGAAACCCATCCAGATGGGTGGGGTATAAATAATAAATTATTATTGTTAAAATTATTATTACCGTATTTTTCGCACCATAGGACGCACCGGACAATAGGACGCACCTTGTTTTAGAGGGGGGAGAACAAGAAAAAAAATTTCTCCCCCTCTCTGCCCAGTGCCCCTTCAGCGAAGCGGCAGGAGGCGCTGCGCAGAGAGGGGGAGAATTTCCCCCCTCTTGTTTTTCCACTCTAAAACAAGGTCCGTTCAAGGTGCGTTCAGGCGGCTACCTTGGAAGCCTGGAGAGTGAGAGGGGTCGGTGCGCACCGACCCCTCTCGCTCTCCAGGCTTCAGGTTCCTTTCGACCTGCTCTTTGGGGCTGGCGGGGGGAAGCCCACCACCAGCCCCAAAGAGCAGGTCAGGGAGCAGCGGAAAGGCGCAGCAGAGAGGCTCCTGCCATAGCCGCGCGTCACCTCTCCAGCTGGGAGAGGGTCGCGGGGGGCTTCTTTAGCCCCACACGCGCTCTCTCGGCTGGAGAGGTGGCGCGCGGCTATAAGAGGCTCCTGCCATAGCCGCGCGTCACCTCTCCACCCGGGAAAGGGTCGCGGGGCTATGCTGTCTTTGCTCCATAGGATGCACACACATTTCCCCTTCATTTTTGAAGGGGAAAAAGTGCGTCCTATAGAGCGAAAAATACGGTATTTATTGCCATGTTGTTATCGATGGGAACATGTGCTTGTCATTCATATTTCTCGTAATTGTAGCAAATGGTTTGCAAACACTTACTTAATGTAGGTTTTAGAAAACATTGGGCCCAGGATTTCAGTGTTTTTCATTTAGCTTGTGAGATTTCATCCCATCTTGTAATCTTTCATTTAATCCAGCAGGAAGCGACCAAGCACAGAAGACCGAAGATGAAAGCTGTCAGGCAGAAGGACCTGGGCAAGCAGGCAGTGGTGCGACGTCACTGGAAGACTGTGAATGTGATGGTTTGCAGGGTCTGAACCTCACTGTTCATGAGAGGTCTCATATGGCGGAGAAGCCTTTTGGCTGCTCCAAGTGTGGGAAAAGCTTCAGCCGCAAATCGCTCCTTCTCGAACACCGAAGATCTCACCCAGGAGACACGCGATACGGATGTTCCGTTTGTGAAAAAAGGTTCAACAAGCGAGCACGCCTCATTGCACATGAGAGATCTCATACAGGAGACAAACCCTATCAGTGCTCCGACTGTGGGAAGTCCTTTGGTCAGGAAGCATCCCTTGCTACGCACCAGAGGACCCATACTGGGGAGAAACCGTACGAGTGCCTCGAGTGTGGGAAAAGTTACCCGTGGAAAACATCCCTTGCCGTACATCAGAAAATCCATGCGGGAGAGACCTACACCTGCCCCGTCTGTGAGAAAAGCTTCAACCAGAAATCGTTGCTTAGGATACACAAGAGAATCCACACAGCCGAGAAGCTGTACAAGTGCTCCGATTGCGACCAGAGCTTCACCCTTGAGAAATACCTGAATGCGCACAGGGTGAGGGCTCACACCCGAGAGAGGCCGCACGCCTGCGCCCATTGCGACAAAACCTTCATCTTCAAATATTCCCTCATCGAACATCAGAGAATGCACACAGACGAGAGGCCCTTCAAATGTTCAGACTGCGGCAAGCGCTACAACGGGAAAGCGGCTCTCGTCGTACACCAGAATACCCACGCGGGAGAGAAACCCTATCTTTGCCAAGACTGTGGTAAGAGCTTCAAAACCAAATGTGCCTTGACCGGACACGAGAAGCGCCACAGAGGAGAGAAGCCCCACAAATGCTCGCACTGCGACAAAAGCTTCTATTGGAAGCATCGCCTTATTTTACACGAGAGAATCCACACAGGAGAAAGGCCGTACCAGTGCCCCGAGTGCGGGAAGAGCTTCCGGTACAGAAACAACTTGACAAAGCACAAGAGGAACACGCACGAGACGATTCGCACGGGGGACAGGACCTACCAGTGCTCGATCTGCGGCAAAAGCTTCCGATGGCGGCGGAGTTTCATTTTGCACGAGAGAGCCCACACGGGGGAGAAGCCCTACAAGTGCCCCGAATGCGGGAAGAGCTTCATGAGCAGAGTGTCCCTCATAGTTCACAAGAGGATCCACACGGGGGAGAGGCCTTACCAGTGCCCCGAGTGTGGGAAGAAGTTCATTAAAAAACAGGCCCTCAGTAAACACAAGACAGTCCACACAGGGGAGAGGAGATACTTGTGTACCGTATGCGGTCGGAGGTTCTCTAACAAAGGCAACCTGATCAGGCACATGAAAATCCACACCGGCGAGAAACCGTACGTCTGCCCCATATGTGGGAAAAGTTTCATTCAGAAGGTGTGTCTGATTGAACACGAGCCGACCCACAGCAAAGAGAAGCCCTACGTCTGCACGGAGTGCGGGAAAAGGTTCAAGCGGAAAAGGGGGTACTTGTTGCATGTGAGAATGCACAGAGGGGAGGTGCCCCGCGAAAGCCCCAAGAAAAGCCTCAACGGCGGGGAAGCTGTCAGCGCGAGCCCCAGGCCCCCCGCCAAAGAGAAGTCCCACCCCTGTTTGGACTGCGGGAAGAGCTTCCACTCCGAATGCCACCTTATTATGCACCAGAGGACGCACACGGGAGAGAAGCCGTACCAGTGCAGCGAGTGCGGGAAGCGCTTCAGCCAGCAGTCGTCCCTCAACACGCACCAGAGAGTCCACACGGGGGAGAAGCCGTCGCTCTGCACCGAGTGCGGGAAGCGCTTCCACAACAAGAGCAACCTGGCGCGGCACCAGCGGATCCACACGGGGGAGAAGCCCTTTGCCTGCCCCGAGTGCGGGAAAACCTTCAACCAGAAAGCCTCCCTGGAGGCCCACAAGGCCACCCACAGCAAGGAGAGCCCCTTCTCATGCGCCGACTGCGGGAAGAGGTTCAAACTGAAGGTCTCCCTCCTCGTGCACCAGAGGACGCACACTGGGGAGAAACCCTACGAGTGCCTGCAGTGCGGGAAAAGGTATATCAGGTGCTCGCAGCTGAGGAGGCACGAAAGGACACACATCATGCAGACAGGTGAGAAGGGGCAGCAGGAGGTGGTTGCCGCGATTGTCGTCGTTAATTAAATTTGCATACTGCCCTTCACCCGTAGATCTCAGGGCAGTTTACAAAATTACAATACAGTGGTACCTCGGGTTAAGAACTTAAGTCATTCTGGAGGTCCGTTCTTAACCTGAAACTGTTCTTAACCTGAGGTACCACTTTAGCTAATGGGGCCTCCCGCTGCCACTGCGCCGCTACAGCACGATTTCTGTTCTCATCCTGAAGCAAAGTTCTTAACCCGAGGTACTATTTCTGGGTTAGCGGAGTCTGTAACCTGAAGCGTCTGTAACCCGAGGTACCACTATATGAAAAACACAAAACACATAATAAAAATAAGAACAAAAACAAACCAATAACCCCACCGCCCTTTCACAATGTATTTTTTAAAAGGGCATCAGATGTCAATCAGCCAAAAGCCTAATTGAAGAGTTAATGTTTTTGCAAACAAGTTGTCATAGAATTGTAGAGTTGCAAGGGACGCCCTGCAATGCAGAAATCAATAAAAGTGGAGGTAGAGTATTGGACTAGGAGCTATGAGACCAGAATTCAAATACTGCTTTGGCCCCAAAGCTCACTGTGGAGAAAATGGTGGGAGGACGTTTGTTTATTATTTTCATTTCATAGCATTTATATATTGCTTGATAACGAAGAATCTCAAAGTGGTGGTTATTGTTGTTGTCAGTAATGCCAATAATAAAAATAATAATATGAAAGAAATAAACCGGTAACAATAATATGAAATGAATCAACCTGAACACACTGGATAGGTGAAATGTCTGACTGAAGAAGCTGTCTCTCTTTCCCTCTTCACTGTTTTTGTCATGGCCTCATGGACCACCTGAAATCCCCGCAGTGGGAAGTGGAGGCTGGACTGTTCGCCCCGATTCAGGGATTGTCAGTCTCTGTTTACTTCATCCTGTACTTCTGCCTTGATCAGCCTTTTTCTACCTGTGTTGTTGAACTACAACTCCCATCACCCCTAGCTAGCAAGGCCAGAGCTCAGGGATGATGGGAGTTGTAGTCCAACAACATCTGGGGACCCACAGGTTGAGAAAGGCTGGCCCTAGATGATCGTGTTTTGACACAAGCCAAACCTCTTTGTCCATTTCAGAGTTGGTTGCTGAACCTGTTGAAGTTACAGAATTTCCTGTAGAAGCAATAAGCACTGCTGTGGTAAGAAATGAATTGTTGTTTTTTAGGTCGCTAGAGAAACTTTAAATATGCTGTCTTCTTTCTCTCTATGGTGAAGTCCCACCAAGCTTTGCAACATGATACACTTCCTCTGCCAGCTTCAGCTTGACTGCCATTATTTCTTTGTTTTATTTAATAATAATCTTTTTATTATTTATACCCCGCCCACCTGGCTAGGTTGCCCCAGCCACTCTAGGCAGTTTCCAATACATGCATACCTGGTTGTCGAACGCCTTGGTACTCGGACGGTTTGGCTTCTGAACACTGCAAACCTGGAAGTGAGTGTTCCGGTTTGCAAATGTTTTTTGGAAACTGAACATCCGGCACGGCTTTCGATTGGCTGCAGGAAGCTCCTTGGTTTTTGAACAGTTTCGGAGTCAAACAAACTCCCGGAACGGATTAAGTTTGACAACCAAGGTACCACTGTACATATAAAAATACATATAGTGAAATCAGTGTACAAAAACTTTACAGGTGTTGTTTATTACAAGGAACTAGAGCACAGATAACATTTACTTTTCATTTCGAAGTAAAACCCGCACTACCAGCTACTCTCCAGTGTAAACACACCACTGATTTGACCATAAGGTGTGCATCTCCCTGAAAAAGAGTAAATGAAAAATACAAAAAAATGGCCTACAGTATGAAGACATGACACAAAAGGAAAAAGCGATGGGGTGGGAGGAAGAAACCACAAACTCAAGCACCAATTCTCAGAGGTTGCAGTTTATTATCAGGAACAATTTTGGGTCCCACCTGGTAGTTAATTGTAATTGTGATGCTACAAGGGGCATTTAGTGCTGCAGTCCTATGTATTTTTGGAGCAAATCCCATAGATAATAATAATATAATAATAAATTTTATTTATATCCCGCCCTCCCCAGCCGAAGCCGGGCTCAGGGCGGCTAACAACAATAAAACAGTACAACAGTACAACACAACACTCTAAAATCATTCATTATAAAAATAATTCAAAACCAGCCACTGGCAACCATTGGGCCAGAGCTCCGTGAAGATTGCCGAAGGAGGGAGTCAGGCTGTGCCCTGGCCAAAGGCCTGGTGGAACAGCTCTGTCTTGCAGGCCCTGCGGAAAGATGTCAAGTCCCGCAGGGCCCTAGTCTCTTGTGACAGAGCGTTCCACCAGATCGGAGCCACAGCCGAGAAAGCCCTGCCTCTAGTTGAGGCCAGCCTAACCTCTCTGTGGCCTGGGACCTTCAAGATGTTTTTATTTGCAGACCGTAAGTTTCTCTGTGGGACATACCAGGAGAGGCGGTCCCGTAGGTACAAGGGTCCTAGGCCGTATAGGGCTTTAAAGGTTAAAACCAGCACCTTAAACCTGATCCTGTACTCCACCGGGAGCCAGTACAGCTGGTATAGCACCGGATGAATGTGATTGGGCATTGGGACTCGTTTCTGAGTAGACATATATTGGTTCACAGGGAAGTTCATGCCTGCATTGTGCTCTCTTGGACATAAAAAATCTCTTTCCAGGCATCTTGCCACTTGCCCCTCCCACCCTGTGTGAGGAAAGCTGCTTTTGCAGTGCAAATGCACACATTTGAGGCGGTAGTCTGTTACATAGGCTGGGCCTGCTTGTGCCAAGATGGATGGAATGTAGTTCCATTCTTTGAAAACAGGACGAGCCTGACTGGGAGATGGTAGCGTTCTTCATTCTCATTTTCATTCCAGATAAGTGTGGATGGTGATTTATTTTTTGTGCAAACTACCGCATAGATTCCGACTGGCTACACGGGGGACCGGAGGTGAGGTAAGACCACTCTTCTATCAAAAGCCACCATCATTCTGTGACTCCAGATCTTTCCTTTTGTATAACTAATACCTGAGATGAAATTATCTTTTTAAAGATTTGGAACAGTTAGTTGTTGTTGAGTAGATAATCCCTAAATATATTCCTGGCTTGTCTGTTACCGATGGGGTATCCGTGGGGGTTTAGTCAGATTAGTCCAGTGTTCTTCATTCTCGGGTCACTAGATGTTCTTGGACTACATCTCCCATCATGCCCAGCTATCTTGGCTGTCTGATCTCTTATCCTCCACCTTGATCTATGAGATCCTCTGATGAGGCTTCCCCACAGTGCTAAGATTCATTTGGCCTTCACTGGGGACTGAGCTTCCAGTGGGGCAGGTCCTTGCCCTGTGGAACTCCCTTCAGGAAGAGGTTCAGCAAGAACCATCCCTCCCTTTTTTCAGAGGTCTTTTGAAAACTATATTGTTTACACAGGCCTTTGCAGTATAAATTCTGCCTTTTTAACGAATCAATACTTGTTAAGGTTTTGTTTCTGTTTTTCATGTTTTTTGCTGGGGGGTTTTTTTATATGCATTTTACATGGGGCTCATCCAGCTGGGAAGGTAGCCCATCTAGGAGAAGGAAGACTCTGACCCTTAACCTCTACTGCCTTATGGGATATCTTCGGGAGGAGAAAAGGCTAAGGAGTAAAACCCTACACAAAACTGGAGTCCCTAAAATGGTGGGAAGCCAAATGTCTTGCTCTGCTCTCCTTTGGACCACATCAACGAGGCTGAGAGGGGGGTCTTGTCGTCTTGGCATCCCAGAACCTCCAGACACACTGCCCAGGCTCATGCCCTGGGGAGGTCACTTCCATGCTGCTAACACAGTGGTTCGACTTGACCCCCTGATGCGTTCTCCATTGTCCATCGAGACAAATGGAGACCAGCAATTTCTATATGTCGTATACAACGTTGATGTATTTTTATGACAGTGTACCGTAGATTCCGGTGTACAGTGGTGCCTCGCAAGACGAAATTAATTCGTTCTGCGAGTTTTTTCGCCTTGCGAATTTTTCGTCTTGCGAAGCACGGTTTCCCATAAGGTATTAACGGTTTTAAGAAAAAGGAAACAAACTTGCAAGACGTTTTCGTTTTTCGTCTTGCGAAGCAAGCCCATAGGGAAATTCGTCTTGCGAAGCAACTCAAAAAACGAAAAACTCTTTCGTCTTGCGCGTTTTTCATCTTGCGAGGCATTCGTCTTGCGAGGTGCCACTGTATTAGGCGACTGGGTGTATTAGACGACCCCCCCAAATTGGCAGCTGCAATTTGGGGATTTGTCTTATAAGCCCAGTCGCCTAATACGCTGGGCAGCTCTGCGCCGGGAGAAAGCAGCCCGGCGGGCTCCGCTCCGTGCCCCCCATACCCAGCGTATAAGACGACCCCCAAATTTTTAACCTCTTTTCCAGGGTTAAAAAGTCGCCTTATACGCCGGAATCTACGGTATATTAGAGCATTTTCTCTCAGTCTGGCATTGACTGTGGCTGACAGTAGTCCAGAACATCTGGCATTGGGGACCAGGTTGTCAAAGTCTGCATTAAATTAAATCCAGGCCCCCTTAGGGCTGGTGTGGGGACTGTTTGGCGCTACAGATCTTACTAGAACTCCCCTCATTAGGACTGGTAAGACCTACATTCAAATGCCAGCCTTGCCATAGAAATGACTTTGGTCCAGCCTCTCTCTCTCTTCCTCTCTCTCTCTCTCCCACCCACCCCCATCCTAACCTTGTTGTGAAGATAAAATATGTATCAGGGAGAAGAATCATCTGCATTTCCCTGAGCTTAGAAACAAATAAATTTTCACTTTCTTTTTCAGGTTCCTCGATCAAGATTGCCAGCCTGAAAATGAACAAAAAGAAGAAGTTTTTATTAATTTACGTATTACGTTTTTTTGTTATACTGCTCTGTGGCCCAAAGCCCTCTGTGAGTGGTTTATAGTTAAGTGCAGGTTTTTTAAAAAAAGAAAAAAGAAAAAGCACCGGAATATATGAAATTGCAATATATAACAGTATATAGATAAATGTCGTTAATAATGTAATTTAAATACACGCACTCTGGAATTAAGTAAGTCTTCGGCTGGTTGGTCTTAGGCCCTCAGCCTCCACTTCCCTTTGTTGTGACTGCAAGGATAAAATATTGAGGGTGAGGGCATATCCTCCTCATCTTTTAACGGCCAAGTTGGAAATGTGTCTATGCAAACGTACACCCATTAAATACATGTACGCACATATCTGTGCATGCTTGCCGAAAGACATCAGGTGGATGAACTTGATGAACCTCCTTGTACTAAAGGTCCCTGGATTAAGATCCTATCGCTGAGACGGGTCTCCGTCCCGTGGCAACCTACCCATCGCATATGGCATGGCCTCTTTTTCCTGGCTGCTTGGCTATACCAAGATGATTATCTTTTAGAAGCGGTCTTCCTTGCACAGCACGGAGTCAGGAGGAGTGGGGTTGTATTAGTCACTGCTGCTGCCTCTGTCCCATCCCTGATGCCCCTCTTTTCCTTTTAGAGGCTCCTCACATTGTTTAGATTGGGACCAGGACGACTTCCTGTCGCAGACATTCGTTCCTCCATGTATTTGGGGAGGGAGGTACATGGCTCAAGACGAGGATGCCGTGGGATAGGGGTGGGGGCATGCCATGGCATGGCTACCCAGAACATCTCTCCTCTCCCTAAGCCGATTCTATTCTAAAAGCCCAAACAAAGCGCTAGTTTAAATGGAAGCCCCTGAATCAGTTTACACCAAGCTACTATTTGTTCTCCTGCCTCCTCCCGCGGTCATTTCTTAAAAACAAAAATCGGTATAGAAATGAAATAATAATAATAATAATATCCAGTTTAAATGTAACTAGTTCTACTAGCAAATTTACCAGCCCTTGTTCGACTTGTTGTAATTTTTTTTTAAAAAAGACACACCCTGCTTTGTAGTCATGCTCTAGACACTGCTCCAAGTGCTTCTAATTATTTTTGTATATCGGTAAGAGATTATTTTGAATCGCTGACTAAATAAAGCTACGTTACCTGTACAATCGCTGATTTTTTCCCCTCTGGGGGTGGGGGGAATTGCCTGCTTCCTTCTATATTTTTTCACCTTCCGCTCTCTCCCCTAGTGAGTATTAACAGGATGGGACAGGGGAGATTTTCTAAACCGGGTTCCCATTTTCTAAACTGGTATGGTGTGAGGTGTGCTGAATCTAGGATGCTTTATAAAGGGCCCAAGAAGGGCAGAGCGCAGCCGTATTTTGGCCGGCAGTGCTTTGAGGAAGCATAGAGTGAGAGCCTCGCAATGGCCAAACAGATCTCTGTGAGAAACAGGACCCGAGCACAAAAGCGCACTCCTCCTCTGTGGTTTCCAGCAACATTATTGTCTGTGACTGTGGAGGCAGACGGTAGCCATTGATAGCCTTATGTGCCATGCATTTATCTCATCTTTTAAAGCCATCCTAGCAAGGCTGCATTAGCCAATCCTTCCTTTTAACTGTCTCGAATCTTCCCACATTTAGCTTCCTTGGATATCCCTAGTGTTGTGAGAGAGGGAGAAATCTTTTATATATATACAGTGGTACCTCAGGTTACATACGCTTCAGGGTACAGACTCCGCTAACCCAGAAATAGTGCTTCAGGTTAAGAACTTTGCTTCAGGATGAGAACAGAAATCATGCTCTGGCGGCGCAGCGGCAGCAGGAGGCCCCATTAGCTAAAGTGGTGCTTCAGGTTAAGAACGGACCTCCGGAACGAATTAAGTACTTACCACTGTATAATAATTTTCTTTTATTCTTATAGACAACATTTTCAATGTACGATTCTCCCATATTTCCCCCCAGCTTTGACTATCTATCTGCCCTGTTGGTCTCCTTTTCCCACACCTCTTTTAATTGATCCTCCATTTCTGCTAATATTTTATAAATTTCACTGGTTTCCCCTTTTATAACTGTATTTTCTTCTTTGGAGATGGTATTTAACACGTCAGATTAAATCATATAAACAAGGAATATTCGGTGTTAGGTTGGAGGGGATGCCAGGAAACAGGGAATTCTGTTCACATGTGGTAGAGGTGTAAATCTGTACATTTTTTAGCAGAGTGTTTAAGGAGATAACAGAAATCGCTGGGTTAAAGCTGACCGAAAGCCCAGAGGTAGCATCATTATCAATTTACGATGGGATGGAAGGTTCGCAGACCATGAAGGGCTTGCTCACAAATTTATTGACAGCTGATTTATGAATTATGATAGCTAGGAAGTGGAAGGGGCACGCAGAATATACAATGGAAGAATGGTATAAAGAGGTGTGGGATATAGCTATTAATGATAAATTAACATGTGCCATTAAGGTAAGATGAGGAATATGCAGGAGAAATTATTTTGAGGCAATACAGGTGTTTGTAGAATTTGTACTGTTAAAACAGAAAGGGGTCAAACCATCATAAGAGGTGTTGAAATTTTGGGAGGTTGGATGGTTACAATGGAATGGTCTTGGTGGTAAGGTGCACATTTTTATTCCTACATATTTATTATTATTACTTTGTAAAAATAAAACAGAAAAAAGAAATATTTTTCCTCTCTCTACCCTGTCCATGCCACACATAATTTTATAAACTTCTGTCATGCCACCTTCTTCCTTGTCTTTTCTCTAAACAGTCTCAAATGCTTCAATATTTCTTCATATGGGAGTTGCCCCACCTCCTTGATCATTGTCTGTTGTTGCTTCGGTTTTCTGTACGCTGCTTAGAGATATTTTTAATAGATTAAGTGGTATAGAAATGAAATAATCAGTTGGGCTGCCCTTTTTTGAACCTTTTCCAACTCTGTAATATCCTTTTTGAGGAGAGGTGACCAGAACTGGTACTCTGTATTCCAAATTTCAGTCTTTTTTTAACTAGGAGACACAGCTACCTACCTGTTTGCACACCTTTGGCTACCTGAAGTTCAGGCAGGCCTGGACGAGGAAAATAAAATATTTCCAGCATGTCAGTTGGGCAAAACATTCCTGCATTGCAGAGGTTGGGCTAGATGACCCTCTGGCCCCCTTCCAACTCTGCCATCCTGTTAATTTGCCTGATCAGCAGCTAGCTTGATTTTAATTTTACTTATATACTACCTTTTTTTTAAAAAGCACCTCTAAGTGGACTGTATGAAATTGTATAACAGTATGAAATTGTATAATCTATGCAAGAATGCATAGATACAATAAAGACTTTAAAAACAAGTAGGCATAATAAAATAATCAGCTAATATTGTGGATAGCCATCTCTGACTGCTCCCTACGTGAAAATGGGGTCTGTTTCTGAGATTAAATAGTGAAATTAAATGATGGCTAGAGGAAGGGGTTTGCCTCCGTGGTAGAACATCTCTTTGGGGTGCCGAAGGTTCAATCCTGTAGCTTCTCCAGGCAGGGCTGGGAGAAAGACCTGCCTGAAATCTTGGACAGCTGCTGCAAGTCAGTGCAGACAATACATAGCTAGATGGACCTATGGTCTGATTCAGAAGAAGCCAGCTTCCTATGCTCCCTTGTGTAAGTAGTGGTTGAACATTTGCCTTGCCTGCGGAAGGTCCCAGGTTCAAATCCTGACATCCCCAAGCACAGCTGGGAGAGTCCTCTCCTATGAAATCCTGGGCATCTCACATTACTGAACTTAACGGACCGGCTGCTCTTAGTAGGGCAGCTTCTATATCTTCCACAGTATAATTTCGCGATGGGCTCTCTGCCAAACAGCAAGTCATTTTGTCTGGCCCGATTGACTCACCCAGCAGGATTGCACTGTTATTGAATATGGTTTCAACAACCTTTTTTCTACACCTGACTGCAAATCCCAAACTTCCGCTCTCTGAGTTCTTAATAGCCTTTCCCATTTAAAATAATAATATATATATATTTTTGTAAACTTAAAAGAAAAAAAAATATTTAGCCAGATGCCACTTTTCCAGGGTAGTGTGTTCCCACCCTCCTTACAGGTTAAGGGTTAATCTGACCGAGTGCTTCATTCCTAGAGAGTCCCTTCAGGAGGCGAGGTTGATTCGTTGCTGGAGGCACTTCCGGCCAACCTTGCCTATCCCCCTTCGCTCTACCTTTGCAAAAAATAAAAAAGGGGGGTGGATGGGCTTTGGAATTTCTCCTGGAAAGAGGTGAGTGCAAAATGCATTTGGGGTGAAAAGGGTGCAATTGAAGAGCTGGCGTAGCAGAAAAAAAAATATTGCAGACCAGATTTCATATTTATAGGAATGATTGTCACAAATATATGTTTATTTAAAGAAATTGCAGGTTGGTCTATTGAGAGGGTGGGGGAAATATCTAAAAGTAATGGTAGTGATAAAGGCACCTTTACCGCGAGCAGAGAAGGCCACAGTCCTGCTTGCATTTACCTGGGAATAAAATCCCATTTATTCATTGGGACTTAAGACTGTGTACACACCATGCAATTAAAGGATGTTTAAATCCCATTCTGCATTCCCAAAAAAAGAATCATGGGAACTGTAGTCTGACCCCCCACGGAACTACAATCCTCAGCACCCTTCGCAAACTACAGTTCCCAGGGTTCCGGGGAGGGGGGCAGGGAGGGAAGCATACTTTAAATGTAGGGTTATCCAAGAGACCAATTCCTGAAACCTTTGCTAACTCCGGGAAGCAGAAACGGTTTATTCTTTTTGTGCGACGCTGGCAGATTTGTGATGCGTGGAGTGGCGCTGCAAGAAAGATTAGAAAGAGAGAGCTAGACAGTATTGCAAATAAGTTGTGTAGGAGATTCAGAGGTCTGGCGGATGTTAAGCTAGGTATGAGCTAGCAGATTATATTTATGAATTCCTGTTCCCTTTCTTCAAATCACTGATGCCTTCCTTGTTTTACGTAATTGCTGTTTGGTGTATGCTATGATTTGCAGTTACAGATAGGTAGCCGTGTTGGTCTGCCATAGTCAAAATAAAAAAATTCCTTCCAGTAGCACCTTAAAGACCAACTAAGTTAGTTCTTGCTATGATTTGCAGTTAGGGCGATTGTACTGCAGTTGTTACCCGTTAGCGAGCAAGCTTTTGAGTTCCACAGAACTCTTTATGTTAACCACCCAGCTATTAAACTGAGAGGCAGCGTGGTGTAGTGTTTGGAGTGGGACAGGTACGATCCTATTTCAAATCCCCTCACCTGCAAGTGTTACTGCGTGACTGTAAGCCAGTCACTATCTCTTTTCAAGGACATAGTGATAATTTTAAAAAGGCGGAGGAACTTTGAGTTGTATCTAGACTTGAGTCAGTTGTGCTTAGGCTGCTTAAAATCATTGTGAAAAGTTAGTAATGGCTTTAGTCCAGTTGGTTTCAATGGGAACGGACTGAAACTCAAGTCTGGATACTACCCTATATGTATGTGTCACGGATTGGTTGGATGCAAAGGAATGGTGGTCAGAGGAAGAAGACTGGGAGGAGAAGGTGTCAGAAGCTGAAGAGGTAACAGGGCTTAGTGAGCGGGGAGAATCTGTGGCAGAGTGAAGCCCAGAATCAGAGGCAGAAGCAGAAGCAGGAGAGTGGGATGAGGAAGGCCAAGAGGCAGAGATGGGTCAGGCTGGTGAGGAATCATGGGTTTTCTCCTCCTCCTGGTGTGACAAGCTCCCCTCCCCCCTTGTCTCCCAGAACCAGAAGAACCATATCTTTACCTTTCATTTACTTGTTTCATCGACCTCCCTTTTTTGTATTCTAGTTCAATTAACTATTTCAGCAAATTCTTTCCATCTTTCACAATTTTTGTTCTATAATTTATCTTAACGGTCTAACCTTATTTTTTCATTTTGGCCAATTATCAATCAGCTTTTACTTAATTCTTTATTACATTTCTGCTAAAACCATATAGCTTCATTCCAGCATCCTTCTAACATTCATTAATTTTGCAATATTTTTGTAAATATACTTTAAATTTTTTCCAATCTTCTTCCACCGACTCCATCCTAATCTTTGGTCTTAAAATAGTAACATTAGATTTTTCCCTATTAACAACCCATTTTTCATATTCCCTTAAAGCATTACAGCTAAGTAGCTTGGAATTGTTGACACTGGCTGGCAGTTGTTCTCCAGCGTTTGAAATGGGAGTCTGTTCTTCTCAGCCCCACCTGGAGAAGCCAGGGATTGAATCTGGAATCTTCCAGATGCAAAGCACATACTCTGCCAGTAAGATATGGCCGTTCCCCAATTTTTCAGAAGACTGAGCAGAAACACGGGTGCTGTATCTTGCGTCTCTCAACCTACGTGAAGGTTTGGGTCCTTAATCATTTTTAGGAGAGCAGAGCTCAGCTGCTCTCTCCCCACACCATTGCATGTTTCCAGTTTCTTAGGGTGAGCTGAGACTCAGTACAATATACAGCTTCCAGGATGTGGGTGGTGCTGTGGTCTAAACCACAGGGCCTCTTGGGCTTGCCGATCAGAAGGTCAACTGTTCGAATCCCCTCAATGGTGTGAGCTCCCATTTCTGTGTCCTAGCTTCTGCCAACCTAATAATAATAATAATTTTTATTTGTATCCCGCCCTCCCTGGCCAAAGCCGGGCTCAGAGTGGCTAACATCATATAAATCAGACAATATGCATAATACAATATACAATATGCAAATAAAATAACATTCAACATTCATTAAAATAATATAGAATATTAAATACCAGCATTTCAAGATTAAACAGAAATCCACTCTTAACAGTTACAATAAGTAATTTCTAAACTCCAATCAATAAAACAACTGCAAGCCACAGTGCACAACATAATACAATACAAAATGAGAAGCAGAGACTGGAGGGTCTGGCAAGGCAGGTGGAAAGAGGCCTTGCCTGATGAAGTCTCCCCCCTCACAGTTCTTCCTCCAGGACCAGCTCCCTTATGAGGACTCCTAGGGTCAGAGGGTGGGGCACGGCAGGTGGAAGGAGGCCTTGCCTGATGGAGTCTCTCCCCTCACAGAACCTAGCAGTTTGAAAGCACACAAGTCCAAGTAGATAAATAGGTACTGCTGCAGTGGGAAGGTAAACAGCATTTCCGTGCACTCTGGTTTCCGTCATGGTGTCCCATTGTGCCAGAAGCGGTTTAGTCATCCTGGCCACATGACCCGGAAAGCTGTCTGTGGACAAACACCGGCTCCCTCAGCCTGAAAGCGAGATGAGCGCCACAACCCCATAAGTCGCATTTGACTGGACTTAACCATCCAGGGTTCCTTTACCTTTTGTTTTATTATTACAGTGGTACCTCAGGTTACAGACGCTTCAGGTTACAGACTCTGCTAACACAGAAATAGCACCTCGGGTTAAGAACTTTGCTTCAGGATGAGAACAGAAATCACACGGTGGCAGCATGGCGGCAGCAGGAGGCCCCATTAGCTAAAGTGATACCGCAGGTTAAGAACAGTGTCAGGTTAAGAACGGACCTCCGGAACAAATTAAGTTCTTAACCTGAGGTACCACTATATTCAGCTTCTGTTTCCATAAGGAGAAGAATCTCCTCTTGGTAACTGGATATATTGCTTGGCTCGATCAAATGCTGTTGAACCGTGGGACTGAGCCCCATTGCCAGTCCTGAGAGAGAGAGAGAACATGGCTGCCGTAAAGCGAGGTGATCTTTTGGCTGTGGGACTGGAGTCCGAGGAGGCTCTGCAAGACTCAGCTGCCCTCAAAGCAGAGAGAAGGAGGACCGAAAGCGCTCGGCCTGGGTGTGGCATGGAAACCTGCAGAAAAACAACTCCGGAGATCTTGAACCAGGATGCTCCAAATTCCAGTTCCGAGTTCAGACAGTTCAGGTACCAAGAGGCCATTGGTCCCCAGGAGGTTTGCAGCCGGCTCCTGGACCTTTGCTGCCGGTGGCTGAGGCCCAAGAGACTCACCAAGGAAGAGATGTTGGAGCTGGTGGTCCTGGAGCAGTTCCTGGCCGTCCTGCCCGCGGAGATGCAGAGCTGGGTCAGGGAAGGCCGCCCAGGGAGCTGTGTCCAGGCCGTAGCCCTGGCGGAAGGTTTTCTACTGAAGCAGCAGGAGGACAGAAGGCAAATGGTGAGCGGGTTACATTTTGGTGGTTCATGCTGTGGGCATGAAGAAATTGTTGTTTTACAAGGAAGTTGTTTTACAGCCTTTCTCAGAAGCTTTGTTCTGCTGGTCACCCACCTAAAATAAATAAATGATGGATTAATAGACAATATGCAGGAGCAAGACAAGGACCCACAGAGGGGAGGAGGGGAATCCAGGAGATTCTTTGGAATCCTCTTTTTATGTTGCTTGTTTGATAATCGTTTGTAAATTTCAAAATCTGAAAAACTAAATAAAATTTAAATGAATGAATGGAGTTGAGAAAGGAGTAGAAAAGGGGGAATCACAGAATTGTAGAGTTGAAAGGGACCCCAAGGGTTATCTAGTCCAACGCCATGCTCTGCAGGAGTCTCAGCTAAAGCATCCATGACAGATGGCCGTCCATTAAGAACATATTCTGATGCCCTTAATACTCTCTCCTGTTTTAGGTCCAGGAGCCGTTGATGGAGGTGGCCGGCCCTTTATCTGGTGGAAAGAAGGTTCCGTCGGACGACTTTGACAGGCCGGGACGTGGGGCCAAAACCAGCACAATGAAATTCCACAGAGATAAAGGTAAAATCCTGCATTTAGTGTTGTGGGAGGTGGTGAGATCTCGTTTGGCAATACTACGCGCAATAAGGATTTGGGTGTCTTAGTGGATCACAAGCTTAATGTGATCCACCAGGGTGTGACACTTTATAATGTGCTCTTTTGTTTTGCTTTGCATCTTCAGGCTTGGAAGCTGATTAAAAAATAAACCTTGATTGATTGGCTAGGAGGCTGATTAAAAAATAAACCCTGATTGGCTAGGAGGCTGATTTTAAATCTTTGTTTGGCCCTCTGCTTCTGATTCTACCTCCGTTTCATTAACAGACAGTGAAATGGCACCTGAGGCACATTCTGAATCTTCTCCTTTTTCTGCTGGAGGGGTGAAAGCCACCATCCAGCCAACTCAGGTAGGAGAAAGCCTGTTGGGGAGACCTATTTCAGACAACTGGGGTGCCACTTTCTTATATATCCCTGGGCTTCTTTGGGAGGAAGGGTAGCACAATAACTCGTCGTCGCTCACAAAGTACCATCGTTAGCACCCCCAATAAGGATTCTCACAATTCCCTAAAGAATATAATTACATACTATCATCACAATTCCACAAAAGAACCTCTCTCAATTCCCCTCCTTCTCTTTTCAGTCCTCAATATCAAGGAGTGTGTGTGTGTGTGTGTGTGTGAGCAATTTTAAGCCTGAGGGCCACATTGTGTTCTGGGCAGCCTATCAGGGGCCACAGGCCAGCAGTGGGCGGGGCCAGAGGCAAAAGTAGGCAGAGCAGCAAATGCAACTCTTACCTTTGTACAGTAGAGGGGTGTCGGGGAACCAGCCCACCAGGTGCGGAGGAAAAATGACGAGGAGTCATGGGTAAAGGTTTAAGCAAGGAGTGAGCTCTCTCTCCCAGCAGCCTTGCATGTTTATTAGCCTTGCGCACATTACATCATGTTGCATATACACGTGTAGCACTCGGGTGGAAAACAGCTAGGGTTTGCATTTCTTAGAATAACTATTCTCTACCATACTCCAGACAGCCGCATAAGCTTTGCGGTTAGGCAGCGCGACAGTGACCCAGGCGTGTGGGGGAACAAGTCAGCAGATGCTTCCTCTTGCACAATCTTGCACAAGGGTGCTATTTTTCTATTGCATCCCCACATGCCCTCCTTTTTTATATTATTTAATCAGAGTCATAAATTTCATTCCGAGGCAGAAGCTCGCCAGGGTCGCACACAGCGCGCTGGTAACCAGGTAGGCCGTCCATCCAGGTCCACTGCCGCGTAGCCGCGTCCCCAGGAGATGAGTGGCACAGGACCATGCCATGTTGGATCAGGCAGCTGTCTGTAAGATACAAGAGGCCGAGCCAAAGGCTCTGCTTTTTGAAAATGAATCTCAGCCGGTGTATATTCCCTATTATGGGATACAAATATGGTTAAGAGTGAATAAAACAGTATGCACAATTGAAGGAATCTCGGCAGAGGGGGCATTTCGACCTCCAAGTTGTTTGGACAGCAGAGTCTTGAAGGTCAAGTGCGCCCTCTCCACAATCGCCTGTCCTGTTGAATTAAAAGGCAAACCATGGATTAATTTCACATTCCATAAATCACAAAAGGATGAAAACTGAGAGGAAATATAGGCTGGGCCATTATCCGTTTTAATGCTTTGTGGCTTACCCATCACCGCAAAACAGCGCAGGGTGTGCTGAATGACGTGACGAGCGGTCTCACCCTTCAATGGGGTGGCCCAGATAAATCCAGATGAGGTGTCCACTGTCAAGTGAACTTTTGAAAATGGGGCGAGCAGAGGGGTGTGAGTAACATCCATCTGCCAAACCGCAAGAGGGGACGTACCCCTAGGGTTCACCGCATCAAAGGGAATCATGGTTGGAGCCTTAGAACAGATAGAACATTGAGAGACAATGTCTCGTGCCTGTGCAATAGGGATTTTAAACATTTTTGCCAAAACTTTAGCAGGCTGGTGAAAGGTAGAATGAGAGAGAATAGGGTCAGAAAACAAGGAAAACACTTCAGATCGCAGTGCAGCGTCTGCCACGGCATTTCCCTGAGCCAAAAACCCTGGGTGATTGGTGTGGGAACGAAGGTGTGCAACATAAAAAGGATGACGGCGTTCTTGAATAAGATACTGCAAGGTAGAAAAAAGAACAAACAAATCAGCATCTAACACAGGCGTGATATAAGAAACAGGCAGGGAAGACAGAAGGCGATACACATATTGTGTATCAACAAGCAAATTAAAAGGTTTATCAGGAAAGAGTTGAAAGGCAAGGATTACAGCAGCAAGTTCAGCCCGCTGGGCGGACCTCTGTTGCTCAGTAAATTCAGTTTTCCATTTTTCACCCTCTTCCCATGCCACCACCCCCCGCGTTTTTGACCCATCAGTGAAAAGGGTAAGGGCAGAGGGGATGGGGGTTGGAGAAAGAGCAGTTTTTAAAGTATAGACAGTTTGAGAAAGAAAGACAAGCATGGATCAGAGGGGGGATTATGCGTGATGGTTCCCAAAAAATCCACAAGTGCTACTTGAGTAGCCACGGAGGTGGAAATCAGGTGTTGTGTTTCTGTGAGTGAAAAAGGCAAATAAATTTTTTCAACGTCCAGTCCAGAGAGGGCTTTTGCTCGAGCGCGCCCTTTAATTACCAAATCCATTACAGCCGCTGGAGAGGAATAAATGTTACGCGGTGGAGTATGCGGAAGGTGGATCTATTCCACAATGTTGACACCCGAGGGGGCGCCGATTTCTGTGAGTAGAGAATGGCTGTAGGCAGCAAAGGTGTGGAAAAAATTGCCAAGGATAACTGCACATTGTGCAGAGTGTCTATGCGATCCACCATTCGGTCTCTTAATAAAGCATTAACCTGTTGTAAGGCTTGTAGCATTTCTTCTGTAACTGGGATGACTTCTCCGGGTAGGTTGTGTCCTTGTAAGGCAGAAAACAATGATGACAAGGTGCTAGTAGGCAGATTAAGGTAATTCTTTATCCAATTCAGGTGTCCCAAAAGTTGTTGAAGGTCAACCAGCCGTAGGCGGGCAGGAAAAGACAATTGGGGAACAACCGGAATGGCAGCTTGTTGTGTCAATTTATGTCCAAGATATAACATAGGCAAAGTTTGCTGAACCTTATCTGGGGCAATACACAGTCCAAAATCTCTCAGGGCAGATGTAAGGTCTTTTAATAATTCCACTGATATGTCCTGTGCAGCCACAAGGATATCAATTGGGTGGAGGCTTTGACAGGCTGGCGCTTCTCCCCCGACACCCAAAACCTGCGCAGCTGCCTTTGTGGGCCATTTGGGAGGCCAGTCTTGTTTAGCAATCACAGTAACATCTGCCCCTGTATCCAGAACCCCCTCTACCTCACGTCCACCCAGTGTCATTTTTAAGGTAGGGCGCTGAGCTGTGAGAGGCATTGCAGCAGCAATTAAGGGGGGATTTGTAGGAGTTGTGGCATCCGCAGGGAGCAGTATGACTTTAGCCACTGGCGTGCCAGATGAAAGACCTAAGAGGGGGGCTGCTTGTTTAATTGCAGTCCCCAGTGGCGTCGGCGGAGGCTGATAATCTGGTGGTCGTGGCGGAGTAAAAGGTGGTGGTAGAAGCGGTGCAGCCGGGTATATGAAAGGCATATTCAGGACTGTTTCTTGTTGTGGTTGCAACGAAGCCAAGAGGATGTTTTTGGGCGTAAGAGTTGCCATGCAGCCACGGACTTTAGCCCAGGCACTAAGGACGTGAACATTTATGCGGCCATGGCCATGAAAGTGGTCGCCAATCCTATCCCAGTCTGGAATTTCCCATGTCCCGTTGTCAGGGAGCCATGGACAATGTTCATCTATGGCCAGAATCAATGCAATTAGATCACCTTCAGGTACTTGCTGTTTATTTTCCCGAAGGAGGTGCTGCATGTCTTTTAAAAATTGTTTCTGAGGGTTGGAGAGCGCAGAACCCATGATAAAAATAGAAAAATAGCTACTCACCGGGGATCCGAAGATGAGAAGGCGCCTTGAGCCACAGCCGGGCGGGTGAGTAGCAGGAAGGACCGTCTTTGACAGCACGCGTCCTGGAAGCCGTTCAGGCAATCACACGAGGCACCATTTGTCGGGGAACCAGCCCACCAGGTGCGGAGGAAAAATGACGAGGAGTCATGGGTGAAGGTTTAAGCAAGGAGTGAGCTCTCTCTCCCAGCAGCCTTGCATGTTTATTAGCCTTGCGCACATTACATCATGTTGCATATACACGTGTAGCACTCGGGTGGAAAACAGCTAGGGTTTGCATTTCTTAGAATAACTATTCTCTACCATACTCCAGACAGCCGCATAAGCTTTGCGGTTAGGCAGCGCGACAGTGACCCAGGCGTGTGGGGGAACAAGTCAGCAGATGCTTCCTCTTGCACAATCTTGCACAAGGGTGCTATTTTTCTATTGCATCCCCACAGAGGGGCTGGGAGGGTGTGTGTGTAGTGTAGTGGTGTAGTGGTTAAGAGCGGTAGTCTCCTAATCTGGGGAACCGGGTTCGCGTCTCCGCTCCTCCACATGCAGCTGCTGGGTGACCTTGGGCCAGTCACACTTCTCTGAAGTCTCTCAGCCCCACTCACCTCACAGAGTGTTTGTTGTGGGGGAGGAAGGGAAAGGAGAATGTTAGCCGCTTTGAGACTCCTTAAAAGGGAGTGAAAGGCGGGATATCAAATCCAAAAAACTTTCCGGGGGTTCCTCATTCCTGTTCAAAGCCCTCAAAGCCACCTACGGGGAAAGCTGTGAGTTCAGCCCATTTTGACGCTATGAACCTTTGAATCTTGCAGAAGAGGGATGCGGAACCTGTTGCCTTGTAGGTGTCGCTGCAGTGCAACACCCATCATGCCTGACAGCTGTGCTGGCTGGGTGACTGATGATGATGACAACAACAACAACAACAACAACAATAATGTAATATTTCACTCTGGGCGACTTCCAAGACATAAAAACACAATAAAACATCAAACATTAATAGTAACAGACTGATCCAATATAAAAATCACAGTAACTTTAAAATAAACAACTTATATAAAACAATCCATCAGAATCTAATAAACAGTAAAATTAAACATCAGCAAATAATAAACAGTTCAACCACAATAAAGAATTATCAATCAATAAAAGTAACAGCAAATCACGTAAAATACCACAAAACATACAAAACCATGTAAAAGGATCAAGCTGAGAAACAAAGAAGAGAAGAAGAGTTTGGATTTGATATCCCGCCTTTCACTCCCCTTCAGGAGTCTCAAAGCGGCTAACATTCTCCTTTCCCTTCCTCCCCCACAACCAACACTCTGTGAGGTGAGTGGGGCTGAGAGACTTCAGAGAAGTGTGACTGGCCCAAGGTCACCCAGCAGCTGCATGTGGAGGAGCGGAGACACGAACCCAGTTCCCCAGATTATGAGACTACCGCTCTTAACCACTACACCACACTTTTATACGCACAACTTATAAAACTATTTTTAAAAAATATCGCTGAACTCCTCTGTTGCCAGCTACTGCGGCTGCTATTCTCAAAGTCATAGTCTGGGAAAGGCTAGGTGGGGCAAGGCAGGAGGAAACACCATTGCCTGATGAGGAACAGAAAGTCCAATATCACCTGCAGATTCTGCACCCTGAAAACAACCACCTGTTCCTATTGTCTTCTTTGGGCGTGTGATGGAAGGAGAGCAGTCATCACCCCATTTTCTGGGATGTTTGGCTAGGAAATAGCTTTGTATTATAAGGACAGAATTACCCAAACTGTATAGAAACTTATTCATGTATCCTACTACAGTGGCAAGAATGTTATTCGCCCCCAAATGGAAAGAAGCAGAAGTCCCAGTAAAGGAAGAATGAATACAAAAACTTGCAGAATACGCAGAATTAATAACCGGAAGAATAAGAAATCAAGATAACAAACTTTTTGTAAAAGAATGGAAGTGGTTTATTGAATATTTACAGATAAATTGTAAACAGATAAGAACATTCGCAGGATTATTGTAATAACCTGCAGTTTTATAAGAGTATACATTTAAAGCAGATGAATAAATGAGCAGATAAAGTTCATTTGGATATGCAGAAGATATTGAAAATAAACTTGAGGGACCGCAGAAAGAGGGGGGAAGGAAGACGAGTTTTGAAATGTTAAAATGATTGTAGAATGATTGAAATGTATAAACCCGAAAAGCATAAAGAAAATAAAGAAAAAGAAAATAGTTTCGTATGTGTTTCAGGAGCCTGTGGTTTTTGAGGAGGTGGCTGTGAGCTTCACAGAGGAGGAGTGGGCCCTGCTGGTTCCAGGCCAGAGAGCATTGTACCGGGAGGTCATGTTGCAGAATTATGGGATGGTGGCCTCTCTAGGTAAGGATGCCTTTGGCCGCAGATGAGGCAGGGGGTGTTGTTGGATTCCAACTTCCCTCAGCCCCCACCACCGGCCAGCCCATGCCAAATCAGATAAACCTCTCTATAATTCTCACTCTATAATGGGAATAGGGGGGCTCCTAACCACTCCCAGCAGCCTTATCAAACACCATCTCCCAGAATTCCTTGGGGGAAGCCATGATCATTTAAAGTAGTAGAAAAAAGACAGTCACGGAACCAAAAACAACACCAAACAAATGAAATACCATGAAAATCCCTGAAACGAGAAGTAATCGACTAAAAATATTAAACTAAATAACAAAAATCACAAAGTTTAAGGGAAAAATTAGAAAAACCTAGAATTGAATAAAACCTTAACGGGATGCTGGCTACAAACCTCATTTCACTGAACTATTCAGTTTCCTCAGAAGGAAATAGAAAAATCATAAACCTTAAATGATTTTAAACAAACTCAAGAACAGGGCTGAAACGCTCCCCTGAGTTTACAAAAAAGGTTTGAAAACCTCAATAGCAAGTTTAAGACACAGCCCTATTTAAAGCAAGCCAAGCCGTAGTGATAAGGAATTGAGGACTCGGCTGTGAAAACTCTAGTATTGCCTTTTAAAGTGGCATGATAGTGCTTTTAAATGTGAGGTGTGAATGTGGCCTGACTAGCAGTCCCTGTCCAGGGATTCAGGCCGGTGAATCTCTCCCAGACGTACCTGGAGGTACCAGGAATTGAATTTGGGACTCTCTACATACAAAAGTAAATGCTGTAGCACCGAGCAACAGTCCTTCCTGCGTGGATGGAAAGATCTTGGAAGCTCTCTTGCGGCCCCTACATAACCAGCTGTTTGATTTTTATGTTTTGAATATCTAGAAGCTCTGCTGATTCCCAAGCCTGACCTCATCTGCCGGTTGGAAGAGGAAGAGCTCATTGAGCAGTGTACTGAGGAAGGGGAGAGTTTTAAAGGTGGGCAAAAGACTCATCTTTTGTTTCTCTCTTTTAGCATCATCATCATTTATTATTTATACCCCGCCATCTGGCTGAGTTTCCCCAGCCACTCTGGACGGCTTACAATCGAGTGTTAAAAACAATACAGCATTAAATATTAAAAACTTCCCTGAACAGGGCTGCCTTAAGATGTCTTCTGAATGTCAGGTAGTTGTTTATCTCTTTGACATCTGATGGGAGGGCGTTCCACAGGGTGGGCGCCACTACCGAGAAGGCCCTCTGCCTGATTCCCTGTAGCCTCACTTCTCGCAATGAGGGAACTGCCAGAAGACCCTCGGCGCTGGATCTCAGTGTCCGGGCTGAACAATGGGGGTGGAGATGCTCCTTCATGTATACAGGACCGAGGCCGTTTATTTGTTCACAACTTAGAAGTAGGAAATAAACAAGCATCTCTGTTTATTTCAGGCTGGAAGAGGGAGAACGAGAATGAACTTTATGAGGCTGCTGCGGAGGGAACTGAGACTCGAGATGTGAAGGAGATATTTGTGAGTGAAGATGGACCAGAGATTCCGGTTGGAAAGCCGGTAGTGAAGGACAGATTCCTTTATTTGCAGGATGTGGAGTTCCACGAAAGCTCGTTCCAAAAGGAACCGTGCAAAGTAAGGAGGAGGAACGAGTGTGCTGTGTGTGGGCAGATCTTCAGTCACAAATCGAGCCTTGTTACTCATCAGAGAATCCACACAGGCGAGAGGCCCTATAAATGTGCACTTTGTGGAAAGAGCTTCAACCGAAGGACGCGACTCACTTCACATCAGAGGCTGCACACAGGGGAGAAGCTGTATAGCTGTTCAGACTGCAGCAAGAGCTTTTGCGAAAAATCGAGTCTTAACGCCCATCAGAGAATCCACACAGGAGAGAGACCCTATAAATGCTTGAACTGTGGGAAAAGCTTCAGCCGCAGCTCAAACCTTATTGCTCACCAGAAAATCCACACGACACAGAAACCCCGTAATCACTCCAAAGGCAGCAAGGGCTTCTCTGTTCAGTCTAAGTACAATTCACATGAGAAAATTCACAAAGGAGAGAAGGATCTGTGTAGTTCCGTAATCTTTAGCAAGAGCATCTCTGATGACATGAGTCTTCTTGGACATCCAGAAATATATGCAGAAGAAGATCCTTATAAATGTTTTGACTGTGGGGAAAGCTTCAGTAAGAGCTCCAACCTTTTTAAGCATCAGAGAATTCACTTAGAGGAGAAACCATACAAATTCTGTAGCAATAGCTTTTCAGACAAAACCAGTCTTATGACACATCAAGGCATCCACTCGGGAGAAAAAACATATAAATGCTCAGTGTGTGAAAAGAGCTTCAGTCGCAACTGGAGCCTCCTTACACATCAGAGATACCACAGAGGGGAGAAACCTTATAAATGCTCGGACTGCAGCGAAAGCTTTTGCGACAAATCAAGTCTTATCAGGCACCAGAGAATCCACACAGGAGAGAAGCTCTATAAATGCTTCATTTGTGAGAAGAGCTTCAATCAGAGCACAAACCTTTTCACACACCAGAGAATCCACACGGGAGAAAAACCGTATAAGTGCATCGAGTGTGGGAAAAGCTTTAACCAGAGCTCACATCTTATCAGGCACCAGAGGCTCCACACTGGAGAGAAACCCTACAAGTGCTCGGAATGTGGGAAGAGCTTCACTCAGAGTCCAAATCTCATTCGGCACTGGAAAATTCACGCCAGACAGAACACGTAACGACGGCTTTTTGACTTTTATGAAAAAAATAAAAGCATCAATCAGCGCACAAGAGAATGACACATTAGATGATGTCTTACGAGAGAAGGAAATTGCTCACACAAATGAGAGGTGGAAGATTCCTGCATTGCAGGTGGTAGATTGGATGACCCTTTGGGTACCCTCCACTTCTGCAGCAGAACAGTTTCATGTGCATGTAACGTTTTCCTAGATCCCTCTGGGGTTTTTTCCCCTGCAGAGACTGCAGTCCCATCCTAGTAGTATAAGCAAGGTAGAGCTATAGAGTTGGAAGTGTGAATGTGCTAAGTTTTCATTAATAAATCAAAACAAAAAGTAAATGTGCTCAAACAACTGATAAGAACATAAGAAAGAGCCCTTCTGGATCAGGTTCAGCTAGACTGGTGACTGGGAGTGGCTGCCGAGACCATATAATACCAGTCCTGAGAGACCTGCATTGGCTCCCAGTACGTTTCCGAGCACAATTCAAAGTGTTGGTGCTGACCTTTAAAGCCCTAAACGGCCTCGGTCCAGTATACATGAAGGAGCGTCTCCACCCCCATCGTTCTGCCCGGACACTGAGGTACAGCTCCAAGGGCCTTCTGGCAGTTCCCTCCCTGCAAGAAGCAAAGTTACGGGGAACCAGGCAGAGGGCCTTCTCAGTAGTGGCACCTGCCCTGTGGAATGCCCTCCCATCAGATGTCAAGGAAATAAGCAACTATCTTACTTTTAAAAGACATCTGAAGGCAGCCCTGTTTAGGGAAGTTTTTAATGTTTAGTGCTGTATTTTTTTAATATTTTGTTGGGAGCCAAATTATTATTATTATTATTATTATTATTATTATTATTATCATCATCATCTCACAGTGGCCAACCAGATGCCCCAGTGTGAAGCCACCAAGCAGACCCTGAGCACAAATGGTACCCTCTCCAAACTGCAGTTCCCAGCACCTAGTATACTGCCTCCAACTGTGGAGCCGATCATGGCCTCTGTTGTGACAGAGCGTTAGATACTAGATGGTCAGTTTTTTAAAATTTTTGTACCTGTTCCAATCTGCTTGCACCTTGTGCGAGATAAACTTGTTTCCCTTTGCGTTTCTCCTCTCCCTGGTCCTGTATAAAAAATAATAATGCATTTCTTGCAAGATCTGTGGTTGAGGCTAGGTGTCTTGTTGTTGTTCCGGTCTCCACCACTGCCGTCCAGCTTAGATTCCCCATTTCCCCAGACGTCCAGAACTAGAGTGCAAATCTAGTAGCTGTTCAAAATGAGATGTTGCCCCAACAACAGGCAAATGAAAGGATTTAGAGAGGCAACTCTGGAGCCTGTCCCCTTCCTGCCAAGCGTGCTTTGTGCTTTCTGGTTCAGATTTTGGCTTAGACCCATCCCGTTTCTGCTCTTGGGGTCTTGGGGATAATCATGGAGGCTCAAGAGTAGGTGTCGGGGTGGATGTAAGGCACAGGTCAGCAGTAACTCACAAGGCGTCAGTGAAGTTAACTCTTTATTCAAAGAAACAAAGCGTCTCAGGCCTAGTGAGCGCAGCAACTTCCATAGCAACAGTTTTCCAGGCAAAGCCAGTCTTCCCTTTAGGCCTTGCCTCTATCAGGCAGGACTGAAGGCCTTCCTACAGTCTTCTCCCTCAGATCCTTCCAGAGCAATCTGAGACTCCAAGGCCTTGTCTGTCACCGCTCCACCTTCTTCATTCCTCTCCTGGTCCTGGGAGACCAGTGGAGAGGGGAGGAGGAGACACACATGATGCTTCACCAGCTAACTCAGTCTCTGCCTCTGGGCCCCTCACCTCTCCAGGCTCCTCTTCTGCCGCTAGTTCTGAACTGCTCTCTCTGCCACAGCCTCTTCCTGCTCACTAAACCCTGTTAGCTCTCCAGCTTCTGACACCTCCACCTCCCAGTCTTCTCCCTCTAACCCAGGCATCCCCAAACTCGGCCCGCCAGATGTTTTGGGACTACAACTCCCATCATCCCTAGCTAACAGGACCAGTGGTCAGGGATGATGGGAATTGTAGTCCCAAAACATCTGGAGGGCCGAGTTTGGGGATGCCTGCTCTAACCACTTATTGTTGTCCCACCACACATCCCCAGGCTCTGAGCCTTCTTCCCCTGGGGGTTCCCCGGTTGCTGCCTCCCACCACTCTTCTGCATCCAGCCAGTCCGTGACATCACAGGGGTGGGGGCTTGTGCATCTAGAGGTGGTGTGCCAGGTCTCTCCCATTCCTCAGCCCTCCTCCAGTGGGACATCTCTGGGTGTTGGGTCTCCAGTCCCTGGTCAGTGGTGGCTGGTGCCCATCGGGGCTGGTAGGGCAGAAGGCAAGGAGCCCAACAGTAGGTGGCGCCAGAGAGCCAATGGGATAGAGTCCCCATCCTCTTCCCTGCTGCATTCTGCAAAGGCAACACAAAAGCTGAGGAGGAGGAAGGTGACGGCCAGAGCCGCTTTCTGGATTGCTTGTAAGGGAAAAGGCTGGGCACAGGGCTGCCTGAAGTTTCCGGCTAAACATACAGAAAATGGCCCATGGGTGATGGGAGTCCACCAACATCGGGAGAGACATAAGTTTCTCCATGTCCAGGGGGTGCTTTGCTAGGGACAGCTGCTGTTAAACAGCAACCCATTATTGACAAAAAGCTGGGCTGTGTGTTGAAAGCCATCAGGAAACCCATTCAGTTAATGGGGGGGGGGGGAAGTATGTGTCCTGACCTGAACTGATGAACCACGGTTAAAAAACAGGAAGCAGAGGCAGAGGGACAACCGTCAGCTTTCACAATGGAGGGATATAAACAGGATCTGTCCTGTAACAAAGGCCAATGCTATTTCAAGCCTCTTGGCTTGGTGTCTTCGGCGAGGATCAATGTTGCTGAGCTCATGGAAGGCACAGAAATGGTTCCCACCCATTCCACAAAACGAGCACCCGTAAGAATCTGCTTGGGTTTGGTTTTCCGCAAGGAGGAAAAACCACAAGCTCCTCAAAACAATGGTGGAAACCTGTGGCCCTCCAAATGTTGTTTGCCCATCAGCTGGTGCAAAATGCAGGCATCGCAACTGCTCACATACTGCCCGATAGGTATTAAAAATGGTTGGCATCTGCCTGTCTAGAGAGACAATGGAGTGCGCTGTGGCGATCACACAGGGTCCCCAGACGTTTCACTGCCTATTGATCCCTGTGCCACCACTTTATTTCTCGCTGCCACCACCCAGGCCCTACCTGGTACAATACTGAGTCCAGTCAGGGTTAAATTGGAACATAAACTTCTGTTTATTTATTGCAGTTTAACAAGCGTGTGGTTTCATAAACGGTATCGGTCAATTATATTCGTGGGGTGCCTATCCAGGCCTATAACTTCCGCTACCTGCGCTCACTCACTAAACCACCTCTCAGATATTTACTTGTCTTCCTAGCCCCTAACTGTTCCTGACTCAGCTTATTTCGCCACACTAACTCAACCTACCCACAGACTCTATCCCAATTCATTCCCACTCCAACCAATCACCCAACTCCCAACAAACTCCTCCCTTCACCCCTCCCAGAGCTGGTTTTATAGTCTCTCTAACTCCACCCCCTGGGTTCTGATTGGGTAAGCTGTTTAACTATTTCACCTCCAGCACTCTCATATGTTAACGTCACATGCACCTCCGAGGGTGAAGTCAAAATGGATGGGGGATCACAGCGCCTGCTGTGGCTACAGAAGCTGGCAACACATAACCACTGCTTCCCAGACACACTTAACAAACTACAGTTTGCATAATTCTTTCGAGAAGCCATGGCTGATTGACGTGGCATGGCACGTGCTTTAAATGTTAAATTGCATATTCACCTGATAATTCTCTCCTCCAGGTAAGCAAAAGTTTTAGCTAACTAGCTAAACAAATGGAAGTTTATTTTGTCCCTGCTTCATGCATGGTCTTTCACAGCACTGCAGGAGGCGGTGATGGCTGCTAACTTTTAAAAGGGGACCAGGCAATCCCATGAAGGATGAGGCTATCAATGGCCCATTGGCATGAAGGATATATGGAACCTCCATCTTCAGCAGCAGTGTACCTCTGAATATGAGATGCGGAAGAGCAGCAGTCAGGAAGGGCAGCGCCTCTCTAGCCTGCCTGGTATCATCTCAAGAGGCATCTGATTGGCCGCTTTGGGAAAACAAGTTACTGGACTAGAAGGAACTTGGATTGGATTTGGCAGAGCTCCTACTGGTGATCTCATAGTAGGTGTGGAGAAACCTTTGGCCCTCCAGATGTTGCTGGACTACAACTCCCATCAACCTCAGCAAGGATTGCCAATGGCTGATGGGATTTGTAGTCCAAACAACAACTGGAAGGCCAGAGAGACCCTGCACCTGCCTTGTAGAAATAAATAGGTAAAGGTAAAGGGACCCCTGACCATTAGGTCCAGTTGTGGCTAACTGGGGTTGCGGCGCTCATCTCGCTTTATTGGCTGAGGGAGCCGGCGTACAGCTTCCGGGTCATGTGGCCAGCATGACTAAGCCACTTCTGGCGAACCAGAGCAGTGCACGGAAACGGCGTTTACCTTCCCGCCGGAGCGGTACCTATTTATCTACTTGCACTTTGACGTGCTTTCGAACTGCTAGGTTGGCAGGAGCAGGGACTGAGCAATGGGAGGTCACCCTGACACGGGGATTCAAACCACCGACCTTCTGGTCGGCAAGTCCTAGGCTCTGTGGTTTAACCCACAGCGCCACCCACGTCCTGTAGAAGTAAATAAGTACCGCCTAATTCAATAGAACTGACTCCCCGCAAAAAACATGAAACAGAATCACAGCCCAGTACAGTAAAAGCCCATTTTATATTTTTTTAAAACAAAATATAATTGAATTTGACTGTTGAAATGCCATACACGCAAGTAAAATCGCATGTCAAAACAGTTCCACATCAGAATGCAGCTTAGGAGGCGCTTGTGTTTGATTACTTCGCTGCATGTAGAAAACTGAAGTAGACCATAATCTTTCTCCTTAAAGCTCCCTGTGCGCAGGATGTTTTGTGTTTTACACGGGGAGAGCATTTTAGATCCAGCTCCACTCGCATTTCTAAAGATGGTAGAATTCAATAAAAGCGTCTCTTCTGCTGCATGCGCAGATTGGCTTTTAAACTTTACAAGGAAGGGTGTATAAAGGAGGACTCTGAGCCATGGAGACAGGAAAGATAAGAGTCGCTCGGCAATGGGCCCCAAAGCTGTAAGCTGGTCATAAGCTACCCATGTGTGGAATAACCAATACCAATAAAAAAGGCAGGGCGTCATAGAGATAAAAGAACAGAGTGACTCTCCCAAACCACTTTTCATTTCTGCTCTATAAATGGTGCCCTCTTCTATTCTCTTCCCAATTATTCTCCCAAATCTTTGGATTATCTCCTTCCTGGAGGCTGGTAAGAAACTAGCAGGGCTTTTCCAGAGTCGCCCATAGCAGCTGCCAGAACTGAAAACTATTAGCAGCTACAGGCCTCTGGCCATTTCTGATCAACTTTTTTCACTAGTGGGCATCTTTGGAATTTTGAGAAAGCGCCATGAGTGCCAGTCACAAAATGGCTGCCATAGAGTGTGTGGTATGACACAAAATGGCTGCCACGTATCTGTGGGTAGCATAATATGGTGGGGGACGACGACAAAATGGCTGCCACACCTGAAAGAACAGAAAATGTCCATGACCCCAGTATCAATGGGTTGAAAGGAACCCAAATTAGCCGCTGCCACACTTTCTTATTGGAAAGACCCAGTTCTCTGAGTGCATGTTCTGGAAGTTGGGCAATAGGGGCAGTACAGGATTCCTACTGGTGTACCGACCTCCCCGCTGCACCAAGGATTCCCTGCCCGAGCTGCTTCAGGTCGTGGCGGATGTTCTCCTGGAGACACCTAGTTTGGTTGTCCTAGGGGATTTTAACATCCATGCCGACACGACCTTACAAGGGGCCGCTCGGGACTTCGTGGAAAGCATGGCCTCCATGGGGCTGTCCCTGAATAAGTCTGACCCAACCCATAGCTGCGGACATGCCTTAGACCTGGTGTTCACCTCTATGGATGTTGGTGATCTGACACTAAGTAAAAGCGAAACGAAAGAAGTGCCATGGTCAGATCACTTCCTGGTGCAACTGGACTTCTCCGCGACCCTTCCCCTCTGCAGGGAGGCGGGACCGATTCAGATGGTCCGCCCCCGCCACTTAATGGATCCAAATGGTTTCCAGAGAGTGGTAGGGGATGCTTTATCCCATGTTGATGGCCTTTCAGCCGATTCCCTGGTGGCCCGCTGGAATGTGGAGTTAACCAGGGCTATCGGCTGTCTGGCTCCAAAGCGCCCTCTCCGATTGCATGGAGCCCGGACAGCCCCGTGGTTTTCCGCGGATCTGAGGGCAATGAAACAATCGTTGAGACGGCTAGAGCGCTGGTGGCGAATAACCCATTCTGAATCTGACCGGACACGGGTTAGAGCTCAATGTCGAGCCTACCAAGTGGCGATAGCGACGGCGAAGAAGACTTTCTTCACCGCCTCTATTGCATCTGCGGAAAACAGCAACAGGAGACTCTTTCAGGTGGTTCGCAATTTAGCGGAACCACCTGCTCCATCAGGGCACAGTAGGGGCCACATGATCTCCTGCAATGACTTTGCAAAGTTTTTTGCAGATAAAGTCGCTCAGATTCGAGAAGAGGTAGACTGCACCGTGGGAGCAGGGCCGGGGCGGGAGAGTGCTAGAGTCCTGTCTAGTCAAGTTGTGTGGGATCAATTCCAATCTGTTACCCCCGAGGATGTGGACAGGCTGCTTGGACGAGTGAAACCAACCACCTGTCTCCTGGATCCTTGCCCATCCTGGCTTATAAAAGCTAGCCGGGAAGGACTGGGCGATGGGCTTTGTGGGGTGGTGAATGCTTCCCTCCATGAGGGAGCCTTCCCAGACCCGCTGAAAGAGGCGGTTATTAAACCGCTTCTTAAAAAACCATCTTTAGATGCGGACACAATAGCCAATTATCGCCCAGTCTCAAATCTTCCATTCTTGGGCAAGGTGATTGAGCGAGTGGTTGCTGAACAACTCCAGGCACGCCTGGAAGAAGCGGACCACTTGGATCCCTTCCAGTCGGGATTCAGGCCTCATCATGGGACTGAAACTGCCTTGGTCGCGCTGGTTGATGATCTACGGCGGGCTAGGGACAAAGGTGAGAGCTGTTTCCTAGTTCTGCTGGATCTCTCAGCGGCGTTTGATACCATCGACCATAACATCCTTCTGGACCGTCTTGAGGGGCTGGGAGCTGGGGGCACTGTCATACAGTGGTTCCGCTCCTTCCTCCTGGGCCGTGTTCAGAAAGTGGTGGGGGGGATGAGTGTTCAGACCCCTGGGCTCTCACTTGTGGGGTGCCTCAGGGTTCTGTCCTCTCCCCCATGCTTTTCAACATCTACATGAAGCCGCTGGGAGAGATCATCAGGGGATTTGGGCTGGGTGTTCATCAGTATGCGGATGATACCCAGCTCTACCTCTCTTTCAAATCAGAACCAGTGAAGGCAGTGAAGGTCCTGTGTGAGTGCCTGGAGGCAGTTGGAGGTTGGATGGCGGCTAACAGATTGAGGTTGAATCCTGACAAGACAGAAGTACTGTTTTGGGGGACAGGAGGCGGGCAGGTGTGGAGGATTCCCTGGTCCTGAATGGGGTAACTGTGCCCCTGAAGGACCAGGTGCGCAGCCTGGGAGTCATTTTGGACTCACAGCTGTCCATGGAGGCACAGGTCAAATCTGTGTCCAGGGCAGCTGTTTACCAGCTCCATCTGGTACGTAGGCTGAGACCCTACCTGCCCGCGGACTGTCTCGCCAGAGTGGTGCATGCTCTGGTAATCTCCCGCTTGGATTACTGCAATGCGCTCTACGTGGGGCTACCTTTGAAGGTGACCCGGAAACTACAACTGATCCAGAATGCGGCAGCTAGACTGGTGACTGGGAGCGGCCGCAGAGACCACATAACACCGGTCTTGAAAGACCTACATTGGCTCCCAGTACGTTTCCGAGCACAATTCAAAGTGTTGGTGCTGACCTTTAAAGCCCTAAACGGCCTTGGTCCAGTATATCTGAAGGAGCGTCTCCACCCCCATCATTCTACCCGGACACTGAGGTCCAGCACCGAGGGACTTCTGGCGGTTCCCTCACTGCGAGAAGCCAAGTTACAGGGAACCAGGCAGAGGGCCTTCTCGGTAGTGGCGCCTTCCCTGTGGAACACCCTCGCACCAGATGTCAAAGAGAACAACAACTACCAGGCTTTTAGAAGACATCTGAAGGCAGCCCTGTTTAGGGAAGCTTTTAATGTTTGATGTATTATAGTATTTTAATATTCTTTTGGAAGCCGCCCAGAGTGGCTGGGGAAGCCCAGCCAGATGGGCGGGGTATAAATAATAAATTATTATTATTATTATTATTATTATTATTATTCTCACAGAGAGAAGCTTTTGGTGCCTCTCCTCAGTTCATAATGGAAATTGGGGTCCTGGCATTCAATGGAAATGCAGACATGTTTAAGGGGAGGTGTTCAAGCCACTGAGAACAGGAACTGAGCAGGAGGAGCATATTGTGGATTTTTGAGGGTATATTTATTGAGACCTTGTACAGGTGCCGCAAGAGATACTGGCAAGGACAATGGCAACTATTGATGCCATGGCGTCAACCCTGGGTACCTGCTCCTTCTCAGGCTATTGTGTGAGCTAGCCTTATGCCTCCTGTCCCATGAGAATTCCCTGATTTCTAGTAAGGTGCACGATTCTGAAAGAATCTCTCTCCCACAACCCTTGAGAATTTACACAACGTCCTCTCCTGTGTGGGTTCTCTGATGTGCAGTAAGGTCCGATGTGCTAAGGAAGGATTTGCCACAGTGTTAGCAGGGGCCTGGCTTTTCCCTCAAATGCGTTTTCCGATGCCTGGCTAGTACCAAACAGCGACTGAATCCTTTCCAACAGTCTGGGCACTGGTATGATTTTCCGCCCGTATGAAGTCCCTGGTGTCTATTAAGTCTTGATTTATTGCGGAATTCCATGCTGCAGTCCAAACACTCGTACGGCTTCTCTCCAGTGTGGATTCTCTGATGATTGCTAAGAGCCGTTCTGTGAGCAAACCCCTTCCCACAGTCGGCGCACTCGTACAGCTTTCCCCTCAGGTGCGTCCTCTGGTGCCTCATGAGGTGCGCGCTCTGATTAAATGTCTTCCCACAGCCGGAGCATTTATATGGTTTCTCTCCGGTGTGGCTCCTCCGATGGGTAATGAGGCTCGCGCTCCGACTGAACCTCTTCCCGCAGTCCGAGCACTTGTACGGCTTCTCTCCCGTGTGGATCCTGCGATGCCTAATGAGGCTGGGTCTGGCGAGAAAGCTTTCTTGGCAGTCCGAGCACTTGTACGGTTTCTCTCCTGTGTGGATCCTCTGGTGCCTATTAAAAGTTGATTTAGTGCTGAAGCTTTTCTCACACAAAGTGCACAAACTCCTTCTCTTTCCTTTGCGTATCCGTTGTTGCGGGACTATTTCGCAGGCTGAGCCTTCTGGGCCTGCAGTGGCTTCCCTCCTCCAGTCTCCCCTTCCATCGTCTCTCTTGGATCCACCATCACTTAAAAAACTCTGTTCCAGCTCTAGACTACGGGCTCTTTTGGACGACATCCCCTGTGGCTCCCCATCGCCGTCACTCATCCAGACATCACCACCTGAAAAAAAAGAAAACAAGAGAGCTGCGCTAAGAACAGGAGAGGAGACTCAAAAGAGTGAACAGACCAAATGAATGGACCTATTTATTCAGGGAAATGGAAATACTAATATTAATAGTACAGTGGTACCTCGGGTTAAGTACTTAATTCATTCTGGAGGTCCGTTCTTAACCTGAAACTGTTCTTAACCTGAAGCACCACTTTAGCTAATGGGGCCTCCTGCTGCTGCCGCGCTGCCGGAGCACAATTTCTGTTCTCATCCTGAAGCAAAGTTCTTAACCTGAAGCACTATTTCTGGGTTAGCGGAGTGTGTAAACTGAAGCATATGTAACCTGAAGCGCATGTAACCCGAAGTACCACTGTACCAATAATAGGTAGGCAAAAGGTAAAGGACCTCCGAATGGTTAAGTCCAATCAAAGGTGACTTATGGGCATAGCTGTCAACTTCCCCCTTTTTTAAAGGGAAATTCCCTTATTCCAAATAGGATTCCTTGCAAGAAAAGGGAAAAGTTGACAGCTATGCTTCTGGGGTTGCGGTGCTCATATTGCTTTCAGGCCAAGGGAGTTGGCATTTGACCACAGACAGCTTTCTGGGTCATGTGGCCAGCATGACTAAACCGCTTCTGGCACAATGGGACACTGTGACGGAATCCAGAGCGCACGGAAATGCCATTTACCTTCCCGCTGCAGCGGTACCTATTTATCTACTTGCACTGGCGTGCTTTCAAACTGCTAGGTTGGCAGGAGCTGGGACAAAGCAATGGGAGCTCACTCCGTCGAGGGGATTCAAACTGTTGACCTTCTGATCGGCAAGCCCAAGAGGCTCAGTGGTTTAGACGACCGGCGCCTCCCCCATCCCTGATAATACTAATAATAATTCAATTTATATCCCATCTTTACTCCTGAAGGGAGTGCAGGGCGGCAAACATTTCAATAATAAAACATTTTGCAAAAACATTTGTAAAAGCATTTAGAAACAGTCTAGCAGCAGTCCAAAAAACAGTTATATCGGCTGTGAGTCCTGGAGGTCCTGCTCCCTGCCTTGCTGGCCTTTTCCCACCTACTTGGGAGGGCAGGGCCTGACTGACTCCAGCTACAAAAGCAGAGGCTGCAGAAGAGGCCAGAGACCATCTTGGCTGCTCTTGGTGCAAACCCAGGTCATGGAGCCCTGAGTTTCCCAAACCATCTCCTGCCGTGAACCACCATTGACAGGATCGCCAACAAAGGTGGCAGGTTACCTTCTGTGTTTACAATTAATATTTCCCCCCCTCTTGCTAATTATGCTGTATGAAATGTGCATCTTATATTTGACTTCCCTTAATAATGTTTTCTTTTGGAATGCTTAAGATTTATTTATTTTTGCTAACTTTGCTATGTTAAATGTGCATTCTGTAGCTGACCTACACCCTTTGTAACGTTTCATTTTGAAATCTTTAAGATAACATTTTAGTTTCCTGTTAATTAGCTAGCTTTGAATGTATATTTGACTTCCTTCTGTAATGTTTTTCTTCTGGGTTGCTTTAAGTTTTAATGCAACTTGCAAACAGCTTTGAGATTTTTTCCTCTTAAAAATATAAAGCAGTATAGAAGCAAAATGAATAATAGTAAAATAATAATCACTGGGTTGCCTGGAAAAATCCCTCAGCCCTCAGCTGCCTCCATAGACAGAATTGTTTTCAAATTCCTTCTGAATATTATTAAGGGAGGGGCAGATGTACCTCCACAAACCTCAAGCTCAGGGAATCCTTACCTGGCGAACTGGCCTCCTTCCCCTTCCCAGCCTCTCCGATGAGATGCCTCGGAGCAGTTTCGGACACAGTTCGCTCGGCCTCTGCAAAGCTCACCGCCACCTCCTGGATTAGGCCCAGCTCCTGAAAGAACAGTGAACACTTTCCCCCCTTCTTCTTCGTCACCAGAGGACAGCCAATTCCCAAATTGCAAACTGCAATGAAAGCTCCTACGGTGAGGCAGTTTCTCCTAATGGAGGGGCAGGAGGAAACCTTTTCCAGTCTTGAAGTGGGCACATTCCCACATGGTCAACTCTCTGGGGGCCAAATGCTTAGGATGGACAGGGCCAGAGACAAAAGCAGCTGGGGAAGCAGATGTGACCTTTTTCATTTTGTACAGAATCCTACTTTACATCCACACAAAAGTCAGTTTTCTACACCTATACTAGCTTAATAATAATAATAATAATAATAATATTGTACCCCACCCATCTGACTGGGTTTCCCCAGCCATTCTGCGTAGCTTCCAACATAGAGTAGTACCTTGGTTCTTGAACTTAATCTGTTCCGGGAATCCATTTGACTACCGAAACAGTTTGAAAACCAAGACATGGCTTCCGATTGGCTGCAGGAGCTTCCTGCACTCAAGCGGAAGCCGCGGAAGACACATCGGACGTTCAGCTTCCAAAAAACGTTCGCAAACTGGAACACTTACTTCCAGGTTTGCAGCATTCAGGAGCCGATTTGTTTGGGGGCGAAGCCGTTTGAGTACCAAGATGCCAGTGTATATAAAAACAGTAAAATGTCAACCATTAAAAGCTCAGATGTCTTCTAAAAGTCAGATATTCTTTGCCCTGCCTTTCACAGGACAGCCTGAAAAACTCTCCTCACCTGCTCTTCCTGTGTCTTGGCCTCTCCTCGCCTCAGCAGAAAATCCTCTGCAAGAGCCACCGCCCGGCTGCAGGTCTCAGGGCGACCCACCCACTTCTGCATTTCCTGGGGCAGGACAGCCAGAAACTGCTCCAGGATCAACAGCTCCAAGATCTGCTCCTTTGTCTGCTTCTCTGGCTTGAGCCACTGATGGCAAGGTTTGTGGAGCTGTCTGTATGCTTCCCTGGGCCCCTCCGCCTCCCTGTAGGAGAACTGCCGGAACAGCCGGCGTTCTCCGTCTGCGCCGAGGGCATGTTGGCCATCTCCCTCCACTTCCCCATAATCTTCTCTGTCTCTGGGATCCGGCGAGCCACGCATATCCTCAACCAGCCCACGAAGTATGCGCTCATCACATCCAGCCTGCGGGCCAGCAGTTGTGGGTCCCTCGGTGTGGATAAAAGATAATTTGGTGTCCCCCCACGGCGGCTGTGGGCTCTCTATGCTGGAGTTGTGGGGCTGAACCACTCTGAGGAAGTCTTTCCACTGGGCTTGCCAGCTCTGCTGTAGCAGCCCCTCGTCCTGCTCCCGTTTAACACGTTTCAGCAACGGCCATTTTAGAAACTGCCCAACTGCCTCCACTTGGATGATAGGGAGGGCATCTCCCATGCCTTTCTCTGCTCTGGCCTCAAGCTTGGAAATGGCTAAGGGAGTTGGGCATGTTTAGCCTGGAGAAGAGGAGGTTAAGGGGTGATATGATAGCCATGTTCAAATATATAAAAGGATGTCACATAGAGGAGGGAGAAAGGTTGTTTTCTGCTGCTCCAGAGAAGCGGACACGGAGCAATGGATCCAAACTACAAGAAAGAAGATTCCACCTAAACATTAGGAAGAACTTCCTGACAGTAAGAGCTGTTCGACAGTGGAATTTGCTGCCAAGGAGTGTGGTGGAGTCTCCTTCTTTGGAGGTCTTTAAGCAGAGGCTTGACAACCATATGTCAGGAGTGCTCTGATGGTGTTTCCTGCTTGGCAGGGGGTTGGACTCGATGGCCCTTGTGGTCTCTTCCAACTCTATGATTCTATGATTCCAGCATCCATCTCTTCTCTGGCTTTGTGTCTCCGGAGCTGGCGACTCGGGAGAGAGGATGGTTCCCTGTGGACCCAGCTTAGTCTGGGCCCTCCATCGCTTCTTAGAGAAGCAGGGAAGGGGCCTGCCTGTTGCTCTGTTCTGCTGACACACAAGGAGATGTCGTGGTGGGCAGCAGCCCTCTCCCCCAAAACACTTTACACCATCTGGGTTTCCAGTTAGACCTGGGAATTAAGAAGCCTGGAGGAATGAAACATGCAGTACAGTGGGAGAATGCAGTGTGTGTTGAATCATGGACCTCAGGCTGAATATGGCCCCTGGGGCTCTCTGTATCTGGCCCTCAGAATCTTCCCAAGGCCACACCCCCTCTGCCCAGGCCACACCCTCAACAGTCTTGCTTTGGCCCCATTCCTGGGCATTTTTGCCTGGCTGGAATATGCCCCTGAACTCTGACAGCACCTCTTTGCTTCCTTAGATTGAGGACAGAGAGGAGAGTGTGAATAGAAACTGGCTTACTGTGGGGACGCAGGTGGCGCTGTGGGTTAAACCACAGAGCCTAGGACTTTCCAATCAGAATGTCGGCGGTTTGAATCCCCGCGACGGGGTGAGCTCCCGTTGCTCAGTCCCTGCTCCTGCCAACCTAGCAGTTCGAAAGCACCTCAGAGTGCAAGTAGATAAATAGGTATCGCTCCGGCGGGAAGGTGCGCTGCTCTGGTTCTCCAGAAGCGGCGTAGTCATGCTGGCCACATGACCCAGAAGCTGTACGCCGGCTCCCTCGGCCAATAAAGTGAGATGAGCGCCGCAACCCCAGAGTCGGTCACGACTGGACCTAATGGTCAGGGGTCCCTTTACTTTACAGTTACTGTGTGACAGCAGCATTTACACTTGTTCCTCTGTTGCTTTTGTCTCTAGTGCTGCCTCCTGCTGATGTGTGGCCCTCGAAAGGCTGCCCAGAAAAGGCTCCCCATCCTGACACAGAACGAAAACAATCTTGCTTCCCCTTGCGCTGTTTGTTATGGGGCCAAAACAGTTCCACCCAGACGGAAGAGGGAGCTATCGGGAGGCTCCAGGGAGCTGCAAGGTTTGCAGAAGTGTGGGCGGGACAGTTGCTTGGCATGCAGAAGGTTTGACCCCCTAGAATCTCCCAAGTGCTGCTAGTAAAGGCTTCCTGCTTGAAACCTTGAAGTGCTGCTACCAGTCAGTGTAGGCAGTGCTGAGTGAGACAGATCCAGCTGTCCGACTCCGTAGGAGGCTGATTCCTGTGTTCACTTTGCAGGCAGAAAATGCCAGGCAACATCTCAAACTGGGAAGCTCCCAGCTACTAGGAGCTTGGGAAATTTTGGAGATCCTCTGCCCGTGAAAGGAGGCAGCAGCCCTGGGGCTGGATGGACTAGTGGTCTGACTCTGGCACAAACTGCTTCCCCCCTCCCCATTCCAACATGTGTTTCCCTGCCTTTTGCTAACTCCTCAGCTTGCAATCTTATGCTCTTCTCCCCCCAGTGCCCCTTTTCTGCGCCCCAGCCAAATGCACCTTCTACTTACAGGCTCCCCCCAAGAAACAAATTGCAGCCAGCCTGCAGAGGGTTCAGGAGCTCAGCTGGGCAAAGGAGGAAGGTCCTCCACTTTGGACAGCACCCCCCCTCGGCCCTCCATTTCCTGCCTCTCTAGGAACGAGAGCTCTGTCCCCTTAACCATTCGAGGGCCAAAGTGTGCTTGTGTGCCTCTCTCTCTTGCCTGTTTGGGTTGTTTTATAGCAATTTGGGTATTAAAATGCACGCAAAGGGGCTGGGGGTTCGTGGCCTCTGCTGTTGCACCCGTTTCTTTCCTTAACCAGGAGGAGCAGGAGGAGGTGGCTGGTGAGAAGGAGGGAAGAATGAGGGGTCCAGATGGAGGAAGAAGGGAAGAAAGGAGGAGAGAAGCCCAGCTGAATCCTCCAGGGAGATTTGGAGCAGTCTCTCGGCCAGATCGGATTCTTAGAGGAGTTTGGGTGAGTAAACCTCAAAGTGCAGCCTGGATAGCTCTCTTGGTCAGAGCCTGGTGCTGATAATGCCAAGGTTGCAGGTTCAAGCCCCACATTGGCCAAAAGATTCCTGCACTGCAAGGGGGTTGAGCTAGATGACCGCAGGGTCCCTTTTCGCTCTACGATTCTATGATTAGAAGTCTATTCAGATGTAAGTCCCAGTGAGTGTAGTGGGACTGATTCCCAGGTAAGTGGATGAACTTCGCAGGGTTGGGGAACCTGCGATGCTCCCTGATAGGACTGGACTACAACTCTCATCATCCTTGCCCTCTGGCCATGCTGGCTGGGACTGATGGGTGTTGGAGTCTAACAAAAATCTGGAAGGCCACAAGTTTTCACCACCAGCACCTCTGGGGTAGAGAAATGTAGGGGGAAGCTGTGGCGTTCCTCTAGTGGTTGCAGGACTTCCTGTATGGCCAATGGGCCAGGGATGATGGGAGTCCACCAACATCGGGAGGGACGGAGGTTACAGAATCATAGAACTGTTGAGTTTTGAAGGGGTCCCGAGGGTCATCTAGTCTAACCCCCTGCAATGCAGAACTATTTTGCCCAACGTGGGCCTTGAACCCACAACCCTGAGACTAAGGTTTTCATTCTCTGCCAACAGTTTCTCCACCTTTGTTGTGTAGGAGGGCAGCCTTCAGCCCCACCTGCACTATACATTTAGAGCCATATCATGTCACTTTAAGGGACATGGGTGGCGCTGTGGGATAAACCACAGAGCCTAGGGCTTGCCGATCAGAAGGCCGGCGGTTCGAATCCCTGCGACGGGTGAGCTCCCGTTGCTCGGTCCCTGCTCCTGCCAACCTAGCAGTTCGAAAGCACGTCAAAGTGCAAGTAGATAAATAGGTAGCGCTCCGGCGGGAAGGTAAACGGCATTTCCGTGAGCTGCTCTGGTTTGCCAGAAGTGGCTTAGTCATGACCTGGAAGCTGTATGCCGGCTCCCTCGGCCAATAAAGCGAGATGAGCGCCGCAACCCCAGAGTCGGTCACGACTGGACCTAACGGTCAGGGGTCCCTTTACCTTTACCTTTTACATGTCACTTTAAACAGCCACGGCTTCCCTGTAAAGGATCCTGGGAACCGTAGTCTGTTAAGGGTGCTGAGTGTTGTTAGGAGATTCCTGTTTTCTCTCACAGAACTAAACTTCCCAAAGTCCTGATCAGAATCCTGCCTGTAAGATCAATCAGCGTTCTGGGAGAAACAAGCAGAGCCTTCTTGCTGGTAGCTCCACTCTTACAAAACAACCTCCAAAGTGATACGCATATGATCCTATCAGTATAGACCAGACTTTTTGTCCCTCCAAGTGTTGCTGAACTGCGTCTCCAGCTAATATGGCCTGTATTCAAGGCTGATGGGAGTTGTAGTCCAACAACACCAAGTGAGCCAAAGCTTTTAAGTGGACTTTGAATACCTACATATTGAAGGCGGCTTTTTCTTTTAAAAAAATTAACATGTAGTGCTGCTGTTGATTTGAAATTTGTTTTTAGACTGCTTTGTCTTATTTTAGACTGTTTATATTATTTCTATTTTATATTCTGTTATTTATCTTCATATTATTTTTATTCTTTTAGGCTGTTTATATTAGGGCCATTTATATTATTTTAGGCTGCTATTTTAAGTTCCGCTTTTATATCACACAACACTTCTGTGACTTCACGCTGTGGAATGGCATATAAATTTGCTAAATATGCTAAATGTGCTTTGGTGTTTTACAGCTGGTTTTCCTGCAAGCTCCCTTGGGTGGGCTTTGCCCTAAAATGGAACCTATATTATTATTATTATTATTATTATTATTATTACTACTACTACTATTATTATTAAGACTGATGAGGGCTTAGTGCTAGACTTTGCCCAACATGACACTGAGTTCAATTTTCTGCTCATTCATATGACATACCTAGACAGCATCTTAAAAAGCAGAGTCATCACCTTGCCAACAAAGGTCCGTATAGTTAAAGCTATGGTTTTCCCAGTAGTGATGTATGGAAATGAGAGCTGGACCATAAAGAAGGCTGTTCGCCGAAGAATTGACGCTTTTGAATTATGGTGCTGGAGGAGACTCTTGAGAGTCCCATGGAGTGCAAGAAGATCACACCTATTTATTCTGAAGGAAATCAGCCCTGAGTGCTTACTGGAAGGACAGATCCTGAAGCTGAGGCTCCAATACTTTGGCCACCTTATGAGAAGAGAAGATTCCCTGAAAAAGACCCTGATGTTGGGAAAGATGGAGGGCACAAGGAGAAGGGGACGAGAGAGGACGAGATGGTTGGACAGTGTTCTTGAAGCTACCAGCATGAGTTTGACGAAACTGTGGGAGGCAGTGGAAGACAGAAGTGCCTGGCGTGCTCTGGTCCATGTGGTCACGAAGAGTCGGACACGACTAAACAACTAAACAACAACATAGTTACCTGACTAGGCTTGGGCTAGTCACTTTCTATAGGCCTCAGTTTTTTCATAGAATTGTTATTGGGAATAGAATTTGCAGAGTAAGGGACTCCTGCAACGTTGCCCAGAACTCCTTAGAGCAGGGGTGATGGAACCTGTGGTCCTCAAGATGTTGCTGGACTACAGTTCCCATAATCCATGACCATTGACCTTGCTGTCTGGGACTGATGTGAGTTGGAGTCCCACATACACCTGGAGGTGACAGAAGCATGATGAGATTTTGCAGTCCATATATACATGCACATTTATTTATTAAGAATTAATTGCATTTTGACTCCACCCTTCCTGATGGGCAGCTCTTCACTTTACGTTTATCTTCACAACAACCCTGTGGGGTCGGCTGGGTTGAGAAGTAAACTGGTGCAAAGTACAGGGGTCATTAACTGTTCTGAGAATAAATAATAGATTTTGGGTACAATATCAAGTACGAAGTGTAGGTGAGATGGTGGAACGAGAGTCTAAAATTTACAGCATGTGCCACCTTGAAAGAGAATATAAGGAAAACGATGTACCGATGGTACTTGACACCTACGAAATGGGCAAAGATGTATAGGATGAGTAGTAAATTATGTTGGGAATGTAAAGAGAAGGATGGCGATTTTTATCACATGTGGTGGTCATGTGAGAAAACAAAATCATTTTGGGAACTGATTTGCAACGAATTGAAAAAGATGCTTAAATATACCTTCCCAAAAAAGTCAGAAGCCTTTTTTGCTGGGCTTGATGGGAGAGGATGAGGAGATTTCACCCCTCCCATATCCAAGAATCTCCTGAGAATGCAATTCTGGGCTGCATCAATAGGAGTATAGCAACTAGATCAAGGGAAGTAATAGTGCCACTGTATTCTGCTCTGGTCAGACCTCACCTGGAGTACTGTGTCCAGTTCTGGGCACCACAGTTCAAGAAGGACATTGACAAACTGGAACGTGTCCAGAGGAGGGCAACCAAAATGGTCAAAGGCCTGGAAACGATGCCTTATGAGGAACGGCTAAGGAGCTGGGCATGTTTAGCCTGGAGAAGAGGAGGTTAAGGGGTGATATGATAGCCATGTTCAAATATATAAAAGGATGTCATATAGAGGAGGGAGAAAGGTTGTTTTCTGCTGCTCCAGAGAAGCGGACACGGAGCAATGGATCCAAACTACAAGAAAGAAGATTCCACCTAAACATTAGGAAGAACTTCCTGACAGTAAGAGCTGTTCGACAGTGGAATTTGCTGCCAAGGAGTGTGGTGGAGTCTCCTTCTTTGGAGGTCTTTAAGCAGAGGCTTGACAACCATATGTCAGGAGTGCTCTGATGGTGTTTCCTGCTTGGCAGGGGGTTGGACTCGATGGCCCTTGTAGTCTCTTCCAACTCTATGATTCTATGATTCTATGATTAAGTCCGCTGATTCTCCAGAGAGCAGGAGGCGTGTTCTGCTCTCTACTTATTCTGCTCCAGCACCAAGTCAGTCAGTCAGTGTTGGGGAGAGAGAGAGAGAGAGAGAGAGAGAGAGAGACTGAGTGTTAGAGATCATGTGTAGAGATAAGGTTGCTGCTAAGAGCAGCTGCAGACACTCAGTGCAGTGCAGCATTCATTTATGCTTAGACCCATTTAGCTCTGTATATAGTTGTATAATAGTTGCAGTTATAGAATAAAGAAGATATTCTATAGAGCTGCTCTCCGAGTTGTTTATATACTCTGCTAGACTCTGCTGTACTCTGCTGTGCGACGACTGTCTTCTTGTTGGAGTGAATCCGGTGCTCACAACTCCAAGCTGTGAGTCCACAGCACTTTGACCTGTTCCTGTGCAGAAGGTGGTCTCTGGAAGTGCTACCCAGCTCGCCTAGCCCAGTCGGGGCTGAAGTGGATGAGTCCAGTTGGTGGCACTGGCTCAAGGGCAATGCTGACAGAGGAAACTGAAAAAGCGGATCAAAGGTTATTTATGTATGCAACGACTGCTGCTAGAACTTTGTTTGCCCAAAAATGGAAAGTACAGTACAGGAATTACCAATGGTGGAGGAGTGGCAGACGAGAATGGTGGATTATGCAGAACTAGCAAAACTAACCTGCAGGATCCAAAACCAAAATTCCAAAGGGATTGGAGTAAATTCATGGACTATATAAATAATAACTGTAGAAATCTGAAGACACTAGCAGGACTGAAATAAATCTTACGACGTGGACTTGACAAAATAAGAAGAAACTGCGGGAAGTAGACTGAAAACGAAAACCTGATGGAGGGAGGGAGGGAAGTCATGGCTCGGCAGAGTGATGGATAAGGAAGTGTGTGGATGACTGTTGAAATTTATTGTACTTTGTTTGTATTTTGTTTGTTTAAAATGGAAAATCAATGGGGGGGGGGAGAGAGAATAATAAACTCTCGTATTTTTTGCTCTATAAGACTCACTTTTTCCCTCCTAAAAAGTAAGGGGAAATGTGTGTGCGTCTTATGGAGCGAATGCAGGCTGCGCAGCTATCCCAGAAGCCAGAACAGCAAGAGGGATTGCTGCTTTCACTGCACAGCGATCCCTCTTGCTGTTCTGGCTTCTGAGATTCAGAATATTTTTTTCCTTGTTTTCCTCCTCCAAAAACTAGATGCGTCTTGTGGTCTGGTGCGTCTTATAGTGCGAAAAATACGGTATTCTGTCCTTTGATACCTGAGGTGCATAGCTTCATATAGTGTTCCAGTGGTTTTCAAAGGCTGTGGCAGGAGAGGATGGCAAGGATGGCAGGAAGATGCAAGGCCTATCAATATTTTACATTGTACTTCCAATCTACTCAATTGCATTCTCTTTCCATTTCTATTACTTTCTTTCACACACTATTAAACCAACTTTCTACTTCTTTTTCTGTTACACATTCTGTTACGCACAGGGTGGGGGTGAGGGGCGGTGGTGGGACTGAGTGTGGGTATGTATGAATATTTTTAAAGATTGTCTGAAATGAATGTTTGTTTGGTTGGTTGGCTGGCCTCTGTTATTTTCTCCTACCAATAGGGAACCTATGTAAGGACTCTTGGATACCCCATAAGGGGAAAAGGGCAGATTTTGTTTACAACAGTTTGTATATCCGTAATATGTATGTATAAATGTATTAATGGGGGGGTCTACATTGGGAAGGAGCAGCGCTTTTACGTAGCTGCTTTGTTTTATACTGCCTGGATATCCTCTGGTGATATTATATGGTAGCTGTGTTTTATGTTATGAATCAAGCACAGCTAGGAGTTGTTTTGTTTCCCAGTGTATTTCTTATCAGTAAAATATTTGGTGTAATGCAAGGAAATGTTTATTTTGAATGTGAAGCTCGGGGGGGGTGTCGTCTACAAACAACAGGTCCCCACGATTCCCCCAATTTTTTAATTGATTTTCACAAAATTATAAACCAACAAACAAATAAACTAACATAAATCATAACCTTATTAAAACTAATCTTATTAACATTGTTAAGTGACTTCCTCATATCCCCCTAGTTGAATTTCAATGTATATCATTTTAACGGTTTTCCAAATTCTTATATAATTAACTTAATCACTTAACATGTTTCTTTCTTATTCATTCAGCGTTAAACATATTAATCCATCATTTTACATATTTAAAGCCTAAGCCTATCTGGCTATTGCAAGCTTTTTCCAATTAATTTAACTTAACGTATTTAACTAAATAGCCATTAAATTTCATCCATTCTTCCTGGTACTCCTCCTTCTGGTCACGGTCAGGTCGGGCTTTGAAAGCTCTTTATGGCTCTTTGGCTTATAAAGCACCTTTGAAACACATCCTTCCCTCTGAAAGAATTCTGGGCCCTGTAGTTTTACCCTGGGCGGAGCCACCATTCCCAGAAAACTACAGCTCCCAGAATTCTTTGAGAGGGAAACAGCAATTTGGTAACTGCTTTAAAGGGACAGTGTGCGGGCACTGTCTTTTCTGTATGGTGTGTTTGCAGGAAAACAGAGCTGTCCTTAGAGTACCCAGATGTGTGTGTGTGTGTGTGTGTGTGTGTGCATGTGCATCAGACTAGCCCTCAAAGTGTTGTGATGTGTTTGCTTGTCTGTGTGTGTTTTGCCTTTGCAATACATCTGAAATGCTTCTCTAAGGGTTAAGCTGACCGAGTCTCTATTCCTAGGATACCTTTGAGGAAGGAGGGTTGTAAACTGCTTTAAGTCACTTCCTGCTTTTCATCTCTCTCTCTCTCTCTCTCTCTCTCTCTCCCCAAAAAACCCTCCCCCAGCCACTGTGGGTAAGATCCAGGCGGTGATGTCCATGGCTGGAGGGGATCTGGTGAGTTTCTTGCAAAAGTGTGCATGGGTAGATTAAAGAGAGCGGTGCAGGGGAGATTTGCAGCATGAGAGTTGTCATGAAACTCAAGGGGGTGTCCAATAATTTGCCACATGTGCTCCCTTTCTCCTGCCCCCTTCTTCATCCTCCTCCCCAGTTGGGGCAGATGGAAGCAAGCTTGGCCTTTTAATTTGAAGGGTGGGGTGGGATTTTGGGAAGCCCCCCCCCCCCCCAAAAAAAGAGAAAAAAGGGGAGAAGGCAGTTTTCAATTGTGAGAGTGTGGAAAGGGGAGGGGCAAGGAAAACACAGCCCGGTTTGACCCCCAAGGCAAGGAGGGCGGCCGTTGAGGTCACTTTCCCCATCCACCTGAGGTCATTTTCCCTATCCATCTGGCCGCCGCACCTGAAAAACAAATAAATGGGAGATCGCAGAGCTGTGGAAAGGTTCAGAAAAAGTTGTCCAAAATGATCAAGGGGGTTGGAGCATATGATGAAAAGAAAGGTTGTTTTCTGCTGCTCCAGAGAAGCGGACACGGAGCAATGGATCCAAACTACAAGAAAGAAGATTCCACCTAAACATTAGGAAGAACTTCCTGACAGTAAGAGCTGTTCGACAGTGGAATTTGCTGCCAAGGAGTGTGGTGGAGTCTCCTACTTTGGAGGTCTTTAAGCAGAGGCTTGACAACCATATGTCAGGAGTGCTCTGATGGTGTTTCCTGCTTGGCAGGGGGTTGGACTCGATGGCCCTTGTGGTCTATTCCAACTCTATGATTCTATGAAAAGGTTGCAGCATTTTGTGGGGGGGAGGCATTGTTTATAGAGAAAAGGGAAAGTAAGAGGGGACATGTAAGATTATGCAGGGTGTGTCACAAAAAGTGGGTCACAAAAAGTTTTCCTTCCCTCCCTTCTAATTCTAGAATTTTAGGATGCTAATGAAACCGGATGTTGGTAGACAAGCAAAAGGAAGGACTAGTTTTGCACACTTGTTCTGAGCCTCATGGAAGCAGCCCTCCCAGGTGCTTTGCCAGTGGAATATAAATGTTTAATAATTATCTGTACCGGTGGGACTCTCAAATCCTTACATGGGCAAAACGGCTCCCAAGAGGTTGGGAGCAGCAGGCCGCGGTGGGGGTGAGGACCCCAAAGTTTGCACGAGCAGAAAAATATACAGTGGTACCTCGGGTTACAGACGCTTCAGGTTACATACGCTTCAGGTTACAGACCCAGAAATAGTTCCTTGGGTTAAGAACTTTGCTTCAGGATGAGAACAGAAATCGTGCTCTAGCGGCGTGGCGGCAGCAGGAGGCCCCATTAGCTAAAGTGATGGTTCAGGTTAAGAACAGTTTCATGTTAAGAATGGACCTCCGGAACGAATTAAGTACTTAACCTGAGGTACCACTGTACTTAGGGGGATGAAATTAAGGGAATGCCCCAATTCATTCAAGGGTTTCTGAGGCCTCTCGGTGGTTGTGGTGAGGAGGAAGGGAAAACTGGGAGGGAGGAACGGAATGGAATATTCTGAGAAAGGGCATGGACCCGCTTGCATTCCACACTGCAGTGCTTTTGAACGGGTCCTGATAATAGCAACAAGAACAAATTGCCAAATTCTTCTCTGCTAAATGTCCAGTAAATTCATTTGCGACCTGCGGTAGCCTGCCTTTTAAAAATGAATTATTTATTTGTTAAATTTTAATAATACAACAATGTGCAGGAGCCTGCCTTGCACCAGTTTTCAGAACCAGGGAGGCATAGTAAGTTGACCACAACATAAAAAGCAAAACGTAATCATTTTTTCCCTAGGATTAATATGATAATTGTTTTCATTAATATATATTAAAATATTTTATTTTATTTAAAAAAACATACTTAAAACAATTCCCATACTGAAGCAGGTCGGGGAGAATCTCTGCTTAATCGGCTTGTTGGAAGAAGACGGTCTTCAGTAGGAAACAAGAGACGATGCCTGTCTAATATTTGAGAGGAGGGAAATCCACAATATAATTATAATTATTAAAATTTTATTATTTATACCCCACCCATCTGGCTGGTTTTCCCCAGCCACTCTGTGAGGCTCCCAACAGAATATTAAAAACACAATAAAACATCAGACATTAAAAACTTCCCTAAACAGGGCTGCCTTCAGATGTCTTCTAAGTCAGATAATTGCTTATTTCCTTGACATATGATGGGAGGGAGTTCCATAGGGTGGGAGCCACTGCCGAGAAGGCCCTCTGCCTGGTTCCCTGTAACCTCACCTCTTGCAGGGAGGGAACTGCCAGAAGGCCCCTGGTGGTGGACTTCGATGTCCGGGCTGAACAGTGGGGGTGGAGACGCTCCTTCAGGTATACTAAAGGCCCAATATCACAATATTGTGCAGGATGGACCTCCTGATAGGACGGTATTTGCAGGATTCCCCCTCCTGCAGAGTGCAGTGCAAAGTTAGGTATATAAAGAGTGAGACGATCTTCTAGGTATAGGGTTTTATATGCCAAAAGCAGCACATTGAATTTAGCTCAGCAGCTGACTAGAAGCCAGTATTGCCAATGAGTTGCAGCCTAGTCCTGTGTGTGTTTCCTCAGAAGTAGGCATGCATGTGGCTATAGCTTTAGGCAAAACAGAAGTCCTTACCTCACCTTTAAAAAATAATTATCCCAAGTGAATAGGTCTCCTCCCAGCCAGTGTTTTGCCGGAGGGATTTAAGCACATTAGAGAAAATTAGGTTATGTGCAGTTAAGGTGCTCTCTCTGTTGCAAAAAAAAGCACTTACAGAAAGAAATCGACTTTTTGCAGTTAGGAAAGTGACAGGAAAATGCACTGTACAGTATTTTGCTGCAGTGATTCTACTGCATTCTGGAAATTTAGGTTTTAGAGTGGCTGGGGCTGCCTAGCTGGATGGGCGGGGTATAAATAGTAAAATTATTATTATTATTCCTTCAAAGTGCTCTGTTCCAGCAAACCTGCTTTTTCAAAAACACCCACATTTTGCAGTTAGGAAAGTGACAGTGTGGAAAAGTGTGGGACGAATGAATGACTGATGGGAAGATGCTTAAACACCCTTCTTGTTTTTCTCTGTTCTTCTCATCCTCGGCCTTTCTCTCCCTTTCCTGTAGGGATGAGACCCAATGGCTTTCTGGAACCCTTCAGTTTTGCCTTTCTGATGTGATGTGACTGCCTCATTTGGCAGTGTGGCAGAACAGCAGCCTGCGGACTTTTGCGGGCCCGCGACTAGCATCCGACCTCCTCCTCCTCCCCTCCAAATTCTGCCTTTCCCCCAAGAAACGACAGAATGAGAGCAGAACAAGGAGACCCGTTGGCTGTCGGTCTGCAGTTGGAGGCCGCGCTGGAGAACCAAGTGAAGACAGAAGACTCGCAAGACGTGGTCGGCCCCAAAGCGGTGGCCGTGGACCTGTCTGCCGCCCAGGCTGGGAGCAGTAGAGGATGCTGGGAAAGAAACGGAGCAGCGGTTGTCCTGAGCGAGGAGGATGCAATCCCCTTAGACGCGCCTCTGCACCAGATGCTGAATTCGACTTGGCCCACGAAGGAACAACCCCTAGCTGAAGAAATGCAGAGCTTCGTGGCGAGGTTGAGTGACGGAGAGGCTTGTATCCCAACCGCTGGCCTGGCCAAAGATTTCCTCATGAAGAAGCAAGAAGAAGATGATCAGGTGAGCGAGTTGCATCCTGGTATTTTTCCAAGTGATTATCTGGTGCCGCAGGTGGGTGACAAGTAGTGCATTCTTTCTTTAAAAAAATGTTTAGGGGTACTCTCATTTTGACTCAAGAAAACCACCATTTTATAGTTCAAATTGGGAAAAATAAATACAGTCAATGGACAAAAGGCCACCATCAGGGGTAGCAATGGAACTGGCGATTCACTGTGCTAGAGAAGAAACTTAAAAAAATAATAATAGTTTATTCTCCCGTTAGATTCACAAAATGTTTAGGGGTATGTGTACCCCTGCGTCCTCCCAGAAAAAAAGCACTGGTAACAAGTAGATAAATAGGTACCGCTCTGGCGGGAAAGTAAATGGCGTTTCTGTGTGCTGCTCTGGTTCACCAGAACCGGTTTAGTCATGCTGGCCACATGACCCGGAAGCTGTACGCCGGCTCCCTCGGCCAGTAAAGCAAGATGAGTGCTGCAACCCCAGAGTCGGCCACGACTGGACCTAATGGTCAGGGGTCCCTTTACCTTTACCTTTAACAGGTATGCTGGTCATCTTAGTCGGGCGATTCTCAAATGTTTCACTGTGGCAGGAGTCTCCACTGTTAAGCAAAACAGTGTAAAACAGCAGTCAAATATTTTAAAATGATTTTCTGAAAGTGCTTAATACTGCTAATGGTACCAAATGAAGTAAGGCTGATTTAAAAAAAAACTTTTATTTTTAGATCAATTTTGTTCTGAATTTAACAATATTACAAACCACTGGTTTAGGGTGAACAATTAATGAAAGTGGTGGGAAGGAAGAGAATTGATTACTGGGAAGCCAGCAAGGAAGAGCCAGCCCAGGGCAGCAATGTTTGAAAGCAGAAAACCTAAGGCTTTGAGAAAGTTTGTTGCCAGTTTCCTGATCTCGCAATCCTTTGCGTTACTTTGGGTGGTGCCACAGAGAAGGCCCTGCATGCCCAATATCTGGCAGTTGTTTCAGGAGCAGGGCCCCCGTTGGAAGACTGGAGTGGACCGGTCAGGCTTATGCGTGAAGAGCTGGCCCCTTTTATTTTCCTGACTTAGAGGGGGGGGGTCCCCTCTCTTTGTTTTTGGTTTTTTTTTTCAATTCATATTGGTTTTTATTAAATCTGCATACAGAACATTGATGCCCTCTCTTTGTTCTGTGTACAGGTGGCATTCATGGACGTGGCTGCTGACTCGTCCCAGGCAGGAGCTCCATCAGACATTTTGCAGAGGCCCCTGTTCAGAGTGATGGCGCAGGAAAATGATGGCGACACAGATTTTCTTGGTAAGAATTTCTGGTGCTTGAAGGTCCCTGGATCACCTATATACAGTGGTGCCTCGCAAGACGAAATTAATCCGTTCCGCGAGTCTCTTCGTCTTGTGGTTTTTTCGTCTTGCGAAGCACGGCTATTAGCAGCTATTAGCGGCTTAGCGGCTATTAACGGCTTAGCGGCTTTAAGAAAAAGGAAACAAACTCGCAAGAACTCCCAAGACGTTTCGTCTTGCGAAGCAAGCCCATAGGGAAATTCGTCTTGCGGAACGACTCAAAAAACGGAAAACCCTTTCGTCTAGCTAGTTTTTCGTCTTGCGAGGCATTCGTCTTGCAGGGCACCACTGTATTTTGGAAGGTTGGACCAACTTTCCCAAAATGTATTCTTTCTATCGCTTGAGGCTCCTACTCTTAATAAGATGTTAATTTAGCCATCATAGCAAAGTAACATCATTTATAGCTCCTTGTCTTGCTCTTTTGTGGAATTCAATATACGATTCAGCAGCAACAATATAAGGGTTTTGTTACATTTATCTTTACCTTACCCTGTAATTCAAGAGTCTAGTCACTATTTAAAAAACCTTGAACCTGTAACAGTGAATCAAAAAACTGCGGTTAACATTTGTACCGCAGACCAGAATGTTTTTCCAATTCTCATTTGATGGGTGAGTGTTAACAGTTGTCCTTGCAACCCAAACTTTTTAGTTATCCTTACTTCTGGAAGCCTTCCAGTTCAAGCACGATGGACTGGAAAGCGATACCTTCCTTTGTTCTTTTAATGGAGAATCCTTAACGAAACATTGAGCATTAGCACAGTGGAGAGAGACCGTGTGTTAATCCAGAAGAGTAAGCCTAGTTTTGTCATTGGGATCATCCCAGCCATTTTGTTCTGGTAAAATGAGCAATTAATTATTGCTTTGAGTGCCACACCTCATTCCAGGTGAAAGATATAGTTTAGTGATTGAATTAGAATAAATGGAGTATGTTGTTACGTGGTGTACGTAAGAATACGTTTTTATGTTGTGAACCGTCCCATGATCTTCGGATGAAGGGTGGTACGCAAATTATTATTATTTGATTACATTTTATTAAGTTACAGTGTTTTTAACATACACAGTCAAAACAAAATTTCATCTTTTCTCTTACTTTTATCAACTTCTCACCCCATTTTCCATGTTCTTGCTCCTCCCCTTTTGCCCTTTATCGTCTATCTATTAAATCATAACTACAGTATAATAATCTAATTACTTCTGTAGCTCATAGCTCAAATCCTGCTCACAAGTTCATCATACTATAATATTTCTTTATAATAGTCTGAAAAGGCATCCGTTCTTCCTTAAAACAGCATTAGATTCTCTAAATTTGGCCAGTTCTGTATAGTCTATTATCCTACAAATTGAATAAATAATTCTAACAATTTTTGTGCACTCAAAACAGGTTCGCAGCTTATCAAAGTATGTTTTGTCTTTCTTTCTTTCTTTCTTTCTTTCTTTCTTTCTTTCTTTCTTTCTTCTTTACATCTCTCAACACATTTTAGAGTTATTTCTTATCTAGCACACCAATAATGACAGGAGTCGAGTGCCACGTTTTAAATGTGTTGAGAGGGTAACTGCCTTGTCATCGTGTTGTCTGCTTTGCAGGTGGAGAGCTGTTTGCTGAAATAAGTCATGGCTCATCTTCATTTTGTGCTGGGATAGAAACAGATGCTATGGATTCCGATCAGGTAAGGCAAAGACCCTCAAAGGGACTTCCTTTTGTTACACACACACACCCTGGAGGTCCACATTTGGCCCTTGAGTCTTAGGCTCCCTCAGTGCTTTATTCTGGGGGGATGCAGGGGAGAAGAAACCAAAAAAATTAAAGTTTTTAGTTTTTTCTCTAGCACGGTGAATCGTCAGTTCCGCTGCTACGCCTGATGGCGGCTTCATTTCCTTTCCCGGTGTTTCCTAAGTCTCAGACGGAAGCGGGCGTTTAATGTGTGAAGCAATGTAGAATGTGGATGTGTGGTGTTTTACTGATGAAAGTTTGGCCTCGTTGAGGGGCAGTATTTCAATATGAGTAATGCATGTTCTTTGTCCATTTACTGTCTTTATTTCCCCCCCGATTTGAACTATAAAATGGTGATTTTCTTGAGTCAAAATGAGACAACCCGTAAACATTTTTTTAAAAGAAAAAATAGCATTTGAATGATAATAGTAGTAATAAAATAAAATTAATATAAGGGGGGGGGGGGGAGAAAAAATAGCGCTGGGTTCTCCAATCCTGGGATACAGGGAAGTGGAAAGTTTTCCACCTTGCGTGGGACTCTTTGTGAGAATGACTTCCCGCCATCCCCACTTCCTTCCAGGGGCCTGTGACCTTTGAGGAAGTGGCTGTGCATTTCACGGAGGGGGAGTGGGGCCTGCTGGACCCAGACCAGAGAGCCCTCTACAGGGACGTCATGGTGGAGAACTATGGGAACGTCGCCTCTCTGGGTAAGGATCCCTTCGCTCTTTGGTGGAGGGACACTGAGGAAGGACTTGCAGCCCCTGTGGCAGAGAATCGGGCCTTGCATGCAGAAGGTCCCAGGTTCAGTTCTGGGCTGCGAATGTTCCCTGCCTGAAACCCTTAAAGGCTGCTGCCAGTCAATGTAGGCGGTGTTGAAACAGGTGGACCAGTGGTCTGGCTTGGGACAAAGCATCTTCTTATAATTCTATCACGTCTCTGGGTGAAGTCATCTCAAATATGTCAGCTGGATAGCTCAGTTGGTTAGAGCTGAGAGCCAGTGTGGTGTAGTGGTTAAGAGCGATAGACTCGTAATCTGGGGAACTGGGTTCGATTCCCCGCTCCTCCACATGCAGCTGCTGGGTGACCTTGGGCTAGTCACACTTCTCTGAAGTCTCTCAGCCTCACTCACCTCACAGAGGGTTTGTTGTGGGGAGGAAGGGAAAGGAGAATGTTAGCCGCTTTGAGACTCCTTCGGGTAGTGATAAAGCGGGATATCAAATCCAAACTCTTCTTCTTCTTCTTCGATCCCCGTATGGGACAGCTGCATATTCCTGCATTGTAAGGGGGTTGAATTAGATGATCCCCAGGGTCCCTTCCAACTCTGATTCTATTTTGAGCCATTCTTTATTGAGACATAGGGATGCAGATGGCGCTGTGGGTTAAACCACAGAGCCTAGGGTTTGCCGATCAGAAGGTTGGCGGTTCGAATCCCCGTGACGGGGTGAGCTCCTGTTGCTCCTGCCAACCTAGCAGTTTGAAAGCACATCAAAGTGCAAGTAGATCAATAGGTACTGCTCCAGTGGGAAGGTAAACGGTGTTTCCGTGCGCTGCTCTGGTTTGCCATGCTGGCCACATGACCCAGAAGCTGTACGCCGGCTCCCTCGGCCAATAAAGCAAGATGAGCACCGCAACCCCAGAGTCGGCCACGACTTGGACCTAATGGTCAGGGGTCCCTTTACCTTTATGTTGAGACATAAGGAAGGGCCACAGCTCACTGGTAGAGGCAGGCAGGACATCCCAGCTTCAATCCCCAATATCTTGAGAGGCGTCCAAGCCTACAGAGGACAGATGAACAGACCACTTTCTAAAATAAGTAGCAGATAATTGCTAACAGCCATTGACCGATCTCTCTAACCCTCAAGGTGAGGAACTTCCTGGCCTGCAGAACCTGCAAGACCCTAAACTCCCATCTTCCCTGATTGCTGCCCATGCTGGCTGCAGTGCGGATGGGAACTGGAGTCCAAGAAAATCTGAAAGCCTGCAGCAGATTCCCCTTCAGTCCCTCAGTTAGAAGATCTTGCCTTCCCAAATATTGTGCTGGAGTGGCAGTGGCCAGGGTAGTTTCAGAGTGGCTGGTTTGAAGTTCCTCAAGAAAGCCAGAAATAATAGCTTTGGTGTGTGTGATGGGCTTTTTTCATTCTTCTCCAGAAGGACCTCCGGTTCCTAAACCTGATCTCATCTCCTGGTTGGAAGAAAAAGAAGAGATATTTGACCAGAACTCTGAAGAAGGAGAACAACCAACAGGTAGATTCTTAATTGCAGCATTTGGGACCTTTTAGGGGGGCAGGCGGGGCTTGTCAACCTGGGAAGGTAGCCCATCTAGGAGAAGGAAACTCTGATCCTCCCTGGTTTTTGCTGCCAAGGATTGACTTAGCATGTCTTCCAAACCCGGGGCTCGTGATTAAGCTCCTTCCCTTGGTCATAGTTCATGGTTACTGAGGAACAAGGTTATGTCCTTAGGTAGGAGAGAGCTTTACCACGAGGCCCAGTTTGGAGGCCACGCTGAGCCAAACCATGGCTGAGCTCTGGACAGCAAACGCAGCTAGAAGGAGCAAAGCAAAAAGCAGCTGTGAGGTCCTTTTCAGGAGCTTCTCCAAGCCAAGTTTTGGCCTGGCCTGTTGTGTGAACCAGGCCACCGTCTGATTCGTGAGGCATCTCCCCAGGGTTTGGGGGGGAAATCTCGTGGTTTAAGGTGCCATTTTCCCCTTACGATCTTCTTGGTCTCCTATTTCAGTGGCCGATCTCTGGGGGAGCGAACACAGCGGGGGACCGGCTGAAGTGGCTCCGAAAGAGAGCGAGATGGAGGAGCCGAAGGAAAACGTTGGCAATGGAAGAGAAGCCGAGACGCCTGAGGGAAATCAGCCGAGAGAGACATGGCAGAAGGAATCAGCTGGTAGATTTACTTATTTGAAGATTCATATCCTGGTTTTCTGTCCAATTCAGACAGAAAGTGATCTGTTCTCCCTTCCCCCTCGCTACAGATAACGCGACTGGGACCTCCCTCAGCATAGAGGACTCCCAAGACGAAGGCATTTTGTTGGAAGAGCCACTCGAGGCACAACCAGGAGGATCCCAAGAGGGCATTTCTTTTGTGGCTGAAGCTGCAGAGAGTGAGTGTCCGCTACGAGCCAGGATGGGGCCCCTCTGCCTTCCCACCAGATGCTGTTTGACTGTGGCCACATCTGTACCAGACAACCAAAGTGGTCTTATCCCGTTTTAAACAAGCCATGTTTCTTTTCTCTTTTTGAAATAATTTTTATTTGGTTTAAAAAAATAGAAACTTACAACAAAATCAATTAAAAGTCCATATAAAGAGATTGCCCCAAATCTCAAGATTTTCCCCCACCATCCCTTCCATGGGTCCTAATGTCAATATTTACAACTGCATATCAATCCATTATCCACTTTTTTTTATCCATCCAAATTGCCCATAGTCTTTGTTACCTTACAAGTGAGGTTAAAATCCTGCTAATGTTTTCATCTTCTTACAATGGTCTCCTGAATAATAATAATAATAATAATAATTTATTATTTGTACCCTGCCCATCTGGCTGGATTTCCCCAGCCACTCTGGGCAGCTTCCATAGAAACAAAAAATACAGTAAAATATCACAGATTAAAAGCTTCCCTGAACAGGGCTGCCTTAAGATGTCTTCTGAATGTCAGGTAGTTATTCATCGCTTTGACATCTGATGGGAGGGCGTTCCGCAGGGCGGGCGCCACCACCAAGAAGGCCCTCTGCCTGGTTCCCTGTAGCCTCACTTCTCGCAATGAGGGAACCGCCAGAAGGCCCTCGGAGCTGGACCTCAGCGTCCAGGCAGAACGATGGGGGTGGAGACGCTTATAAATTATAATTTCCCCCCATTCTTTTTCTAAAGTTCTTGTCCTCTTGGTTCCTAAAGCTTTCCAGTTAATTTTGGCATTTCAGCGTAGTCCATCAACTTGGTTTGCCATTCTTCCCTGTTTGGGATTGTTTCTTCTTTCCCTCTCAGAAGCCATGTTCGTTGAGGGGTGCTGATAGTTATTAAGAAGCACAGCCCTTCTCTTCCCAGAGATACAATTCCCTGAGTTCGATAGGAAGAGGGATTGACTGTTAAGCCATGCTGGGAGTGGGGGTTCTGAGAGGGGAGCAGGGCCCTCCCCACAGTTCTTAGTAAACCACACTTCCCAAGATTTTTTGGGAGAGGACATGATGGTTTCTACACAAACTCTCACCCACCGCCTCCGGCCTTCATCCAGGCAATCAGGTGGTAACACCAGAGTTCAAGGAGGGTGCAAGGTAGGGTTGGTCAGGGGTGTTGCCTGTGAGGTAACTGGGGGGGGGGGCTTGGGAGGGGCATTTGGCACCAAGGCATGAGGCACCCATTGTTGGATTAGGGTAGCGATGACATGGAGCTGCCCCCGTCTGACCCCAGGTGTGTTTTGGTGGTTAGAATGGCAGGCTGGGACCTGTGACTCCGGAGTCCAAATCCACACTCGGCCAGGAAGCTCACTGGGGTGACTTTGGGCCAGTCACTTTCTCTTGGCCTAATTTACCTCGCAGAGTTGTTGTGGGATAAAGTAGAGGTGGGGGGGGGCAGGTATAACACTTGAAACACCTTGGAGGAAAGGAAAGGATATAAATTTAATAACAATACAGTGGTACCTCTGGATGCGAACGGGAACCATTCCGGAGCCCCGTTCGCATCCTGAGTAGAACATAATACGCGACTGAGCGTGCGCGGGTCGTGTTTTGCCGCTTCCGCGTTCACGTGATGTCATTTTGAGCGTCCGTGCAACGGAACCCGGAAGTAACACATTACATTACTTCTGGGGTGCCGTGGAGCATAACCTGAAGCATATTTAACCCAAGGTATGACTACAGTGGTACCTTGGGTTAAGTACTTAATTCGTTCTGGAGGTCCGTTCTTGACCTGAAACTGTTCTTAACCTGAAGCACCACTTTAGCTAATGGGGCCTCCTGCTGCTGCTGCCATGCCGCCGGAGCATGATTTCTGTTCTCATCCTGAAGCAGAGTTCTTAACCTGAGGTACTGTTTCTGGGTTAGCGGAGTCTGTAACCTGAAGCGTCTGTAACCTGAGGTACCACTGTAGTCAGTTGAGGAACACAGGAAGCTGTCTTATACCAAGTCAGATCCTTGGTCCACCCAGCTCAGTATTGTCTTCCCTGACTGGCAGCAGCTCTCCAGGGTTTCAAACCTGGATGGCCATCTGTCATGGATGTTTAAGCTGAGATTTCTGCATTGCAGGGGGTTGGACTGGATGACCCTTGGGGTCCCAACCAGAGCTGTCAACGTTTCCCTTTTTTAAAGGGAAATTCCCTTATTCTGAATAGGATTCTTCGCAAGAAAAGGGAAAAGTTGACAGCTATGGTCCCAACTTTACAGTTCTATGATTCTGTAAGTGGGAGTCTCTCCCAGCCCTGCACAGAGATGTCAGGATTTGAGCTTGGGACTTTCTGCATGCAAAGCAAGTCTACCACCGATCTGTGGTATCTTCCTTTTTTTATTATTATAATTTTTATTAAATTTCTTTTTTACATTTTAGAATATTCACTTAAACAACCTTAAAACATCAGTGACTTCCGTTCCTCTCTTTCCATGATTCATATTGCACAACATAAATCCCTGTGTATTTTATATAAACTAAACCATTCAGTATTCCATTATAACATCCACCCAAACTTATTTACACTGTTGAATTTATCTTCATGCTGTCCACATTTTCAGATATACACAATTTTCCTCCGTATATTCAATAAACATTTTCCAATCATCTTTAAATGTATGTTCTTGTTCTCTTCTATATGTTAGGTCCACAAGCTGCGCATGTTCCATCAGTTTCAGTTGGCATTCTTCTTTAGTTGGGACTTTGCTTGTTTTCTATTTTGGGGCTAACAGAACACAAGCCGCAGTAGTGGCATAAATAAATAACCTTCCCAGGTGTCAAAAAGGTTGTGGTCTCTTCCCTTAAAGATGCCAAAGGGATCTACAGGCAAAAGAACCATTTTTCAGCTCTTTGTTCTTCGCAGAAATAGACTTGGTGCGATTTCACAGAGTTTGAATCTTTTATATTTCCTTCACTTTTGTATTGATCTCTCTCTCTCCCTCTCTACTAGGTGATGGCTGGGAGAGCGAGAGTGAATGGGAACCATACGGAGTGTTGTCAGACGATACAGAGGATGAAGATAATGTTGGAGATCGAGGAGGACTAGAGCAAAACGGGGACGACCAAACAGAAGAAGACTGGCGGGATAAACCCAATTGCCAGGGCAGCGACTTCAACGGGTTGCCAGCTCCGGCGAAAGTTTACAAAGGCAAAAGAAAAAACCAGTGCAAGGTTTGCGGGAAGAGCTTCACGCGCAAGGCGAGCCTTAAGGTGCATCAGAGAATCCACACGGGGGAGAAGCCCTACAAGTGCACAGTCTGCAGCAAAGGCTTTTGCGACAAAACCAGCTTTCTTAGACATCAGAGAATCCACACGGGCGAGAAGCCGTACAAATGCCCCGAGTGCGGGAAGAGCTTTAACCGGACCACAAATCTCATTACGCATCAAAAGACGCACGTGGAGACCAGGGAGAAGACATTCCACTGCTCGAGCTGCAGCAAGAGCTTTTACAACAAGTACAGTCTCAAGACTCACTGGCGCAGCCACACGGGGGAAAAGCCCTACAAGTGCTCCAGCTGCAGCAAGAGTTTCTGCGACAAGTCAAACCTGGAGGCCCACTGGCGGGTGCACACGGGCGAGAGGCCCTTTGAGTGCACGGAATGCGGGAAGAGCTTCAGCGACCGCAGGACCCTCCTCCGACATCAGAGAATCCACACCGGGGAGAAGCCCTACAAATGCACGGAATGCGGGAAGAGCTTCAACGACCTGGCCACGCTGCTCCGCCACCAGAAGATCCACACGGGTGAGAAGCCCTATCGGTGCACCGAGTGCGGGAAGAGCTTCAACCAGAGCTCTCACCTCATCCGCCACCAGAACACGCACGACGCCCAGCGCCACAAAGGCCGGTCGCGCAAGGCCAAGGCTGCGGTCGGAGCCAATATCTTTTTGGACATCACTCAGAGCTTCACTCCAGAGAGCATCGGCTTCACGCAAGAGAACTATTACGGATATGCTCACCCTGCGGAAACGTTTCACTGGCCCATTACGTCTTACGCACCCTCGGCGGAGGCCGGAGAAGGTGGGGTACCCAACCTGTGGACAATCGAGGAGACTTCCGTCGGAGATCAAGCCATCCTAGTCATGAAAGAGTTAACCGAGGACAGGACCTTGACGCTGTGAAGGATGCTCAGAGCAGGGAAGGGGCTTCATCCAGGCCTACGGCCATCGAGTGAGATTGTCCGGTCAAGGAAGAAAGCCGTGCTTTAGACATTCTTGAAAAGAAGCATGTTTGAAAGCAGAGATGTATCGATCCAAGATCTGACTGGCAGAAGCTCCGTTTGGATCTTTAGGCACAGGATCTTCAGAAAGGGAGATCCAGCTCTGCAGGGAAGATTCCTTGCATTTCACAGCTATGCCCACTTCCTGCTTGACTTAGAGGAGAGATCTATCATTACTGAACAGGGATTCTCAAAGATTACATTTTTGGGTGTATGCCTTCAAAAGAAAGGGAAAAGAGGCAGATAAAAATAATGCTGTTTTGGTTCTGACCCAGTTGTTGTTCTCTTTAGCTTCCAAAATCAATGGTGATTCTGTACTCTCTCGGACTAGATGGAAGCAAAACGACTGAATGAGATTCAGCAACGGGCTGTGGCAGAATGAATGACAATCAGGGTGGTCTGTAAAAAAAACACCCCGCTTGTGTCCTCCCGCATATTTCGAAAGATGGTCATTATTTAACTTGGGGGGAGGGGAGGGAATTTGGACACCCATCCTGCTTGTTCTGACCCACACCAAATTTTAAAGAGGGTGTTTTAAAAGGGGTTCGTTGCCTCTTGGTATCAGTTTGGTTAAAAATTCTAGACTCTCACATTTTTTAACCTGATCGTATAGATTTGCTCTAGCAGAGATGGAAGTGGAAGGGAGGGGTATCATCAGAAAGGTTTGTTGTTTTCCACACTTCTAACATAGTTAAAAAGGGATTATTTTCCAAAATGATATTTCTGGAAACATGTGCGTTGGATTTTGCACCGCATTGGGGGAGTCGCACAATGTTGGGCAGCAGGGCAGTTCAGCGTATTTGGGTTTGTTTGACGGCTGAAGAAAGTCACAGTTATAGAATCACAAAACTAGATAGTACATCACCTGAACTGGAAATCTCCAAGCCTGCAATGGGAAGCATGCGAAAGAGCACTCTGCTTAACAGTTATCAGCTGATTTGTGAGATTGAGACATAGGTTAACAGGTTCTGCTGAAATCTGGCAAAAATAAAATACATTACTGAGAACAGGTTCCTATTAATTGAGTTTGGGATGCAGACACTCCCTGCAAATGGTGCTACTGGTGCTACAATTCCCATAATCCCTGAGCGCTGGCCATGCTTGCTGGAGCTGATGGGAACTAGAGTCTAAGAATAAGCGATATAGCTGCGTCATGAATATTGAGGGAGCTTACCTTATTCCCGAATGTACTGGCATGTGTGGGCTTTAGTTTTTTGTATTAGCAACCTCTGCCACGATAGTTCAGCATGCTGCAGCGCTTTTATTTTCCTTGGTCTCTGTGTGGGCTCTTGAAAAAAATCATACAAATGTTTTTATATAGGCTGCAATCCTATGCAAAATAGCAAGGGAGTAAAACCCCCTTGAAATCAGAAGGCCTTACTTCCAAGTAAACACGTTTTAGGACTGCACCGAGATCAGCCTTGTGTTTTAACAGCTCGCTTGGTCGCCACAGGCGAGCAGGAATGCCATGCAGGCGAGTGAGTGGGCTCAGGCCAGTTCTCCTGTACCAGCCTTGTTGGACTCCATTCTAGCCTTAAAGGAAGGAAATCCCTCTTCATAACAGCACAGGAGGCAAATGGTAGAAGATGGACAGACCCTCCTTCCCCACATCAACCAGGATGCTTAATAGAAAGCAGGGTTGTGGTTGTTGTGGTTGTGGTTGTTGTTGTTGTTGTTTAGTTTCCCAGCCTGCTCAGTGGCTGGTAGTGAAGAGGACTTGTGGGCAAATGATTTTTATGAGCTTACTTACAAGGCTGGCTTAGATTCTTGGCTTGGTCAGAGGACCAACCCCCCCCCCCAATACATAATTTGGGGAGCAAAGAATCCTTCACAGAGGCAAAACAGACTCGCCTCCACACAAGTCCCAAATAAATGTTAATAAAGGAAGCAGCTCTTGATCAATAAGCAATTGTGGTTGGTTGGTTGGTTGGTTGGTTGGTTGGTTGGTTGGTATGGTTTTAAAAGCAAATATTATGGGCTATTCTGAGACTAAATCAAAGGTATGGGATGATGAATGCTGCAACCTTTCACTCCAACACGTATGCTAACACTTTTGAGTACTTTTAAGCCTGCAATGCTGAAATCGCTTCTCGGACTGCAGCGGGACTTCGCTTCTGCATAAAGATGCAAAACAGTTGGGCTGTCATTTGTAATGTAGACTAGAGAGCAACAATATTAGTGGGGAACTGGGCTTAGTGGGTGCACGGGATGTTTTGTGAACAGTACGGAGGGTTGGGTGAGCACGCTGGACCGTCTCTGTGGGGTATATTACCTTCCACGAATGCGTTATGCTAAGCTTTTTGACTATTGAGAGGTTACATTTTATAAATTGCCAATAAAAGCATCCTGTAATTCAAAGAAAATTGCTATAGTGCATGGCGTTTCTCAGAGTTTCATAGCAGTAGCTCATCTACGGGGATGATTAAGGTACAGGGGGATATCGTATGAAAATCATTTCATTTCTTAAATCATCCTGGACATGTCAAACCTTGCCCTTCTTAAATGCTGACATTTACCAGTTAATGATGGAGAAAGAGGGTATGATTCTTTCCAGGCACTCTGTATTTTTGAGATCTGTCCCTGACTGTCAGGGATCTGCATCCAGTCCATGGGAAATGATACTCTTGTAGAATTCATTCTAGCAGACTAGTTGGTCTTGAAACTTACAGTAAGATACTGTATTAGAAAGAATTTTATCATTATACTTGTTTTGGAAACGTAAAACCAAATAAATGCTAAATGTCACTCCTCACTTGCAAAAAACAGAAGCAAGAAAAATACTTGGTCATTTACCGAATCATCATCATCTTCTTCTTTTAACCGAATCATCTTGTGCTTTGGATTTACTGATAAATGTCAGAATTTTCTCAGATTGCCATTGCATCCCTCCCCTGGGCTCCAGCGACCTTAACATTGTCACGAAGCATCAACGTCAAGGATTCCAAGTTGTACTGTATCATAGACATTCTGTACATTTTAAAATATTTTAACTTAGATTTTGCTTATTGTTATCCATGCTTAGTCCACATTATTGTTACCTGTCTTACGTCGAAATCCTCTCATTTTAATCACGTTCGTTTACTGTGTTTGCAAGTTTTTGCTGTGAAATACCGCAATCTGGAGTACCTTGCAATATGACTTTCCGCCATGTTAATATGCAAGTGAAGATAAATAAAGGCAGGTGAGGGGAAATAGGGAAAGCTCGCCACGATCCCCAAGATGTGGGACTCCATTTTGAAAAGTCGCCAACTCTTCAAAAGAAACTGAATTTACAAATGTACACTGCCTTGGGTTCTCTTTGACCATTGTGTGTAAATTCAGGATAGAGAGCAAAACAAATGGCTTCTCCTCCAAATTAAGTCCTCCCCCTATTTTGTTACACTGTGTAGGGAGTCGTCTATGTGTGGAGGTTTGTTTCTGAGTTTTTTTTTAATAACTGGATGTTGTAGGTGACTGCCTTTATTATGCATGGTTGCTTTAAGAGTTTTTTAGTGTATTGGCAAAATGTTCTGCAAATAAAGAGTAATGAATGACAATTTCTTTGCACATATTAAATTTTGCATGTCCAGTACCACCAGAACTGGGTCCTGTGTAAAAAACCTGAGGTGCAGAATTTGTTAAGAAAAATACTGCCAACTCACCAAAATAAAATAAAATCGAGAAAAATGGTAAGGGTTGTACACAGAGCCGTACACAGAGAAGACTCATAAAAATTAATGGACCTGACTTGCCAGTAGTACATGTGGGGGGGGAAAAAGGATTTAGGGGTCTTAGTCGACCACAAGCTTAATATCACAGTGTGATGCAGCAGCAAAAAGAGCTAATGCTGTTCTAGGCTGCATCAACAGAAGTCTAGTGTCCAGATCAAGAGAAGTAATATTCTCTATTTTGCCTTGGTCAGACAACACCTGCAGTCCTGTGTCCAATTCTGGGCGCCACAATTTAAGGAGGACATTGTAGCCTTATGAGGCTTTGCCCTCGGGTGGGAAAAATACTGCGCCCGGGAAAGGGAAGTGGGAGTCAAGGAATAGTTTCAGAGAAAAAGCTTTTATTTCTACCATCCATGAACTGGTAGAAGGAGCAAGTGTGATAGTTCACAGAAAGCATGCACGGGTTCACAGTCATGTGCACAAACATATATACCCATTTCCAGTTCCCTCCCCCTTTCTCCTCCCTCAGGAGTCCTGTCCATGAGTTCCTCTGAGCATGAACAGAAAGCTGTCTTGGGACTATTGGGACTCTTGGCACCCTTCCCAGGAAAGGGGGCCTGAGAAGCCGAGGGGGTGGGTCAAGGAGCCCTGGTGGTTCGGCATGTCCAATATGTTGCAACCGAATGAGATAAGATTCGTTTCTCAGGCCTGAGTATTCTTGGCAATGATAGAGCCTATTCATTAGCCTTTAAAAGTAACATTTTGCCTATGTACCAACATCTTGTGAGAATCCACAGAAAAGCTGTAGCTGTGGGTTTTTAGAAGACAAAAGGAATTTTGAACAGTTTTGAGGCCTGGTTGGGGGGGTGACTTCGGGCCTAGGTGGGGTCACCTGTCTTCACCTTCCTTCAGATATCAACAAGCTTGAATGTATACAGAGGAGGGCAACCAAGATGATCAAGGGTCTGGAAACCGAGCCTGATGAGGAACGGTTGAAGGATCTGGGTATGACTAGCCTGGAAAAGAGGCGGCTGAGAGGATATACGATAGCCACCTTCAAATATCTCAAGGGCTGTCTCACGGAAGAGGGAGCAAGCTTGTTTTCTCCTGCTCTGGAGGGTAGGACCCGAGCCAATGGATTCAAATTACAAAAAAGGAGATTCCAAATAAACATTAGAAAGAACTTTCTGATGGCAAGAGCTCTTTGGCAGCCATAGGAAACGCTGGGAGCAGGGTGTCGCCAGGCCTGAAACAATGGGGTCTGGTAGATTTCACTCGGGATAGAGTTTGACAGGCCATGAGTCCACCTCTCGTATCTGCAATATTAGGACGTCCAGGGTCTTTCAGCAAAGTAGCATGCTAGTTCTGTTAACGCCAGTCCATCACTGCTCCAAGGGCTGTCTCTCGTTCGCTCTCAGATCAAAGTCACGCCATGCAACATAGAGTTCACGTTGTGTGGTGTTTTTTTCAAGCGTTTCCAAACTGGATAGAATAAATTATATAGTGGGTTTAAAACAATCCCCCTCTTCAGAAAACATACAAGCACCACCTGCAGAGAGTTGTCAGGAGACACCCCCCCCCCATTCCCATAATTCCCTGGGAAGGGAGATTGTTTGTTAAAGCCCTCTGGTCATTGGAGCTTTGCGAGGGAAATAACGAGGTTTCCCAACAACTGCTAGGACATTGCGGGTGCCCTGGCACCCATGGGCACCATGTTGGAAAAGGCAGATGTGGGAAAATAATACTGAGCTGCATGGACCAATGGCCTGATGTAGTTATAACAGGGGTCAGCAAACTTTTTCAGCAGGAGGCCGTTCCACTGTCCCTCAGACCTTGTGGGGGGCTGGACTATATATATATATATTTTGGGGGGGAATGAACGAATTCCTATGCCCCACAAATAACCCAGAGATGCATTTTAAATAAATATTTATGGGACCGCCTCTCCTGGTATGCCCCGCAGAGGGCCTTAAGGTCCATGAATAATGAATAATCATAGTTTAGAGGTCACGGGCCCTAAGGAAGTCAGAATATCCTCCACCAGGGCCAGGGCCTTCTCAGTGATGGCTCCGGCCTGGTGGAATGCTCTGTTCCATGAGACCAGGGCCCTACAAGATTTAACTTCTTTCCGCAGGGCCTGTAAGACAGCTATTCCGCCTGGCTTTCAACTTGAACTTAGCCTGATCTTTTATTCCCCTTCCTCCCCTCCCCCTCCCCTTTTTATGAAGATTACCTGCTCTGGGATCCCACAGCTAATTCTCCCCTGGTCTCCACGCTGGTCCAAATAGGACTAATTTAGCCAGCTAAATGTTTATTGGATGGTTTTCCCCCCCTAAATTGATTTCTGAATTCTGTATTTATTGTTATTCATGTTTTATACTGTATTTTATGCTGTTTTTTGTTGCATCAATTAAGTGTTTTAAATTTGTTGTTAGCCGCCCTGAGCCCGGTTTTTGAACTGGGAAGGGCGGGGTATAAATAAAAATTTATTATTATTAATTTATTATTAAAAGCACACATTCTACTCAGGTAAAAACACCAGGCAGACCCCACAAATAACCCACAGATGCATTTTAAATAAAAGCACACATTCTACTCATGTAAAAACCATAGCTGTCAACTTACAGATTTGAAAATAAGGGGCCAGCAGCCTTGAAAATAAGGGACCAGCAGCCAAAATAAGGGACCTGCAGCCTCACCTGTTCCAGGCACTCCAGTCTTCCTGTCCTCCTGCAGTCTGGTCAAACTCATGCTGGTAGCTTCGAGAACACTGTCCAACCAACTTTGTAACCAGAGGTTCAACTGAATAGAATCTGAATCACATGCACCACAAGGCCTATGCAGCCTCAACTTAAGATGGCTCCCCGGCCTGGCCTTGCACTGCAAAGTTTGCAGCAGCACGTGCACCAAAATGGCATCCAGCATTCAAAAAACCTCTCAGCTTGCATTAACTAGCCACACACAAGGCATGCAAGCTCCACCCCCCAGTCGTTCTTAGACTTCTTATTGGGTGAGCAACACAGCCAAGCAACACAGTTGGAGCCTCCCTCCTCCCTGGCTGGCAGGGAGGGAGGGAGAGGAGTTGCTTCCTTTGAAATTTAAGGGACATCATTTAAGGGACATTTATCAATAAGGGACAGCAGCGGGACATGGAGCTGGAATAAGGGACTGTCCCTTCAAATAAGGGACACTTGACAGATATGGTAAAAACATGCTGATTTCCAGACCGTCCACGGGCCAGATTTAGAAGGTGATTGGGCTGGATCTGGCCCCTGGGCCTTAGTTTGCCTACCCATGGCGTATAAGGCAGCATCCCTTGTTCCCTGCATAAGGCCCCATGTTTTGTCCTCAAAATTGACAGTTGAAAGGATCCCAGGCCGTACTGTTTAAGTATGTGGCTCTACTCTTTCCTCAGCTCCCCTTCCTCTCCCCCTGCCCCAATGTGGTGTCATGATTTGACTAAGATGAGAGACCCAAGTTGAAATCACCAATGAGCCACAAAAATTTGCTGTGTGACCTTGGACCAGTCGCTATCTCTCAGCCTGCCCTACCTTCCAGGGTTGTTTTGAGGATAAGCTATGAGTCAAAATGCTCTACCTACCTGGCAAAATTATCCTGCAAGTTCCCTTGGAGCCAAAATTTCCCCCCACCTCTTATTTTGAGGAATTCACTGCTGTATCATTTGAGCAAAGCCTTAGTATTAGTAGCAGTAACCTGCCCATCTGATTGTGTTGCCCCAGCCATTCTGGGCGGCTTCCAGCATATTTTAATAATAATAATAATAATAATAATAATAATAGACATTAAACATTGAAAACTTCCCTATGCAGGATATACATGGAATATAAAAACGGGGACTAGATTTGGAGAGGCTCAATTCTTTATTGAGTTACTAGATGCAGGATATTCACCAAATATGAAAAGCAGGATTGTTGAAACAAACATGCAGTATTATCGTGACATTGTTAGGCAAAAGCAGAAAAGCAAAATAAATTACCTTATAAACCTTAGAAACCCTTAGCAAAATGATTTTGTGTGTGTGTAGTTAAGAGAGTCAGAGTGCCGCCAGACAGTAGCTTGCAGGAGAGATGAAAATACCAGGAAATTTAAGTTTGGAAAACTGAAATGGATTCAGGCACTTTCAAAAGGAACCTCTTTTGCAGTTACGGAAGTGGTTTTTATTTTATTATTCAGTTATACAATTTATATACCATTTAACTACAATAGTCTCTTAAGAGGTTTACAAAGATTCTATATGAAAAACCACAAAGGTCAGTTAGCTATAGGATCAGCCTTCAATTAAAATGCCTGCTGGTGAGGCGGGCCCTGAAGTATCCTGAACCCAAATTATTTAGGGCCTGGGAAATTAATACAAGGAGCCTGAACCTGCCCTGGTAGCGTATGGGCACCCAGGGAAAACTTCCGAACACTGGGTTTTGTGCTGGCAATATTCTGTCCACATCAACAGTGTAGCTGCAACATTTCACCCCAGCCCTGGACAGAGCACAGGGCAAAAACCGAGCCCTGAGGTTGTGGCCAGTGCCAGTCCTACTCAAGAGTAAACCCAGTGAAATTAATGGCTGTGTGGGAAGACGGACAAGCAAGACAGGATGTGGTAGAATGGAAGCGTAAGCAAATTGGATCAATACAGACTGGATATAATCTAACCCACGTATGGAATTTGATTTGTTGAATTGGGATGAATATTCATAGAGTAATAAGATGTGAAATTAGTTCTGTATGTAGTAACAGCAGCCAGAATTTTGCTGGCACAGAAATGGAAACAGGAAGAGATACCCACGAAAGAAGAATGGAGGATGAAACTGATGGAATACACCGAAATGGACAGACTGACGGGGAGAATTAAGAACCAATGTGACCAGAGATTCTCCGAGGACTGGAAGAAATTTACAGAGTATATCAAAAATTTCTGTGATGAGCAAATAACGTTCGTTGGCTTTCAAGAAGCTCTGTGAAATTATTGTTAGAAATATTGTTTAAAAAATATGATGTGATTAAGAGTATTTGAGTGCAATATAATATTGGGAAATGTGAGACGAGGATAAAAAAAATAAACGGAAAATTATCAGACAAGCTGAGGGAAGTTCTGGAAAAAAGGGTTTAAGTTTAAAATGGATGTATAATTTTGTAAAAATGTTTTTTTTTAATGGAAAATCTAATAAAAAATATTTATAAAAAAGAAGAATATTCATAGAGTAACAGAGTTGTAGTGTTGGAAGGGACACTGAGGATCACCCAGTCCAATCCCCTGAAATATAGGAATGAATATGCAGCTGTCCCAAACAGGGATCGAATCTGCAACCTTGGAGTTATCAGCACAAAGCTCTAATGACTGAGCTGTCAGCAGATATAAATAAATAGATTGTCTGGAGGAGCCTTAAGGTCTAGGATGTTTTATTTTGTATTAGATTATTACATATTTTGTATCAGATTATTACATATAACAGTATTGTACACCCACATATAATAAAATACCCCACCCTAACCCAGAAGATGTTTAGGCAATATTACTGAATGAAAATCCAAATAAGTTCTTATTCCAGGCAACTATTTACGTTAACCAAATCATTTTATAATGCGAGTGGAGTCTTCCGTTTTCATCTTTTGGCCACATGCATAATTAAGCTACACCAATCACGACTAGGACCTTTATTGGAATAATTCCATAATAATAATTTTATTATTTGTGCCCTGCCCATCCGACCGGATTGCACCAGCCACCCTGGGCGGCTTCCAATAGACATAAAAACGTACTAAAACATTGCACATTGAAAGCATAAACTCCCAAACCACTCAGCGGCTAACTTGAAAAGCAACCTTATCAGACAACAACAAAATTGAAAGGCGATTCCAGCATGAAATGGCTGAACCAGGATCTAGCAACAAATCTGTGCCAATTAGTCAAAACTTCCCCCTGCATACTCAACTTGATCACTGGAATCTGCAGGAGAGGACCTTCTGCAAAACACAGTCCTATCAACATGTCCATGTGACATGATTTTGGAATCAGGCCTTTTGTGTGGTGGCACCTAACCTTTGGAACTGCCTGCCACTGCAAAACAGATACGCTGCATATTTACAGACCGTTTTTCACCGTAGATGGTCACAGGGTTAGAAGCTAGCAGGGTGCCAGGCGCATTTAACAGCTAAAGAGTCTCCCTTTGCGGGCACCTGAAAAAGTCTGGGTGCCATTTTTTGCACCTGGCTGACACTCAAGAATTACTGAATTGTATGTGCTTTGAAGCCTCGAAGTATATGTTAAGGATAAACAATATGTTTAACAATAAAGAGTAGAGTGTTTTGAAAACTGTAGTACGGTGCCAATATTTTTATTGTGCAAACACCAAATTAAACATATATGAACAATTTCTGTTAAAAATGTGATATTAACAATGTGTCACTTATGTGAATTGTGTATGAGTTCATGCTTCTCAAAATAATACATAAAAAGTGTTGCTGACCCCCCCCCCCAAATGGCGACTAGACATTCTGTTTTGGCGCCCACAACCCAGGTCCCAGGAGCCATTTGGCTCCTAGATTTCCTATCCCAGTTTCTAAGACTGGGTGGTCACAAAGCAGTTTACGGAGAAATAAAACAATCCACGAACCATAATAATACAAAAAAAAAACCCTTATGTTTCATAAATAGGCACAGTATAACTTACTTAAAATGCCTGCTGGAATAGACTGATTGTTGTTCAATGCCTGAAGTTCAACATGTATGTGCAGTTCAAAGGCAGGTCAAAGGCCTGGAAACGATGCCTTATGAGGAACGGCTAAGGGAGCTGGGCATGTTTAGCCTGGAGAAGAGGAGGTTAAGGGGTGATATGATAGCCATGTTCAAATATATAAAAGGATGTCACATAGAGGAGGGAGAAAGGTTGTTTTCTGCTGCTCCAGAGAAGCGGACACGGAGCAATGGATCCAAACTACAAGAAAGAAGATTCCACCTAAACATTAGGAAGAACTTCCTGACAGTAAGAGCTGTTCGACAGTGGAATTTGCTGCCAAGGAGTGTGGTGGAGTCTCCTTCTTTGGAGGTCTTTAAGCAGAGGCTTGACAACCATATGTCAGGAGTGCTCTGATGGTGTTTCCTGCTTGGCAGGGGGTTGGACTCGATGGCCCTTGTGGTCTCTTCCAACTCTATGATTCTATGATTCAACATGTATGTGGAAGGGAGTTCCACAGGATTAGGCCCACAGTGCTGAATGCATGGCTCCTGGGGTTATAAACCGTGCATTTGTGCCACAAATTGTGAGTCCCGCAAAGTGCTTGGTGAGAGGCAGGGATATAAGTGATCAGGCGAGCCCTAAGATATTCTGGCCCCAAGTTGTTAGGAGTCTTGTAAATTAATACAAGAATCCTGAATTATCCTAGCCAACTGTAGACTGAAATAGTACAACAGAGTCCCAACATAAAAGGGATTCCCTGGTGTAGACAAAGTTCCCCTTTTAGGGTTGAAAATGTGCGCATTCAGATAATAAGAGCCCAGGAAGTTTCCTATGGCCCTGGTGGCATCGCAAACCTCTGTTTGCATTTTGGACGGAGGTTTTTAAAGAACTGGAAAACTTTTATAAGCTGAACATCATCATGTCTCCAGCCCCAGCAGTAGTGGGAATAGTGAATTACACTGACTTTCCAAGCTGTATATAAAGAAATGTCACTTTTGCTTGCAGCGGCTTGAAAATTGCCAGAGGCTGGCAAACGGCTAAAGGTCTGAGAACCAAAGGGTCTGAGAAAACTGGCAGAAAAACTAACATGCCAAATCCATGCTGCTAAAGAACATGTCCCTCTTCTTTCTTGCCTCAATAATGGACTGGATGAGAGCCAACAAACTGAAACAAGATTGAGGCACTTCTAGTGGGTGGTTCCCTAGACCAGATGGTTGTGAGGTTTGCAAGACGGTTTGAGCATATTACACCGATCCTGGTCCGACTGCACTGGCTACCAGTTAGTTTCTGGGCCCAATTCAAAGTGCTGGTTTTGACCTATAAAGCCTTAAACGGCTCAGGACTGCAATACCTCAAGGGCCGCCTCTTTCCATATGAACCTACCCAGACCCTGAGATCATCTTCTGAGGCCCTCCTTCGTGTGTCACCTCCTCGAGAGGTTTGGAGGGTTGCAACATGAAAACGGGGCCTTCTCTTCAGTGGCTCCCCATCTGTGGAATGCTCTCCCCAGGGAAGTTCGCCTGGCGCCTTCATTATACACCTTTAGGCACCAGGCAAAAACGTTCCTTTTTAAGCAGGCCTTTGGTTGATTTGATTGTCATCCTATGCCCTTTCAAAATGTGGCTTTTTTTGGAGGGGGTTAATAATAATAATAATAATAATAATAATAATAATAATTTGTTACTTATACCCTGCCCATCTGGCTGGGTTTCCCCATTCACTCTGGGCGGTTTCCAACAGATTAAAAATACATTAAAACATCAGTCATCTTTAAAAACTTCCCTAAACAGGGCTTTATTGGGTTGTTGCTTTTATTTTGATTATATATTTTATGCTTTAATATTTTGATTTTGTTCTGTGAACCACTCTGAGACCTCCAGGTATAGGGCGATATATAAATTCAATAAATAATAATAATAATAATAATAATGCATGGCATGGCAACAGTTTATATCTTGCATGAGACAGGAAGATCGGACAAGGATTCCTCCAGTGTCTCACAATAGACTCTGGAGAGGTTTACTTGTGCTATTTGCATAGTGTGACAATTTATTCTCCTTTCATTCAAATGCTCTCAGGGGTAAATAATGCAAAGACAGTATTGCAAACTGAAAGGGAAAAGGGAAACTTAAAAAAAACAGATCTGCAGAGCATGTTACAAGCCAAGTTCTACCCCAAATGGACTCTCTGATGCATCAAAAGATTTGATTTTTGGGCAAAACATTTCCCACACTCTGAACAGTTGTAAGGCTTCTCTCCTGCGTGAACTCTCTGGTGTCTCACAAGGTGGGATTTTTGGCCAAAACGCTTCCCGTACCCAGTGCAACTGTAGGGTTTCTCCCCTGTGTGGGTCCTCTGGTGGTTTGCCAGGTTTGATTTGTCAGCAAAACCTTTCCCGCACTCCCCGCAGCCGTAGGGTTTCTCGCCCGAGTGGGTTCTCTGGCGTCCGCTGAGGTGAGCCTGTTGAAGAAAACCTTTCCCACACTCCAGGCAGGTATAGGGCTTCTCTCCCGTGTGGGTCCGCCAGTGTTTTGCAAGCTCCGACTGCTGTGGGAATCCTTTCCCGCACTCCAAGCACGTGTAGGGTTTCTCCCCGATGTGGATCCTGTGGTGAATCACAAGGGCCGAGCACTGGGCAAAAGATTTACCACACTCGGTGCATTTATAGGGCTTCTCTCCCGTGTGGACCCTCCGGTGGTTCACCAGGTCTGAGAGCTGAGGGAAAGATTTGCAGCACTCGGCGCATTTGTAGGGCTTCTCTCCCGTGTGGATTCTCCGGTGTATCACAAAAGCAGACTGCTGAGCGAAGCTTTTCCCACACTCCGGACATCCGTACGGTTTCTCTCCGGTGTGGAGCCTCTGATGGTTCACGAGGCAAGACTTGTAAGCGAAGCCTTTCCCGCACGCTGCGCACTCGTAGGGTTTCTCTGCCGTGTGGGCCCTCCGATGCACAACGAGTTTCGATTTGTAAACAAAACGTTTCCCACACTCCTGGCACCTATACGGTTTCTCTTCCGGGCGGGCTCTCCGATGGCTCTTGAGTTCTACCTCCCGGGGGAAACCCTTCCCACTCTCCAAGCAGTTGTAGGGTATCTCTCCTACGTGGATTCTCTGGTGTCTGGCGAGAGATGATTTCCGAGCAAACGGCCGGCTGCACTCCGGGCATGAATGCCTCTTCTCGGAGTCGCCTGAAAGGAGAAAAGAGCAAAAAACATAAGACGGGGATTCACTGCTGTTCCTTGTAAAAAGCAACCTCAGAAAACGGACAAGGCAAGGGTCGCCAACATGGTGCCCACGTGTGCCCGCCAGCACCTCCTATGGTGCCTGCTGAGTAAAGACCGCTTCAAAAATCCACATTAGCCTCTCCAATATTAAATGGGCCCCCTTGAGCAGGCCCACATTTTATCAGATGCCATGACTGGACACCCAGCCTCCCGCTTGTTCTGAACAGAACAGAAAAACAAAGAGTTTCCCCCTCATTGTTTTCATTATTAGCAGGGATGGAGGGAAACTGAGAGGAAAACGACAATTCAAAATGGAAATTTGGGTAAAGCTGGGAGTGGAGGGTTTATTGCACCAGAGCTCCAGATCTACCATAATCTCATGCCTGAATCCCACCCCCAAATAGTGGCTGTCTGGAAGTGCCCTGAAACTCAACCGGAATGTCAAACAGAGCATTGCAGGGGGTTGGACTAGATGACCCTTGGGTCCCTTCTAACTCTACCACTCTATGGTTTTATGATCAGTAAAAAGCACATTACGCCCATTGATGGGGCAGCTGATGGCAGAGCTTCCCTGTCCAGTTTCAAATTTCCCCTCTGTTCTTTTGTATGTGGCAACCATTTTGTCTCAAGGCATGCCCCCAGCGGCAGCCATTTTGTGACCACAGCATTCCAAATACACCCACCGGTGGTGCCTGTACTAAGAGATACAGAAAGGAGAAAAGAAAACCATATATAAACCATTAAGACCCCTTCAGACCTGGTACAATGATAAACAAGCCATTCCCTGCCATCCTTGGGTGGAGGGCTAAGGGTGGGCAAATGAGAAGGGGTAAAAAGGTTTGCCTTAGCTGAGGAGCAGGATCTGCCCATCTCTTGGTAAAAAAGAAGCCATCATGAGGTGGCAGACATTGCCAGGTGGGTCAGGGAGGAAGAGAAGGGGAAGGAAATAGTCCCATGAACCTCCTTGATCTTATCGGAGGAGCCGAGCCACTGCAAACAAATACAAAAGAAACGTACATTTTGGTGAGCATAGCATTTATTTGTTCATTATGGGGACCCCTTGCCTTCTCTGCAGAAGACTCAGGGCATGGTACATACTTCTTTCCCCCCACCTCTCAATTTTCTCCTCACAACAACCCGGTGAGGCAGCTTAGGCAGTACGCGTGAATGCCCCAGAATCGCTCAGTGGCCTTCATAGCCGAGTGGGAATTTGAACCTGGAGCTCTATAGTAATTGCAATATTTTAACCCAGAAGTTGGAAAACTCTGGCCTCCAGGCCCCTGTCTCCAGCCAGCCCCCATGCGCTTCACCAGGCTACACCCCCTCCATCATAAACCTGCCCCACATCCTCGAGGGCCTTCGCCCCATGTATCCTCAAGCTATAATACCATGAAATCGCATCTAACACGGGGATTAGGCTCCGGACTCAGCGCCTAAGGCAAAAATTTCGTATAGTCAAAATTACCCTTGAAAATCCCTTAAACTGCCCATAAAGCACACTGCAGTACACACCTGTATATGATGAGGATGAAAGAATGAAGAGGACCACTGTACACACTCGGGCGATTTGTCTTTCTGTTCTCCTGACATCACTGCTGAGGGGTCACAAGGGTCTGATGCCGATCCGGCAGAAAACGGTCCAGGCTTGCGTGATGGAGAGTGTGTCACACACAAGGCGGCTGGCTCTGTGTCCGCTCGAGGAGTTGGTTGCGAGGGCTCCTCCGCTGCCGGTTGTTTTTTCGAGGACAACATGGCGACTGGCAACTGCCGCTGCTGCCTCTTCAGCTGCTCAAACATTTCTCGGTACGGCCTCAAAGCTTCGGCGATGCCACGTGTGACTCTGAGGCTCTGCTCCATGGAGGGATCGTATTCCGAAATCAAATCGTTCAAGTGCTTTGCCGCTTGAAACACCTCGGCAAACTTGGGAAGGTTCCAACTTGCCGGCTCTTCCTGCTCGTCGTCATCTTCCTCTTCCGATTTTATCAGATCCTCAGGCTCTTCGCTAGCCGACGTTCCTCTATGGCCCTCGATTAATTCTTCTATTTCTTCCTCAAGGATGTCGCTGAAGCCATCGCCGCCCAGTTGCCTGGCCACCCGAACGATGTGTTCCACTTCGTGGTGAATGGTTGGGAAACCCCTGAAATCATTCACACATTTCTTCCACAGGTTTCGCCAACACGCGTTGACCGTTTCCGGCTCGATTGCATCCATGGCTTGTTTGACGTAAGTGATGCAATCGGCGATGTTGAAGGACTTCCAGCGCTCAGCCGCGTTGAGGCTGGGATCGGCATCCAGAGCGTTGCAGACCCGCGAGAACATAAGACTCGTGTACTTGGCCTTGAAGCAGCGAACTACGCCTTGGTCGAGAGGCTGGATGGCGGAGGAGGCGCTATGGGGCAGAAAGACAACTTCAACGTTGCTGTGCGCAAACCGGACTCCCTCGGGGTGGCCAGGAGCATCGTCGACAATCAGCAACACCTTAAAGTCAATTCCTTTCTCTTCGAGGTACCGCTTGACCTCCGGAACAAAGCATCGGTGGAACCAATCCAGGAATATTGCTGCCGTCACCCAAGCCTTTTTGCTCGATTGCCAGAACACAGGCAGGAGGTGTTTGTCCTTGCCTTTTAGGGCACGAGGATTTGCAGACCCACAGAGCAGGCTGGGCTTTATTAAATGCCCGGCTGCGTTGCAACAAAACAACAACATCACGCGGTCTTGGGCCGCCTGTCTTTCTGCTTTCGAAATGTACGTGCGGCTGGGCATTTTCTTCCAGAAGAGCCCCGTCTCGCCAGCGTTGAAAACTTGTTCCGGGAGATATCCCTTTTCTTCTATCAGCTTCTTTAACTGTTTGGAGTAGGGTTTCGCTGCTTGTTTATTGGTGGGGGCAGCCTCGCCAGGGCTCTGCCCGTTTTTCAGGTTGAAGCGGTTCCTGAAGCTGTTGAGCCAACCTTGGCTGGCTTTGAACTCCTTCTCATCACAAGGCGAGGTAAGAGGCTTGAACAGCGCGTACAGGTCAAGAGCTTTTTCTCGCATCATGTTGCCGTCGACGGGAAGGCCTTGGCCGTTCATGTCTTCCAGCCACAGGTACAATGCCTTTTCCGCCTTCACCAAAGTCTGATCGCGAACTTGGCTCGTCACCTTAGCCGTTATGGGAGCGCCTGAGGCCACGGCTTGACGGATTTCTCTCTCTCGAACTTTAATGGCACGGATGCTGGATTCATTGCGGCCGTATACGCGGGCCACTTTGGAGACGGACATGCCGGTCCTCAATAAATCCAACACGGCCACTTTCTCCTCCAGCGTCGGAACAGATCGCTGCTTCTTGCGCTGCCCTCTGGGTGACCTGCAGGCAGCTAGCTTGCATTTAGGGGCCATGGGGTATGATGAATACTGTCCTTGAAGGACGGCGTGCTCGGCCAGGAAATCGCACTCGCGCTCACCCCAAGACGGCTCACTAGCTGGAACCGCCCACACTTGGCTCTGACAGTTGCCCACGCCTTGTTTCGACAGGTACATGGAGTTGAATTCGTGTGCGTTAAATGTGCTTATGACGTCGCTCCACTGTAATGCCTTTTGCTCGCCTGAATAGAGGACGGAAAGATGTCTTGTATGGAACGTAGATAGACGTCTGTTGGCCCGCCCACTTTTAACTTTGGCTCCACCCATTTTGTCCCTGGCCACACCCTCCACTGGCATGAGGCCCCCAGAAGGCTGCCACAAGGGAATATGGCCCTTCGCTAGAGGGTCTTCCCACTTGTGTTCCATGGGGCACCCCACAAATGCTCCACAGAGGCCTAGAATCCCTTTTAGGGACGGGGCAGAAATCCCATTCCGTTCCCATTTAAAGCCAAATTTATGCTTCCCGAGACAGTATGAGAACATAAGACGCAGCCACCCTTTGAAATGCACACTTGTCCAAATTTCATGATGTAGTTCTCCCACCGACGTTTAGAAAAAGGAATATATGAGGTAAACGTGGGCATAATAATCAATACGTTTGCGAAAATAGCATGCCAAAATGCAACACAGTGGCTTGCAAAAATGGGTACGTTGGTCAAAACGGCGGGCAAATTTGTGTCTTATTAGGAGAAATAATTTCCAAGAGGATTTTTTTTTAAAGAAACAAAATTGGCAGATTTGCTGCAGGAATGTGGAGAACGAAATTGAAGGTCAGAAAAATGAGAAGAGAAGCAAAATTGCTGTGTCCTCCCATTCCTAATCGCAGTAGATGTGGTCACACTCTCAGGGAGTTGGAGGGGGAAGGAGAGGAAATGAAACAGTTTCAGGCAACTGCTAATTGTTGAGGGTCGGGGGGCGGAATAACCAACTTATCCCAAGCCCCTTACCTGTGTGCGTGTTGGAGATCACGGTTTCATCCATCCCCTGAGAATCAGGCACCCACATGTCTTCCCCTTGCTCTAGCCGGGAGATGAGGTCAGGCTTGAGGGCTGGAAATCCTTCTTGGGAAAGAACGAGGGGGGAAATCAAGGTCACAATTGGCTGACTGGGTTTATATATATATGTGTGTGTTCGTGTGTGCGCGCATGCGCATAAACTTAACAAGACTAAGCCTATGTAACCATTTAATCTTTCATTTTGCCTGGCTGCAAATTTTAATTTTTATGCAATTCACTCTTTCCATTAAACAAAACAACAGCAGAAAAGGAAGCTTACACAGATGTACTATTTTCTCCCCTTTCTCCCTTCCTTTATTTCCTTTCATTACTTCTTTTCTTTTCTTCTTCTTTACTGAGGTTTAACTGCAAGTTATGCAAAGGGAGAGTTTATGCCAAGTCAACTTTGCTGATACAGTCTACGTATAAAAACTCTGTATACGCCTAAAGGTAAAGGGACCCCTGACCATTAGGTCCAGTCGTGGCGGTTGCGGTGCTCATCTCGCTTTATTGGCTGAGGGAGCCAGCGTACAGCTTCCGGGTCATGTGGCCAGCATGACTAAGCCGCTTCTGGCGAACCAGAGCAGCGCACAGAAATGCCGTTTACCTTCCTGTCGGAGCAGTACCTATTTATCTACTTGCACTTTGAGGTGCTTTCGAACTGCTAGGTTGGCAGGAGCAGGGACCGAGGAATGGGCGCTCACTCCGTTGCGGGGATTCGAACCGCCGACCTTCTGGTCGGCAAGTCCTAGGCTCTGTGGTTTAACCCACAGCGTGTCCCCTCTGTATATGCCTACTTGGCGCTTAATAAGAAAAAACCTCATACGCTCTTATAGGGGAGGCCCTTAGCTCAATGGAACAGCATCTGCTTTGCATGCAGAAGGTCACAGGTTCAATCCCCAACATCTCCAGTTAAGGCTGGGCGAGATCAGGGCCTCTGGAGAGCTGAAATATTGCCTGAAACACTGGAGAGCTTTTGCCAGACAACACTGAGCAAGGTGGACCCGTCATCTAACTCAGCGCAAGACAGCTTCCCATTTTCCTTCGCTTTCAGCCATCATTTCAGGATGAATGAATGTTTAGCCATAATTTCAGAATGAACGTTATTTCAGAAAAATAATTTAGAAAATGCATTTACATTCTTAGGCAGACCACAAGGATTACCCTATACACCAGTCTTCCCCAACCCGGTGCCCTTCAGATGGTTTGGACTATAGCTCTCATCAGTCCCAGCTAGCGTGGCGAATGGTCAGGGATGATGGAAGTTGTAGTCCAACGATATGGTAGGCCAAGGCTGCTCTACAACCTTGGTTACGCTTTCCATTTTAAGAGTTTATCAAGGCACTGCCACCTTCCTTACCCAGCGAGGAAACATTCCCATAATTCTCCAGCATGACCTCTCGGTACAAGGCCCTTTGGACCGGGTTCAGCAGAGCCGCCTGCTCTTCCGTGAAATATATGGCCACGTCTTCAAAGGTCAACGGGCCCTGCAAGAACAAAGCAAAATCTGAGGAACCCGAGGTGGCAGACACGCTTCCCCCGCTTCCCAATTCTTCCTCAAAACAACCCTGCGTGGTAGGTTAAATGGCTGAGACGCAAGGACTGGCACCAGGTCAGCCTGTGAGCTTCATGGCAACTTGAATTATTAAAGGTTCCCCCCCCCCCCCCCGAGAATCCGAGACCAGGAAGAAGAGTCGGTGGAAGAAGATTGGAAGAAATTTAAAGATTATTTACAGAAATATTGTAAAATTAATGTTAGAATGATGTTGGATAGAAATTAAGTGGTTTCCAGCTGTAATGCTTTAAGAGAATATGAAAAAAGGCTTATAAATGGGTAAAAGCTTAATGGCAAGGATTTGCTGAACTAATAAATCTAAGTGGAATACAAAAAAGGGAGGTATGAGGAGGTCCGGGGAAATAAGCTTAAGGAAAATAAGAAACGGAAAATTAATGTGTTTTAACTGTTTTTACTTTGTATTTTTCTTTTTCTTTTTCCATTTTTATTGTAATATGTTAAAAAATCTTAATAAATATCTTATAAAAAAAATGAATTATTAAAGGTAAAGGTACCCCTGACCGTTAGGTCCAGTCGCGGACGACTCTGGATTTGCGTGTTCATCTCGCTCTATAGGCCGAGGGAGCCGATGTACAGCTTCTGGGTCATGTGGCCAGCATGACTAAGCCACTTCTGGCAAACCAGAGCAGCGCACGGAAACGCCGTTTACTTTCCCGCCGGAGCGGTACCTATTTATCTACTTGCATTATGACGTGCTTTCGAACTGCTAGGTTGGCAGGAGCAGGGACTGAGCAACGGGAGCTCACCCCGTCGCGGGGATTCGAACCGCCGACCTTCTGATCGGCAAGCCCTAGGCTCTGTGGTTTAGACCACAGCGCCACCCGCGTCCCTGGAGACACTTATTTTCCTCACAGATCAGCGGTTCCCAGAGTTTCCTGGGGTTGCTGGTTAAACCAGTCTGGGAAGTGCTGCTCTGGGAAGAGAACTGGGGTTTCCTTGCAGCTGTCTGCGTCCTTAACAAAGTAGAGTTCCCAGGATCCTTTGGGGAAGGCATAACAGTTTAAAGTGGTATGATTCAGCTTTAAATGCATAGTGCAGACGGTGCCCAAATTACGTGTGGCACATTCTACACTTAAAGGTAAAGGTAAAGGGACCCATGACTGTTAGGTTCAGTCACAGACAACTCTGGGGTTGCGGCGCTCATCTCGCTTTACTGGCCGAGGGAACCGGAGTACAGCTTCCGGGTCATGTGGCCAGCAGAGCAGTGCACGGAAACGCCGTTTACCTTCCTGCCAGAGCGGTACCTATTTATCTACTTGCACTCTGACATGCTTTTGAACTGCTAGGTTGGCAGGAGCAAGGACTGAGCAACGGGAGCTCACCCTGTTGCGGGGATTCGAACCGCCAACCTTCTGATCAGCAAGCCCAAGGCTCTGTGGTTTAGACCCCAGCGCCACGCTTGCATTCTACGCTTAGCTGACCATAAAAGTACTTTGCTTAGAAGGCACCCCCTGTAATTTTATACGCCTTCCTCTCTTTCTTCCCTCCCCTCTTCTCTCTCCCAGCCTTTCCTGTTTTTGTTCAGCGCCAGCCCTACTGTCAAGCAGTGAGACAAGGTGCTTCAGTGGGCAGATGCCAAGGAGTCTTGGCAAGTCGTTGCAGGACAGAGCTGTGTGGCCCATTTAGCCTGCCCTGAACCATCCAAGCCCTTATTTTGCCCTCAGGAAAATACTGTCCCATCATCAATGTTGAAGTCAGTCTGTGTAAGCATCATACATTTAAAGGCGCACTGCTTCCCCACAAGAACCCTGGGAGTGGGGCTGGGCGATATCTGGTTTTCAACACACATCACCAGCTGAACTTCGTGATATACCAATATATCACGATGACAGGATGGAACTGTGAAGAGTCAAACGGTAGGGCTGGGCGATCATCTGGTTTCCAACATTGTGACATATCAGCAGCTAAACATGTGCGATATAATCCTATATCACGATATATAATGACATCTGAAGGCAGCCCTGTTTAGGGAAGCTTTAATGTTTAATAGGTTATTGTATTTTAGTGTTTTGTTGGAAGCCGCCCAGAGTGGCTGGGGAAACCCAGCCAGGTGGGCGGGGTATAAATAAATAAATTATTATTATTATTATTATTATTTCTGAAATAAGGATGGAGCTCTGCAGAGGCACTGGCCAGCTTCACGGTTTTCCCCATCCTCATCCAAAAATTTCCTACCTGAGCTGACTCCACCAGAGTATTTTCTCCTCTCCCTTCGGAAAAAGGGGGGGATCCAAGTTCAACTGAGGACGTCATTCGGTACTCTGAGGGATCTTAAAAAAAAAAAGATTTCTGTTATTTGCAGGTTAGGGGAACTGAGCTGCATTTTATGGATTAAGAATATGCAAGAATATGCCCCTTACTGGATCAGGCCATATCCTGTTCTCACAGCGGCTGACCTGGAAAACGCAATGGGAAGCCCACGAGCAGAACCTCAGTGCAACAGCCCTCTCTCCCTATTTGTGAAACCTGAATCTCTCAAAAAGTATTTTGCAAATTTCAAAGTGATATTTGATTTCGGGGCAGGGTGTGAGAGAGAATCAAAAGCCCAGTCCTCTACATTTTCATGAAAACAGTGAATTATGGATGTATTAAGTATGACTTAATCAGATGCCACATTTATAAATGGTTCTGTAAGAACTGTATATTACAGTCTATTACAGCAATATACAACCATACATTGGAATTGGAAATTGGAAAAAAAGAATTCATACTTTCTCGTGGCACCTTAAAAACAGCTGGGTTTACAAGCTTTAAACAAAACAGAGCCGAGCAGTTTTATCCTGTTTCCACTTACTGTTTTTATTTAATCCACTCCACTTGGTTTATTTAAACCAAGCAGCCCCCAACTCGGCCCTCCAGACGTTTTGGGACTACAACTCCCATTATCCCTAGCTAACAGGGCCAGTGGTCAGGGATGATGGGAACTGTAGTCCCAAAAACATCTGGAGGGCCAAGTTCGGGGATGCCTGATTTAAACCAAGGACTTGTACATTGACCACTAATAATGACTCATGTGTTGCAGATATTCTTGCAAATTTATCGTGCTATTTTTGCGATGTACAAATGACATTCAGAGACTTGGTCTTTTCAGTTATACCGTTTATTATTCTTATGATCCTTGTTTATAAAATCCAATAAAAAGTTTAAAAAAAAACACCAACCAGCTGGGTTTCTATGCCACCTCCAAATTTTGCGTGCACCTTGTTTTGCTGGAACATATTAAAACATCTCCCTCTTTTCCAAGTTAAGGCCCAGCCAGATACGGACGGAGGAATGTCCTGGCTTGCTTTTCTGCCTTTTAAAAGCAGGCTGGTCTTCAGATATCAGCAAGGGAAGCTTTCCACGCCGGGGAAATAAAACGCAGTCAACTTCCAGCAGCCCCAGCCTGCTGCTGCAGCAGGAGCACAGGAGCAGAGGCTGACCGAAGAAGCTGGCAACCTGGGACAAGAGCTTGCAATTCTCCTCGCCCCCCCCGTTCCTCCCCTTCCAGCTGCAACTCACCGGCGCCAGGACCCATCCAGAGCAGGCAGGACCCCCTTTGCATCTCCAGCGCTTCCCCACTACCTGCCTTTGTGCTCCGAAGCTGGGCAAAGGCAAGGGAGGCAGCCCGCCAGCAGGAAAGGCCAGGGCATGCTGGGAATTGTAGTCCCCGCGCCTCCCGGCCCCTTGGAAGGCAAGGGCTTCTGGGAATTGTAGTACGGCATGCGCATTGGTTTGGAATCAAAGCGCTATCTGATGATGATGATGATTATTAAACCAACAACTCTCTTTTTCCTTTTTGGGGAATTTTGCAAATGATTGCTTGTTCTGCAAGGAATTTTGCAAATGCTTGTTTGTTCTGCAATGTTTGTTGTGCGAGGAATTGATATCTTAGTGTGTCAGCACCCATTTATTTGAAACTCTTTGCTTGCATTATTAGTGGTGTCAGCTTTTTAAATATAGTTTTTGTTTAAGGTAAAGGCACCCCTGACCGTTAGGTCCAGTCATGGCCGACTCTGGGGTTGCGGCGCTCATCTCGCTTTATTGGCCAAGGGAGCCGGTGTACAGCTTCCGGGTCATGTGGCCAGCATGACTAAGCCGCTTCTGGCAAACCAGAGCAGTGCATGGAAACACCGTTTACCTTCCCGCCGGAGTGGTACCTATTTATCTACTTGCACTTTGACATGCTTTCGAACTGCTAGGTTGGCAGGAGCTGGGGCAGAGCAACGGGAGCTCACCCCGTTATGGGGATTCGAACCGCCGACCTTCTGATCGGCAGGCCCTAGGCTCTGTGGTTTAGACCACAGCGCCACCCGCATCCTAGTTTTTGTTTAGGCAAGCCTTAATCAGAAATGTAATTTCATTATGCCTTTTTGGTTCCGTTTAAAACAACAACAACCCTGTTTATCTGTTGTGATATTATTATTATTATTAATTTTTTATAATAATTCTTATTATAATCTTTTTTGTTTTACAATTTCAAATAAACATTTTGCAAACCTGGAAATATCCAATGACTTCCCTTCTTCTCTTTCGATGGTTCATTTTACATATCTTACATCCCTGCATATTTTACAATAATCATTCAAATCAATTTTCCACTATTATATCCATAAAGAATCATTTACTGTGTTGAATTTATCTTAATGCTGCTGTACACAACTATTTTCCATATACTCAATAAACATTTTCCAGTCTTCTTTATGAATGTATGTTCTTATTGCTCTCTTGTTCTATAGATAATATTATTATTCTTTTAAGTCTGTTGGGTTTTTTTTGCTTCTCTCTTACAGATATTTTATGTAAACTGCCTAGAGACTTTTTCTTTCTGTCAATTAAGCGGTATTTAAATTTTGTTGAACAACCTAGATAATAAAAATATATAATATGATGTGTGTAATGAGCTGATCTGGTTGCCTGGAGGCCATAAAGGGCCAACAAATTAAGAACCTATGGATGTTGTTGTCAGCATCTGTCTGTCTTGAGAGACAATGGAGTGTCTCTCCATTGTCTGCTGCTGTGATTGCAGTGTAATAAAAAAAGTAAGGTCTTATAAATATAATAAATGTTCATAAATGTACCAACCAGGCACATACATGGGTGTGTGGACCACATGTCTGGAGCAGCACGGGAGGACCGTCCTGAAACAATTTTGAGTCCCAAACTGACCAAATGTTTCCTCTGCAAGGAGGGAGGGGGTGAGGGAACCTTCCCATTGTCTCAGGAAATGGGTAATCACCATCTCAAAGGAATGGGCAAACTACCAGGAAAGGCAAACAGATAAGGCAATATCAGAAAACCTGGCAGACAGGAAAAACAACAACATTCAAATTTCTGTTGTAGACCACCTTTTCTGTGATGTAGGTATGATGTTTGTGGGGGGTGGTCTTGGGTTACACCCCTTCTGTGATGTATGTATGATGTATGGATGGGTGGTCTTGAGCTCCAGGGCAGGGAATTTAAAATGTCTATATAAGGGCAAGCACACCTTTGTTCTGGGTCCTCCTCCGTCCTCCTGTATGTGAGGGAAGCACCCTGTTGCAACAGCTTTAATAAAGATCAGGCTTACTAGCTGCTTTGCTTCTCAATATTCTCTGGTTGGCCTCTGTTATTTTCTCCTACCGATAGGGAACCCACATTTTTATTGTTTATGGGACACAACCTAGCCAAAATGAAGCATCTTAATTAAAATGTTATGAATACCACAACTTACTAGGCACGTCTGTGTTTGTGTGTAATCAAAAGCATGGGAAGCAATCAAGGAGCATTCGCTGCTACTTGAGAAAACATTCAGCAAATGCAAAGACCTGGGGACATTAATAATAATAATAATAATAATAATAATAATAATAATTTATTATTTGTACCCCGCCCATCTGGCTGGGTTTCCCCAGCCACTCTGGGCGGCTTCCAACAAAGATGAAAGATACATAAAATGTCACATATTAAAAACTTCCCTGAACAGGGCTGTCTTCAGATGTCTTCTGAATGTCAGGTAGATGTTTATCGCTTTGACATCTGATGGGAGGGCGTTCCACAGGGCGGGCACCACTACCGAGAAGGCCCTCTGCCTTGTTCCCTGTAACTTGGCCTCTCGCAGTGAGGGAACCGCCAGAAGGCCCTCGGAGCTGGACCTCAGTGTCCGGGCAGAACGATGGGGGAGGAGACGCTCCTTCAGATATACTGGACCGAGGCCGTTTAGGGCTTTAAAGGTCAGCACCAACACTTTGAATTGTGCTCAGAAACGTACTGGGAGCCAATGTAGGTCTTTCAAGTCCGGTGTTATATGGTCTCGGCGGCCGCTCCCAGTCACCAGTCTAGCTGCCGCATTCTGGATTAGTTGTAGTTTTCGGGTCACCTTCAAAGGTAGCCCCACGTAGAGCGCATTGCAGTAGTCCAAGCGGGAGATAACCAGAGCATGTACCACTCTGGCGAGACAGTCTGCAGGCAAATAGGGTCTTAGCCTGCGTACCAGGTGGAGCTGGTAAACAGCTGCCCTGGATACAGATTTGACCTGTGCCTCCATGGACAGCTGTGAGTCCAAAATGACTCCCAGGCTGCGCACCTGGTCCTTCAGGGGCACAGTTACCCCATTCAGGACCAGGGAATCCTCCACACCTGCCCGCCTCCTGTCCCCCCAAAACAGTACAGTGGTGCCTCGCAAGACGAAATTAATTCGTTCCGCAAGTTTTTTCTTCTTGCGAGTTTTTCGTCTTGCGATGCACGGTTTCCCATAGGAATGCATTGAAAATCAATTAATGCGTTCCTATGGAAACCGACTTCAGACCAGGTCCGGGGACAATCTGTCCCCCGACCTCTTCTGAAGGCTGGGGGGGGGCGAAAGTCTTTGCTCCCCCCCCCCACGGCAGCATTTTAAAATCGCCCCGGACAGCGGAGGACTTCTCCGCTGTCCGGGGCGATTTAAAAGCCCTCCCGGGAAGGCAGCCAGGGGGGACAAAGATTTTCGCCCCCCGGCCAGCCTTCCCCTCTTTTGAAGCAAGGGGCGGAGGGAAGAAGATCGCTTCTCCCCTTTGCTGCCCCTTGCTTCAAAAGGGGTCCGGGGAGAGAGAGGAAGGCGCACGCCTTTCCCTCTGTCCCCTCTTTTGAAGCAAGGGGCGGCAACGGGAAGATCGCTTCTCCCCTTTGCCGCCCCTTGCTTCAAAAGGGGTCCGGGGGAGAGAGAGGAAGGCGCGCGCCTTTCCCTCTGTCCCCTCTTTTGAAGCAAGGGGCGGCAACGGGGAGAAGATCGCTTCTCCCCTTTGCCGCCCCTTGCTTCAAAAGAGGTCCGGGGAGAAAGGGGAAGACGCCAGCATTTTAAAAAACCTCGGGACAGCGGGGGACTTCTCCGCTGTCCGGGGCTACTCGAACCTGCTGGCGGGCGGCAGCAAAGCCTTCGCTGCCGCCCGCCAGCATTTTAAAAAACCTTGGGACAAAGGAGAAGTCCCCCGCTGTCCCGGGGTTTTTTTAAATGCTGCTGGGCGGCAGCGCTGCCGCCCGGCAGCATTTTAAAATCGCCCCGGACAGCGGAGAAGTCCTCCGCTGTCCCGGGGTTTTTAAAAAACCTCTCCGCCCCCCGCCAGGCTTCGGAGCAGCCTTCCAAAGCCTGGCGGCGGGAGGAGGTCCGAGGACAGTGGGCAAGACGCCCTGTCCCGGAGATTTCCCTATGGGCTTTCGTCTTGCGAAGGAAGCCCATAGGGAAATTCGTTTTGCGAAGCGTCTCCAAAACGGAAAACCCTTTCGTCTAGCGGGTTTTCCGTCTTGCGAGGCGTTCGTCTTGCGGGGTACCACTGTACTTCTGTCTTGTCAGGATTCAACCTCAATCTGTTAGCCGCCATCCATCCTCCAACCGCTTCCAGACACTCACACAGGACCTTCACCACCTTCACTGGTTCTGATTTAAAGGAGAGGTAGAGCTGGGTATCATCCGCATACTGATGAACACCCAGCCCAAACCTCCTGATGATCTCTCCCAGTGGCTGCATGTAAATGTTGAAAAGCATGGGGGAGAGGACAGAACCCTGAGGCACCCCACAAGTGAGAGCCCAGGGGTCTGAACACTTATCCCCCACCACCACTTTCTGAACACGGCCCAGGAGGAAGGAGCGGAACCACTGTATGACAGTGCCCCCAGCTCCCAGCCCCTCAAGACGGTCCAGAAGGATGTTATGGTCGATGGTATCAAACGCCGCTGAGAGATCCAGCAGAACTAGGAAACAGCATCTCTCCTTTGTCCCTAGCCCGCCGGAGATCATCAACCAGTACGACCAAGGCAGTTTCAGTCCCATGATGAGGCCTGAATCCCGACTGGAAGGGATCCAAATGGTCCGCTTCTTCCAGGCGTGCCTGGAGTTGTTCAGCAACCACTCGCTCAATTACCTTGCCCAAGAATGGAAGATTTGAGACTGGGCGATAATTGGCCACCGTGGCCGCATCTAAAGATGTTTTTTTAAGAAGTGGTTTAATAACCGCCTCTTTCAGCGGGTCTGGGAAGGCTCCCTCACGGAGGGAAGCATTCACCACCCCACGAAGCCCATCGCCCAGTCCTTCCCGGCTAGCTTTTATAAGCCAGGATGGGCAAGGATCCAGGAGACAGGTGGTTGGCTTCACTCATCCAAGCAGCCTGTCCACATCCTCGGAGGTAACAGATTGGAATTGATCCCACACAACTTGACTAGACAGGACGCTAGCACTCTCCCGCCCTGGCCCTGCTCCCACGGTGGAGTCTACTTCTTCCCGAATCTGAGCGATTTTATCTGCAAAAAACTTTGCAAAATCATTGCAGGAGATCATGTGGCCTGTACTGGGCCCCGATGTCGCAGGTGGTTCCGCTAAATTGTGAACCACCTGAAAAAGTCTCCTGCTGCTGTTTTCTGCAGATGCAATAGAGGCAGCGAAGAAAGTCTTCTTCGCCGTCGCTATCGCCACTTGGTAGGCTCGACGTTGAGCTCTAACCTGTGTCCGGTAAGATTCGGAATGAGTTATCGGCCACCGGCGCTCTAGCCGTCTCAACGATTGTTTCATTGCCCTCAGATCCGTGGAAAACCACGGGGCTGTCCAGGCTCCATGCAATCGGAGAGGGCGCTTCGGAGCCAAACAGTCAATAGCCCTGGTTAACTCCACATTCCAGCGGGCCACCAGGGAATCGGCTGAAAGGCCATCAACATGGGATAAAGCATCCCCTACCACTCTCTGGAAACCATTTGGATCCATTAAGTGGCGGGGGCGGACCATCCGAATTGGTCCCACCTCCCTGCAGAGGGGATGGGTCGCAGAGAAGTCCAGTTGCACCAGGAAGTGACCTGACTATGGCACTTCTTTCGTTTCGCTTTTACTTAGTGTCAGATCACCAACATCCATAGAGGTAAACACCAGGTCCAAGGCATGTCCACGGCTATGGGTTGGGCCAGACTTATTCAGGGACAGCCCCATGGAGGCCATGCTTTCCACGAAGTCCTGAGCGGCCCCTTGTAACGTCGTGTCGGCATGGATGTTAAAATCCCCTAGGACAACCAAGCTAGGTGTCTCCAGGAGAACATCCGCCACAACCTGAAGCAGCTCGGGCAGGGAATCCTTGGTGCAGCGGGGAGGTCGGTACACCAGTAGGAATCCTGTACTGCCCCTATTGCGCAACTTCCAGAACATGCACTCGGAAAACTGGGTCTTCCCAATAGGATGCCTGGTGCAAACTAATGACTTCCTAAAAATCACTGCAACCCCCCCCCGCCCACATGACCTGGGTTGCTGTGCGTAAGAGAAACCTGGTGGACAAGCAGCGGCAAGGATAGGCCCATCTGCTTCATCCAACCAAGTCTCTGTTACACATGCCAGGTCCAGTCCTCCATCCATGATCAAGTCATGGATGGCAGTGGTCTTATGAATCATTGACCTGGCATTGCACAGCAACACTTTCAGGTCATGTGGGTATCCCTTGCTGATTCTAGTATCCATCCGGTCAGGATCAGACCCGGAGGCAGGGATAGTCCTCAGACAACGACTAAACCTGCCTCCTCTGTAATGACGTGGTCTGGTCTTAGCGTAACTCCTCCTCCTACCCGTGATCACCGAGATCGGTTGTCCCAGTGCATCCCCCCCCTGTGGAACATGCCCCAGCCATTTTGTTGGCTGGGACCTACTCCCCAGCAGCCCTGACCCCTCCCCTTAAGAACAAAATAACACCTCAAAAAACAACAACAAATAAAACAATACAAACAAAAAACAATAAAAATTACAAAAACATAAAATCAAACAAATTCCCAGGCCCAATAAACATCCATCCCACCCCCACCCCCCCACATACAAAAAATTCAAAAGAAATTTTTAAAAACATTTTAAAAGCACTCTGCACCCCTCCAGCAGTAACAGCAACTGTCCTAGTGAGGCCCGTCAGGCCCTGCCCTGGGCCAGATGGTAAGTGGCAGTAAGGAGCAGGGCCCCCAGACACTCACACAGGAGAGTCCTCCAGGGCAGCAGAGCGCAGCAGTCCCTGTGAGGCTTCAGGCCCTGCCCTGGGCCAGGTAGGTGGTAAGCGGCAAGAGCAGGGCCCTCAGACACCCACACAGGAGAGTCCTCCTGGGCAGCACAGCGCAGCAGTCCTTATGAGGCTTCAGGCCCCGCACTGGGCCAGGTGGTAAGTGGCAGGAAGGAGCAGGGCCCTCAGACACTCACACAGGAGAGTCCTCCTGGGCAGCAGAACGCAGCAGTCCCTGTGAGGCTTCAGGCCCCGCACTGGGCCAGGTGGTAAGTGGCAGGAAGGAGCAGGGCCCTCAGACACTCACACAGGAGAGTCCTCCTGGGCAGCAGAGCGCAGCAGTCCTTATGAGGCTTCAGGCCCCACCTCGGGCCAGGTAGGTGGTAAGCGGCAAGAGCAGGGCCCTCAGACACCCACACAGGAGAGTCCTCCTGGGCAGCAGAGCGCAGCAGTCCCTGTGAGGCTTCAGGCCCTGCCCTGGGCCAGGTAGGTGGTAAGCGGCAAGAGCAGGGCCCTCAGACACCCACACAGGAGAGTCCTCCTGGGCAGCAGAGCGCAGCAGTCCCTGTGAGGCTTCAGGCCCTGCCCTGGGCCAGGTAGGTGGTAAGCGGCAAGAGCGGGGCCCTCAGACACCCACACAGGAGAGTCCTCCTGGGCAGCAGAGCACAGCAGTCCTTATGAGGCTTCAGGCCCCGCACTGGGCCAGGTGGTAAGTGGCAGGAAGGAGCAGGGCCCTCAGACACCCACACAGGAGAGTCCTCCTGGGCAGCAGAGCGCAGCAGGAGAAAGAAAAAGATCACGTGGTTACTGAGATTTTGAGTCATTTCCAGGAAGGGAAACTCCCAGTAGCTGAAAACTGAGAAAACGAAACTTAACTCTGGTCTTCAGAGCGAAGGAGCCATGGCTGCTGCAGGGGGTCACATCCAGCGTCTCCACGATGAAGCCACTTGCTCCATCTGCCTGGAATATTTTAAGGATCCAGTGATCATCCCAGAGTGTGGGCACAACTTCTGCCAATCCTGCCTGATCCACTGCTGGGGGAAATCGGAGGCAAAGGCTTCCTGCCCTCAGTGCAGAAAAAGAGTCCAGAGAAGGAGCCTCATCCCCAACAGGCAACTGGCTAATGTGGCAGAAATAGCCCAGAATCTCAGCCTTCAAGAGGGAAAGGAGGAAGGAGGGAAAGGAGGAGTCTGTGAGAAGCACCAGGAGCCCCTGAAACTCTTTTGCAAAGTCCACGAAGCCCCCATCTGCCTGGTGTGTGACAGATCAAAGAAGCACAAACACCACAAGATGATTCCTCTGAAGGAGGCTTTCCAGGAGTACAAGGTAGGAGATCCCTGGATCTTGAGGGGAGAAATAGCTGTGGATTCTTCTTGGGAGGTTTTCTTTTTAATTCTCAGGTCCCAAGTAGGCATGGCATGAATTGGTGGTGGTTTATGTTAGGAGTCATTCTGCAAAGAAACAGAAAAGATGATTGCTCCTCCAGACTAGTTACAGTGGTACCTTGGGTTAAGAACTTAATTTGTTCCGGAGGTCTGTTCTTAACCTGCTGGCGCGCGATTTAAGAACTTTAAGAACTTTAAGAACTTTTTCTGCGAGTTCTGGCTGTGGTTTTCTAGGCTGAAGATGATGATGATGATGGTGATGACTATAAAAGGGGAGAAGTTGCAGTTTGAATTTGCCTGCAGAGAGAGAACACCCACGTCCTTTGTGTTTTTGTATAGCTGTAATAAAACCTTTATTTGAGTGTTTTACACTCGGTCTCGTGGTTCTGTCGTCTGCCACCAGAAGAAAAACCGCCTCTAACAGTTTATTATGTAAAAAGCAGCCAAGAGGGAGCCTGAGGGCTCCTGGAGGAGGGAGCTGAAGTCTTTCTCTCTGCCAGGGAGACAAAGGGATCTTCCCTTGAAATACTCACAGCAGCTTGAAAGATTTGAACTGGAACCATGGTAGGAAGAGAAAGGGTTAACCTCATCCACATCTCCCAGCAAGGTTGCTTTGTAGATATGAAGAACACTGCAAATGGAAATTGCACATACACAACAAAGTACATGTCTCCTTTGGCTAGCAGGATCCCTCCTCAATGCCCTGCAAAGCAGATAGTAGCAAGGGATCAGCTGGGGGGGGGGGCGGTGGCCAGGAATTGACCAGATGGTGCAGGATCCTCCCCCCAAGTATCTGCTGGAAGCAGATTTAGGTGTGTGTGTGTGTGTGTGTGTGTGTGTGTGTGTGGAAACACCTACTGGTGGGGAGCACGCTTATTCTGGGGGTGCTGTGGGGCCTATGCAATGAGGTAACAGCCGGGGCGGGGGGGCTGAGGATCTCCTCCCTTCCCAAATGGCAAAGGACTCAGTGGTTCAGAGTAGCATCTGCAAAGACTAGGGGGAAAGATGACTTTGCCATGACAACTCAGAATTGGACCTGTGCTATTATACTGTATATAAAAAATAAAATCCTCATTCTGGATCCTGCCTTAGCCCTTCCTCCTCCTCTTCCTCCTCCTCCTCCTCTTCCCACTTCTCCCTGGGACCTCAAGATGAGAAGTCAGGCTTGAACTCTCCTCAGAGAAGTTCAAAGGAGCAAGCATGGCTGCCTCTGCTCTTCTCCAGACTAGTTACAGTGGTACCTTGGGTTAAGAACTTAATTTGTTCCGGAGGTCTGTTCTTAACCTGCTGGCGCGCGATTTCCGTTCTCATCCTGAGGTACTACCAGATTTTTTGCTCCATAGGGCGCACTGGACCATAGGGCGCACCCAGTTTGTAGGGGGGGAAATCAAGAAAAATAATATTATTTTCCCCCCCAGCCCCAAAGAGCAGCGTACAGGATGCGCGCAACCTCTCCCTGCTGGAGGGGTTGCGTGTGGCTATGGCACAAGCCAAGGCAGCCAGCGGGATCCATCCTGCTGGCTGTTTTGGATTCCTCTTTAGCCCCACACAACCTCTCCCTGCCGGAGGGGCTGCGCGTGGCTATCCCTGAAGCCTGGAAAGCGAGAGGGGTTGGTGTGCACCAACGCCTCTCGCTCTCCAGGCTTCAGCGAAAGCAACGCAAAGCCTTTGGAACATGGAGGGAGCGCTCCCTCTGCACTTCAGAGGCTTAGCGATGCTATCGCTGAAGCCAAGGAGCCTGCATTTGCTCCATAGGATGCACACACATTTCCCCTCAATTTTTGGAGGGAGGAAAGTGCGTCCTATAGAGCGAAAAATAAGGTACTTTCGGGTTAGCGGAGTTTGTAACCTGAAGTGTTTGCAACCTGAGGTACCACTGTAGTTGCATTAGAAAACTTTCCCATCCCAGTTCCGCAGTGGTTTTCAGCCAGTGTGCTGTGGCACCTGGAGTGCCCTGAATGATGCTCAGGGATGCTGCTGGCAACACTGGCCTCTGTCCCTCTTTCCTTCCCTCCCTCCTCGGATGCCATAGCTGCCTCCCAAAGGCTTGTGCAGCTCTTTGTTGCAGCAGCCCTGGCTACAAGCCGCGCTGGCGAATGGTGCCTCTGGGGCTGGCCAGGGGGTGTGGGCTGCCAGGAGCTGAGGCGGCCTCGGAGGAAGCAAGCAAACTGGCGAGGGACCCTTGCTGTTGGGAAGGGACAGACAAGTCCCAGGCCCCTGTGGGGCAGCTTGAGAAGGCACCTCTTTTTGGGGCTCAGAGACCCAGAGGAGGACTCCTAAGGAGAGGGGAGAGGAGGCTGAGAGAGCTCTCCACAAGGGAGGGTGTTAGAGAAAGGGTGAGGGGCTGCAAGCTCCGCAAGCAAGGGGGGACCTAACTGGGATCCTGAGCCCCACAGGGACACCGCAGAAAGAAGGCAGTTGGTCCAGGGAGCCTTAGACCCAAAAAGGTTGTACCTTTATTTCCTCTAGTAAACTACAGTACTTCACTATTATAGCAAGGCCACTGGACCCAAGAAGCCTGTAGAATATTCATCTCCTCTCTCTGTGTCTCAAGCAAACCTAAGTTTCCCTTTTTCTTTTCAGGGAGAGATCTGTCACCGCTTGGAGATTCTGAGGAAAGAGAGAGAGGAAATTCTGGCCCATCAAGCAGCCCTGGACAAGGAAAGCAAAGACCTCCTGGTAAGTGCCACTCTTATTACTACTATTGAGGAAACAAGCACTTGAAGAGTCGAGTCAGGACTGAGGAGGGATGGGGAAATCTGCCCATTTCAACTTCTCCCCATTCTCCTTTTCCATATCAGTTTGTTTGTTTATTTATTATTATGAAAATGAAAAAAATGCTAAGGTGGGTACATTCTTGTATAAATATTTTGATACGTACGTTATCCTCATAAATACATTTTTGTGAACATTACCTGGCTGAGTCAAAATAGCTAGGAAAAATGCTCCTTGCTTTAGGCTGTAGCTCTCTGCGAAATAGAAGTCAACAGAAAATTCAGTGGAGAGGGCCTCACCTCAAATTAAAGGTTTACTTCTTTAGTAACTGGAGGTTTCATGTCTCTGAAAAATCGGAAGTGTCCTCCCTGTGAAATTCCCATCATGCTCTTCCTGATGTTTTGAAGGCTGAACACCTTCCACACTCAGACCTCCTCTTTTCTTGCAGAAATTAACAGAAACGGAGAGGCTGAAGACTGTGGAGAAGTTCAGAGAACTGCGCCAGTTCCTGGAAGAACAAGAAAAACGTCTGCTGACTCATGTGGAAAAGGTGGAGAAGGAGATTGCAGGGAGAAGGGATGAGCAGTTGGCCAGACTCTCCAGGAAACTCTCCTCTCTTGAGAGGATCATCCAGGAGATGGAGGAGAAGAGTCAGCAGCCAGCGAGTGAACTCCTGCAGGTAAGATGGTGGCAGGAACAACCAGAGGATCCAGGAAAAGGCTGCCTCCAATCCTTCATGTGCCCCTTTCATATATGCAAAGAGTGCAGGGGATGAGTTGATGGAGCCTCTAGTCAGGTTTGTAATGGACAGGAACACCTGAGAGACCTGGGATGCTTAACTCACCTGAATGCAGACTAGAGATTCGTCTGTGTTCTTGATGGAACAGGAGCTGATCTTCTGCTCTTTGCTGATGCTTTGTCTCCGAACGCCTTTTAGCTGTGGGGGGCTTCATCTAGGATGCGTTCAGGCCTCCTTCCGACATGAGCCAGTCTCTTGACCAAGCTTCTCTTCCCGTTTCCTCCACAACTTCTGGGTTGATCCCCTTCCACATGGATACAGATCAGCCCAAAATGGTGCTCAGTCCCAGTGACCAAAGAGCAAGACAGGGGGACTCATCCAGACTGCTGCTTGTCCCACCCCTTTCCTCCAGGAAAACCCACTGTTTACTGCTGAATTAGAGCAAACACCAGCCAGGTTTTCTCCAGACTGACGTTTGCTTTGAAGTTGCACTAAGGAGCAGGTTTTTCCTGAGGGAAAGAGGCAGGGCAAAGGAAAACCACTTGGACCCGTGTTCTCTATGCACAGGAAAAGCAGAAGTGTGGGTGAGCCCAAAGAAACACTGACCTATTCTATTACCCCCTGGGAGGCATTTTATGCTGCAGGTGCTTTTTAAATTTCCAGGTGGAAAATAGCATTCGAAATTTGGGGACTTCTATGGAAGACAATTTGGGACAGTGCCCTGGTAGGATTATCCTGTAGGCTTACTTACGTCTGAATTGCACAATGCAAACTGGATTAAAGTTATTAAATTATAATCTAAGACTAGAGATGGTGTGAATTGTCTCTTGAACCCACAAATGTGAAATTTCCCTAAAATGCTGGTGGGTTTTCATAAGGATTTTAAACAAAAACGGCAAACTGATGTCGAAATGTGGAGATCTTGAAATCAGAACAGTTAATAATTTCACACTGGGAAAATAAAAGCTGTGAGAAACCAAAACCAGCTGATTCTGCCATCCCTCCCCAAAACCTTGGCATGTGCCAGGCAGACTGACACCCGAGGGCCAGAGGGGGTCTTTCTAGTGTGGCCTGTGGTGTGCAGTGAATTCCCTTCTCTTTTTCCCTCTAGGATGTGAGAAGGACCTTGCAGAGGTGAGTGGATCTGGCTCATTTCCATTAGCATCACTCTTTGAAGCTGAGATGCAAGAACCTCAGACATGGCCCTCCAGGGGCTGCAGGGGGGAGACTGTGGGACTCACTCCTTGCAGCACCTCACAGGTAAAAGTAGAGCCCCCTCTTCTGAACTTGTGGCCCCCCAATTCTCCCTCCAAGGTTCAAGGTCAACTGCCTCCTCCCTCCCTCCTCACATCCCTTCACAAAGCGGTGGGGGCTCTTTTCTTTCTCTTGCACTTTCTGTTCATGGACTTTGTGGTAATTTCAAACATCTGGAAGAGAAAGTGCCAAAGATGCTTGGGAAGAGCTTAGGACATATTTCAATGTCCAACTAGAAGCCCCTCAACTCTGTTAACTCATCCCCTTTGAGGCACTGAGGCAGGGAAGGTCTGTTGGTCTAGAATGGGTGGGTTCTTTTTCTTGGGAGCGTTTCCAGCGTGAGAGGCTGAAGGTGGTCTTGAGTGGGGGGTGAAAGTCTAGTTGTTTCCTGCCTCTGGAGGGAGAATCCCATGGGGCATGGGGTTGTGCCCTTCCTGGGTGGGAGAGGGGGTGAAGGGAGGGTGGAGGTTGTTTTCCTTGACCACTGGGCAGCTTTGGACATCACTCACATCCTCTGGAGAAGCTCAGGGAGGGAGGGGTTGCAGGCATTCCACCTCAGGCGTTTGGTTCTTAAGTCCTGGGACCTTCCCAGAAAGTTGTTAGGGGGCAGCACTGTTTGAAGCCATGGGAACCCTCCGGTGGTGTCGCTTGGGGTTACATCTTGTCCCCTGTACTGTTGAGCATCCTTACATAGCCACAGATAGCTGTCCTCAGGGGTTTTGGACTGAGGTCTCATCTGTGGTAGAAATAAACCTGTTGGGAAATAAACTTCCACTTTGTTCATGTTATTGAAATCTCCTGCAATAATTAGGGAGATGGGGCCACAATGGGGCCATTCCTTGTTTTTCTTTTCACCAGGTATGAGGAAAGAGAGAGTCCAGAGAAGCCACTGCCTTTCCCTCCAGAGCTGAGGAACAGGATCTTGGAATCCTGTGATCTAAATCACCTTGTGGAGAATACAATGAAACAATGGAAAGGTAATGAATAATGGTTGCCAGGATTTCACACTGGGAATTCTATTACTTCTTCAGAACTGGACATGCCAGGCTCTTATTGCATGGAATTGAGTAACCCCAGGATACCTTCCTTCTTGGTGCTCTAGCCTTCATTTCCTGTCTCCCAGAATGGCCCATGTATATTGTGAGGCTGGATCCTGTAAAGAAAGCCTGAACCAGAGTGTAGAGCAAAGTCATGTTTTTTTCCTCCCATGTGCATCTGTTTACAGTTATACGAAACCTCCTTTTCCTTGTGGTTCCCTGTCTGCACAATCTGGGGTTGTCCTTTTGGAGGTTCTCCTGCTCTGAATGGAGTCACAGGGCATTAAGAAGCCCCCAGTTCCCCCTCTGCCTCCTGCTCAGGCTTCTTTCTCAGCCGTGGAGCCAAGGCCTGAGCCGTCTCCTCCTCAGACGTCCCCCTGCAGCTGCCATATCTAGGGCTTCAGCCTTCAAGATCTCCTGAGAGTTCCCCCATTGAGAGTGGAAGCAAGAGCACATGGGCCCCAAAGGGCACAATTATGCTTGTGAAGAACCTTAAAGATTTGTAGAAGGTTTGTGAGGAAGGGCTTCCTTTTGCCTGAGAGCTCTGCCAATCCTTCCTCATCAAACTTCACTTCTCCTTATGTTTCACAATTTTGGCTTTAATGATTCCCCCCACCACTTTACTTGGGGAAGATGTTAAGGCTGCCTCCATCTCCCCTCTGCATCCTTTTACGGGATTCCTATTGCTCTGCCTCCCCTCCAGTCCTCCAATGTAGAGCCCAATTTAGGGACAAAGTTCAGAGACCAGCAGGATTCATGCTGAATGTTTTTATTCTGCTATTTGTAAGCTTGCTTTCTGATTGCTTTGTTTTAAAGCTTTAGTTATTTTCATAGATTCTTCCTATGATTTTCTTGTTTTTAATTATTTTTCTACTATTTAATAATAATACTAGAATTTAAGGATGCTACATTATGAAGTGTTACTTTTGTACGGAGATTTATTTCAGGTGGAAGAGTGTTGTCCTTACACTTTATATCTTTTTGCTTCCTCAGATGCTCTGCTATTCAGTGAACAGATTCAGAAAGGTAAATTTCCAGGGGAGGAACAATTTGACAGGAGGGATGGGGACTGATATTTCATGGGTGTTGAACCGTCTGTTCTGCAGACTTTGGGACACCCTTCAATGGCGTCACTCTGGGAAACAGTCCTCTACTGGCGTTTGGGTTCTTTCCATGTCCCATGAATGAACTGGGAGAGGGTTTGAAGGCTTGGACTGGGGGCAGAGCTTGGCCCTGCGAAGAACCTGCACACCAGTCTGAGTTCCATTTCTGCCTATAGACCAGTGGTGGCAAACCTTTTATGGACCCAGTGCCCAAACTGCAACCCAAAACCCACTTATTTATCACTAAGTGTCAACACAGCAATTTAACCTGAATACTGAGGTTTTAATTTAGAAAAAATAACTCATACATTAACAGCTTTGATCTTAAAAGAAATTCACAATAATATAGCTTCAGAAAAGAAACAACTTTTTATTGAAAGGTAAAAGTTTGTATTTGGCAAGCTTTTGAACAATTAATGTGATTTTTGCTGTTGTATGCATGTTGATAATTTATCTAACCTTGGCTCATACTTTGTAAGTTTGAGAGCAACAGATGCAGCACTCAAGTCATCTGTTAGTCTGTTTCTGGTGTCAGATTTTATGTAATTCAAAGCTGAAAACAGCTGCTCACAAGCATAAGATGATCCAAACAAAGTAAGGAAAGCAATCCCAAGTACTTTCATTGATTTAAAATTATTTGGCAAATAATTCCACACTTTAAGAATTTCATTTTCAGAACTATCTGTGCTGTCTTTTGTCATTCTTTCTGTCTTCTCAAGTGTTTCACGCAGGTCACAAAATTTATTTTTCCGGACAGACTATTATCCTGGTTTCCCCCTCAATTTTATAGATTTTGCTTTTTTTCATAAAATTTATATACTGTTTGATTGTGGGGAAAAGCACAGAGCATTAGACTCAGATCTGAGGCACCTGGCTAAACTAATCTGCAGCAGAGAATCGCAACAGAGCAGCATCTTAAGCTAGCCACATCCTGCATAAAACCCTTCTCTTGTGGCTGAACTACAAGGACGCTGGCTCAGCTACAAGATCTTGACAAAGGAGTCCGGGAGGGCAAGAGTTAACATCCCCCTGCCCTTAAGGAGAGTCCATGTGTGCATGTTTAACAGTTTAATAAATTGTTCTGTGCACAAAGATGTGAACATGAGCCCAAATACTGTCATGTGGCAAGCAAGGGAGCAATATGTATTATTGTTATTTTGTTGTTGAAAATTTAGAAGATTGCTACTAGCAATCCATCACAGCTTCGAAAGCCTACATAGAGTATTTCAAATGAGAGTTGTCAGTGATCCATGGTTAAAAGAAGAAGTTGGCAAATGTGTCCTCTTTTGTGCTCTTCAAAATAACCCTACACTTGCCTATCACGACTGTCTTAGCCCCTAACTTTTGAGTTATTCCCCCTTCCCTCAGGGAACACGTCTTATGGTTTATATTAAATCCAAAAGAGAAGCATGGAATAAGGAGTCCTTTGTAAAATTGCCCTGCCACCTGCCTCCTCTTCCTTGGTGGCAAGGCCTAAACTTACATATGGCAGGGAGGAAGGCAAGGAATAAACAGGCTCTCCACTTAACACGATTTTCACTTGTGCGCACGAGGGCCCATAACGTGGCTCCCCGCAAGGGGAGGCCTATATGTGTTTTTATGTTGTATTTTTATGCTGTGAACCACCCTGACCTATGGATGAAGGGCAGTATGCAAATGTGATTATTATTATTATTATTATTATTATTATTACAGTGGTGCCTTGCAAGACAAAAAGAATCCGTTCCGCAATTCTTTTCTTCTAGCGGTTTTTTCGTCTTGCGAAGCAACCCCATTGGCGGCTTAGCGGGCTTAGCAGCTAAGCTGTTAAAAGGATATTAACAGCTTAGCCGCTTTGAAAAGGGGGGGGGGAGCGGGGAAAAAATGGCGAGACTCGCAAGACGTTTTCGTCTTGTGAAGCAAGCCCATAGGGAACTTCGTCTTGCGAAGTGCCTCCATGACGGAAAACCCTTTCGTCTAGTGGGTTTTCCATCTTGCGAGGCATTCGTCTTGCAGGGCACCACTGTATTATTTATTACAGGGGGGTCCTCATCTCCCAGCCCAACCCAGAGGTCCCCGAAGGCCAATTCCCACAGAGATTGTCAGAGGAAAGCAGCTTCTCTCCTCTCCTGCCTCCTCCAATTCTCCTCTCTTTCTCCTTAGATAACACAGAAGAGATGAGTAAAAGGGTTCCTGGGTGGTTTTTCCTCTTAGAAAATGCCTGGGATGAGAGGAGGGCAGGCACCATACACATCGGATATAAGAAAGTGAAGGGAACTGATTTAAAATCAAACAAGGAAGATATTTATTCTGTTGAAAGTCTGCAAGGAGTCTCACTCTTGCATGTGATCCAAAGAAATCCCATTCATCTGAAAGGGAATCTGGGTTTTTCCGGGTTATTATTATTATCAGGATGTCCGTTTCTGTCTCTCAGCTGACTCTGCATATTCTTCTCTTTCCCTCATCTTCTTCCCAACAGCAAATGTCACTCTGGATCCAGACACAGCCCATCCCAAACTCATCCTGTCCGAGGATCGGAAAAGCGTGACATTGGGAGACAAACCTCAAGCCCTGCCTGATAATCCTGAGAGATTCAGTGACTGGCCTTGTGTGTTGGGACGTGAGGGATTCACAGCAGGCAGCCATTTCTGGGAAGTCACTGTGGGAAGTGGGGAAGATTGGGTTTTGGGGGTCGCCAGGAAGTCTGTGGAGAGAAAGGGTTACTTCTCCTTTAGACCTGAGTGGGGGATCTGGGCTGTGGAGAAGTGGGAAAGCGAGTACTTTGCCTGCACCTCCCCTGATGACACTCCTCTGTCCCTGTTTTGGGAGCCCAGGAGGATCCGGGTGACTCTGGACTATGAAGGGGGACGTGTGTCTTTTTCTGACGCTGACTCAGGAGCCGAACTCTACACATTCTCAGGAGCCTCGTTCTCTGGAGAGACCCTCCTCCCTTTCTTTGATCTGGAGGGAAATTATAAAACCCAGCTCAGTATCTCCTGAGAGGACTAAATCTGCCTCTCAGGCCCAGCAGGAGTCAGACCAGAGTGACTGACGTAAAAACCATTCACCCGCCAAAAGCCAAAAGCACGTTGGGCAGTTTCCGAAGGGCCCTTTGAGAGGATTCATTCCAGTCAAAATCAGCAGAAATAACAGAACAAAAATGGGTTGCTCTTCCTTTGCATTTTCTTTCCTTTCCCCAAAATTCCCTCTGCAGCTTACTTCTTAAAGAGACAGTCACACGTTTAGAAGTCCGAATAAATTTTCTCACCTTCAATCTTCTTTTCCTTTTCAAATGTCTGATTTGGCAGAGGATGAGACTCTTAATCTCAGGGTTATGGGTCTGAGCCGCACGTTGGGCAAATGCTTCCTGCACTGCAGGGGGTGGGACTAGAGGACCTTCAGAGTCCCTCACATTTCTGCAATTCTAGGAAACCTTCCTCTCCCCACAAGACCTCATGCAGCTGTGAAAATGCATGCATCATTGGATTAATAGAGGACAAAAAAATGAACCCCTTCACCCACATCGGGCAGCATACCTCCTTGCTCTGGAGACCTCAGATGGGAAGAAAATCTAAAAGAAATTGAACAAGGCGTCGGCTTCAAATATCCTCTGCAAATACAGCCTCACCTTCTTTGTCAGAAATAAACCCCATTGCCTTGAGTGGGGCTTCTGCCCTGTTAAAATTTGTGTTTAGGGTTGATGCGTTGACGTTCCTTATTTACAAGCTGGATTCTGTACTGTATATTGGGGGCATCAAATGGGGTGTCCTCTGGATAGAGCTGGACTCTTAATCGAAGGGTCACCAGCTTGAGGATCACATTGAAAATAGCATGCGGGCAGAATTTCATGTCTGTTGAAAATAGCGTCTGGGCAGAATTTTCAAAAATTGGTTAAAATGTCTGGAAAAATCCGGACATATGGCAGCTCAAATCAACAGTGTTGTGGTTTTTTGGGCAAATTTCCTAAAAAAATAGCTTTAAAACACTCTCTTTTTTTGCAGGGAGATCTTGCTCAACAACATCTGTGTCTAGTAGAGTTGAGCCAAACATCCCCCACTCAGGTTCTGCTGTCCCAGAGAACGCCATTTAAAGATGGACGCCCAAGACCCCCCACACGCTCCCACTCCTGATATTGCAATGCCAAGCCTTGCAAAATCACAGCCCCCAGTCCCATCCCTAAGCAGATGCTGACAGACAGTGTAATGTAGTGGTTAGAGTGTGGGACCAGGACCCGGGAGGCCAGGGTTCAAATCCCCACTCGGGCATGAAGCTCACTGGTGACCTTGAGCCAGTCATGGGCTCTCCGCCTAGCCCACCTCACAGGGTGGTTGTTCTGGGGTTATAAGAGGAAGGGGAGAACCTGGAGCTGCTTGGCATAAAGGTGGGATATAAAGCACTCCATTGTGGGCCCAATTTTATGGAACTCCCTTCCAGGTTGTGGTCAGACAGGCCCTTCTCCCTGTTGAGCCTACTGAAGACATCATAATCATCATCATCCTAGCAGGCTTATTTTATATTTTCCACTCCATTCCAAAGTACGGAAAACTTTGTGCACTGCTTAGAGACAATGGCAATCAAGCTGTATAGAAATGGCTGAGACAAATTCAACGGGGCTGGGAAGTTGCTCAGTGATGGGGCATATGCGCTCTGCACGTGCTCAGGTGCACTCTGATCCTTAGCACGTCATTACATTCGCCCTGCTCAAGGGAACACCTCAGCCTGCCCTTAAGCGAGATGTCCACTTACCTCAGTGTGTCCAGCTTCTGCCATTTCAAGTCCCTCAGGAGGAAGCAAGGACTAGCACAATCGGGGCCGTCTTAATCATAGGCGCCTGGCCGAGAGTCCGGGGTCCGAGAGTCGGAGTCCGGGGAAGAGCCCGCCCGTTAGAGCACCGCGGCAGGCTCTTCTGTTCGGGTTTCCTGAGTGGACCTAAAAAAAAGTCAACAACTCTGGGCAAGCGGTGGGGGGGCGCTGGGCACATCTTTGCATCCCGGCATCGCATATGCTTAAGACTGCCCTGAGCACAATGAGACTTTGTCCCCTTCCTCTCCTTCCTGCCCACCCAGATCTGCTGGGGAAGGTCAGGGGGAAACCCCAGAACAGATTTAGGGAGAGGGGGAGAACGTTCCGCCACACAAGGAAGGCTCTTCAGAGTCCCAGGAAAACAGGATGTCCATCCCATTCAAGTGCCAAGTTGACAGAAACAGTGCACAGAGGGAGGTGTTCTGAGAATCCGATATGCAATTAGGACATTCCCTCACCCTGAAGAATCCGCCAAAATTCTCTGGAAGACCTCCTCCCAATGCCTCCCTTTCCTGCAGGAGTTTTACTCAATGAACATTTAAAAATTAAAGCCTTACCCAGCAAAATCATGCCCCCGTCATATTTCAGTGCCGCGTCCATGTAGCTTTGTCTCTGACTGGGAGTTGTTTGGAGAAGCCCCACCTGTCTCAGGGGGCCTGGTGGCTGTTCCCTGAGACGGCATCTGAAACAGGGAGGAATTCAGTGCTGCCCTAAGCCAAAGTCCTTCAGCCGCAGCCTAGTTCCCCTACCTAGTGGAATGGCTTGTGCAAAAGACGGCGCAGAATGTTTACATGCTTGTGAGTGTTAAGTTGTGGGTGAACATATCAGACGACACAGCGATTCTTCAAACAGTTCTTGTTTATTCACAGGCCTGAAGTGAACTGAAGGGTTCAGCCAGCCTGCTTATATAGAGCTCCACTACAATGCAACAGTAACCACTTTCTGTAACTATCCAATCACTGAATGTCACTTTCAATCCCTTATTTGCATATGTGGACCTGAGTGAAAACTATCTCCAAGTATCTGCCTGCTGGCCCAGGGTGAGAACTGCAGTACATAACAGTGGGAGCAAACAACCGCCAGTGCTGATCACCCTGCTAGCGAGATTCCCACAGGCTGCTAGTCAGCTCCTGGGCCAAGTTCAAGGTCCCATATCCCCCAAGACCAGGTGACTTGAGAGAGGGGCTTATGCCTTGTACACCACTAGATCCCTGCAGTCTGTGGGAGTGTCTCTCCTGCACACCCCAAAAATCTCAGAAGCCCTTTTGCACAGTGACTCTGAGCAGGGCCTTGAGAGTGGCTGCCCCTCTTCTATGAAATATCGTTCCTGTTTCTGGAGACATTGCTCCAACAGGCTGGATAAATGGCTTTTCACTACAAGGGTCCACTTGTTATGGTTTTAAATAAATGTGCAATTAAGGAGTTTTCTTCACGGAATCAAGTCCCGCTTGCTAAATCAGAACTCGCGTCCATTTAGGGCAGCAGCAGATGTTCTCCAATTCAAAAATGCCAAGGAAGCCTGCGAATTAAAATGTTATGAATACCACATCTTACTAGGTATGTCTGTGTTTGTGTGTAATCAAAAGCATGGGAAGCAATCAAGGAGCATTCCGTGCTACTTGAGAAAACATTCAGCAAATGCAAAGACCTGGGGACATTAAAAAAAAAATAAAAAATCACGTGGTCACTGAGTTTCTGAGTCATTTCCAAGAAGGGAAACTCCCAGTGGCTGAAAACTGAGAAAACGAAACTTAACTCGGATCTTTGGTGCGAGGGAGCCATGGCTGCTGCAGGGGGTCACATCCAGCGTCTCCACGATGAAGCCACTTGCTCCATCTGCCTGGAATATTTTAAGGATCCAGTGATCATCCCAGAGTGTGGGCACAACTTCTGCCGATCCTGCTTGATCCAGTGCTGGGAGGAATCGGAGGCAGAGGCTTCCTGCCCTCAGTGCAGAGAAAGAGTCCAGAGAAGGAGCCTCGTCTCCAACCGGCAACTGGCAAACTTTGTAGAAATAGCTCAGAATCTCAGCCTTCAAGAGGGAAAGGAGGAAGGAGGGAAAGGAGGAGTCTGCGAGGATCACCAGGAGCCCCTGAAGCTCTTCTGCAAAGTCCACGAAGCCCCCATCTGCGTGGTGTGTGACAAATCAAAGGAACATGAAAATCACAAGGTGATTCCTCTGAAGGAGGCTTTGGAGGAATACAAGGTAGGAGATCCCTGGATCTTGAGGGGAGAAATAGCTGTGGATTCTTCTTGGGAGGTTTTCTTTTTAATTCTCAGGTCCAAAGTCGGCATGGCATGAATTGGTGGTTGTTTATGTTAGGAGTCATTCTGCAAAGAAACAGAAAAGATGATTGTAACTTTAAGAACTTTTTCTGCGAGTTCTGGCTGTGGTTTTCTAGGCTGAAGAGGTACAGCTGGTGATGAGTATAAAAGGGGAGAAGTTGCAGTTTGAATTTGCCTGCAGAGAGAGAACACCCACATGCTTTGTGTTTTTGTATAGCTGTAATAAAACCTTTGTTTGAGTGTTTTACACCGGTCTCGTGGTTCTTTCTCTGCCACCAGAAGAAAAACCACCTCTAACAGTTTATTATGTAAAAAACAGCCAAGAGGAAGCCTGAGGGCTCCTGGGAGGAGGGAGTTGAAGTCTTTCTCTCTGCCAGGGGGACAAAGGGATCTTCCCTTGAAATACTCACAGCAGCTTCAAAGATTTGAACTGGTACCATGGTAGGAAGAGAAAGGGTTAACCTCGTTTACATCCCCCAGCAGGTTGCTTTGTACATATGAAAAACACTACAAATGTACATTGCACATACACAACTAAGTACATGTCTCTCTTGGCTAGCAGGATGTCTCCTCAATGCCCTGCAAAGCAGATAGTAGCAAGGGATCAACTGGGGGGGGGGGCGGTGGCCAGGAATTGACCAGATGGTGCAGGATCCTCCCCCCAAGTAACTGTTGGAAGCAGATTTAGGAGTGGGGGCGGAGTGGAAGCACCTACTGGTGAGGAGCACGCTTATTCTGGGGGTGCTGTGGGGCCTGTGCAATGAGGTTTCAGTGGGGGGGGGGGGGTTGAGGACCTCCTCCCATCCCAAATAGTAAAGGACTCAGTGATTCCAGAGTAGCATCTGCAAAGACTAGGGGGAAAGATAACTTTTCCATGACAACTCAGAATTGGACCTGTGCTATTATACTGTATATAAAAAATAAAATTCTCATTCTGGACCCTGCCTTAGCCCTTCCTCCTCCTCCTCTTCCCACGTCTCCCTGGGACCTCAAGATGAGAAGTCAGGCTAGAACTTTCCTCAGAGAAGTTCAAAGGAGCAAGCATGGCTGCCTTTGCTCTTCTCCAGACTAGAAAACTTTCCCATCCCAGTTCTGCCGTGCTTTTCAACCCGTGTGCTGTGGCACCTGGGGTGCCTTGAATGATGCTCAGGGGTGCTGCTGGCAACACTGGCCTCTGTCCCTCTTTCCTTCCCTCCCATAGCTGCCTCCCAAAGGCTTGCACAGCTGTTTGTTGCAGCAGCCCTGGCTACAAGCTCCGTGGGCGAATGGTGCCTCTGGGGCTGGCCAGGGGGTGTTGGCTGCCAGGAGCTGAGGCGGCCTCGGAGGAAGCAAGCAAACTGGCGAGGGGCCCTTGCTGTTGGGAAGGGACAGACAAGTCCCAGGCTCCTGTGGGGCAGCGGGGGCAGCTCAGAAAGAGCACTCCGCAAGGGGGAGGGTGTTTGAGAAAGGGTGAGGGGCTGCAAGCTCCGCAAGCAAGGGGGGACCTAACTGGGGATCCTGAGCCCCACAGGGACACCGCAGAAAGAAGGTAGTTGGTCCAGGTAGCCATGGACCCAAAAAGGTTGTACTTTTATTTCCTCTAGTAAACTACTTCGCTGTTATAGCAAGGCCACTGGACCCAAGAAGCCTGTAAAATATTCATCTCCTCTCTCTGTGTCTCAAGCAAACCTAAGTTTCCCTTTTTCTTTTCAGGAAGAGATCTGCCACCGCCTGGAGATTCTGAGGAAAGAGAGAGAGGAAATTCTGGCCTATCAAGCAGCCCTGGACAAGGAAAGCAAAGACCTCCTTGTAAGTGCCACTCTTGTTACTAGGGGGGGAACAAGCACTTGAAGAATTGAGTCAGGACTGAGGAGGGATGGGGAAATCTGCCCATTTCAACTTCCCCCCATTCTCCTTTTTCCATATCAGTTTGTTTGTTTATTTATTATTATGAAAATGAATAAAATGCTAAGGTGCCTACATTCTTGTATAAATATTTTGATATGTACTTTATCCTCATAAATACATTTTTGTGAACATTACCTGGCGAGTCAAAATAGCAAGGAAAATTCTCCTTGCTTTAGGCTGTAGCTCTCTGCGAAATAGAAGTCAACAGAAAATTCAGTGGAGAGGGCCTCCCCTCAAATTAAAGGTTTACTTCTTTAGTAACTGGAGGTTTCATGTCTCTGAAAAATCAGAAGTGTCCTCCCTGTGGAATTCTCACAATTCTCTTAATGATGTCTTGAAGGCTGAGCACCTTCCATACTCAGACCTCCTCTTTTCTTGCAGAAATTAACAGAAACGGAGAGGCTGAAGATTGTGGAGAAGTTCAGAGAACTGCGCCAGTTCCTGGAAGAACAAGAAAAACGTCTGCTGACTCACGTGGAAGAGGTGGAGAAGGAGATTGCAGGGAGAAGGGATGAGCAGCTGGCCAGACTCTCCAGGAAACTCTCCTCTCTTGAGAGGATCATCCAGGAGATGGAGGAGAAGAGTCAGCAGCCAGCGAGTGAACTCCTGCAGGTAAGATGGTGGCAGGAACAGCCCAAGGCTCCAGGAAAAGGCTGCCTCTAATCCTTCATGTGCCCCTTTCATGTATGCAAGGAGTGCAGGGGATGAGTTGATGGAGCCCCTAGTCAGGTTGTAATGGACAGGAAGACCCAAGAAACCTGGGATGCTTAACTCACCAGAATGCAGACTAGAGATTCATCTGTGTTCTTGATGGAACGGGAGCTGATCTTCTGCTCTTTGCTGATGCTTTGTCTCCGAACGCCTTTCAGCTGTGGGGGGCTTCGCTGTGGATGCGTTCAGGCCTCCTTCCGACATGAGCCAGTCTCTTGACCAAGCTTCTCTTCCCGTTTCCTGCACAACTTCTGGGTTGAACCCCTTCCCCATGGATACGGATCAGCCCAAAATGGTGCTCAGTCACAGTGACCAAAGAGCAAGACAGAGGGACTCATCCAGACTGCTGCTTGTCCCACCCCTTTCCTCCAGGAAATCCCACTGTTCACTGCTGAATTAGAGCAAACCTCAGCCAGGTTTTCTCCAGACTGACGTTTGCTTTGATGTTGCACCAAGGAGCAGGTTTTTCCTGAGGGAAAGCGGCAGGGCAAAGACAAAACCACTTGGACCCGTGTTTTCTAGGCACAGGAACAGCAGAAGTGTGGGTGAGCCCAAAGAAACACTGACCTATTCTATTACCCCTTGGGAGGCATTTTATGCTGCAGGTGCTTTTTAAATTTCCAGGTGGAAAATAGCATTTGAAATTTGGGGACTTCTATGGAAGACAGTTTAGGACAGTGCCCTGGTAGGATTATCCTGTAGGCTTACTTACGTCTGAATTGCACAATGCAAACTGGATTAAAGTTATTAAATTATAATCTAAGACTAGAGATGGTGTGAATTGTCTCTTGAACCCACAAATGTGAAATTTCCCTAAAATGCCGGTGGGTTTTCATAAGGATTTTAAACAAAAATGGCAAACTGATGTCGAAATGTGGAGATCTTGAAATCAGAACAGTTAATAATTTCACACTGGGAAAATAAAAGCTGTGAGAAACCAAAACTGGCTGATTCCGCCATCCCTACCCAAAACCTTGGCGTGTGCCAGGCAGACTGACATCTGAGGGCCAGGGTCTGAGGGGGTCTTCCCAGTGTGGCCTGTGGTGTGCAGTGAATTCCCTTCTCTTTTTCCCTCTAGGATATGAGAGGCACCTTGCAGAGGTGAGTGGATCTGGCTCATTTCCATTAGCATCACTCTTTGAAGCTGAGATGCCAGAACCTCAGACATGGCCCTCCAGGGACTGCAGGGGGGAGACTGTAGGACTCACTCCCTGAGGCACCTCACAGGTAAAAGCAGGGCCCCCTCTTCTGAACTTGTAGCCCCCCAATTCTCCCTCCAAGGATCAAGGTCAACTGCCTCCTCCCTCCCTCCCCACATCACCTCACAAAGGGATAGGGGCTCTTTTCTTTCTCTTGCACTTTCTGTTCATGGACTTTGTGGTAATTTCAAACACCTAGAAGAGAAAGTGCCAAAGATGCTTGTGAAGAGCTTAGGATGTACCAACAGATTTCAATGTCCAAGTAGCATCTTCTCCAAGTAGCAGCCACCCAACTCTTGGCAGCTTTGGACATCACTCACATCCTCTGGAGAAGCTCAGGGAGGGAGGGATTGCAGGCATTCCACCTCAGGGGTTTGGTTCTTAAGTCCTGGCACCTTCCCAGAAAGCTGTTAGGGGGCAGCATTGTTTGAAGCCATGGGAGCCCTCCGGTGGTGTCGCTTGGGGTTACATCTTGTCCCTTGTGCTGTTTAGCATCCTTACGAAGCCACTGACAGCCGTCCTCAGGGGTTTTGGACTGAGGTCTCATCTGTGGTGGAAATAAACCTGTTGGGAAATAAACTTCCACTTTGTTCATCTTATTGAAATCTCCTGCAAGAATTAGGGAGACAGTGCCACAATGGGGCCATTAATTGTTTTTCTTTTCACCAGGTATGAGGAAAGAGAGAGTCCAGAGAAGCCACTGGCTTTCCCTCCAGAGCTGAGGAACAGGATCTTGGAATCCGGTGAACTAAATCACCTTGTGGAGAATACAATGAAACAATGGAAAGGTAATGAAAACTGGATGCCAGGATTTTACACTGGGAATTCTACTATTTCTTCAGAACTGAACATGCCAGGCTCTTATTGCATGGAATTGAGTAACCCCAGGATACCTTCCTTCTTGGTGCTCCAGTCCTCATTTCCTGCCCCCCAGAATGGCCCATGTATATTGTGACGCTGGGAAAGAAAGCCTGAACCAGAGTGTAGAGCAAAGTCAGGATTTTTTCCTCCCGTGTGCATCTGTTTACAATTATACGAAACCTCCTTTTCCTTGTGGTTCCCTGTCTGCACAATCTGAGTTTGTCCTTTTGGAGGTTCTCCTGCTCTGAATGGAGTCAAAGGGCATTAAGAAGCCCCCAGTTCCCCCTCTGCCTCCTGCTCAGGCTTCTTTCTCAGCCGTGGAGCCAAGGCCTGAGCCGTCTCCTCCTCAGACGTCCCCCTGCAGCTGCCATATCTAGGGCTTCAGCCTTCAAGATCTCCTGAGAGTTCCCCATTGAGAGTGGAAGCAAGAGCACATGGGCCCCAAAGGGCACAATTATGCTTGTGAAGAACCTTAAAGATTTGTAGAAGGTTTGTGAGGAAGGACTTCCTTTTGCCTGAGAGCTCTGCCAATCCTTCCTCATCAAACTTCGCTTCTCCTTATGTTTCACAATTTTGGTTTAAGTAGTTTTCCCCACCACTTTACTTGGGGAAGATGTTAAGGCTGCCTCCATCTCCCCTCTGCATCCTTTTACAGAATTCCTCTTGCTCTGCCTCCCCTCCAGTCCTCCAATGTAGAGCCCAATTTCAGGGACAAAATTCAGAGACCAGCAGGATTCATGCTGAATGTTTTTATTCTGCTATTTGGAAGCTTGCTTTATGATTGCTGTGTTTTAAAGCTTTAGTTATTTTCATAGATTCTTGTTATGATATTCTTGTTTTTAATTATTTTTCTACTATTTAATAATTATACTAGAGTTTAAGGATGCCACGTTATGAAGTGTTACTTTTGTATGGAGATTTATTTCAGGTGGAAGAGTGTTGCCCTTATACTTTATATATTTTTGCTTCCTCAGATGCTCTGCTATTCAGTGAACAGATTCAGAAAGGTAAATTTCCAGGAGAGGAACAATTTCACAGGAGGGATGGGGACTGACATTTCATGAGTGTTGAACCGTCTGCTCTGCAGACTTTGGGACCCCCATCAATGGCGTCACTCAGGGTAACAGTCCTCTAGTGGTTTTTGGGTTATTTCCATGTCCCATGAATGAACTGGGAGAGGGTTTGAAGGCTTGGACTGGGGGCAGAACTTGTCCATGCGAAGAACCTGCACACCAGTCTGAGTTCCATTTCTGCCTATAGACCAGTGGTGGCAAACCTTTTATGGACTGAGTGCCCAAACTGCAACCCAAACCCACTTATTTATCACTAAGTGCCAACACGGCAATTTAACCTGAATACTGAGGTTTTAGTTTAGAAAAAAACAACTCATACATTAACACCTTTGGTCTTAAAAGCAAAACACAATAACAGAGCTTTCAGTGATACAAACAACTGTTTATTGAAAGGTATACGTTTGTATTTGGCATACTTTTGAACAAGTAATGTGATTTTTGCTGTTGTATGCATGTTGATAATTTGTCTAACCTTGGCTCATACTTTGTAAGTTTGAGAGCAACACATGCATCACTCAAGTCATCTGTTAGTCTGTTTTTGGTTTAAGATTTGGTATAATTCAAAGCTGAAAACAGCTGATCACAAGCATAAGATTATCCAATCAAAGTAAGGAAAGCAATCCCAAGTACTTTCATTGATTTAAAATTATTTGGCAGACAATTCCACAAGGATTTCATTTTCAGAACTAACTGTGCTGTCTTTTGTCATTCTTTCTATCTTCTCAAGTGTTTCACGCAGGTCACAGAATTTATTTTTCCAGACAGACTATTATCCTGGTTCCCCCCTCAATTTTATAGATTTTGCTTTATTTCATAAAATTTATATACTGTTTGATTGTGGGGAAAAGCACAGGGCATTAGACTCAGATCTAAGGCACCTGGCTAAACTAATCTGCAGCAGAGAATCCCACAGAGCAGCATCTTAAGCTAGCCACATCCTGTATAAAACCCTTCTCTTGTGGCTGAACTAAAAGGATGTTGAATGGATTTATTGGTTTGGCGTGACCCCCGCTAATTGATTTACGATCCACAATTAGCTCTTTATGCCCGGCGCGCTTCCTCCGAGCTGCGCCACTCAGCTCCGTCTCCAGTAGCTCTCCAGTCACGCCTCAGCAGAGTTAAACACAGCGGTGAAACTGTCACGTAGCTTCCACTTAGCTTCCGACAAACACACAGAGCCCGGTTTGTCTCTTTATCAGTCCTTTATTCCGACATTCCCAGGAAATCTCCTGGGCTCACAGCAGCCATGACAAACTTGCGACCTCTTCCCTCAGAGACCAGAGAGGAACAGAAACGAAAACTCCTCCCAGACTCCTCCCAGCTTCTAAAGCTGACGTCAGAATGCTGAGGCATCATGGGAACTTCTTAACCTGTTAAGTTCCAAACCCAACACCCCCTCTTGCCGAACCATTCTGACAAGACCTTTTTGAGTTCAACACCTTCCCCTTTGCCTTATGCCACTTCCCGGCATCTTTCCCAGGCACCTGTTGAACCCCTTCAACACTCCCAGAATCACACTGTGCGACACTTTTCCACGCACTTGTGACCTGATACCCTACTGACCCATTTGGGCCAGCAGTTGTGTCTTCTCCGTCAGATCCTTCCCCTCTGACTTGACACCCTGTTTGTGAGCTTTCTCCATTACGCTAACCGGAGATGAAGCCTCACACCTGGACACTCCTTTCACAACCTTTGGAGATGCCCAGACCTGCCCTGAACCCTGATCTTGGACCTGGTCCCCATCACCGGGTTCTGAACCCTGATCCTGGACCTGGTCCCTATCACCGGGATCAGCCTCTGGCTCCCTTTCCTCCTCAGAATCAGACAGACATTCTGAGAGAAAAACAGGACTATCCCTGAGTCTTGAACACCCACCCTGTTCACAGAACTCAGCCTGCTTACTGACCAGCAGCTTGGTTTGATCACCCTCTGGGTATGCAAACTTCCACCCATTGGTTGCAGGATCATATCCACAGAAGATCATTTCCTGAACCTTTGGACCACCTGCCCCAAAGAGCTCAAAGGGCTCTTTGGCTACCCTCCCAAACCCGGGAAAACCATGTACCTGTGCACCCTTGCATGCCCTGCACCCTAGGGACCTCCCACATTTCCGGAGTTTGTACCCTTTTGTGCACCTGTGCAGCTTTTGCACATGACTGGGAACCTTAGCACACTGCGCCTGTGCTTTTCCAGCATTCCCACCACCCTCCAGAGGTGACTCCAGAACAAAGAGATTGTTCTGCCCACTTTTCACGTTGGCCACTTGTTTCCCCCCTCTGAAAATGGATAACAAACAACAATTCAGTCCCGGCACAACGTAGACCTCTAGCTCCTCCTGTAAAGGAGAAAAAGACATGTTAGCCACAGCAGAAACCGACTTTCTCATTCCGTCTGCTAACATCACAGTTGTGTCCTGTTGAAAACAGCTCTGCAGTTCCGCATTTCGCCAGCAGGCTCGCTTAGCAGGTGCTGACCAACAGCAGTATTCAAAACTCAGCGTGTCACCGTGTCCTGGCTGGAGTTGTTCTTCACAGTTGCCATAGAAGCAGTGATAAGAAAACAACCCTCCCCAGCGTCTGAACCACGTCCTTCCCTTGCGTTCCCACGCTGGCCTCCTCTCCGAGACTGATTCCCATGGGAACTCAGCTGGTTGACCTTGGGACCTTCCTGCCCAGCTGTCTCCGCTCTCCATGGGCAGCAACGACGAACTCCAGTGGAAAAACACTGCCCGGGGCTCCTCCCAGCTGGCCTCCTTCTCCTTCTTCCGGAAAAGCACTCCTTGCCAGCTCCGCCCCCTCTGGCCTGGCTCCCACTGCGGCTTTCTGGGAACCTGCTTTGTTGACATTCCACTCCAGCACGCACAGTGGACAAGCCTTTACACTTGCCTTTGGAATCCTTCGCCCCCCCGACCTGCTCACTAGCACTCCTTGAGGCTAAAGCATCAGGAACAGGGGCTCCAGCCATCTCTAGGCTTTTCTCAATACTTCCTCCAGGGCTCTGGCCTCCTGCTGAAGTTTCACAGCACATCCCAGCAGCACATTCCCAGACAGCCCTTGCTGACTTTACGCCCTTGCCCAACTTCTTAGAGTGAGCATTTCAAACGGAATGTCCTCCAAGACCTGGCTGTCTGCCATCGTCTTCCCGGGGCCCCAAGCTTACTCACCAGCTTATCCGGCACCCGTTTCCAGCTGCTCCCAGCTCCCAGCACTCAGCTCTCAGCACAGGCAAACACTTTGCGTCTTTCAGCTGCTCTGAGCTCCGCAGCTCTCCTTTGCCTCTTAACACCAGGCAAAAATTCCTGCCAGCGACTTCAAACGCATTCCGGCACTTCAAAGCGTTCCTGTGACAGTTTTACAATCGGTGATTAAGGGTCCATAACCTGTTGAATTGATTTATTGGTTTGGCGTGACCCCCGCTAATTGATTTACGATCCACAATTAGCTCTTTATGCCCGGCGCGCTTCCTCCGAGCTGCGCCACTCAGCTCCGTCTCCAGTAGCTCTCCAGTCACGCCTCAGCAGAGTTAAACACAGCGGTGAAACTGTCACGTAGCTTCCACTTAGCTTCCGACAAACACACAGAGCCCGGTTTGTCTCTTTATCAGTCCTTTATTCCGACATTCCCCAGGAAATCTCCTGGGCTCACAGCAGCCATGACAAACTTGCGACCTCTTCCCTCAGAGACCAGAGAGGAACAGAAACGAAAACTCCTCCCAGACTCCTCCCAGCTTCTAAAGCTGACGTCAGAATGCTGAGGCATCATGGGAACTTCTTAACCTGTTAAGTTCCAAACCCAACAAAGGATACTGGCTCAGCTGCAAGATCTTGACAAAGGAGTCTGGGAGGGCTAGAGTTAACACCACCCTGCCCTTAAGGAGAGTCCATATGTGCATGTTTAACAGTTTAATAAATTGTTCTGTGCACAGAGATGTGAACATCAGCCCAAATACTTTCATGTGGCAAGCGAGGGAGCAATATGTATTATTGTTATTTTGTTGTTGAAAGTTAACAACATTGCTACTAGCAATAAATCCCAGCTTCGAAAGCCTACATAGAGTAGGGGTATTTCAAATGAGAGTCGTCATAGCCATCCATGGTTAAAAGTAGAAGTTGGCAAATGTGTCCTCTTTTTTGCTCTTCAAAATAACGCTACACTTGCCTATCAAGACTGTCTTAGCCCCTAACTGGTAATCTTTTGAGTTATTCCTCCTTCTCCCAGGGAACTAGTCTTATGGTATATATTAAATCCGAAAGAGAAGCATGGAATAAGCAGTCCTTTTTAAAATTGCCCTGCCACCTGCCTCCTCTTCCCTGGCGGCAAGGCCTAAACTTCCAAGGCCTAAACTTCCACCCCCATCGTTCAGCCTGGACACTGAGGTCCAGCGCCGAGGGCCTTCTGCCGGTTCCCTCATTGCGAGAAGTGAGGTTACAGGGAAGAAGAGGAAGAAGAAGAGTTTGAATTTGATATCCCACCTTTCACTCCCTTTAAGGAGTCTCAAAGCGGCTAACATTCTCCTTTCCCTTCCTCCCCCACAACAAACACTCTGTGAGGTGAGTGGGGCTGAGAGACTTCAGAGAAGTGTGACTGGCCCAAGGTCACCCAGCAGCTGCAGGTGGAGGAGCGGAGACGCGAACCCGGTTCACCAGATTACGAGACTACCGCTCTTAACCACTACACCACACTGGCTCTCGAACCAGACAGAGGGCCTTCTCGGTAGTGGCATCCGCCCTGTGGAACGCCCTCCCTTCAGATGTGAAGGAAATAAGTAGCTATCTTATCTTTAAAAGACATCTGAAGGCAGCCCTGTTAAGGGAAGTTTTTAATATTTAATGCTGTATTGTTTTTAACACTCGATTGGAAGCTGCCCAGAGTGGCTAGGGAAACTCAGCCAGATGGGCGGGGTATAAATAATAAATTATTATTATTATATATTATATAAGATGGTAAGGAGGAAGGCACAGGAGAGACCAAGTGGGTGAGAGAGATGGAGAGCAGGAATAAACAGGCTCCCCACTTAAAGCCATTTTCACTTGTGGGCACAAGGGCCCAGAACGTGACCCCCGTGAAAGTGAGGGGAGGCTTATATGTGGTTTTATGTTGTAGTTTTATGCTGTGAACCACCCTAGGCCTATGGATGAAGGACAGTAGGCAAATGTCATTATATTATTATTATTATTATTATTATTATTATTATTATTATTATCATTATTAATTATTATTATTATTATTACAGGGGGGTCCTCATCCCCCACCGCAACCCAGAGTTCTCCAAAGGCCAATTTCCACAGAGATGGTCAGAGGAAAGCAGCTTCTCTCTCTCCTGCCTCCTCCAATTCTCCTCTCTTTCCCCTTAGATAACACAGAAGAGATGAGTAAAAGGTTTACTGGGTGGTTTTTCCTCTTAGAAAATGCCTGGGTTGAGAGGAGGGCAGGAATAATACACATCGGATATTAGAAAGTGAAGGAAACTGATTTAAAAACCATCAAGGAAGATATTTATTCTGATGAGAGTCTGCAAGGAGGAGTCTCAGTCTAGCATGCGATGCAAAGAAATCCCCTTGATCTGAAAGGGAATTCGGGTTTTTTTATGAAGATGTCAATTTCTGTCTCTTGGCTGACTCTGCCTATTCTTCTCTTTCCCTCATCTTCTTCCCAACAGCAAATGTCACTCTGGATCCAGACACAGCCCATCCTGAACTCATCCTGTCCAAGGATGGGAAAAGCGTGAGAAGGGGAGACAAACCTCAAGCCCTGCCTGATAATCCTGAGAGATTCAGTGACCGGCCTTGTGTGTTGGGACGTGAGGGATTCACAGCAGGCAGCCATTTCTGGGAAGTCACTGTGGGAAGTGGGGGATGGTGGGCTCTGGGGGTCGCCAGGAAGTCTGTGGAGAGAAAGGGCTATTTTGACTTAAGTCCTGAGGGAGGAATCTGGGCTGTGGAGAAGTGGGGAGAGAAGTACTTGGCCTGCACCTCCCCTGATGACTCTCCTCTGTCCCTGAGTGAGAAGCCCAGGAGGATCCGGGTGACTCTGGACTATGAAGGGGGACGTGTGTCTTTTTCTGACGCTGACTCAGGAGCCGAACTCTACACGTTCTCAGGAGCCTCGTTCTCTGGAGAGACCCTCCTCCCTTACTTTGATCTGTGGGAAAATGAAACCCACCTCAGTATCTCCTGAGGAGACTAAATCTGCCTCTCAGGCCCAGCAGGAGTTTCTCTCCAGACCAGAGTGACTGACATAAAAACCATTTACCCGCCAAGAGCAGGTTGGGCAGTTTTCCAAGGGCCCTTTGAGAGGATTCATTCCAGTCAAAATCAGCAGAAATAACAGAACAAAAATGGGTTACTCTTGCTTTGCATTTTCTTTCCTTTCCTTTCCCCAGAATTCCCTCTGCAGCTTCTTAAAGAGACAGTCACACTTTTAGGAGTCCTAATAAATTTTCTCATCATCAATCTTGTTTTCCATTTGAGATGTCTGATTTGGCAGAGCATGAGACTCTTAATTCCAGGGTTGTGGGTCTGAGCCCCACGTGGGGGAAATATTTCCTGCACTGCAGGGGGTGAGACTAGAGGACCCTCAGGGTCCCTCACAACTCTGCAATTCTAGGAAACCTTCCTCTTCCCACAAGACCTTATGCAGCTGTGAAAATGCATGCACCATTGGATTAATAGAGGACTAAAAATGAACCCCTTCACCCATGTCACACAGGATAGCTTCTTGCTCTAGAGACCTCAGACGGGAAGAAAATGTAAAAGAAATTGAACAAGGCGTCAGCTTCAAATATCCTCTGCAAATACAGCCTCACCTTCTTTACACTTGGTCAGAAATAAACCCCATTGCATTGAGTGGGGCTTCTGCCCTGTTATAAATGTGTTTAAGGTTGATGCATTGACGTTCCTTATTTACAAGCTGGATTCTGTACTGTATATCGGGGGCATCAAATGCGGTGTCCTCTGGATAGTGCTGGACTCAATCTAAGGGTAACCAGCTGGAGCATCAAGTTGAAAATAGCATGCGGGCAGAATTTTCAAAAATCGGTTAAAATGTCCGGAAAAATCTGGACATATGGCAGCTCGAATCAGCAGTGTTGTGGGTTTTTTGGCAAATTTCCTTAAAAAATAGCTTTAAAATATTCTCTTTTTTTGCAGGGAGATCTTGCTCAACAACATCTGTGTCTGGTAGAGTTGAGTAGAGTTGAGGCAAACATCCCCCACTCAGGTTCTGCTGTCCCGGAAAACACCATTTAAAGATGGACGCCCAAGACCCCACACACGCTCCCACTCCTGATATTGCAATGCCAAGCCTTGCAAAATCACAGCCCCCAGTCCCATCCCTAAGCAGCTGCTGACAGACAGTGTAGTGTAGTGGTTAGAGTGTGGGACCAGGACCCGGGAGGCCAGGGTTCAAATCCCCACTCAGGCATGAAGCTCACTGGTGACCTTGAGCCAGTCATGGGCTCTCCGCCTAGCCCACCTCACAGGGTGGTTGTTCTGGGGATTATAAGAGGAAGGGGAGAACCTGGAGCTCCTTGGCGTAAAGGTGGGATATAAAGCACTCCATTGTGGGCCCAGTTTTATGGAACTCCCTTCCAGGTTGCGGTCAGACAGGCCCTTCTCCCTGTTGAACCTACTGAAGACATCATCATCATGCTTACAGGCTTATTTTATATTTTCCACTCTTTTTCATTGTATGGAATACTTTGCGCACTGCTTAGAGACAATGGCAATCAAGCTGTACAGAAATGGTTGAGACAAATTAAACGGGGCTGGGAAGTTGCTCAGTGATGCGGCAAATGCACTCTGCACATGCTCAGGTGTGCTGTAATCCTTAGCTCGTCATTACATTCACCCTGCTCGAGGGAACACCTCACTTACCTTCAGCCATTTCCAGTCCCTCAGCAGGAAGCAAGGAACAGGGGTGAATTGGGAGCGTCGTTCCGTTGGCTGTGAGGGACAGAAGAGAGGAAGACGACGGGCTCAGGGACAGGGCACAAGCATTGCATGAATATCCCGCTCTCCATCCCTGAGACCTCCAGTTAAAAAGCAGCCAGGTAGCAGATGATGGCAAAAGTCCTCTGCTGCAAGACCCCCTGAGAGATGCCACCAGTCAAGAGGGAAACCCCAGAACACATTTGGGGAGAGGAGAGGGGGAGAACGTTCCGCCACACAAGGAAGGCTCTTCAGAGTCTCAGGAAAACAGGATGTCCATCCCATTCAAGTGCCAAGTTGACAGAAACAACGCACAGAGGGAGGTGTTCTGAGAATCCGATATGCAATTAGGACATTCCCTCACCCTGGAGAATCCACCAAAATCTTGAACCTGCATACAGGTCCTCTGGAAGACCACCTCCCAATGCCTCCCTTTCCTGCAGGAGTTTTACCCAACAAACATTTAAAAATGGCGGTAATGGCGGACTCCCTCTGATCCAGAGGGACCAGTTCCACAGGAAACGGGTCTTTCCCGCTATGGCGAAGCGGGGACCCTTTCAAAAATCACAGGCGGATGAAGCCTGTGACCATGGGACTCGGCGGGCACCTTTAGCGCCCCCCCAACCCATAAAGGAACCCATTTATGGGCTCCGGAGCGAAGAGGGGGAAGTGGCGCGGTGCTGAGAGTCAACTGCTTCTTCCGTGGAGCGAAGCTGCACAGCCGTTGCCGGAGAGCGCCACCTTTTTCCTGGGACAATTTGGCTTTTAAAACAATTACCCGTGAGTACTTTAATTTCGGACAATTGGACTTTGAATAATGACCTGCGAGTAGAAAGGAAAATTGGACTAAGAAATTCATCTCAATTTGGCACTGAAACGGGAAGGTCTAAACAGGAAGTCAGCCTTCCGTTTCTTGTAGATAGATTAAAGCAAAGACATGGCAAACTAGAGTTCAGAAAATCGCTTGTAAAGGATTAACTTTCATCATTTAAAATTGTTGAACCCCCTTCGGAAGCAGGAGAAGAGGGGGGATTTTTTTCCGGACTGTTTAAACCTGCAGAAAGAGTGTAAAGCAAAGTAATTTTCCACCGTCTTGATCCTGGGAGCGTCAGGACTGACGTTCTTTGGGTAGCTCATTGACCAGAGACAAACGTTTTTGACAGATAGTTAAAAGAAGAGAAACATAGTGATTCCATTGTTCTCCTTCGCATTTTAAAGGAACAAATATTGACAAAATATCTGAAAAAGGAAACTTTGTTGTTAGATCTGCCTTTAAAAGAAAAGAACAAACCCAGCGGGCACATTTGGCGCCCCCCCACAACCCGGTAAAAAGCCCAGAAACGGGCTTGAAATTGGAGCGGGGGAGAGCGCTGTGCTGTGGGCTGTCTGCTCGTTCGTGGTGTGAAGCCGCAAGCTGTTGACCGGAGAGCGCTGCCTTTCTTCCTTAAAATCCGGACCTGAAAATCAACGATCCGTGAGTAGGATACAATCTAAATTGGAACTGTACAAACTGGAATCTGGCCGAAAACGGAAAGAGGCTTAAAAAGGAAGTCAGCCTCTTTCTTTGTAGATAAAATAAAGCATTGAACTTGAAAGCGGAAGCATTTGGAAAGTACGTTTTAGCGGACTTTAATCCAATCATCCAACCTGGACTTTTCCCTCTATAAATTGAGGGGAAAGGGGGGAGAATTGTGGAAGTGATTTCTTCATAAAGAGTGGAAAAGAAGGGATTAAACCATCACTCAATTCCCTGGGAAAGGATTTCCAGATCTTAGGAAAGAAAGAGAGGTACTGTCTTGCAATATATTTTGACAGCTAGTCCTGCACAGGAAATAAAAGTTTGGACAAATTATGTGAATATATATCTCCTGGTCCTAAGTTAAAAATTGTGAATAGACTGTTTTCTTCCTGAATAAACTAGGGGGGCTTAAAAAAGAAATTAAAGTATCCAAGAACTTTTATGACTGTTAAAGTGTCCCCCTAGTGGAACTTGGAACTGTTACAACTTGTTATAATTGTAACTGTAGCAGGCTTGAGGAGTTCTCACACTGCTTGGTAGGAAATTTCCACTGTTTAATTTCAACTACGTGACTGACCTTGAGCATTATCTAAGGAATGGCAGATGGGAAAGAGAAGGCGGATGCTTCGACTACAAGATCGGGGAGGAATATTCGCACAGAAGAAGGATTACAAAGGAGATCTTCGGCCTCAGGCCCTTCTGGAACCTCAACAACAGCCTCATCGGCACAATTAAAGGTAAAAAGTACGACAAGTGATGACGCCTTTGCTCAAGTTTTGGCCAAAGTTAATGAATCTTTAAATAAAATAAGCCAACAAGTAGCAGAGGCATGTGACAAGATTGATCAAAATACTGCAAGTATAAATAACTTGGGCCAAAAAGTAAATACTAACACAGAGACTATTCAGAAATTATTAGAGGAATCGGCCTCAACACGCCAGATTGCTGAAGAGGCTAAAGAAATTGCTACAACTTCTGCTACTGAAGTTAAAGAGGTTCAAGAGGAATTACCAACACTGCATAAACAACTGGAAGACCATAAACTAACCCTGTCTATGATAGATTTGAAGGAAAAGCAAGTGAATTTGCGGGTCAGATCGGTACCTGAGGTGGAAAAGGACAATCTAGCTGAATTTCTCACGCAGGAATTTTTGGACTTTTGGGATCCAGAACTGGCAAAAGACAGTTTCAGAATAGTAAATGCTTTCAGACTTGGGAGAAGAGGAGAGAAGAAGGTGAGAGACTGTCTGATTACTTTTCGAACAAAAGAAGAGAGGGATAAGATTTTGGGCCTACATTTCAAGAAGACATTGGAAATCCATCGGACAAGGGTGGAAATATTCAAAGATATCCCGAAATATCTTCTGGATCTCAGATCAAAATATAAAGACCTGATTACCCTGCTGAGAAGGAACAATATCAACTTCAGGTGGGAACTCCCTCAAGGCCTGTCTTTTAGCTACAAAGGAAAGAAGAGGAAAATAAGATCGGAAGACGACAAAGATAAATTTTACAGAGACCACGGAGAAGACCTACAAAAAGAACTATTTCCGGAACCAAAAGACCGTTCAAAAGAAGGGATACCACCGACGGATGAGGAACAGGCACTAGGTGCAGTAGGAGGAGAACTAAAACAATAACATCATGGCCCTGCAACTTTTAACATGGAACTGTCGGGGTTTGAATTCCCCTCAGAAAAGGAAGTCAGTATTTCATATATTAAAAAGGGAACAATTGGACCTAATTTGTTTACAAGAAACACATATAACAAGATTACACAGGAAATTGTTGATAAATAAAAGACTTGGTCAGGAATTTATTTCGTCAGATAAAGTTAAAAAGAGAGGGGTTGTGATCTACGCAAAAGACAATTTATCACCAAAATTTGTTTTTAAAGATGACCAAGGAAGATTTGTGGCAATTGAAATTCAAACACAAGGAGAAAAATTTTTGATTGTAGGAGTTTATGCACCAAATGACGGGAAATCTGATTTTTTTAAGAAGTTGCATGAGACCTTGATGGACCATATGGATTACAACATGATTTTGATGGGAGATATGAATGGAGTGGTATCTACTTATATGGACAAGGCACAAAGACAGGTAGTCACCAAAGATGGTAGACTACCGAAAACCTTTTTTGATATGACAGACAACTTGGATTTAGTGGATATTTGGAGAATTAGAAACCCCTTGGCTAAAGAGGGAACTTTCTTTTCTGAAGCCAAAATGACTTGGACAAGAATTGACCAAATTTGGATAACTAGAGGAATGGCACCAAAGACAAGAAAGGTGGAAATCTGCCCGAAAATTTGCTCCGACCACAATGCTGTTAAGATGGAAATGAGACTAACACCAACTGGCTCCTTCAGATGGAAGATGAATGACACCTTATTTAGAGATGAAGAATTTCTTAAGAAGGCCCAAAAAACTCTAAGAGATTACTTTGAGATAAATCTTAGTTCCAACCTGGAGAAAAGAGTAATCTGGGATGCAAGTAAAGCGGTTATGAGAGGGTTCTTAATACAACAGAATGCGATAAAGAAAAGAACTCAAAATGAGAAGAAGGATAAAATTATGAACAAAATGAATGAATGTGAAAAAAGACTGAGAGTAAATCCCAAATCTCAAGAGATTCTGAGAGAGTTAAAGTTATATCAAGTACAATATATGAAAATAATGAATCAGGAAATAGAATGGAAAATTAAACAAATGAGACAAAAGACTTTTGAATCGGCCAATAAATGTGGTAAATTGTTGGCATGGCAAATGAAAAAGAGACAAAAACTAAATACGATTACGAATTTAGAAGTGGAAGGAAGGAATATACAGAACCCTGCGGAGATTAGAAGTTGTTTCCAGAAGTATTTTAAAAGACTATATACTCAAGGGCCAGTGAAAGAAACAGACTTAGACCAATTTTTGAAAACAAATGGACTTCAAAAAATATCTCAAGAAAATAGACTAATTTTGAATGACAGAATAACTGAACAGGAAATAGAAGGTGCCATTCAAAACATGCAACTGGGTAAATCTCCAGGACCAGACGGCTTGACCTCTAGATACTATAGATCTTTAAAAGAATGGTTAATTCAACCATTGAAAGAGGTCTGCAACGAAATAATGGAGGGGAAGAGGGCACCAGAGTCGTGGAAAGAAGCATATATTACACTTGTACCAAAAACAGAGACTGAAAAGACACAACTTAAGAACTACCGCCCTATATCATTACTTAATGTGGATTACAAAATTTTTGCAGATATTTTGGCGAAGAGATTTAAAAAAGTGCTGTTGGAAGAGATTCATAAAGACCAAGCGGGCTTTCTCCCAGGAAGACATTTGTCTGACAATTTGAGGAATATAATTGATATCTTGGAAAAATTAGAAGTGAATATAAACACTAAAGCAGTGCTGATATTTGTTTTTTTTTTTATAAGAATTTTTATTGGTTTTACAGAATAATTTTAAACAATACAAACAAATAAAAAAGACATACAAACATGTAAAATTTCATAACCTTTTTTTCATGTCCCTCTCTTCTCGGACTCCCCCAAACCTCCCCTTCCTACATCCCAATTTCCAAAATTTATTTCAGCAAATTCTAATTAATTTTATCAAATATATTTTTTCTTATTCTTTTCTTCAACTTAATCTTATGTCACTGT